TAAACTATTTTACCAATTTTGGTAAAATGGGATCAATCTGTAAGTATATCTCTTTAGTCAAAAAAAAAAGGAATTTCCAAATCTGTTTATAACTGACGGAGTTACAAGGAAAAAAATATTTAAAAAAAGAACTAATTGAGCACCTCCTTCTGTTTGAAGTCGGTTGAAAATCAATACAAAACTATTAAAACTCTTTATTGTTTATTAAGACCTCACTGAAGAGCAATTAAACAAGCTTGAGCGTCTTCAAAATTTATGTATCCGCTTCATATTTGGTCTTCGCAAATATGATCACATTCCTCAATTTCGTACTCAATTAGCTCTCTATATATATATATATGTTTGTATAAGTTAAACTCTACATAATAGTGCGCCACCTACCTTTTGTCTCTTTGCTCAGTGTCCTCTACCCAAAGGTTGTCTGAGTCATTAATATATACTGTATTTATTATTGTTTTTACTTGCCACCAAGTGGCAAGTAAAGTGTAAAATAAATTATTTAATTCTTTCAGTCTAACAATATAGTATAAAATGTTTTAGAACACGTTATCAGTAGCGACACCTCATGTAAATTAGTTTATCTTTCTCTCAAGGTGAACATTGAGTATTGTGCAATTTTGACTCAAAACAAAACATATAATATCTGTATAAATATGTAAAAACCGACAACCTCTACATATATAGGTTCTCGATTCGTTTCTGTTTACTGTTTGTTACCCTCATAAGCCCGTCTGTTCTAAACCGATTTGGAATTTTTTTTTATTAAAAAAGGTATACTTACGGAATGATCCCATAGAAATTTGATCCAAATCGGTTTATTAGTTTAATTTTTACATCAAAATAACTGGTTTTGCCACAAGTGAAGTCGGTTTATTTTGTGGAACATAATTTTTTTTTAATGGATGATAATGGAATGGTAACCCCGCCCGTGCTATCCGTATACACCGGCGGGGCACTAGTGAGGAATGATAGAAGACGATAAAGCAGGTCAGTTGGCGTATCGTGACTAATAATAAATCAATCACAATAGTTTTCAGGGTATAATAGGAAGGGTATATTCCTAGCAATTGTATTGTTAATTCTCAATATTACCCTCTCTGCCCCCCAAGTAGATAAAGCTTTGTTTGAGAAATCAGTTCAGGGTACGATAGGACTGATATACCTGAAGAATAATAATAGAAGGCCCTTAAAATAATAATAATAAAAAAATCTTAATTATTTAATGTGTGTGTATAAAATTATTGATTGTTATTAATGTAATAAAAAAAATGCTACTAAGATCACTTTCAAAATATTTAACACTAGGTGTGTCCTGCGGCTTTACCTTCGTATTTCGACCGTGTATGTTATACGCTATATAGATTTGTTTTATCGTTATGAGAACTACTTAGATAATTACGTAAATTGGTCATCAAATGACCATTGTGTAACTATAATGGCCTTATGGCGATCCCCCAATGACCTTGACGATTCGGACGCAGTATATTATAATAACATATAATTATATATATATATATATATATATATATATATATATATATATATATATATATATATATATATATATATATATATATATATATATATATATATATATATATATATATATATATATATATATTTTTTTTTTTTTCTTTTTTTTTTAATGGGTGATAATGGAATGGTAACCCCACCCGCGCTATCGGTTTACACCGGCGGGGCACCAGTGAATGATGATAGGTGAGGATAAAGCAGGTCAGTTAGCCCATCGTGACGAATTCAACAAGAATTGTTCACGATGGTTTTCAGGGGGAACCACATGGAGGTCGACCTAATAAGGCATATTGCTAATAAATAATTGTGACAAAACCAGTCATTTTGATTTAAATACTAAACTAGTGAACCTATTTTGATAACATTTCTATGGGGTCAATCTGTAAGTATATCGTTTCAGATAAAAAAAGAATTTTCCAAATACGTTTAGAACGGAGAGTATCGGAGTTATGAGGTTATATATATATATATATATATATATATATATATATATATATATATATATATATATATATATATATATATATATATATATATATATATATATATATATATAAAAAAAGAAAAATACAATCTCTTCTTTCTGACGTTGGTTGAAATACTATAGATGAAGAAAGAGTTCGACTATGCTGTTACCATAAACATAAAATTATAAGAATAGATTGTCTCCGTTAACATGGCACGCCTCTCCAACTTCATCATATGATGACGATGATCATACGGTCATCATACGATGACGAGGCCTATGTCCAGCAGTGGACAGTTAACGGCTGATATCAGCCGTTAACTGTCCACTGCTGGACATAGGCCTCCCCCCATAAAGAGGGGGTTTTAATAATAATAATTATTTCGGACTTTTTTGCTCCATTAAATATTTATTAGTAACAGTATTCTTAAATTGCGAATAGTTGCCACGTTTGGCAGGTGAGATGGCAACCGCTGTTTGGCTTTTGGTCATATTTTAAAAGGTTCGCTGCTGCCCATCCCTCCATCGTAAGCTCCCTTCCGAATATTTATTAATGGTATAAAGATTATTACAATAACCAATACATGACTTTAGGTTGTAACAGTGTAAGAGCCGGGGGGGGGGAAGGGACTGTTAGAAATAAAGAATACTTGTTTAAATGCATACTTACAAAGGGTATCAATAGGTAATTTACCTATACTGTGACGACTTCTACGTAGAAACCTAAGTAGTTGATAGGTGTATCGGAAAAAATGAATTCTTAGATATGATAAACAAATTAGAGTCAATTCGTAATAAAAAAATAAAACAAATAAAAATAATAAATATATAGAGCTACATACAGGCATGTATAATATTAATGCTGTGTGGTCCCGGTATAGAATGGGCCACGCTGCCTTTTCTGTGGGTATCGTAGTCACTGTTAATCTTAGTAATTGTCAAATTAAGCAAGAAATTAAAATATTGCCAGGTAAATTAACTTATAATGACAGAAACATTGATTAGCAGAGTAGAAGGATGAAAAAAAGAAAAGAAAAAGATTATACTCGTGTATTATTCTCATAAAATACAAGTGTACACACAACACACACACTTGCGCACGCACAGACGCACGTACGCTCGCACGCACGCACGCACTCACGCACGCACGCACGAACGCACTAACGCACGCACGCACGCATGCGCGCACGCACACACGCACGCATGCACGCACTCACGCACGCACGCACGCACGCACGCATGCACTCACGCACGCACGCACGAACGCACTAACGCACGCACGCACGCATGCACGCACGCACACACGCACGCATGCACGCACTCACGCACGCACGCACGTACGCACGCTCGCGCGCACACATGCACGGATGCATGCGTGCGCGCATGTTTGTATGTATATTACTATACATACTAAAAACCTATATATATAGTTTATATATAGTATTCCTTAATGTAATTAAGGAGTTATAACTAAATTACAACTTTGGAACACACTGTCTCCTTACTTACAGTTAACGCTAGTTTTGGTGTCAGAACTACATATAATTTTATTATATAGGATGTAAGGTACAGGTTGGTGGCTTGGTGTTAATAATGTAAATAAATAAACAGGAACGAAAAAAGTTCATTCAGATGAACGGTCTGAATCAGATGGCAGATTGTTTTCTCACTGGAAATGCACTAAAGTCATATAATTCACGATTTCTTAGTTTTGACGCCGCTCATATTTGAAATTTCAGTAGTTACAAGACGCGAGATACTCACAGCACTTGGCGCTTCTTTGTAGGTAGTTTTTGCACGCTTATGGCGTTAACTTTATACAGCTGATTCCGCGTGCCGCGACAGGATTTCAATTCGAATATTGCATTGTTGTTATTTGGTATTTAATAGTATTTCGCTACAAAATATAATTATTTCTTTATATTATAACATAGGTTACATGATTTAAAAGAAAAAAAAAAACAGGAAAAAAGTTTGAAATGTCCCGGAAAAAAGTTCCATTGGTACATACATACATACATACATATTTTTATTTATATATACATACATACATGTCTGACACGCCCGTCTCCATTAGGGTTTTTTTTTAATGGGTGATAATGGAATGGCAATCCCGCCTGCGCTATCGGTATACACCGGCGGGGCACCAGTGAGAGATGATAGGTGAGGATGAAAAGGCAGGTCAGTTAGCCCATCGTGACGAATTCCACTAGAATTAACCACGACAGTTTCCAGGGGGAACCGCGTGGAGATCGACCTGATAGGGTGTATTGCTAGCTATGGGTCAATTAGACCGTATTACTAACAATCCCTTTCCCCTTTCCATTAGGGTAGACAGAAACAATGGAACGCCAAATGCTTCGATTCGAACAAGCCTCTTTCGCTTCTTCCACATTCATCAATCTTTCCATACACGCTCGCCGGTTACGGGCACATTTAATTTGGCCCTACTGTTTTCATATCCTGTCCCTTACATTCTGTATATAGTTTAATATTATATTGTTAAATAGACATATAATAATAAATAGATTTATTTTCTCTTCACAATTCATCACAGTGAAATACAACGAGACATGCTTATATTGAAGTAATCGAATTATAAATATAATTGTGAGAGACTGGTGCCTGAGATAGGTATAAGAATACCTGTATTACAGCTCACCAGGGCCTCACTCCGCAGGGTTACTTACTAAGTACTTGTAATATAGTAAGTGAATTCAATGTAATAAATATATATGTAATAAATATATATATATATATATATATATATATGCCAGAAATACGAACGAAGTCACGATAAAAAGTTGTCTGAATAGATATAAAACACAATATTTCGTTCCATTATTTGGATAAAACTAGTTCTGATGAGGCAATACAGATAGATATGATAAGCTAGGTCACAGATAACAATACCTGTATCAACTATAAAAATCTAGTAAAATAGATATTAAGTACACACTTGGACATGTGAAGTACCTGTCTCCTTGTCTCACGAGGAACAGATTTGTGTTTCTTACCAGTATATTTTACCAGTGGGAGACTTTGTACAAAAGTCGTTTGCTTGGACACCTCTGTTCCATTCGTGTTTCTACCGTGAAGCAGTTGTGTTTGCATGGCTGTGTTTCAGTTTGAAGGGTGGGATATGGCAGTGAATTTACAGGGTACAGAGGAATAACACCTGAGTCCTCAAAAATAGCAACGCATGGGGGGTATCATGAGCGAAACAATGTACTCTGTTACGTCCATGGTACTGCTCATGTCTTTAGGCGACGCGACTGTTACCACTTTCCATCAGGTGAGCCGTCAGCTTGTTTGCCATTTTAAGTTATATAAAAAAATGACAATTTTATACATAATAATTCTGTGATAGCAGCTGAAATGGTCATGATACCGGAGAATATATATATATATATATATATATATATATATATATATATATATATATATATATATATATATATATATATATATACAAAGAAATAAAATAAAAAAAAATAACATCAATAATCAACAAAAACAAATATTCTAGATATTTTTTAAATTAATACATTCATACATATGTTCGAAAAATAGAAAAAAAAAAAACAGAATATTTTATCTCAATTTTCTATCTTATTCTATCTACCTACCAGAGATAGGGAGATATGATTAGATACCGAGATATAGGCAGTACTGTGAGTATCAACAAATTTGCATACCATTACAAAGAGACGATCATTATATCTACTAAATTACATACATAGTACCTACGACATATCATTTAAATACAGCAATTCTAAATTGCTTTTTGATTAAATTAAACACTATTGTAGATTCATTACAAATTGTCGAAGGCAATATAAAGACGCTTGTAAACAATGTAAAAATTGTTAATTATTTAAAAAAAAAAGTAATAGTAATAAAATCTTCGCGAATCTGGAACTCGTTTCCTGATACTCTCAGGAGACTTCCGACTAAACGGTCTTTAAAAAAACAGTTTATACTCACTTTTATATTTTATCCGAGCAGTAAGTACTATATATTTAATTCTCATTTTCGTATATTATATAATATATCTTATATATGTGTATGTATATTTATTATTAATATATATTTATTCGTTTATATATGTAATTTCAGTATGTATGTATATCAATAATTAGTAGTACCGCATTCGTGTATTCTGACACTTGCCTATGGTTGACTGGGAGAGAATGCTTTTAGCATTAAGTCCGCCATGTACACATATATGTACTAATGAATAAATAAATAATTATTTATGATATTGAAAAAAACATTTTAATATATATATTTGATGATCATTTATAATATAATTTTAAATGTTTAAATATATATATAGTATATAAATATAACGTGTAAAATGAATTAATAAGGTAAATATGTATGTTGTTGGAGATGATGGATGAAAGAAGAATCACGAAAGAGATTTTTTGAGTAAGAATGAATGGGGATGTCGGTAGGGGCCGCCCTAGACGATGCCCTATGTCGACCAAATAGGCGACGTGCTGAAGAAGGGCCAAATTAAAAGTACCCGTAACCGGCGAGCGTGTATGAAAACATTGATGAATGTGCAGGAAGCGAAAGGGGTCTGTTTGAATCGAAGCATTTGGCGTTCCATTGTTTCTGCCTACCCTGATGAGAGGCATAGAATGGGCCCTTCCTCTCCCGTGGGTGTTGTAAGAGGCGACTAAGAGAACTTAATTGTCAAGGCGTATTCGTGTTACTACCGTGAAGCAAGTTGTGTTTGCATGGCTGTGTTTCGGTTTGAAGGATGAGATATGGCAGTGAATTTACAAGGTACGGAGGAATAACACCTGATTCCTCAGGATAGGCAACGCATGGGGGGTATCATGGGCAAAACGGTATACTCTGTTACGTCCGTGGTACTGCTCATATCTATAGGCGACGGTTACCACTTACCATCCAGTGGGCCGTCAGCTTGTTTGCCATTCTAAATTGCAAAAAAAAAGCCAATCACGATGGTTTCCAAGGGGAATAACGAGGAGGGCGACCTGACAAAGTATTTTGCTAGCAATGGGGCTGTTAGATCTTCATTACTAATAATCCCTTCTTCTCCCAATGGGCGAGGAATGGGCAGCAGCGTCCCTCTTAAAACATCACCAAAGCCTAACTGCGGTTACCAACCCGCCTGCCAAGCGTGGCAACTACTGGCAAAGCCCTCCTTTTAGAGGAGGCGTTCAGCAGTGGACAGTTAACGGCTGATATGACGGTGACGATGGTGATGATGATGATGATGATGACACCACAGGTTAAAGTTTCTCATTTTAATATTTCTCATTTTAATAAGGTTTATTCTGTTGTTGTTTCAGACTGAAATGGGGTGCACGAAAGTTCTTAATTAGAACAAGTTGAAGATCTGTTTAATAGAAAACTCTGTGTTGATTATTGTCATATTAATGAATCGAAAGTCTAGTCGAAATTAATTTATCTAACACCGAGATGGAGTCGAAAGAAAACGAAACGGTGAGTGAGGCCTAGTATATAGATAGATAGATAGATACTCTTTATTGTTTCCTCCAAAAGATTACAATAGTAAACTTATTATAAATATAAACAATTACAAGAAATGATCGCAGTGAGAATGTTTTCTCGGGCGACCTTATCGCTAAGAGCGATCTCTTCCAGGCAACCTTTGGATGGAGAGGAGTAATTATAAACAATTTGATGGGAGGCACGATGAAAAATTTTGTTAGTTCTAGATATGGGAGATGTGATACATAGTATATAGTAGTATTTCATATTCTGTGGTAGAGCTAAGTTTCAAATCTTTCCAATTTAAGGTTATTTCCAATTCGGTTGTATTTTTTTGTTTGTAACCTTTTAACTCCGTCGGTTGTAAACCGATTTGGACAACTCTTTTTTTTTTATCTGAAAAGCTATACTTACAAATTGGTCTCATTAGAAATTTTAACAAAATCGGTCCACTAGTTTAGTTTTTAAATCAAAATACATTGGTTTTGTCACAATTAAAGTTGCTTTTTTTGTGAAACATTTGTTTTTGTTATTCTTTATAGCACTTGTAAATTACATAGTTAATGCATTTATAAATATTGTAAGAAAGGGTACCGTGTGGTCCCAGCATAGAATAGGCCACCCCTTCCCTTCCCATGGGTGTCGTAAGAATCGTCCTAAGGAAGGGCGAGGGATGGGCATTAGCGTCCCTCTTAAAACATCTCTAAAGCCTAACTGCTGTTGCCAGCCTGCCTGTCAAGCGTGGCAACTACTGGCAAAACCCCCCAAGGGGGGCTTATGTTCAACAATGGACAGTTAAAGGCTGATATGATGATGATGAAGCAAGAGTGGATTTATCTCTGACAGAGATCTCTTCCAGTCAACCCAATACATCTTTAATCATTGAAGATGGTTGGGTTGACAAACAAACTCACTTTCACATATATATATTAGTAAGGACAAGGGTAGAGCAAGAATTGTTGATAAATATATCATAAAGTATTGAATATTTACAGTTTATTTTGCTTATAAACTGAACGGTACACGTGTGAGCACGGTAAGTGGGAACATTTACACGGTAACGATTTCATTGTCGGGTCGTGACAAACGTGCAGTGTGACAAATAAAAATAACGTCGCCAATTTTGTGCTGTCCTCCTGGTATGGTAGGTAGGTGTAGGAAATAATAAACAATAATATGTCACAATGCGACTCACACGACCATCCGCCCGGATGTCACCCAGAGAAGTGGCTGGAGCGGGAGGGCTTGCAGTCTAAACTTTAATGAGTACATCACATTTTAAATTTAGAATTACATATTTAATTCATTACACGAAAGATACGTGATTAGTGTGAATTTAGCAGATACTGCTTAGCGCCAGAAACACGAATGAGAGCTACTGAAGCAGACGATTTTGTGCAGTCTCCTCCTGTTATTTTGTTAACGCCTGTGCTGCCATCTATTGAACTCTCGAATTATATGGTTTTAGTTACAGAAACGAGATGACGAGAGGGACTTAGAAATGGTGGACGTCCAAAAGACAAATGGATCTGTTAACAGTCCGGTACGTATCAATAATTCTTTCTTTTAGCAGTTATTTTTTATGGTACTTAATCTTTACTTAATAATCATCATCGTCGTTACAGAGGAATAAACCTGAGTCCTCAAGAATGGCAACGCATGGGGGGTATCATGGGTTTGAAGGGTGGGATATAGCGTGAATTTACTGGGCACAGAGGAATAACACCTGAGTCCTCAGGAATGGCAACGCATGGGGGGTATCATGGGCGAAACAGTATACTCTGTTAAGTCCATGGTACTGCTTATATCTATAGGCGACGGTTACCACTTTCCATCAGGTGGGCCGTTGTATAAAAAAAAGCCATTATCCGTCTGAGATGATGATAATTAGTACTGCTAAACATTAGTTTCCCCCACAGACTGCCATAAAGAACAGTACTGAGCTACCTGCATACGTTGCAACTCACTACAATGCATTTGAGATCGTCACTCCATCTAGTGGGAGGTCGTTCTATACTGCGTAGTAATTTTCTTACTAATACTTATAATAAAATTGTAACTTAACGATGTCTGTACATGGGAGATATCTAAGAAAAATTGATATGAGTCAATATTGATAGTATTTTAAGCTTATACATACGTTTTAAATGACTTAAATGCTAGATGGCGCTGGAATCGAGACTTGTGGATTTTGTTGATTATTTTATAATCTATACTAATATTATAAAGAGGTAAAGTTGTGTTTGAATGTTGGGAGTAATCTCCGGTACTTAGTTCTGGTTTTGAAATCTCTTTTGCTGCTAGAATGGTATGTTATCCCTGAGTGCTTTTATTTTGGTAAATATATATTTTCAATAATTAATTATAATAAATGTAGTTGAAGTCTGAACGGATCAAATAGAGAAATAAAATCTATAGCAAAAATATTTATTACTTTTAGCTCTACAAGAAAATCCGCTACACCATATATCTAAGTTTAATATTTCAGCCAAAAGAAAAAATGGTTTTTATATTAAAAGTAAAATAAATTTTACGAGCTGTTCATTTTAAAATCTTACAGAATATTAGTGTAGTACATTTACAGTCGTCGAAATACCAGTTTTACTAAAATGTGTTGATTAATACATTAACTAATTAATACATTAAACATATTTAATACTAATTAATTAAATGTAATTGATACAGTTAAATGTTACACAATCTGCACCCGTGCGAGGCTGGGGCGCGTCGCTAGTTAAAGATAATTCAAATAAAAATTTCTGAAGAGCCATTTATTGTCTTGTAGGATATTGACTCCACTCAATAACAGATGGCGTAAAAAGTATAAGTGTGAAAAAATGCTATAAAATATTAACATGACATTTAATTTTCTTTATATTCTTTTTTTTAAATTTTTTTATGTCTATTAGTATAATTATATTTTGTAAGTAGCAAAAGTCGTTTGCTTGGGTACTTCTATCTCATTCGTATTTGTGAATACCGTGAAGCAGTTATGTTTGTATGTACAGACATTCGACCTCTACAGTTTTATTATATGTATAGATATAAATTTAATTCATAAACTTTACTTACAGATACCACATCTAGAAGATTTGGAACACGAGTCCTGTAGTTGGTTGCACACTGCATTCACTAAACCAAGGGAGGATATGGCTACATTCTTAAAAAAACACCAACAAGGGATAAATATATTGTTCATTATTTTGATCAACGTTTTAGTAATTGGTTTCTTTATAGCGTGCTGGATTTATTGGGCAAATAATGGGAGTAAGTATTCACTTTTTTATACCGTAACTAGATGATCCGCTGAACGTCGTATCACTAACACCATCTGTTAAAAATATTTCGAAGTAGCAATTCCAATACAAAATGGCCTATTTTTATTATTCGATTTTTTAGTTACTTTTTAATGTGTGAAATTGGAATAGTAGACCGTCCTGCGTTATCGGTACACGCTGGCGGGGCACCAGTGATAGATTAGGTGAGGATGAAGGCAGTAAGTCGACCTATCGTGAAGAATTCGACAAGAATGAAAGTTAAAGGCGATGGTCACTAAGTATTATAAAAACAGCCCAACCCAGGGTTAAATATATCCTGTCAGGTAGTTCTCAGCGTAACTCACCCTTGGAGACCATCTTGCTCAATTCCTGGTAAACTCATCACGATAGGCCTGCTTTCATCCTCACCTATTATCTCCCATTGGTGCTCCGCCACATTATTAGATAAAAGATATGACAACCAATATAAAAATGTCCGTGTGGTCCCGGCATAGAATAGTTCGTTCCTCTCCTGTGGATGTCGTAAGAGGCGACTAAAGAAACTTAATGGTAGAGGGACAAGCAACAGTTCATTTTTTATTATTTATATATAGATATTAATTAATATTAAATGTCAAAAGAAATTGTTTTTCAAATAAAATGAAAAGAAATTAAATGAAAGGAAACGAAATGAAACGAAAGGAAATGAAAGGGAATGAAATTAAATGATATTAAATGAAAGTATATGAGATTAAATACTGTGTCTCTTAATTTATTATAATTTTTCTTTTTACTTTTAGAGGCTGCGCCATTAGAGCTGTGTCACGGATTTGGCAGTTTAATAGCATTTCTGTCCATAGTATATTTCTTCATAATATATTTTAAAATAATAAAGAAATTCTTTGCGAAATGGTTCGAGAGGATTATATGGACAAGGGTGGAGTCATGCGCAGGATATTTATGGAAAATCGTGTAAGTACAAGTGTATGATGTATTTTTTTTAATGTTCACTTGGCACTTTCATAATACCTAAGACCTTCCATTTTAATCGTCAAGCTGCGACCGCTATTTAGTCCACGCACGTTTTGCGACACGTGTTGCTGGCGTCGTTCATCTTTGTGGCATCTTCATCGTTCATCTTTGAGGCAAATTAATAAATCGCTGCTCGAAATTTGACTAAAGATGCCTCTTCTAGAGGTAGAACACGTGTTGCAAAACGTGCATGGAGAGAATTGTGATCGGTGATTGATGGTTAATAAGGAATGTTGTGAAACTTCAGGTAATAATAATAGTAGCCAATCTTTGAGTGTTGGCAGTCGCACACATACTAATGGTAAAGGAATTCACCAGAGGGAGACTTCGTACAAAAGTCGTTTGCTTGGGCACCTATATCCCATTCATGTTTCTACCGTGAAGCAGTTGTGTTTGCATGGCGGTTTGAAGTGTGGGATATGGCAGTGAATTTATAGGATATAGAGGAATAACACCTAAGTCCTCAGGAATGGCAACGCGTGGGGGGTATCACGGGCGAAACAGTGTACTCTGTTATGTCCTTGCTACTGCTCACGTCAATAGGCGACGATTACCATTTTCCATCAGGTGGGCCGTCAGCTTGTTTGTTATTTTAAGTTGCATAAAAAAAAATTAAACAAAAATAATTCCAATAAAAAACCAGCGATAAGGATTCCCGCAAAGTAACACCTATTTTAGTAAAATAATTAATAAACTTATCCAATTTCGTCGGCAGGCTATTCAAATATTGTATTATTCTGGCAATATTGGCTGCCATAGCACTTTTCCTGTACTTCGACACAAAGGACACTCCTGAGAGGCTCATCTCACTTCTGGGTCTCTTTCTACTGCTGTTTCTGGGTAAATAATCGTGGTTAAATTAATTAAATTCATAATACATATATTTTTTATATATTTCCTTGTAAATTACATAGTTAATACATTTATAAATGTTGTGAGCAAGGGTGGACTTATCTCTGACAGAGATCTCTTCCAGTTAACCCAATATAGTTGGGAAGCATGTCGTTAGCGGGCAGCAACTATTAATATTTAGAATACATAAACAAATATACAGTTTAATGAAATAATAAAATATTACATAAATATATATACTATAATTAAAATAATACCTACCTTCTTATATATTAAATGTTAAAATAAATTAATATACCATCTACATTAGAAATTCAGTTTAATCATTTTAAGATTTGACAGTTCAATTAGAAAAATAAAAAAATTACGTCTCAAGGGAAAGAAAACGTAATTTTAACCTTTTTTTGAAAGAGGTAATGAAAGAACTCTCTTGTATGTGGGAAGGAAGGAAGTTTATTTCATAATTATTTAAAATTTAACATTTATTCTTTGTATTTTTCAAAGAATAAATGTTATTTTCATTTATTCTTTGAAAAATACATTTCATTCATTTACAACTGTTTCTTTCCCTTGTTATCTATGCTTTTGTTTGTAAAACAAACATGCTACTTATGCAGTATGCTTACATTAGTAATTTATTGCATGGATTTAACGATGTTATCTAAAAGTATTTAGATAGAATATGCGTAATTGTTATTATATTTAATGTATGTAACATAAAATTTGTAAAACACAAAAAGGTAGATAGATAGATAGGTACACTTTATTGTTCCCTCCAAAAGATTACAATAATAAACTTGTTATAAATACAAACAATTACAAGAAATAATCACAATGAGAAAACAATGGGCGGCCTTATCGCTAGAAGCGATCTCTTTCAGTCAACCTTTGGATGGAGAGGAGTATTTATTAATTTTTTTATCAACCGTTTCAAGGCAACCTTTCGGATATTTTGAGGGTTCCGTACCTCTAAAGGAAAAAATGGAACCCTTATAGAATCGCTTTGTTATCCCTACGTTCATCTGTCAAGACCCTTTTTCTTAGGAATGCATGATGGGCCAACTGACCTGTTTTCACCCTCACCTATCACCCTTCACTGGTGACCCATTAGCGTATACTGATAGCGCAGGAGGGATTACCATTCCATTATCTCCCAGTTAACGAAAAGCCTCATAATATGTTTTGCGTTCTTCTCCAGGGTTCGTGTTCTCCGCGTATCCAGGGCGTGTGAACTGGCGTACGGTTTCCGTGGGTCTCACGCTGCAGTTCGTCTTTGGGCTTATATTCATCAGGTGGGACCATGGCAGGATCGCCCTACAGTGTTTCTCCGATAAGGTACGGCAGCGTATCAAAATATTTCATGTTTGTAATAGTAGAAATAGTAGTAATAAGTATTTTTTTTAATGGATGATGATGGAATGGTAACCCCACCCGCGCTATCGGTATATACCGGCGGGGCACCAGTGAAGGATGATAGCTGAGGATGAAGTAGGTCAGTTAGCCCATCGTGACGATATCAACAAGAATTGTTCACGATGGTTTCCAGAGGGAACCACGTGGAGGTCGACCTAATAAGGCATATTGCTAGCAATGGGGCCGTCAAAATCCATTGCTAACGAACCCTTTCCACCCAGTAATAAGTATTTATAATCGATTTTCTATAATCCATTAGGCACGAGTAATATACAAGTAGGTATCATTCTAAGCCGCGTGGTCCCGGCGTAGAATGGGCCATTCCTTTCGTTCTTATGGGTGTCGTAAGAGGCGACTAAGGGAGAGGTAGGGCTGAGCAGTGTCCTTATAATATCATCGAAGTCTAACTGCGGTTGCCAACCCGCTTGCTAATCGTGGCAACTACTGGTAAACCCCTCCTTATTGGGGACGATTATGTTTGATGATAACAAATTAAAAATTATATATTATTTAATTTTAATTATGTAATTATAATACATACAATTGTACACAGCGACATCTATCCCCGAACTAAGGAGAGTTCTGATACCATGGATATATGTAAGAAATAAAATAACACATAACACGGAAAGAGGTACGGTATCATAGTCTGAGGGGAAATGGATTGTTGGTAATGGGGTCTAATGCTAGCAATAACCTTTATCAGGTCGACCTCCACGCGGTTCCCCCTGGAAACTATCGTGGTTACTTCTAGTGGAATTCGTCACTATGGGCTAACAGATCTGTTTCATCCTCACCTATCATCTCTCACTGGTGCCCCGCCGGTGTACACCGATAGCGCGGACGGGGTTACCATTCCATTATCACCTATTAAAAAACATGGTGTCATGGCCTGTGTTACAGAAGTGCCTCCTTTTTTGAGGTCGATGGGAAATCCTACTTGTTTAGTAGTTACAAACAGTGTTCCCGAGTATGACGGGTAAACTCTTTATATTGATGGCAGGTGGCGACGTTCCTGTTGTACGGTGTAGATGGAGCAGCATTCGTGTTTGGAGACCACCTTGTTAGGGTCGAGAATGCCTTCGCTTTTAGTGTAAGTATAAATTCAAATTTAAACCATTTTTATTTAAATATACCTACTTGTTTACAAGCACTTTTAAATCGTCATTTATTTTAATCTACTGCAGGCTTCGGAAGGTCGTTATCTGTTGAGAAGAGCCCGCGAGAAACTCAACAGTTACTCTTTTAAATCTCTGTTAACATTATGTGTATTTGTTTAAATGTACTATGTCTAAAATTACACGGTCGTTAGAAGCCCACGCATGATCCACTAACACCATGCACGTTTGTTATTCAAATAATCGTTTAGTGTGTAATAGGCTTTGTTCAATAAGTGTTTTTTAATAACAGCTTTAAACTTATTAAAAGGTAGATCCGAAATATCCTTCGGTATCTTGTTGTAACATTTAATGCCCATTCCCATAAAGACCTGTTAACTTTTTGTAAACGATATTTTGGAACAAGTTTATATTTGTATCTAGTGTTAAGATTATTCAGATCGCTGTTTTTAAAAAAACAGTTGAACATTCCTGCGTATATACAAAATGTTTGCGTATATGTATTGTGAAGCTACGGTGTGAGTATTTACTTCAAAAGATGTAGCATTTAAAAGATATAGACATAGTAGTCTACCAGAGGGAGACTTTGTACAAATGTCGTTTACTTAGGTAAATGTGTCTCATTAGTGTTTCTACCGTGAAGCATATATATATATATATATATATATATATATATATATATATATATATATATATATATATATATATATATATATATATATATATATATAATATAACAAACAAGCTGACGGCCCACCTGATGAAAGTGGTAACCGTCGCCTATAGACATGAGCAGTACCATGGACATAACAGAGTATACTGTTTCGCCCATGATACCTCCTCTGTAAGTGAGTGTATTATTCCTCTGTAAGTGTTAGTGTAAGTAAATGATGCGATAAAAAGTAAATAAAGAAGTATAGGTGATTCATAAGAGTTATTATAAAAAGGGAAAATACCGTGATAGGCTACCGCGGAATATGTGTTCTTATCGATAATCTATCATTGTTATCATTCTTCAAAACAAAGGATTCTTTTGCGTTTAATTTCGATGTGGGGCATCCTGAAAGTAAATACATACATATTTATGCATTTTTTTAATAATTTATCTCGATTTTTTGTATATCTATGTTGTACTCGTAATTTGTGTGCTGTAAGTAAGTAATGCAAATAAATTATCTATCTTTCTATCTATATATATATATATAAAATAAAACTATAGAGGTCGAATATCTGTACATAGAAAAAAAAAGCGCTAAAAACCGAGTCAAGTGAAATAGAACATATCCAGATTTTATCAAAATTTTGTTTCTCTCTCTGTTTGTACGGGCTAATCTCTGAAACTGTTGGACGGATTTAAATGAAATTTTGCACGGTAGTGCCTTACATCCTCGGTCACATTTTAGACACTTTTAATCACGGAAAATTGAAAGGTTCCCGTGGGATAGTTAAAAAACTATAGTAACTTATACAGTTTAGTACACAACCTACTTAAGTAAAGTCATTTCGACCTAAGGCGAAGAGCGAGAACGACACGTCATTTGTTAATTTTGGTCCAGTATTCCCAGACATAATAAATGACAGAAACACGAATAGGTCAGAGGTACCCAAGCAGTCGATTTTCAGTGGATGTAACCCCCACATTTCGGTCACCCCTTAAGCTGAATACCGAGATATTTCTTCTTCTTCTAGGTTTCAGCTTCCACGAGGTTCTCGTCATGCGGTATGATGATATCCACGCAAAGTTATGATTGTAGTCACGTGACGTGTCTATTTCCAGGTTTTGCCAGTGATATTCTTCTTCAGTATGCTGGTGGAAGTTCTCTTCTACTGGGGAGCTCTCCAGTGGTTCTGTGTCAAGCTGGGACAGGTCCTGAAGTCTGCCACCTCCATTACTGTATGTGAGAGTGTAATCGCAGTTGGAAACGTATTTTTGGGCAATGTGAGTACCATCTATGAATATGATGCTAGTCAAACAAACAAAGCTGTGTCGTAAGTGGCGATAAAGGGAACTTAATAATCGAGGGATGGGCAGCAGCCTCTTAAAACATTACCAAAGGCTAACTGCAGTTGTCAATCCGCTTGTCAATCGTGGCAACTACTGACAAAACCCCCTTATAGGGGAGGCCTATCAACAGTGGACAGTAAACAGTTGATGTAATACTAATAATAGGGGGGAAAGGGATTGTTAGTAATGGAGACTGAGAGTCCTATTGCTAGCAATATACCCAACCAGGTCGACCTCCTCGCAGTTTCCCCTGGAAACTATCATGGTTAATTCGTGATGAATTCATCACGATGGACTAACTGGCCTGTTTTCATTCTCATCTATCACCCTTCACTGGTACTCCGCCAGCGTATCCCGTTAGCGCAGGCGGGGCTACCATACCATTTTCACCCATCAAAAACAAAATCTAAAAATAATGTATATAATAAAGCTAAAAACCTAATTTCCACATGGGTTTTTTGTTATACCACGAAGATGGAAAACAAGCATACAGCCTGTTTGATGGTGAACGGTCATTGTAGCCTATAGACTATATGATGGTTTGAATTAGGCCTGTATTAAGCCAAGGGATTTTTAAATGGATAATAATGGAATGGTATCCCCGCCTGTGCTATCGGTATACGCTGACGAGGCACCAGTGGGGGATGATAGGTGAGGATGAAAGCAGATCAGTTGGGCCATCGTGACGAATACACAAAGATTCTGGTACACAATTCTGCTCCCCCCCCCCCCCCCCCCCCTTTAAATACTCCTTTAAGCAGTAGCCACGTTTCTTATCTTTTTGAATTCCAAAATAATCGTCGAATTTTATATATATATATATATATATATATATATATATATAGCTTGCAGTGGTTCTATGATTTAGTTGTTGAAATTTATGCTTACTTTTTTACGACATTTTCATTCAGAATGGCAAACGAGCTGATGACTCACCTGATGGACAGTGGTAATCCTCTACCCTAATGACATAAACAGCGTCATGGACATATCAAAATACACTGTCCCCATCAAACCTTAAACACTCTTTAGAGCCATGTAACCATAGCTGCTTGGTGGAAGTTTTTTTAATAAGAATATATTATTTAACCCATAGACAGAATCAGCGCTGCTAATCAAGCCATATCTACCTCTGCTCACCCCGTCCGAGATGCACGTCGTGATGGCGTCTGGATTCGCCACAGTATCTGGTAATTGAATAGTGAAGTTTTTTGCACAATATTCCTAAAAGAAAGAGAGGGGGAAAAGGCTTAAAAAAAGAGAAGGGATTTTTTTTAAATGGATGATAATGAAATGGTAACCCCACCCGCGCTATCGGTATATACCGGCGGGGCACCAGTGAAGGATGATAGGTCAGGATGAAGTAGGTCAGTTAGCCCATCGTGACGAATTAAACAAGAATTATTCACGATGGTTTCCAGGGGGAACCACGTGGAGGTCGAACTAATAAGGTATATTGCTAGCAATGGGGCTGTCAAACTCCATTGCTAACAATCCTTTTCCCCCTAAGAGAAGGGATTACGTTACACCAGGTCGATCTACTTGCAATCTCCCCTGAAAATATGATTAATTCCTGTGATGTTGATTACGATGGGCCAACTGGCCTAGCTTCATCCTCAATATTTCTTCACTTACTGGGTCGTGTAGGGATTGTTATTCCCATTACTAGCAATATATCCTAGCAGGTCGATCTCCACCAGATCTCCCATGGAAAGTTTTATCCTCACCTATTATCCACCATTCCTTAACGCAGTATATGACGACCCACCACTAGATGAAGTTACGACCTGAAATGCATTGCAGGGAGTCAATGGATGTAGGTAGCTCAGGACCGTTCTTTACGGCAGTCTATGGGGGATGTCCAACGGTATATATTATGTCCAACGGTGGACGGATAATGGCTGAAATGATGATGGCTATCCCTCGCTGGTGCCCCACCAGCGTATACCGATAGCGCAGACGGGGTTACCATTCCATTATCCTCCACTAAGACTGGTGGCCCGTTATCGTATATACATTGTACATAAAATGATGCTTTATTCCAGATTCATCCATAAAACAATCTAGTGGAAATAGCAAATATCGTTTTCTGAGATACATTGTAGGTTTTCCAGTATCTTCAGTATCTTGAAGTCAAAGAAAAGCAAACTGGGGAAGGCTTCCCTCATGCCTCCATGCCCTTACTGTTAAATGGTGGAACATTTTTTTATTATGATGTATGGTGTTATACCAAAGTCAGCCATTTTTATCCGTGAGCAATTCGTCCTGTATGCTTGGTAATATACCTGGTACTCAAAATTTCTCCTATAAGCCATGGTGTGCTTGCATGCCCGCTGTGTGCAAGAATCTTTATGAAAAAGATTGGCTATGTAAACCATATCCAAGCCACACCAATGCCAACAACAGCCAAACAATTAATCAATAATAACAGAGTCAAGCGGTCGCCTTGACCGAAAATGATCAGGTCCATTGTCATCGTAAGCCATTACTCTGATACCATCTTTGACCATTTTACCAGTCTATCTAGCCAAATATACATTCCATTTCTACTTTAATTTTCAACAAGTCCCTAGTGTGTAAATTAAAGATTCGTTAACCACAGGTACGATCCTGGCTGCGTACATCAACTTCGGTGCAGAACCAGCCCATTTAGTCACAGCCAGTGTCATGTCGGCCCCCGCTGCCATCTGCTTCTGCAAACTAATGATGCCGGAAACCAAGAGGTCGCTTACTGCTGTCGAAAATATACAGCCAGTCACTAGGTATGCTTTCTGATATTTTTGTGATTGACAGATACAGTTTGAAATTTGTGTTGAGGAGTGACAGTGTGCTGGAAGGTAAAATGTGTGCTGAAATGTTAATCCTGGCTTTACTACCAGTACATGCTGGATATCAGTAAATGATAGGTGAGAATGAAGTCAGATTAGCTGGACTGTTCTGATAAATTCACTAGAAATCAAACATAGTTACTAGTGGAACCGAGTGGTCCCGGCATAAAATAAGCCATCCCTTCCCTTCCCATGAGTGTCGTAAGAGGCGACTATGGAGGGGCGAGGGATGGGCAGCAGCATCCCTCTTAAAATATCTTCAAAACCTAACCGCGGTTACTAATCCATCTGCCAAGCGTTGTCTCTATTGGCAAAATTTCTTAAAGGAGAGGCTTATGTTCAACAGTGGACAGTTAAAGGCCGATATGATGACTAGGGGCACCATGTAAAAGTCGACCTGATAAAATGCTAGAGTCTGTTAGAAACTATATTCTATAACTTGATAAAAATATAAAGAACTTTTGTTGAAAGAGCGTCATTTAAACAACGTTCTCTAATTGAAATAAAATCGAATAATTTAATCGATATTAATCGATTTTTATTTGTACTACTATTGAACATCATCAGACTGTCTCAAGGTTTTTTTTTTTTAATGGATGATAATGATATGGTAACTCCACCTGCGCTATCGATATACACTGGTGGGCTACCAGTGAAGGATGATGAAGTAGGTCAGTTAGTCCATCGTGACGAATTCAACAAGAATTGTTCACGATAGTTTCCAGGGGGAACCACGTGGAGATGGACCTAATAGGGCATATTTCTAGCAATGGGGCTGTCAAACTCCATTGCTAACAATCCCTTTCCCCCCGCTGTCTCAGGGTCGAGTCATTCACAATAACCTGCTGGCCAATTTGTAACTAAGTACAAGTGTTTTTGGCAGTTTGTGTTCCTGCAAAGGATAGGCCACCCCTTTTTTTGCCAACCCGTCTGCGAAGCATGATAACTATTGGCAAAACTCCCCTTATGGAGAAGGCTTTAGTTCAGCAGTGGACAGTTAACGGCTGAAATGATGACAAAAGTTTTATCGTTTATAACGACGAAATATTTTTACCTTTTCAGTCAAGATGAATCGGCTCTCTCAGCTGCAACTCGTGGAGCGACTAATGGCATAGCTTTGGTTCTGAACATCATAGCTAATCTGGTGGCCTTCATTGCTTTCATTGCGTTTGTCAATGGTATATTAGGGTATTGCGGTAACTTACTAGGCCACGAGGATCTTAATCTGGAGTGGATCTTTGGGAAGGTCTTCATTCCATTGTGTTGGGTAATGGGTAAGTATACTTTTGACAATTTGTCTTTAGAAACAGAAACGATATGGTTTTCTTTTATATACCATGAGGGTGGTAAACAAGCATACAGTCCATTTAATGATAAGCAATCAGTATACTATTTAGTGAAAAAGCAAATACCATGATATCAAACCTTATTTTTGACAACATTCATAATGGAACTACGTACCCACCAGTAGGGTACATAGTTTTCTTAAGCGAGGTCCTGGATTCGATTACTTGTCTGGTCAATTTAGGAAACAGACTTTTCTGAACTCGCTCGGATCTGGGTGTTTTGTTTCTTCCTAATATAGGGTATTCTATTTTGAGGACGAAGCGGATTTGTGTGATTATATAGCACTTATATGTAATATATTTTATAGGCATTTTAGATAAATATGTGAAACAATTTAGGTGTCCCATGGGAGGAGTGTCAACATGTGGCCACTCTGATAGGACTGAAGACGGTTATCAACGAATTCGTGGCGTATCAGAAAATGGGCGAGATGAAAGCTGCTGGATTGCTTTCGGTGAGTTTAATTAAGTCGTCTGCTTGAGTACCTCTGTCCCATTCGTGTTTCTACTTCTAAGCACCTGGCTGTGTTTCGGTTTGAAGAATGGGGTATGGCTGTGAAGTTACAAGGCACGCAGACATAACATTTATTGGCGTATTTAATACTATATTCCAAAGAGGGCTTCGCGTCTTAAAAAAAAGTATATTGTATACTCTCAGACATGTCTTTTAACTATTAAAAACTCTATTTGTATCTTGGGGTGGGTAGTAGACAATTCAGGTCTGTGTACGGGCCACACGGCTCACCACCTCAGGAATGGCAACGCATGTGGAGTACCATGCGCCTTTCAGTATATTTTATGTTGTCGACGGTGCTGTTCATGTCTATAGGCAACGGTTATCACTTTCCATCAGATGGACAGTCAGCTATTAGCCATTTGGATTACTATAAAATAAAAAAAGAATATGAATGTAGGTCTTGGCGTAGAATACGCCACCCCTTCCTTTCCCATAGGTTTCGTAAGAGGTGATTAATGGAATGTAACGATAGAGGGATGGGTAGCAGCGCCCCTCTTAAAACATCAATGAAAGCCTATCTGCAGTTGCGAACTCGCCTGCCAAGCGTGGCAACTACTGGCAGAATTTCCTTTCTGGGGAAGGCTTATATTCAGCAGCGGACAGTTAACGGCAGAAATGATATGATAAATTACTATTTGCTCTTTTATTGCAGTTGTTTTATTTAATTGTTTTATATAGTAATATTTTATGTATTTATTTATGTATTTATTTATGTATTTATATATTTATTTATGTGTATGTTTATATTATATGAATTTATCAAGTATTGCTTTATTTTTTCTCTATTCAAAAATGCACCGCCTACGTATTTTTCTGTTCGCCCAACGGTTGACTGGTAGAGAACACCGTCCGGTGTTAAGTCCGCCATATGTACATAGAATTTTACTGTGCATTAAAGTTTAAATAAATAAATAAATATATTGACTATTTTTTTAGAAGTACTGTCGTAGAAAGTGGTAGTGGATTTCTTTTGTAATTACAGGCCCGCTCTGAGCTGATCGCCACGTATTCGCTGTGCGGCTTCACGAATCCATCGTCGGCCGCCATTATGATCGGCGCCATATCTTCAATGGCCCCTAATCAGAGGGAAACATTATCTAGTGTGAGTATTTACGGAAATACTTAATTTTAATTAAATACTTTTTATAACCAAGACTTTCTTTTCCTGTGGGGTGTCGTAAGAGGCGACTAAAGGAGGGCGAGGGATGGGCAGCAGCGCCCCTCTTAAAGCATTTACAAAGCCTAATTGCGGTTGCCAATTCACCTGCAAAGCGTGGCAACTACTGGAAAACCCGGTCAAAAGGGAGGCTTATGTTTAGGCAGTGGACAGTTAACGACCCGCTCCGGTTTCGCACGGGTGCAATATTTGTTTGTGTACCTTTTAATATTTGTTTGTGTTCAACCACTTCACTTCACCAAAGGGAGACTTTGTACAAAAGTCGATTGCTTGTGTACCTCTGTCCCATTCGTGTTTCAACCGTGAAGCAGTTGTGTTTGCATCACTAATTAGCCCCTGATAGTTATTTTGTAAATATATTTCATGTACAGAATTGACCTCTCTACAGATTTATTATAAGTATAGATTAAATATTTGTTACAGTTGGCAGTGCGCGCGTTCTTTGCTGGATGTGGCATTTGTTTTATGACGGCTTGCATAGCTGGTGAGTTTTTTATTGCCACTTAGAATAAGAAACAATTTTGTATTATTTTAATTCAATTTTTTTAACGAACTTCACTTTATTGACTATCCTTACTAAAATTATAAACCAAAGTGATTGTTAAAATATTTCTGAATTTGTTTTTTTTTAATGGATGATAATGGAATGGTAATCCTGCCCGCGCTAATGGTACGGTGCCCTACCAGTGAAGGGTGATAGGTGAGGATGAAAAGATAGGACAGTTAGCCCATCGTGATGAATACACCTGGGATTTAACACGATAGTTTCTAGAGGGAACTACGTGGTGGCCGACCTGACAAGGTATATTGCTAGCAATGGGCCTGATAGTCCGCATTGCTAATAATCCTTTTCTCCCCATTTGTATGTTTGTTACTTAATTTTGCTTAAATTGTTGAATGGATTTTACTGACATTTGGTAACTTCATATATTGATTCATGCGGGTAATTTTTTTTAAGGCGCCGCCTACCTATTTATGCTTTAACTCCTTCTACCCAAAGGTTATCTGGAAAAGATTGCTTAGCAATAAGACCGCCTTTTATACTACACTATACGTAATTGTTCCACAAATCCTGTCATGTTGGTGCAATAAAGCGTTAAATAAATAAATAAATAAAATGACGGGAGATAGCTAGTATTAATAAATAAATAAACTCACTACAGTTTCCTTGCTTAATAACATTTTCACTTATAATTTATAATAATTGCTGTGTTTCCGGCATAGAAAGGGCTACCCCTTCCTTTCCCGTGGGCGTCGTAAGAGGCGACTAAGGGAACTTAATGACCGAGGAATGGGCAGTAACGTCCCTTTTGAAACATCAAAGTCTAACTGCAGTTGCTAACCCGGTTGCCAAGTGTGACAACTACTAGCAAAACTCCCCAAAAGGGAGTATACAATATAGTATATAGGCCTATAATATAATGTTATTTCTTTTACAGCTATCCTGATGCCAGAAGGATCTTTTTAAACAGTGGTATTACTTAAACTTTAATTAGTATTTAGTACATAAAAAAATAGTAAAATCAAATATGTAGGTACTGCTTACCTGTATATGTAATCACGTCACGTTTAGGAGGTTGGTCACTTAACAAAATTAAACATTGAAATACTAGATGACGCTAGAATCGAGACTTGTATATTTTGTTGATTATGGTATTTGAAATTAAAGATTGTCGTAATTGGAGACAAAATTTCTAAATTGGCGAATTTTACCGGTATAGTAATAAGTTATCATAATTTTTGCCTTTATTTTCTTGTATTGTATAACTTTAAAAAAAAATATACACACTAGCAAGAAATATTCCGATTGTGTGGGTTATAATTCATTCAGGAAAAGATTGTGTATTATCTGTCACTTCACATTTATACATAATAATAAAAATCACTCGTCAATTAAGAAATTTTACTTCGAATTATCTTTCATTACAATATAATCAACAAAACCTACAAGTTTTGATACCGCGCCATCTAGTTCTTTTTAATTTTGTGTGACCAATCATCTTAAATCCTGACCTGAATTCAAAATTAGTATTTAAATAAGTATGACTGCTGTTTTAGTATACTTGAGACCTATAAAATCAAAGACAGCTAAGCTCCAAGTCTGTCAAATGTTCTAATATATTGTCAAAGATATGGAACGATATTCTATATATTAAACCAGGATGAAAAATATTAAAATATTAGTAATAATATGAATTTTAATTAATAGAACTCCCTTTATATTTGAGTACAGAGTAAAAATTTAATTAATTTTATGGTATTTAGCTGCCTTTGATTTTGTAGGCCTCATTTAGAGAGTATACTTTGAACATTGTAGTGCTGGAGAAGGATGGAGAAAATTAATTGGAAAGATCGAATTAGTAATGAAGAGGTACTGCTTAGAGTTAAGGAAAAGAGACAAATTATAAGACCTATTGAGGTCAGAAGGGAGAAAATGTTAGAACACTTGATACAACACGACAGACTTATGAACATTATAACAGAAGGTAAAATAGAAACACCAGGTAGATCAAGGAAGGAGTTGGTGTCGTGTCGTATCAAGAGGTGAAGAGGCTCGTTGAGAATCGTAGTGAGTGGCAAGAGCTCCACCGACAAGAGTGCAGCTCTTAAATAGAAAATTAAAATGAATTGTAAACAATTAATGTATTAAGATAGAATAATAGAATGATAAATATACATTGGTGTATATTGTGTATATATATATATATATATATATATATATATATATATATATATATATATATATATATATATATATATATACATACATACATATAATATACATATATGTACAGCGAAGCACCAGTGGTATATGAAGGCAGGCCAGTTGGCCTGTTTCATAGGTCATATTGCTATATATGGTTGCTAAACCCTATTAGTAGTAAAGGAGTTATTTTAAAGGATTAGAAAACAAAGTGTCAATTTTACCTCAATACGTAAAATAGTATAAACAATACAGTTTCTTTGATCCATTTCTTTTTGAATAGTAAAAAATCGAAGAGCACATCAAAACACGACTAACCTTTTTTAACTGTCAAAAACAAACTGACAATCCAAAATGGCTGATATTGCCAACATATATAACAGACATGTGTACCAACATAACAGAAAAAAAAATGCGAAAATCGAACATACGTATCTCACGAAATTTGAAAATAACGGTTTTTTCAGACCTCGTACATAAAATACTTATGAATGTAAAATTGCAAACGTGGCAACTACTGGAAAAATTCCCCTGATGGTTAACGGCCATAAGGTATGATCTCGTCTCCTATGGCAGTCTCCATAGACTGCCATAAAGAACGGGATAAGGAGGTTACTCCTCCTTATCCCGTATAGACTCCTTACATAGACTCCCCCATGGGAGGCCTGTGTTCAGCAGTGAACAGGTAATGACTGAAATGATGGTGATGATGACGTAATTGATTTTGTATATAAAAACTCGTGTAAATATTTTATATAATGTATTTATAAAATGTATTTATATAATATTTTAGCTTTAAGTGTTGTAAAAAATGTTTTAATGTATTTACTCGTAAAATATGTAAAATATATTTTTTAAGTGCCAAATTTTGTATTAAATTATTTTATTATATAAATAATTATCTGTTTAAAAGAATTTTATTTAAAAAACCAACCGTTCTAGCGCGGACAGCCCTTAAAAAAGGTTGTGGTCATAGCCACCCAACAGCCGACCAAGCGTGTGTCGAAGTATGAACTCTCTCATGAGTGATTTTTTATACCACTCATGAGAGAGTTCATACTTCGACTTAACTATTAAAAAAAAATACAAACAATTCGAGATTGATCTGAACGAGACTGGACTGTAATGTGAATACACACATTGTTTCTTACGCAAGAATAAATATTTTATTAAACCGATACCGGTACTATAATGTAGACTCGGCCTTAAAACCTCTTTCTTTTGGAAGACGTTTAAAAAAGAATGCACGCTTTAGTCTATGATTCGCACGCAAAAGAAAAAACAAGTTCCACATTCAAAACGTTAAAATGACAGCACGCAAATGTTCGCGCTAAGTCAAGTAACATCAAATCAAAACGTCTCTAAATCGGCATGGTACCATTTCAAAATTCTGAAGTATTCGCCAGTTTCTTCTTCTATTTATTATCTAAATTTATCAGTGTATTGTTTGAGTTCTGTAATCCGATGTATAACAGACGGGCCACGACGCTAACGAGTATTCCTGAAAGGAATGAAAATGCCGATGAGGTTAAGAAATGGGTGCCTAAAAAGAAACACGAAGTGTTAAAAGCGAAATATAAATGTTTGAAGAAACTATTTCAAATTTACGATGCCAGTGTAATAGGTAACTTTATTGTTGGTATAAATTGACCATGACGGTTTCCAGAGAGTGCGCGCATGGAGATCAACCTGACAGAATATTGTTTTGCATTGGGGTCGTCAGTCACCATTATTACGGTTACCATTTTCCATCAGGTGGGCCGTTAGCTTGTGTGCCATTCTAAGTTGCATAAAAAATTAACAATCCGCTCCCCGCCTAGTGAAAGGTGTATTTTAAGGCAATATGAAATAGTAACCCCGTCTGCGCTAACAGTATATTCAGGCGCTGCACCAGTGAGGGATGATAGGTGAGGATAAAGCAGGTTCCTCCCCAGCTAATTGTGGCGAATTCAACAATAAATTATTAATCACCACGGTATCCAGGGAGAGCCGCGTAAAGGTCGACCTAATAGCGTATATTGTTAGAAATGGGGCAGTTAGATCCAATCCCTATTCTCCTCATCAGAGCCATATGTCGACTGGTGCCTGCTTTTTTTATGGGACACAAAGTCATCTGAAATCATTTATTTATTTTTTAATTCTTATATGAGCAAAATTAAATTGGTGACAGGTATACTACCGGAAACATGCCAACAAGATGCGGAATTAATAGGCGGAACAGAAATAGACGTAAAGGAATGCAAACGGAAAAAGCGCTCGAAAAGAACGAAGACCGACGCGTGCGCAGGCACCGCAGAAGTATCTAACGGCGATGTCACTGCACAGTCTGAATCTGAGAGAGGTGACTAGAAATATAGAATTAAAATACGAGAAATTACTACATTAGTATACACATTACACTATTAGTATTCATATCAGCTGTTGACTGTCTAGTACTGAACATAGGCCCCCCCATAAGAATGCTTTGCCAATAGTTGCCACACTTGGCAGACGAATTGGCAACCGCAGTTGGACTCTGGTGATGTTTTCAGAGGGATGCTGCTGCCCATTCCTTGACCATTAATTTCCCTTCATCGTCTATTACGACACACACGGGAGAGAAAGGGGTGGTCCATTGTTATAAATTATTTTTTCAGTCCCAAATTCAGAATCGACAAAGAATAGCGTATCATGCATACATGAAACATTCAGGCGGTTTAAAGAAACTTCCTAGCAACAGATTGCATTTAAGTAAGCAATGTCGGAAAACAGTTGGTCGTTTAAACAGTGTATTCGGAGTTGGTGTTAAAATCTGACCTAATCAAGTCCTTTCCACTATGTATTTAAGATTATTTTCCAGGACGAGCCTGACCTGATATGTCTTTGCGAAGCTTGTTCGCATCTTGAGATAGGCGTCAACCAATTCAGGAGAAGACACGGCTCGCTCTCCTGCCTTAAATACACCTATAGTCCTTTCTCTACAGAATAGGTAATACAAAATAAAATCAGGCATATTTCAGCATCAACAATAGCCACCGCCGTCATGCGGGACCTAAAAATCACCCAATGCTCCTGCACCTCAACGCAATACGATGGCACTTTAGCGTCCAAGTACGACACAAACGCAACTACCCAAGTCTCCAAAGAGAACATGGTTAGGGAGCGAGAATGCGAATGCACACAAACTCATGTAAATCCCATACCATATATGATAGTCAATGAGAGACCAAAGCTGACGAGATTTCAGTGTTTCCTCCAAAGAATCTTTGGTATGCGCCGTGAATGTACACATTTTTCGAATGGCCGAATATATGCAGCCAGCGATAATAATATATGTCACAATTACCGCGAAAAACGGAAAAGGCGCGGGCTCAGATTCCGAAGGTTGAGAAAGCCAAAGAAGATTCAGTCTGAGAGTGCATTGAGGAATATAAGGAGTCCAACCATACTGACATGTGTGCAGTCCGTTCAACGGAATTGCCTAATGGATACAACCTCCAGGCAATGTCCAATTGTGGACTGTCAAATGATGTTTTATGGTAAGTAACTAGTTTATTACATTGAGGTCGAAATTTATGTTTAATTTTATTTGTTAGAGGTACAGTGTACGTAAGAAAGTAAAAACATGCTGGCAAGTTCTACTGGGAAAAGAGGTACCCCATAGGGTACCGGAAATAATCTATGATCAATATAACAGCAAATATATTACTAAAGTGAATTTTTTAATTGACGGTAATGGAATGGTAACCCCGCCTGCGTTAACGGTTTTTGCATAAAAGTCATGATAGGTGACAATGAAAAGGTAGGTTAATTAGCTCATCATGATGAATATACCTGGAATTCAGCACAATAGTTTAAAGGGGCACCTCTTAGAGGTTGACCTGAATATATCCTATATTGCTAGTAATGGGACTGATAGCCCGCATTACTAACAATCCCTTCTCTCCACTATAGAGCGAGTACTCGTCTTCAAAACCAGTGTCTTAAGTAAATGATAAGAGAAGAAACTGGATGAAACCAGAGAGGAATGTATGGAGAGTGGCCTTTGGCATTCAATACTCTGTCAATCTCGAAAGATAAAACTAATACAAAATAACTTGTTTACAGGTATTATCAACTATAATGATCATTTGAATCTATGCCATTTTACTGACAAAAAATATATTTGTCATTACTGTCACGAGGGATTCGAGCGGGAATACGATAAATATTGTCACGAGAATGATCACATTGGCATAAACAAACTAAACATAACCTCCACGCCGTCAACTGACAGACACTCTAGTAAAAAGGCTAGTATCACACAGACAGATCCGGAACTAACGAAAATCAATGTGCAAGAAGAGAAATTGAAGAAGATTGTGTCGTTTTTTGATAAAATAACAGATGCTGATCAAATGATAGCACAGATTAAGAAGGATAGATTTTCCGAATCGAACTTGCGAAGTCATAGATCCAAGATGGCGGCGACCACAGATAATATGACAAGTACAGAGAACAGTTCAGACGGTGATAAGAGGACGGTTAGCTGCGTAAATTTACGTAGAAAAAATAATAGGATTTATAATAATTATATTTCGTCTGGCGATTCGGACGCTACATCGCAAGTTCCATTCACCCCAGTAACTTGTAATTTCTGTGGAGAAAACTTTGAATTTAGGTAAAATAATTTTGTAATCTTAAGATTATCATTCAAATCTGATGATGGTGGTCTCCAGGATGCATTAGTTTTTTTTAATTGGGTGATAATGGAGTGATAACCCTGCCTGCGTTATCTGGCGGGGCACCAGTGAGTGATGATATATCTGTAAGGATTGAATTAGCCAGGATACTTTCCAGGGGGAACCACGTGGAGATCAACCTGATAAGGTTTATTGCTAGCAATAGTAGAAAATAGGGCTGTCAAGCCCCATTATTAACAATCCTTTTCCCCCCGGGGTGCAATAGTAGGCACGTTACTTTGCATATAGTTTCATTCATTCATTATCAATCTTCTCCTATCCAATGCTGGATATAGGACTTCTTAGGCTTTGGGTAAAATGAGGTCTTGGTTTCGATTTCTGGCCGGACCAATTTAGGAGATGAGCTATTTAGAATTGGCTCAGGTCTGAGTATTCTAAATTGTGCCCAAGATGCCTGGTTCTTTATAACACAGTGTTATCCTAGCTTGAAGCCCACGCGCTTGGTGTGTGACAATTATTTAAAAGTCCAATGTCAATTTCATTTCAGACGCCAACTAAGTCTCCACATGGACTTGGAGCACCGCATTCACGACAAATACTCCAAGTTCCACAGCTGTGCCGGAATAATCAACTCCAAGCGCAGCGAAATGCTCTCGGAACGTGGCAAGATCAGTATACATAGTGTAGACCATGAAGCGTCCACCATAAGACGCGTTAACACGTGTTCAACGTTGACTCAAGACTTAGAAACTTCTAGAAGGTCAGATGAATCGTTAACGTGCGACCCATCGACCAATATAGTGTACTATACTTCTCTGGAAACGACCAAACCGTCCATAGGGAGTTTCGTGAACCGAGGGGGTTATAAATGGGAGCCTGGAACGAAGATTATACATGTATGATTGTCCGTCTGTGTGTCGTATATTGTATTGTAATAGACTAGTACTTTTAACAGGAACAGTTTTTTATTTCCCACTAGATATGACTATGCAGTATGATGGAATACTTTAAGGTTGTGTTCGACAAAAATATCGCTTTCAGTTGAAAGAAAGAAAGAAAACATTTATTGCCAACAACAAAAAAAGTTACATCAATTATCAATAGAAAAAAAAAACTACATTTCTTATTGCCAACGTGGCCACCACCACCACCATATGTATATAAGGTAACCTCGCTTGCGCTAACAGGATACGCTGGCGGAGCACCAGTGAAGGGTGATAGATGAGAATGAAAACAGGCCAGTTAGCCCATCATGATGAATTCATCAGAAATTAACCATGATAGTTTCCAGGGGGAACCGCGAGGAGGTTGACCTGGTTGAGTATATTGCTAGCAATGGGATTCTCAGTCTCCATAACTAACAATCCCTCTCCCCCCCTATACCGATAGTGTAAGTGAGGTTACCTATCATTATTTTTACACATGGGTTAAACGAGCATGCGGCTCACCTGGTGGTAAGTGACTACCGCCGTCCATGATCACCCATAACACTAACGGCACTGCTGGTGTGCTGCCGGCCTTTTAAAAAGGAATATGCTCTTTTCTTGAAGGTTATGTTGTTGTCGAAATACTGCTGCTGGAAGTTAATTCCGTGAAAGCGTGGTTGTGCGTGGAAGAAAGTGCCTTGAAAAACGCATAGTGGAGGTCCAATCTGTCTTGTCATTAAAAGAGATATTTATGTAGTTTTATTAAGGTTTAACCACTTGAGCGTTTATATATCATATGCATAGCGTCTGTTGCATAACTCGAATTTGCAGCGTCGTTTTCATTGAATTTATGTAGGTCATTAATTTATGGAGATAATAAACTCATTTATCCGGGGGGAAAGGATTGTTAGTAATGGGGTCTAATATTCCCATTACTAGCAATATGCCCTCTCAGGTCGACCTCCATGCGGTTCCCCCTGGAAACCATCATGTTTAATTCTTGTCGAATTCATCATGGTGAGCCAACTGACCTGCATTCATTCTCACCTATCATCTTCCACTGGTGCCTTGTCGGTGTATACCGATAACGCGGGCGGGGTTACCATTCCATTTTGACCCATTAAAAAAAAACATTTATTTATTTTATTTATTTAACTTTTTATTGCACCATAAATAAAAATATACAATGACAAGTGAATAATTCAAGTGAAATACAGTAACATAAATACAGATTGAAATATACACATAAAGGTACGAGAGGCGGTGTTATCGCTAGGGGAATCTCTTACAGACAACCTTTGGTTAAAGGAGAACAGATAGAAATGGGCAGTGGGTGTAGCGAGCTAGCCTAGAGCCGATCGCCCCACGGGATAATTGGAATAAAACACAATAATATATTACAAACCACACATATTTATTGTAGTGTCGTTTTACGTCCTACGCATCTCGTCATCGACCGCGTGAGACCGCTAATAGCAAATAAACTAACATGGAAGCCATATTTATAAATCCCACTAGGATCCAGAGTTGTCCATAGACTAGTTTTTTTTTTTCTTTTAAACAAAAGCAACGATAACGTTTATACAGCCGAATACATTTTTAAAAAACCAAATAATTTGAATTGTAAATACATAACACTTTTACAATATGTTAAAACTTATTATATAAAATATAAATGTAAACTTAAATGTCATTCGATTCATTCTCGAATATCGGGTAATTTAGAGATAAAAGAAACGACTCACGTGCAATTAGATAGAGAAAGCTCGACTAGTTTCGTGATCAATTCGTGACACATGAGCGGCTGTGACGGAAGCGCGAGCCTGACGACACTAGTCGAGCTCTCCCGATCTAATTACACGAAGTTAAAACGGTAGTTATTATATTAAAATATATAATGTGTTTATGAAACCTTTAACAATATAAAAGAAACGACCGTTCATAAAACTACTATATTGGGCCCGATTTACACTAGTGTGATGGCTTCGATTCGCTCTTCATCAAGTAATAGTACATTACTGCAGCGGCCAGCAACTGAGGCATTGATGGACGAACGTACAAATGTGGGCCGAGGCGTAGCCGAGGCACACACACATACGTGAGTCCATCAATGCCTAGTTGTGGCCAAGGCTTGTATAGTACTTTTCTCAAACAATGCACGGAAATCAAAAACACAATTTTACTTTTTAAGTTCAATGACGAATAACGAATAATAATAATTTTTCATGAGCCATAATGTTCCTTTGTTTTTTTTTTTTTAATAAACAGCTTTCTATTTGCAAGCCAGTTCAAAATTTAAATAAAACCTTTTATTAGTTACTTCCTTGGTAGCCATGTTTCGAAGTAAAAGGTCATTCCATTTTTAAATTACAGGACAGATATGAGTTTACATAGTAATTTATCTGGCCGCAAAACACCACAGATATGGATTTTCATACAACTTTTACCGGCCGCTGCCCGCATGTATCTGGCCAGTACGGCAATTTAGATTTATCTCGAAGATTGTCAAAATAATGCTCACATTTCCAAGCATGTTTGAGAAAAATATTATAACACAATGTGGACAGTTCCGGGCACACATACGAGCAGAAATTATACTTAGAGATCTCAAATGATAACTTATATAAAGAAACAAATGTTATTTAAACTTGATTAGTTCTAAATTTCCATGGCAATCGTAAAATATAGTGTAAAAATTGTGTTTTTATATATATAAATAAATATATATATATATATATATATATATATATATATATATATATATATATATATAATATACAAGGTGGTTAATCGCATCTTGACATTTTTATATTAAAACTACACATTTATATATATATATATATATCACATTTTAACTACGACAACTGACATCAAACGGAAATTATTATACAGGGCGTGTTCCTTTTATGGGGACGTGAATGTTTTGTCAACGAAACTGTATTTTCCAAAAATTTTGAGTTACAAATATTTTGAGTCCTCCATACTAACTTCACATCAAGATGCTATATATTATTCTAAACTTTAGGTCTTATCAGCTATCACCTACCACACGTCTAGACAGACTAAGGCGTCCCGAATTGTAATGTGGATAATTCGGAACGATTCAAAGGGGGGTTGGATTACTAATTCTTTACACTGTGATTTTTTGTTATATACAACTTAGAATGGCAAACAAGCTGACGGCCCACCTGATGGAAAGTGGTAACCGTCGCCTATAGACATGAGCAGTACCATGCACATAACAGAGTACCCCCCATGCGTTGCCATTCCTGAGGACTAAGGTGTTATTCCTCTGTACCCAGTAAATTCACGCCATATCCCACCCTTTAAAACGAAACACAGCCATGCAAACACAACTGCTACACGGTTGAAACACGAACGAGACAGAAGTACCCAAGCATTTGACTTTTGTACAGTCTCCCTCTAGTAAACTCAAAATATTTCGTCATTTATCGACCCATATTTTTTTTACGATCCTTAAAGCGATATAGTTGGTAACGAACAGAAACATTCAATCGATTAATCGATTCATTTCTACAACTATTGGACATCAGCGAACTATCTCGTGGTCGGGTCGATTATCCGTTTGTTTACATTTCCATCGAGTTCTATCGAAACGGACTGTATAAAAAAAATATGTTCTAGACACGTCTCTCATTGTCGAATATTTTAAAACCACCCTGTATATTATTTATATATAATAATATAAAAATTAAACATTGTTATTTTTATATAATGCATAATGAATTCAATATGTTTCAAACAATATAATAATACATTTTATTAATGAAAAAAAAAAATAGAAATATCGTACATTCTTATGTTTATTTCTTAATGAATTTACGAGATTAAATATCTCGTTTCAACTAAGAGCTAAAAACTCATTTTAACTATTCAAGCCTTCTGTCACTTTCTTTCAAATTGTGAATTTAGCGCGAAAGAAAAAGACAAAACACCCAAATAGCCAGAATAAGTTTATTAGACTCTTTTCTTTTATAAATAAGGGCGTAAATTTCCCCATAAGTGTGTTTATAAATTATAATATATTTAATTGAAATATTAATATTTCGCTCTACTGTACTGTACTGTACTGTACAGATTTTCAAACCGACTTCAAAGAGGGAAGGTTCTGTGGAAACTTTGTTTTTTTAATAAATTAGAATAATTATTTAAATAAAAATAAATGAATTAGATTTAATTGACACTGATATAGAAAAAACACCCAAGACAAGTTTATAAGTTGCAAATTTACCAATCAGAGAATAAAGCAGAATTCAAAATAGTTTTTTTTTTAAGCAACTTAGAACGGCAAACAAGCTGACGGCCCGCCTGACGGAAAGTGATAACGAACTGAGAACCTCTTTAATTTTGAAGTCGTTTGAAAAAACGTTCAGCATATCGTCACAGTCGTAGAATACTGACGGATCTATATATGTAATATTCGTCAGATCCGTCGGTATTCTACGACTATGACGATATGTTTTATTACATTGTTTCGTTTAACACAACAAGAGGTGAAGCGATCTCACACCATCAAATCATTCTACACCATATAGCACCATACCATGATATTTCAATACTCGATATTATATGTATATTATATTTCTAATGCCAGATACAGAATTAGTTGAGATTACGTACTGTGCATAGAATAGGCCACCCCTTCCTTTCCCGTGGGTGTCGTCAGAGGCGACTAAGGGACGGCGAGGGATGGGCAGCAACTTCTCTCTTCAGCGTCCAAGAGTCGATTAAGGAAAGTTAATATTTAGTAGCAGCATCCGTCTTTAAACATAAAAGTCTATCTGCGATTGCCAACTTGCCTGCCAAGCGTGGCAACTACTATCAACCCCTCCCCCCTCCTTATGGGGGAAACTACGCCCAGCAGTGGACAGTATACGACTGTTACACCATTAATATATAAATAAATATCTTTCCTATTTCATTTCATAGTTTTTTTTTTTAATAATATATTTTTTAATAATACATAAAATGGGAAACGAGCTGATGGCCCAATCGACGGCGAGTTACAATCGTCTCCTAGTTAGGGGGGAGAGACTGTTAGTAACGGACACTGAGAATCCAATTGCTAGCAATACTCCCAAACATGTCGACCTCCAAGCTGTTCTCCCTGGAAACTATCATGCTTAACCTTGATAAATTCACCATGATAAGCAAACTGGCCTTTTCGTCCTCACCTATCACCCTTCACTGGTGCCCCGCCAGCGTGTACCGTTAGCACAGGCGGGGCTGCCAATACATTTACACGTATCAAAAAAAAAATGCCCCTAGTTATGAACAGTTATACGCGTACACAGTATATACTGTGATGCCCGCTGCATCTACTCATCGCATGTCATTCCCGAGGCAAACTATTATGAGTAAAGCTGTTATTGCTACAGGTGAAGCAAGTACGCAATCTCATTAATTCACATACCTAGCAATAGAATTATAGCATAAACATATGTCTTCTATTCTCTATGAGTGAACGCTATTTTAAATAAAACATTAAAAAAAACTAGCTATAATGTTTTTGGAGATATGACAACATTATGCCATGTTCTTTTTTCTATTTCTTTTTATGCAACTTAGAATGGCAATCAAGCTGACGGCCCACCTGATGGAAAGTGGTAACCGTCGCCTATAGACATGAGCAGTAGCATGGACATAACAGAGTATACTGTTTCGTCCATGATACCCCGCATGCGTTGCCATTCCTGAGGACTCAGTATTGGGACTACATGCAGATATTTACCATTTTCACCCATCAAAAAAAAAATAGTACCTACATACCTGCTTCTTTATTTGCCGACGTTTCGACGTAGATTGCACCATGTCAATCGAGAAACAATTTTATTGCAAAATTCTTTCAAGTCCCAATAGTGTATTTAAAATATGTGTAAATCAACGAGAAAATTTAAAATTAGAGTAAAATTAATTTACTGAATAGTATTTTGGAAGAAATATATAAAAAAAATGTGTAAACAGTTAACGGGTGATGTGATGGTGATGATGATGATATAAAAATGAGAACAAATCACCGTCAATCAAATGACATTAATGTATCACCATGTTTGTGTTGCAATTGTGAAATTTTGAATTTCCTCTGTTCCAGAAAATGGAGCAACATTTCCGAAAATGGTATTTTAAGTTCGAATGTGTTTTGGAAAAGATCCTTATATAAATAGTGTACAATTGATTGGGTTCAAATGAATCATGAAACTCTTGTACAAAGATAGTTCATGTCTTGGTTTAATATTTTGGATATATTATTCTAATTCACATGGACATAACCGCGGGTTACAGCTAGTTCAATGTACGTCTGTTTTCATAATCACGCCTATTAAAAAGAAAATTTTCTTTGTAAATCTAAAATATCGTTCACTCAACATTCCAAACCGAACAACAGTCAACATTTTATAATTTTTTTATCTCTTTCTATCTTAAAACATTTCCAAAATAACTTTATCTTTCGGCTCCCTCGGTCATGGGATATATAGTTTGCTCAGTGCCAAATCTACTTCGGCTTTGGACTGCGTTTATTCTATACATATTTTTGTCTATACCCACTGACAGTATCCAGGTTTAGAACCACGTGACCAACTTCTTCCCCTATCTATGGATTTGTTAAAGATTTTTTTAATATTTTTTTAAATTTGTAATCCACTCCGTGATTATTAGACAATTCTAAAGACATTACCAGCTGTACGATAGCTCTGTCTCTTTCATGCTTTTCCGCCTGTAGACAATAAGGGGGGGGCAATGTTCATTCCGAACGACAGTTTTAGTTATCATAAAATAACAGCTTTTAGTGTCTCTAAACGGTTATATCAACAGTTTTCACTAATATATTAATTAGCTACTTAATAATTAACCGGTTACATCACTATATGGTCACAGAATAAATCGCATTCAAATGAGATCGATATTATAGGGGCCAAACATCCGGCTCGAAGGACCATACATTTGAGTCACCAGCTTTGAATTTATGAAGGATTACAAATTAACGTGCGAACGAAACGCAGTCCAAAGCCGACTCCCACTAAGTGCGTGTTTTTTTTTTTTTATAAATATTAATGCAAAGACCTAAATTATTACAATCTTGCACTGCTATTTGTACATTGCATATAGTTGCAAAAAATATACTGTATATTCAAATGTCCGTAACGGGTAGATAATATCAATTAAATAAAAAAGTTTATCAAAACCAGTTACTTTTACAAATAGTTGATAAAAAAAAACAAACAAAAATTTAACATTGTCAACAAATAAAAAAATATTTTCAATTTCATATTACGTATATAAAATGTGATTACATATTATGTCAGACATTAAAAAAAACGGTCGTCGTTGATATAAATGCAAATAATGGCAAAATAACGTTATAACGTTATTAAACTAGTGATAAAAAACGGTTAATTTTTGTGTATTAACAAATAACATGTTGAATGTGAACAATATTAAAAAGCTGCATTGTTAACGTTATAAAGAGGATTTTTTCTGTGAAAAACTAGTTATTAGTGATTTTAGGGGAGCCTCCGTATAGGGTACTTTTACACAAAAGTACTACGTTAACATATAGTATATCTACATCGATACATTAACATTGGGGGCGCATAGACAAGTGGCGGGCGATTCTATTTTCAAATTAATTTGCGCTTCCAGCTTTGTGTAAAAAATTTTTTTTTTAATATTTATTAAAAAGAAATTCATAACTCTATATTTCTTTATCTATTATTAATAAGCTGATTATATTTTCTAACTGTAAAACGTACCGAAATATATTTAAACGTGAAACTATTTGCCATTTGTCTATGCCCTCGGAGGATATTAATTTGAATAGAGAACGAAAATTTATCGTATAGCATGTTGGATAAAGCCCGCCAAATTTTAAAATTGGAACAGTTTAACATTGGAGTTGGCGGCTGTTTTAGCTGATTGAAAGCGGTAACCGTGGCCTGTAGACACGAACAACACCGTTGATGTCATAGTATCCGTTATGGCGACCATGGTACCCCTCATGCATGCTCTCGAGGTATCACATATGTCTACACGAGTTTTCTATTCAATTAAATATCTGTATAATACCGATTGCGCTCGAAATTCTTACGTTGTCTATGGACTAATTCAAAACCGACAGTGTATTAACTTCTTATAATAATCATTATTATTCTATCTTGATAAATACAAACAAGTTTTTTTTTTATTTTTACATTCTATAAAAGTCTGAAAGCAAAAGAATAAATACCATGCAGAATCGACACTGTATTAATATTAGCTGAAAGTTTAATTTTTTTTTATTACCATTTAGCTTAAAGGCAATCACTATGAAATATACGTACTATATGGGATGGAGAAAGACAGGCTACTGACGAAATAGCTGGTGAAAACTAGTTATAATTACGTTAGCGTACTGGTCGTTCGCGTCCATTTCACGTACTACTAAATCAGGGCTGTCAACTTTGCAGTAATAAACATAAAATTTCGTTTTAATATCACAGTGTAATTTTTTTTGTAAGGATTAATATCAAGTAATTTTCTAGTACATTTAAATTAAAATTATTATTTATAAAATAGTAATTTCATGAAATTGTCAAATTATTTGTTCGACACTTATGGTTTTGAATTAGACACCATTTTGAATTCGAAAGTCGAGACGAATCTAAAGGCCTAATGCATTTTGTTAGCAATATTGTCAATGCCAGTCTAACAATTAGACAGAGATTGCTCTGTCTGCGTCCCGAATTGTCATGTAATCGTTCGGGACACAAACAAAACGTTGAATCACTGGTTATTTCTTTCACTGTAGTTTTATAATATTATTTTAAACGATTGTTTTGAAATTTTTCAATACAAATGTATGACCTCCAATTACAAATTAAAAAGTCACCTGATGGAAACTGCTGATTGTGGCATTCAAATAAGATAAATATTATAGGAGTCAAACATCCGGCTCGAAGGACCATAAATTTTTGTCTTTATAGTCCTTCGAGCCGGTACATTATTTAGAGCGACAACATTGCTAACAACGACGCCAATAGTACGTACAGTATAAGACTCGTGTGGAGGTATTATCGTTTACATTACGGTATGTACTTATCGATTTATACTTCTGGCTGCCTCCTTTTGTCCTGTAAGAGAAATAACATTGTTTTTTTTAGTTTTTCGAAGTATACCCTAAATTATAAATGGTGTATTTTGGATTTATGTAACAATCTGATGAGCTTGTTTGTCCTTCTACCACCAGATTGAGTGGTAACTGTCATTTATAGAGGAAGGGATTGTTAGTAATGGGAATGTTACTCCCCATTAACAACATGTTACTTTCACGTAAATTTTCGTTAACGAAGTAAAGAACTAACCATGTTGGTTTCAACGGGGAATCGCGTAGAGTTCGATCTGACAGAGTGTGTTGAATGCAATGAGGCTGTTAGAATAGCGAGGGTAGAGTTATCATGCCATTTTCATCCATCAAAAAAGCCTATATTCTCAGGAATGACAACGTATAAGGGATTCAATGGGTGTTAGTATACTAGCAATTCCGCCCGGCTTCGCATGGGTAGATAGGATTTTCTATAATAATATATAGCTTATGTTATTTGCTGACAATGTACATAGCTTTCTACAGGTGAAAGAATTTTTAAAATAAGTTGAGTAGTTTTTGACTTTATCCATTACAACTTAACATACAAAAAAATCAAATCTTTCCTCTTTATACACTAGACATCAATTTGGAAAATAATTTTTTATCTGATAAGATATACTTACAGATTGCTATAGAAAGAATCTCGCCATGTCTCCAATCAAATCTTTCCCGTTTATAATAAAATTTATGATGCATTTGATGGTTACCACTTTCTATCAAGTTTGAACTTGTACCATTAATTTTTTTGATTTAAAGTTGCATAAAAATCACCAATAGTAAAAAGATGATGACCAACCTGGAGGAAGGTTCTGGTGGTGGCGCTGCCTAGGACATGGAAGAGCAGGGCAGCCGGGGCGAGCCCATCTGCGTGAGGACACGGTCGAGCCACTGCAGTGGACCATTCAGGTGTAGCTCTATCCAGCAAGGCGTCGACGTCACTGTTTGCCGTCTGTGAATAAAAATAGAATTATAAATAAGTAAATAAAACTACTAGACATATGGTAATATAAAGGTGATGTGGAAGAGATTGTTTTAGCGATAAGACCCTTTGAAACTTGATAAAGCACTTGTATCCCATTCATGTTTCTACCGTGAAGCAGTTATATTTGCATGGCTGTGTTTCGGTTTGAAGGTTGAGTCAGAAATGGCAGTGAATTTACAGGGTACAGAGACATAACACCCGAGTCCTCAGGAATAGCAACATATGGGAGGTTTCATGAGCAAAACAGTATACTCTGTTATGTCCATGGTACTGCTCATGTCTATAGGTGACGGTTACCAATTTCCATCAGGTGGGCCATCAGCTTGTTTGCTATTCTAAGTTGCATAAAAAAAGAAAGTTTTTTCATTTGTGATTTCAAGAAGTATGTACAGTAGATCTTGGGTCTAGTCTAGTCTAGTCGAGCCACCCTTGGTCAAGTTGATCCTGTCACCTGTATTCAGCGCCCCATCCCTTGACGAAGCTCATGCGGATGGTGCACATGCGCGTGAGCTGAAACACCGCCTCGAAGCCCTGCGACACCGACTGCGAGAGCAGCGCCGCGAACTCCTGGTTGTTGAAGATCTTCAGGTTGCAACCTGCCGACACGACGACACTATATATCGTGTGTGGAACACTACATTTTATACAGTTACTAGCGGCCCGTCCCGGCTTCGCACGGGTGGACATTTTTACAACATTTTAAAAAGTGGTTATTGTGACATAACGATAATAGTTGGACATATAGTATCGCTAAGTTTTTTGTAGTTATCGATATTTTCTTCAATATTGTAGAACATACTTTTGTTCCATCACCAATAGTTTCCGCAGCGCACGTGACGAAAGATATTTTATAGCGTTTTTTTACACCTTGAGTTACGTTACTAAAGTTTTAGTAAGGATCCCTAATCATTTCTAACAATAAATATAGCCTATGTTACTCAGGGTGAATGTAGCTTCCTAATGGTGAAAGAATTTTTGAAATCGGCAAAGTAGTTTTTGAGTTTATTCATTACAAACATACATACACACAAAAATACAAATCTTTCCTCTTTATAATATTAGTGTAGATTATATATGTATATAGCGAGCCACCATTGAGACCACTGACACCACATCGCATTCAAAACTCGTGTAAACGTAACTTTTTTTTAATGAGTTATAATGAAATGGCAACCCCGCCCACGGCATACACTGGCGGGGCACCAGTGAGGGATGGCAGGTGAGAATGAAAAGGTAGGTCAATTAGGACATTTTGATGAATACACTTAGGATTCCCCACGGTTTCCGAGGGTGACCACATGAAGGTCGATCTGACAAAATATAATGCTAGCAATGAAAATGGTACTCCGCATTACTTACAATCCCTTCCTGTTCCAATAGGGTAGTTAGTCCATTACTAACAATCTCTTTCCTCCTCGTAAGCACGGTTACCGATAATCAACATCCCATGATGTTACATTCGGACGTGGCTATGGAAAGAGGATGCATACTGACCTGGTGGTATCTTGCAGACGGTGGCTGGGTGCCAACCGTAACGCTGGTTACAGTTGGGACTCTGCACAAATATTGACGAATCGCTGAGGCACTCGGCAAACACCTCACCTGCGGACAAATAACAATAAATTTCTTTACTAATTCCCCACTAATATTGTTAACATTTGCTATGTGATTCTAGGATAGAATAGGCCACGCCGTCCATTCTCGTGGGTGTCGTAAGAGGCGACTAAGGGAATTTAATGTAATAAATGTAATATTGGAAAACTGTGGTAATCACCTGCTTATTATTTATAAGGACTAGTAATAGTGTCTATGCATGTACGAGATTTGATAAAAATATAACCGTTATTTTCAATTTTTTCAAAAAGTATTTATTTATTCATCAATAACTAGCTTGTCCCATTCAAAGAAATCCCCCTCAGATTTAATACATGTATGCCAGCGTTTTTTCCAATTCTCGAAACACTTCAGAAACGCGCTTTTTGGTATCGCCAACAGCTCCTGTTTTGATTTTTCTTTTATCTCCTCAATCGTAGCAAAACGCTTTCCTTTCATCGGTGTCTTCGGTTTTGGGAAGAGAAAAAAGTCAGCGGGGGCCAAGTCCGGTGAATACGGTGGTTGAGGCATGATAATGGTTTTGTTTTTGGCCAAAAACTCTCTTGTAAAACATCTTTTATAAAATGCTCACAATTACCAACTCGCATTGGTATAACCTAAGATTTACTGGTAGAATTTAAGACGCTTTTACAGTAACATATAGGCCGTAACATATATACAATACTAAGTTGCATAAAAAAAAATTTAAAACTCACCGCCAATATAATACAGTCGTACGCCTTTGCCGATGTGGCGGCGCGTCTGTTCCACCACTTCGTTTCTATTCACATTTGACAGCAAACCGAGGCAGAATCTGTTGACAATGGAAATAATATAATTTAAGATGTTTTTTTTTTTATACAACTCAGAATGGCAAACAAGCTGACGGCCCACCTGATGGAAAGTGGTAATCGTCGTCTATAGACATGAGCAGTACCATGGACATAACAGAGTGTACTGTTTCGCCCATGATACCCCCCATACGTTGCCATTCCTGAGGACTCAGGTGTTATTCCTCTGTACCCAGTAAATATAAACCATATCCCACCCTTCAGAACCGAAACACAGCCATGCAAACACAACTGCTTCACGGTAGAAACACGAATGGGACAGAGGTACCCTAGCAATCGACTTTTGTACAGTCTCCCTCTGGTAATTTCTGTCCACAGTGTGGGATGATTATATATATAGTTTGGATTTTATTCTTTTTCTAACATCTGTCACTTTATTATTTTTTATTGTCCCTATTTATTTATTTATTTAATTCTTTATTGTATAAAAGTATGACAGAGGTAATAAAAAAAAGGCGTACAAAGGCGAGCTTAACTCTGATAGTTTTCTTCCATCAAACCCAAAGTGGAAAAGAGCATCAATGTCAACGGATACAGAAGTGTACAATATTGTGATAATTTTTAAACAGAAAAAATATGTACTGCTGTTCACTGCTTGGTTTCTTCATCTTTGACTCAACCCTCGATGATTCAAAATAATATTTTTAATGAACTTTAAAAAAAGGAGGTTCTCAATTTGTTTTTTTTTTATGTTAGTGATACAAAACATTAGTTCCCCGAGAAACAATCATGCTGAATTCCAGGTTTATATATCACGATGGGCTAACTGACCTGCCATTTCATTCTCACCAATCATCTTTGTGTGAAGCTGTGTGTCAGATAGCTAGTAATAAGTAAATTGAAACGTCATTGTTACCTCTCGCTGTTGCTGGGATCGGTGAAGCCGTCTACGGTGATGGAGGGCTGCGAAGCGTGGAAGGTCTCGCCGACCCTCGTGTTGAGCTCGTAGTAGCTGATACTGCACCAGAACGCCGGCTCGTGGTACAGCACCGGCGCCGCCTCCGTCGCCAGCCCGGGCGGCGAGGGTGTGAGACGAGTTAAATCTGTAACGTTTATATCTTTTGAATTACTAAATGGCTACTTATCATCATCATTTCAGCTTTTTTTTTTTTATACAACTTAGAATGGCAAACAAGCTGACGGTCCACCTGATGGAAAGTGGTAACCGTCGCGTATAGACATGAGCAGTACCATGGACATAACAGAGTATACTGTTTCGCCAATGATACCCCCCATGCGTTGCCATTCCTAATAACTGCCCACTGCTGAATATAGGCTTCCCCCTATTTGAGGAGTTTTGCCAATAGTTGCCACGCTTGACTGGCAACAGCTATTAGGCTTTACTTGGCAAGTGTGGTAACTACTGCCAATAACCTCCAGTAGGGAGGAGGGAAGAGGGGGACTGTTAACAACTGATGATCTTTTTCGTAATATACATTTTTCATCTTGCATCAATTTACTAGAGAGAGTCTTTGTACAAAAGTCGTTTGCTTGGGAACCTCTGCCCCATTCGTGTTTCTACTGTGGAGCACTTGTATTTGCATGGCTGTGTTCGGTATGAAGAGTGAGATATGGCAGTGAATTTACCCCTGTAAATTCAGTAGCATAAAACCTCAGTCCGCTTATCATGGATGAAATAGTATACTCTGTTATGTCCATGGTACTGTTCATGTCTATAGGCGATGGTTACTACTTTCCATCAGGTGGATCATCAGCTTGTTGGCCATAAGTTGGATGAAGAAAAAAATATCTGGGCAAGTTGTGAACAGGTTTAAGTATTTTTTTTATTCAAAATTACTTTTTAATGCAATTTGGAATGACAAACAAGCTGATGGGCTATCTGATGGAAAATAGTAATTGTCATCATCTGATAGTCATGAATGACACCATAGACTAATCACAAGGAAGTAAATGAGATATACACAGAACTGTTACATGTGGCCCAACAATATATAACAATAACATAATTGACAAAAAAAAATATAATAACAAAATTGTCAACAAACAGCCAACTCACTCATGTTGTCATTATGGTCCATCGGGTCTCCATCCTCGCTGATGTACCCGGGCGGTGGGGTCTCCACTGACGACGAATTCCTGAAATGAAGTCATGGATTATTAGAATTCATTGATGTTGATGACCTAGAGAAAGCCCCATGTACTAGGTACACATTTGCTATTTTAAGTTGTATAAAAAAAAAAGTATTTCTGCCACGAAACAGCTGCGTTTACATGACTGTTTTGGTTTGAAGGGTGGGATATGGCAGTGATATTACGGGGTATGGAGGCATATCATAGTCCTCAAAAATGACAACTCACGAGCGGATAGCATAGGCGTAATACTATATTCTATAATGATCATGGTTACTGTTCAAGTCTATAGGCGACGGTTACCACTTTTGATCAAGCTTGGTCTTAAATAAATCTGCTTTTAAAAGAAATAGAATAACCTACAACCTCAGTCTCGAATACTAAGCAAGCAAAAAGACCAAAGAACGCTTCATAGCTGAATTCAAAGGAGTTCTCAAAGAACCCTAGCGCTGTAAATATGAATAATGTGGACCAATGAGTCCAGTAATGTAGGTGAACTGCTGCGCCAGCATGCCCTTGCAGACAATGATTATCACATGAACAAGAACAGTACATGATGAGTACTAGGTATGCAGAAATGGCGAAGAGCAATTAAAATATTAGGTATGCTCTCTATCATTGTACAAATCACGAATACTAGGACTGCAGAAGTACTGAAGCGATCACATAATTACAGACATTACGTCAAATAAGAAAGAACCGTAAATAATAGGCGAGTACTAGGCGCACAGAAGAACTAAAGAGCAGTTTTAGTATTTACAGATTTTGACACAATTATATTTAATTAATAATGACTTGCGAGTCGCGAGTACCAGGAAAGCAGAAGTATTGAAGAGTGTATAATATACTAACACGTGCACGGTAGTGTTGCTGGGCACCTGCTGCGCGAGCGTGGCCTCCAGGTACATGGCGCTGTGGCCACCGCCGCCCACCACGCTCACCACGCCGCCGCCCGTCTGCATCACGCTGCAACACGACACACCACCCTCATTTAAATTTACTGGCTTCACGGCGGGAGGAAGTGATTGACACTTGCCATGTGCTATAAACAGTTCGACTACAGATGGTGTCATAGTGGTTAATTTCTGGCAAATTAATTATGATGGGTAAACTGACCTGACTTCATCCTCGCCTATCATCCGTCGCTGGAGTCCAATAGGCACAGGCTGGGTTAGCATACCATCATAGAACTTTCATACATTCAATTATTATACATAAAGAAATCCTATACATTTAATCTCCTCTGGAAACCAATGTGAATAATTTCTCGTGAAATGTTATGGGATAATTGAACTGATCTCTTCTCCCCTATCATCTCATAGGTCGAGAGATGGGGCAAACTAGTATGCCGCAAGCATAAATAAACATAGACCTGCCTCTATTGGGGGTTATAGCAGTAGTTGCCATGCTTGGCAGTACGGATTGACAACCGCAGTTAGGCCTTGGAGATGTTATAAGAGGGACGCTGCTGCCCATCCCTCTTATAAAGTAACTAGCTAGTAAACTTCGGAGGAAAGGGATTTTTAATAATGGAGTCTAACAGTTCCACTGCTATTGGGTCAACATTCATGTAATTCCCCCTGGAAACCATCATGGGCGCTTTTTGTGGAATTTATCACGATGGACTAACTGACCAATTTTCATCACCTATCATCCCTCACTGATGCCCCGCCAGCTTATACCGACAATGCAGGCAGGGGGGGGGGGTTATATTTAATGGTGGCTTATGTTCCAGCAGTGGACAGTTAAAAGGCTGATAAGATGATGATGACTGTATAAGATAGTGTATGTGTATCCAACCCACCTGTCGGGGGAAAGGGATGTAAAGTAATGGGAACTAGTCCTCACTGCTAGCAATATCATGGGCGAAACAGTATACTCTGTTATGTCCATGCTACTGTTCATATCTATAGGCGACGGTTACCACTTTTCATCAGATGGGCCGTCAGTCTGTTTGCCATTCTAAGTTGCATAAAAAAAATATATACCCAGCTGGATCAACCTCCTTGCAGTTCCCCTTGGAAACCATCGTACTGAATATGCCTACCATGAAATATTTTCCGAAATTTCGGGTTCGAACGACACACAATTTTAATATTAAAATCAGATGATATGTACCGTTTAAAAAATATTAAAAATACTAAAATATCGTTCCTTTGGACTTTTATATTAAGATTTATGACGAACGAAATGTTAAGCTCCATTAACTAGGTTAATTTCGTTATGAACAAAAACACGAAATTGAGTACGAAAATACGAAATTTGATTTCATGGTAGGCCCTCTGTGCCAGCAGGGTTGCCATTTCACTGTCAAACATTAAAAAAGAACCCACCTGTCTGTATGGTCGTGATGCAGGTAGTCGGTGTAGGGCGGCGGGGCGCGGACCTCCCCCTCCCCGCAGCGAGGCACAAGGATCGGAGGCAGAGCTGTTAACAAAAAAATATGTCTGTTTTAAGAGATTTTCCAAAGAGACCTCTTTACTAATCCTTATATCCTACTCCCCCCCCCCCCCCCCTTCTTCAGAAGGGCATAGAATTGTTGTAATTGGTAATCTAACAGCCAATTTTATTTAATTTAACAACAATTGCTAGCAATATACTCTATCAGGTCGAGCTCCAAGTGGTTTCCCTGGAAACCATGTTAATTCTTTATGTCGTCACGATAGGCCACTTTTTCTCACCCCCCCGGGTGATTGTTATTAATGCAGACTACTAGTCTCATTGTTAGCAATATACCCTGTCAGGTCAACCTCCACATGCCCTCCCCCCCTTAAAAACCAACTTGCTGAATTCCTAGAGCTTTCATCATGATGGGCAAACTTACTTGCCTTTTCATCCTCACCTATCATCTCTCACTGGTGGCCCGCCAGCATATAACGTTAGTGCAGACGGGGCTATTGTCATCCACATTCCATTGTCATCCATTAAAAGAAAAACCTACACTCACCAGGTGTGTCAATTTTAATGTAATGGTAGGGGTTGATGCACACTTCGTCCTTCTTGAACTGGTAAGTATACTCGCAGTGGTCCACCGGCTTCAGTTCATGCTGACTCTGCATAATAATAATTATTTATATATTTCGACTTACTACTCAATATATAGTTGGCTTTATTACTGGGAGTACGGGCTGGTTGCCAAGTATCTCGCAGAATTTACAAGCGGAGACTTTGTACAAAAGTCGATTGCTTGAGTACCTCTATCCCATTCGTGTTTCAACCGTGAAGCAGTTATATTTGCATGGCTGTGTTTCGGTTTGAAATGTGGGATTTGGCGTGAATTTACTGAGTATAGAGGAATAACACCTGAGTCCTCAGGAATGGCAACGCATGGGGAGTATCATGGGCGAAACAGTATACTCTGTTATGTCCATGGTACTGCTCATGTCTATAGGCGACGGTTACCACTTTACATCAGGTGGACCGTCAGTTTGTTTGCCATTCTAAGCTGTATAAAAAAAAATGAAACACGTTTAATTTGAGCCCAATAATGCAAACATGGGGCATTAAATGTTATAATAAGATACCGATGGATATCTTATATGTACCTTTTAATAAGTTTAAAACTGTTATTAAAAAACACTTATTGAACAAAGCCTATTACACACTAAACGATTATTTGAATAACAAACGTGCATGGTGTTAGTGCATCATGCGCGGGCTTCTAACGACCGTGTAATTTTAGACATAGTACATTTAAATAAATACACATAATGTTAACAGAGATTTAAAAGAGTAACTGTTGAGTTTCTTGCGGGCTCTTCTCAACAGATAACGACCTTCCGAACCCTGTAGTAAATTAAACAAAAAATTACGATTTCAAAATGCTTGTAAACAAATCTATTTAATTAAAGATGATTTGAATGTTGTGCTAGATTACATATTTTCCATTGGCATTTTGAGTAATGCCCACAAATGCAGGACTCAAAATGATATAACTTGTACTGACCTGTAGCTGCGGCCACCGCCACAGCCTGCAGTAAACAACATGCGGCAACCCCTTTCTGTACTGTCCGTTGATCACGTTATCGTTTGGTTTCACTCTGTAAAGATAATAAAAAATTATGTGTATGTCTATATTAGTGTAATTATATGATTATATTATATGAATATCCTATCAGGGAAGAAAGGTTCTTAAGTGGCGACCCCGTACAGGCAAACGCAGTCCTACACTGCAACCGACCCCCCTCCACTAGATGGAGTGATGATTTAGACTAGACTAGACGAAGTCAGGTCTTTAAATTGGTGATTATGGTATAGTAACCCTGCCTGTACTATCGGTATACACTGGCGAGGCACCAGTGATAGATGATAGAGACGAGGACGAAAGCAAGTCATTCAGTCCATCGTGAAGAATTCAACAAGAATTAACCACGATGTTTCCAAGGGAAACCACATGGAAGTTGATCTAATAGGGCGTTGTCCCAAACCATTTTTAACAATCCCTTTCCCCCACCGCAGGGAGTCAGTGGATACAGGTGGTTCAAGATTGTTCCTTATGGCAGTCTATGTGGAAGGCTTATGTCTAGCAGTGGATGCATAATGGCTCATTTGATGATGATGATTAGATGTATATATTAAGTATTACTTTATTTTTCCTCTATTCAATAATAAACCCCCTATGTATATCTGGGTTCACTCAATGGTTGACTTGTATAGAACACTCATTAAGTCCACCAAATGTACATATAATTTTACAGTGCATTATAGTTTAAATAAATAAATAATATTTTAAATAATTAAAGATTGTGTCCCATAAAAAAAGACGACTTCGATTGCAACATGAAATATAAAAAATTTGCATGTCTACATCCTTTAAAGCAATTAAACAGATGCCAAAATAGTACCACATGGCTTTTGTAATAAATTTAAGACTGTTTAATGCAAATAAACTCAATTTCAATTTCAACAAATCCAATTATGTTTTATTTCAAATTAAATTCTTTATTGCAGGAATACGGGTAGTTTGAGGTGATTCGTTAGTTTGATATAACTTTTTTACTTATTAACGGAATAAATAAATCAAACACTAAATGTTAAGTAAAGCAAACCACAACAGATTAGTGAACAAGTAACATGTAAAATCAATCTCATATTTATACATACATACATATCTGTAACGTTAGTCTTTCATTAGGGTAGGCACAAACAAAACACCAAATACAAATAAAAATATTTGGTGTTTTATTCGTTAAACGTTAATTCGTTTTAAACAAACCTCTTTAGCTTCCTCCACATTCAGCAATCTTTTCATACACACACACCGGTTATGGGTACTTTTAATTTGGTAGGATTATAAATCCTACTAGCTTTTATCCATAACTTCATGCATGTGACTGAGATATGTTTACTAATTGGCATAAAACATAGCCTATGTTCTTCTCCATCTAGTATAGCATGTGTAAATCAAATTCCACAGTGGAAATAATATCAGAAAAAATACTTTAGTATTGTACAAGCTTGTGCATGTATTACCCCTAGTATTGCAGGCATTCATAAGCTATGGTAATTTCCTTCAGATGGGTCATATGCTTGTTTGTCTCTTCAGTGATATAAAAAACAGAACTAAAATGTTAATGTTCATCATGCAATAAAAATTTTATTAAGTCACTATTTGAAAATTTACATTTTATTGCAAAAAATATATTAAACTCATCTAAAGCAAAATATAATGTAGGTATTTTGAGTAGCAAATTATATGTAACTTATGTTTGCTATCTCTATTTAATAATCAAAACAAAAATATTTAAAAAAAATTCAATACATTCCAACAAGACTCCAATTAGAATATTTAATTAAGAGCCAATTAACAGAGTAAGAATAAAAATATTTCCCTACTTCCTTGTCACTACATTTGGAAACAAATGTAGATAAAAATCGACGATAAATAATTATTCAAATATCATTTTTTAAGATAATTATAGATATTAATAAAAACATTAGCTTACTATAATCTTATCTAACCAAGATATTGTTATTTACAATTACCTTTATGTATAAAATTGGTAGCCTTCGAATATCGCTGAATCGTATAATATATTGTAATCACAAAGACTTTATAATAATTTAAATTAATAATGTTGACTAGATAAACACGCCAAACACTATAATTCAGTTTAAAAACGTGAATTATAGTGGAAAAATGGCAAATTACTAAAAACCAGGCGCCATGTTGACATAAAAGATTCGATTTGTTTTGACGCCAAAATGACCTCCGTCTATGGTTATGTAACTAAATTGCGGAGGTCACATCGACCTGTGGGTCATTAAACTTTTGCGACTACAAAATTTGGCTGGTTTATACATCCGCGAAAATATGCAAGCACAGATAAAGATTTATCTTTTTATTTGTAGGTTGCAAGAAATAATACAATTTTATTTTTCTATTTTCATCTAACTATTTAAGTATTAAAAATACTTATTGATTTAAAAAAAATATATATATTCAAGTCACATCAGCAGCAGGTATATATTTCTGAACGAAATCATTAGGTATCTATTTGCATCCTCATGCTGCATTATCAATATTTCTACATTTAAAATTAAACTCTACGCCAGAAGAATAGAGGCTATTCAAATATCGCAAAATTGACAAACTACAATGACCGGAAATGTCACAATTCCAAGTATTATCAAAAAAATAATAATCAATAATGTACTGACCTAGGAATAGTAACACATTTAGTATGGCTGTTTTGGCTAGATATAGCTTTTTCTAATTCTTCTAGAGCACCACTCTTCTTTAATTTTTTAACTAAACTTTTTACAGCTTTTTCGGACCACTTGTCTTCGGCTGCGGATGATCCTTCAGGACCTTTTTTCCAACCTAGAAGTCTTTTCACTACTGGAGGCGTAAGCGGAAACATGCCGCACCAGTTCACTTGTTAAGTCATCAAAATAATAATTTGAATAACAAATTAATTTCGCGCACAAATACTACGTTCCGTATTTAGATAAACTGTCCGCCATATTGAGAAATTAATAAGAATGACAGGAACAACACAACAGCATTGACAGATGAAATGTGTCATCAGTCAATCAAGAAATTAAAATATATCTGTCTTCTTCCTTCTCTATGTTTTTTGCATATAAATATGTTGCATTAAATTTTGTAAATGCTCCATTTGTGCCCAAATATGTTCCCTTTTATTTATAAAATTTGAATTACCAATTTTTTTCCATAATTAAAAGATTTATTTCCTTTTTTCTTTCATAGACAATTGTACGAGCAGCCAGTATTATTGTAGTGTTGATCTTTCTAATATAAATCAATGATTAAGAATCAATAAATTATAATCAGTTTAACATGAAAATTATTTTTAATTATATACAACCATTCAGTTATGAATTTACTTACGTGATTTATATAAAACTTATTTTGCCTTTAAATTTAAAATAATACTAAGGGATACATAAAGGCATACATATGTACATGATTTTAGGCTCTTCATTCCACCTAAAAATTTGAGGACAACAAAAACGAGAAATGTCAAAAAAATAAAAAAATATATTTTAGGTTTTTCGTTACGATTATTACATAAAAAAGTAATAAAACAAATATAATGTATAACAATACTTTTATCTATAAATAACATAAAGAAATTATCGCTTTTGCTGAAAGAGTCATGGCTATTTTTAAACTCGCTGAAGTTCATTGAGAGGTCACGCGTACTAGTCGACAATAGAAAATTATTAATTTATAATTTTTCTTTCTTTTACAATATAAAATTTTAAAATACAATTAGTTTCTTACAAGAATATAGTTTAATAAAAATAATTATAATCTTGTATTAAGTGAATAATGCTTCCGATTTAGGAACCAACAACGGAAAAAAATAACAATAATAATTAATACATATGTATATGTATGGAAATAATAACTAGGAGTTGGCATCAACGTTTACCGTAGTATTTTGACTTCGGGCTGTTGGATGTCCTAATTCTATAGTTGAGAAAGAGAGATGATATGTTGTACTAATCTGACTACCTAGTATCTGCTTACCTACTTTTGCATCAACGCGGACAACCACCAACACTCGCCCGGAGTACAGGGAAGTATAGTGCTACAGAAATGGTAATAGACAACTTCTATCCATGGTCTTATATATTTATATACCTTTATCTGAGCCTGCTTGCTATAGAATTTTTTTATACTATTTTAATTAATTTAGTTTGTAATTCATAACACCATAGTTTTATTTTGAATCTAAACAAAACTATTGAGTCTGAACGATACACGGTATCAAAATTATTTAAGAAAATTGTCGAAGAATATTTTTTAAATGGCTTCTTTTTCAAGTTAATATTACTCTGAAATTATTAGTTTATATTTTATCAAACTCTCCAGCTTGGCAGTTTTTATAGAAGTAGTGCATTTATTGAAGGATAATCACTGACTTGACTTTTACTGGTTCGATGAATTTTGTTATATTATGAGAAATTAGTAGTTGTAGAATTAAATTTAAGTATTATCATCATAACAGCCGTTAACTGTCCATTACTGAACATAAGCCTTAGGCGTCCCACTATTGAATTTGCCAATAACACGTTTCGTAAGCAGGTTGGCAATCGCAGTTAGGCTTTTAGTGATCTTTTAAGACGTTGCTGCCCATCCGTCCACCATTAAGTTCCCTTAATCGCATCTTGTGACATTCACGCGAAAGAAAAAGATGACTTATGCTTTTTTATTATTATTATTATTTTAAAATTTATGTATAAAGACAATTAAAAAATGGGTTAGAAAATAATTTATTAGTTTTTCAGCTATACTATATAATGTTCTTAATATAAAGTTTTTTTTAGACAAATTGATAAAAACTTTGAATCTACTGGATTGTGATCTAACAGTGTGCACCCTTAATGTATTTTATAATATTTTTATTTACCTGTTTACTGTATTCTGTATACAATATGCATTTAATTTCATTGTTAATAGATTGCTGACTTTTTATTTAGATATGGAGAAATAAAAGCAAGAAAATAAAAATGAAATCTTCATAAAATCAACAATTTGTAATAAAATTTAATTAATTTTGACTTTGAAGATTTTTTTTTACATCCTTTGTCTATGGTAATCGAATATATTAAATGCATTGTTTTGAAAATTGAAATTGAAATATTTAGGTATTCTACGCGCAGTCGCGAATCTGCTCATTTGAAAATCTGAATAGAAAGGAATTTTGAATGTTGACATAAAATCAAATAGTTTGTTTAATGTGAATTCATTTGTTATCTTATATCTAAAGACGTGCCAGTTTTCTTATAGAAACGTAATTTTTTTGGTGCGAATTTCTGAGAAAGGTATGCATATTTTTTTTTATTTTTTATTTAACGTTATGACTTGTTTTGGAAAATAACTGTCAATAACTAATAATAAAGTAACTGGCTGTTTCTTATAATGGCCAGTACTATTTTTTCATTTTTCCTTTCGCTTCATTTCAATCCTGGCTTGGCTGGAAAATTAAAAATTGAAGGGCTTAAATTTTATGAGTAATAATAGATATTAAGAAAATAAATAAAGTAAAAAAGAAACTTGGAACTTTAACTTCTATCTTTAACTTTATTTGATTCCAAATTTATAACAACATAAATAAATGTATAAAAATAGGCTTTTTAGAAAAAAATAAAAATAGTTAATTAGAATTTGAATTATATAGTATTATTATTATTTAGTATTTTAATTACAATTTGTAGAAATCTTTTTAACATACCTAGTTTGAAATTTTATAGGAAATAAATTACTTATCCATATAATTATTTTTTTATTACTTTACCACTTATGCCTGCAACTTTGTACCCAGACATGATAAAACTCCATAATGTAAAGGGATTTATTTTTTCTGTCAATAATATTAATTTTTATTACTTTACTGACTTTTATTACAAACAAAAATAAAATAATAACACTTTTTTAAAATATGAAAACAGGTTTAGTGTATGCTAACAGGGTATTAGTAGGTGATATATAGGTGAAGTGAAATTAGGTCAGTTGACCTATGGTGATGAATTAAGCAGCAGTTAACAACTATGGTTTCTAGGGGGACCATGTCTGGGTTGATCGGTTAGGGAATTGGGGAATTATAATTTATTAGCTGGTCTTATTACACTGTATCACTGCTACTCCTCTCCTCTCAGTTTTTTTTATTTTACATTAGTGCTATAACTGGGCTTTATGCAGATGGATAGATAGAAAGGTAAATTACTATTTTAAATTAATAATAGGCAAATTTTTGGTAAGGTATTATTGTTATTTTTACAGGAATATATACTATATAATATAATAAATTATGGTACTTGCTGATAATGTAGCTTTCTATAGGTGAAATAATTTTTAAAATCAGTCTAGCAGTTTTTTAGTTTATCCATTACAAACAAATATTATTATAGATATAATGTAATCCTGTAAATTCATTATATGTATGTGCTAAGTTTCATGATCATTATTTTAAAAAATAAAATTTGGTTAAATAAAGAAATAACTAAAAAATTAAAAAAGAAACTTTTTTGCATTTATTTATTTATTTTAGATGGGAAAAAGGTGAATTACAGTATACATAATCAAATTTATATGTTTAAAGCCATGAATCGTTTTTTTTGTGTAATTACACAATTATTGTTTTTATATTACACACACATATATATATGTATATATTTACACATATATAATGATTAAAAAGTTTTAAATTTTGATAAGACACCTTTTAATTTATAATAGTAAGTCTAATAAAAATGAAAAAAGAATTCAGTTCTTAACTCATATATTGTCTAAACAAAGATTTTCAGTTAGAAGAAGGTTCAAGAAGGTTATTATTTTTTTTTAGTTTATAATTTATTATTGTTTTTGTTAGTCTGAGCTGTCTTATTGTTTCTGGATTTCATTCCAACTAGATACAGTATCACTGTGCTGTATTTATAAATGAAATCCATAGAATAAACATAGACACATATAGTCATCGATGCCTATAGCCTGTGTGCTTCCATGAGCTTTGAAGTACATTTGTTTCTAGGCATTACATTTATGTGACTTCGTATCATGTTCTTATGCTACTCCATCTTGCTGATCCTTTAATTTGTAGATATTAGTCAACTTAGTTACTCTCCTTTAGATATCCTTATTTTTTTAACCGATTTAAAAAAAATATGTTCTTTTTTAGTTTAAACTTTTTTATGTTTGTTAGCTCTGTCAGTTGAAAACTGATTTAAGAAATCCCTTTTTATCTTTAAGGTTATACTTACAGATTGGACCCATAGAAATTTTATCAAAATTGGTCCAGTAGTTTAGTTTTTAAATCAAAATAACTGGTTCTGCCATAATCTTTAATTATGTGTGTAAATTTTACAATAAAATTTCACTAAAATTAAAAAATTCTAATGATTCTAAAAAGTTTGAATTAGCTGTCCCATTTGTGTTTCAACTGTAAAGCAGTTGTGTTTGCATGGCTGTGTTTCGGTTTGAAGGGTGGGATATGGCGTGAATTTACTGGGTACGGAGGAATAACACCTGAGTCCTCAGGAATGACAACGCATGGGGGTATCATGGTTGAAACAGTATACTCTGTTATGTCCATGGTACTGCTCATGTCTATAGGCGACAGTTACCATTTTCCATCAGGTGGGCCATCAGCTTTTTTGTCATTCTAAGTTGTATAAAAAAAATCTTTATAGAAATATTTAATTATAAAAAGTTATTATATACTGTGTGAATTTTCAATGAGAAAATTATATTTGTACTTATTTGTTTTAATTTAATAATTATTATGTTTTGTCTTGTTTGTTTATGCATGTATAATATAAAAATGAAGCTATGTATTTTATGTATTGTAATATTAATTAATGTGATTGCTGTCGCCTTCCATGGATGCATGTTGATAATGTACACACACATGCTGTATATATATATATATATATATGAAAATGTTTTAAAGAATTAAATCGAAATATAAAAATCAAATTCTCTAAAATACTCATTCTTCTGATCTTTTCTAAAACGATGAAAATTTAAAGTTGTATGTATTTTTCGCCTGTGGAACTAAATTATAATAATATAAAAATAAAAAAAATCTGTTAAAAATAAAAAAAAACTGTTTTCCTGTGTTCTCACTTCATTTTCCTTCGTCCTTCTCTTCTGTTGTATGTGTGTTATGAAAATGTGTATGATTCTATGTATACCGATTTGTTTTTATATAATTTTGTATATGATACATATTTATATAATTCACCTATCTCTTTGTCTTTTTCTCAATGTCCTCTACCCAAAGGTTGTCTTGAAGAGATTGCCTAGCGATAAGGCCGCCTATTGTATCACTTCTCATATTTACTGTATTTATTATTTTTTTACTTGGTGCAATAAAGTGTAAAATAAATAAATACGAGTGCATCTTAATTCAATTTCTCAGCGTCAAAATGTTGGAGCCGCAAGTTCCTTTAATACTCTGCATGGCCAATGCTGTTGGCGAAGAGATTGCTCTAAGGATTGAACCGGAAGATGATTTCCGGACGTTCCTTGATAAAGCCAAGTATGCAATACTCCTTTTATATGTACTAAACAAATACAAATATTTGGTTCTTTCAAACGTAGCGTGAAAAGCACTCAGTGAGTCGGAGAGATTTTTTCGATTGATCGTATTCAGGGTCCATGTTTTTTTTTTATTAATGGGTGATAATGGAATGGTAACCTCGCCCGCGATATCGGTATACACCGGCGGGGCACCAGTGAAGGATAATAGATGAGGATGAAGCGGGTCAGTTAGTCCATTGTGACGAATTCAACAAGAATTGTTCACGATGGTTTCCAGGGGGAACCACGTGAAGGTCGACCTGATAGAGTGTATTGCTAGCAATGGGTTCATTAGACCCCATTACTAACAATCCTTTTTCCCCCCAGGGTCCATGTTGTCTTTGTGTTCGTTCAAGATGGTATAGTCACATATCATATCAGTTCTTAATGTCCACTGCTGAACCCTCCATAATGGCGGGTTTTCGAACAGTTGTCACGCCCGGCAGGCAAGTTGGCAACCACAGTTGGGCTTTGGTGGTGTTTTAAGAGAGATGCTGTTGCCTGTTCCTCGATCGTTAAATTCGCTTAGTTGTTTTTTATGACACCCACGGGAAAGGAAGGAGTGCCCCATTTTATGCCGGGACCATACAGCTATGGCACATATATCGCGGTGTAATAAACGAAAATATGTTCTGCTCCGAAAATAATACACACCCCTCCTCCCACCATCAGAGAATAATTCTGAATACGGCAATGCCAATAGTGATGAATTCTGCAAAGAAATACATGAATCGGCTAAATAAGCGTGATTTTAATTCACCTTTATAATTATTCCAATTGTATTATTTCAGATCAATTCTCGGTTTTGATGTCGACATAAATACGATTACACGCAATCAACCGGTTTCCTTAGATGAGAACATTTATCAATTCTTTATAAACACTGAACAGATCGAACCTGATACAATTTTGTCGCAAAATCTCGATCCAACGTTAAATTCGAACGACTCTGTATATATTTTAGACGACGGCACACAAATAAGGGCCTCTCAAATACATTTCGATAACGAAGATCCACCTGTAGATTTGACAGCTGAAAAAATACCATTCGTCAAATATGCAGACAATGATTCTGATGAATTAGACTTAGACAATGTTAACGATGATGATATTAAAATGTATAACATAGTCGAAAGTCCCGTATCACGATGGTCTAGCCAAACATCCAGTCCCAAAAGCTTTGTCAATAGTTTGCCTTTCAAATTGGTTTGTAACAATACATCCACTTTCGAAGCGCAGTTCTCCAAGTATTTAGAGGCCAATTCTAAAACATATACAAATTTAAACCCTGTTGCTAATAGAAATAAGTCTCCAAGAAGTGTTACAAGTGAGAATTATAAGAATTACGATGATAATTTTAATAGAAATGATGTTGGTTACACGAGAGATGAAATTCTTAATATGTTTAAAGATTCTCCACTTGCGTCACTGCCTTATGAGAGTCCTGTATTTGAGAAAAGGCGGCATGTAAGAAAAACTGATCCTTCCAGAATTTATAAGTCTTGTAATCCTCAAAACTACGACGATGTAGTTCTTATAGGTGATGATGAGAATAAAGATTGTTTCATTTGTGGAAAATACGTGGAAAATAACATGGACAAGTTATATTTGTTTGATAATGAGGATCAGAAAATACATAGATCTTCACCACAGAGAAAAACATCCAGACAGTTAAAGATTATATGCGAGAGTTGTTTAGGGGAAAATTTCAAACCGTGCCGGATGAAAGGAGCGAACCAATATTTGAATCCCGATGAGTATTTAGTAATTAAAAACAACCAACAGTATATATTTCAAAAAACGAAAGATTTCACTTATAAATGTAGCTCTTCTGTAGACGCAATTGTAGATGAAGACGCACCTTCTTCAAAAGAGAAAGAAAAACACGAGTTTGTTAAAGTGGAAATTGGATCTGATGGGGAAATTATAACTAAACCCATAGACAATGATCCTGACTCTGATGATGTGATTATCGTTAAAGATGACGGCAAAGATGATAGTTCCAGTGACGTTGAAATCATAGAGCCTCAGGATACAGATGATAGTGTCATAGATAATTTGGATGAAGCTGATGAGGAAGTTAAGGAGTTTTTGGGGAAATATCATTGTGATGAGAACACGGAGTCGAATGAATTGAAATGCCGGTCGGTTGTTTACCTTATCGTTTGTAGATTTGTTGTTTACCTTATCGTTTTCCAAGAGTTGTGGAAGTAGTGTATTTTTACTTAGTAATCGATTGTGGATTATTGGATTTACTAGTATATTCTTTAATGAATACACATTTGTCTACAATGTAGAAATCGAATGATGCACTTAGACTATGCCAAATACCTATTTAGATAGAATATTTTAATTAATTGCTTTAAAATTAAAGTATTGCAATTTCTAAGTACTAGGATGACAGAAGTTTGCAGTAGTATAACTACTAGTAGTAGTTATTTATTGAATACAGAGACTATATAGTGTTTCTAAAACTGTATTGCGTATGCAAAAGTATCATGTTACTCATCGGAGTTTATCAGAGGGAGACTTTGTACAAAAGTCTTGTGCTTGGTGCCTCTGTCTCATTGGTGTTTCTACAGTGAAGCAGTTGTGTTTACATGGCTGTGTTTCAGTTTGAAGGGTGGGACATGCCATTGAATTTATAGGGTACAGAGGAATAACACCTTAGTCTGGAATAACCTTAGTTAGGAATGGCAGCGCATGGGGGGTATCATGAGCAAAACAATACAGTTATGTATATGGTACTGCTCGAGGCGATGGTATTGGCGAGGACTATGCTCGGAGTTTCTTTGCGTGACAGAATCCGAAATGAGGATGTCCGCAAAAGAACCACAGTGACCGACATAGCTCGAATGACCAGCAAGCTGAAGTGGTAATAGGCTGGTCAAATAGCTCGAAGAATCGACAACTGATGGGGAAGAAAGGTTGCAAATGCAGTGTAGGACAAGTCCTCACAAGATGGAGTAATGACCTTTGTTTTTTTTTTCAGATTCTGCGTGAAAATATTTGAGACAATTACAGACCTAATGGATCACAGTGAAACACATAAACATGAGTACGAAGATGGTATTGTGTTCCCTTGTCCGCTATGTGACTATGGTGAGTGAAATGGCTGGTGACTTGCTCTACAGTATTGGGCTTAGTTTTGGCTTTGTCCTGGCCATAGCTAGAGCGAAGAAATGCCTTATCTTAAAAGGCCCAATGCTCTTAAAATGAAAGGCCCCAAAAAATTAGACAAATTAGCTTTTTCGAAGTCACAGTGTTATGGCTTCTGCCCTACCATAAAGTTCTTTTGACCTACCTTAAACTTGAGTCTTGGAACGGTCTTGGGCTTTGTTCTTCAGTGCTCAGCTCAGACTTGTGGACAATTTTGCATTGCTGAATATACATTTCCATGATTTCTTTTATGCCGGGGTTTTCTACTTGTCAATCGATTTAAAAAAGAGAGGGTTCTTAATTCAATTGTAATTTTTTTCTGTTTGTTACCTCGGAACTTCGTTATTTATAAATCCATTACAAAATTAAGTACCTAAAGGGATATAATTTTAGTTTATTGGTCCTATATAAATTTCATCAAAATTGGTTTAGTGTTGAGAGAAAAAAATATAAACCGGTCAAGTGCGAGTCGGACTCACGCAACGAGGGTTCTGTACAAAATTGTCAAATTTATTTTTTTTTGTGAAAAAACTACAAATTTACGGTTTTCGGATTTTCTCCTTCACTTGTGCTACATGACATTGCTTTTCTGCCAAATTACATGATTCTAGGTCAACGGGAAGTACCCTATGTAACAGGACAGAATTCCATTTTTTCCTTTGGTAGACACGGAACCCTAAAAAGAAAATCAAAATGAAATAACAATAGGCTAATGTCGTTTCCGTTATGATCATTTCATTTATTTATTTATTTAAGGAACACCAACAGCATATTGCTTTATAACATATAGGTATAACAAACAATAAATATAATACAATATTAATGCACACGCCTATTATAGGTATTCGCAGCATTCACTTTAACATAGTTATACAGTGCGAGACAATGAAGTAACAATTATAATGAATTAAATAACACTAGACTGCAAATATTTCAAATGTTGCGTTATTAGTTACAGAGATAAACATGTAACCTAAGTCGTGAGCGATATCAAAAAATACGATATAAGTGAATTCAATTAAAAAATATTATAAAAAATATATATCATAATTAATTTACCAATAATACGTTATAGGTTATGCTAACCCCAAATGGCTAAAAGGGCATCTAAAAGCTGCTCACGAAAAGAAAGAGAAAGGTATAATAAATAACAGCGCTACAAATGATGGTGAAGGTAAATAAATAGATAATAGTTTGTCTAATAAAGTGACGTATTAGCTTGTAACTGTCCACTGCTGAACATAGCTTCCCATTTAAAAGAGGAAATATTCACCAGAGGGAGTCTTTGTACAAAAGTCGTTTGCTTGTGCACCTCTGTCCCATTCGTGTTTCAACCGTGAAGCAGTTGTGTTTGCATGGCTGTGTTTCGGTTTGTAGGGTGGGATATGAAGTGAATTTACTGGGTACAGAGGAATAACACCTGAGTCCTCAGGAATGGCAACGCATGGAGGGAATTATAGGCGCAACAGTATACTCCGTTATGTCCACGGTACTGCTCATGTCTATAGGCGACGGTTACCACTTTCCATCAGGTAGACCGTCAGCTTGTTTGCCATTCTAAGTTGTGTAAAAAAAATAAGGGAGCTTTTTATATGTAAATCTTTAGATTGATACAACTTTTTTATTTATGAACCGATTGAAATAAAACAAAGTGGAGCAAACCGCAACGTATTAGTGAAAACGGCATTCAAGTTGGTTAAGCCGTTTTTGAGATTAGCGTACACAAACGTACAGACAAAAAATCTAGGAATCATTGTTTTGGGTTCTATTGCGTTCATAAGCTTAACTAACTTCCATGTACAGACAGCGAGCAGTTACGATTTTATTATATCTATTGATTAAATAGATAATAATAATAAAAAAAACATGAGCAACCCCTACAAGCAGCACCCGTTCACGAGTATGACGGATGAGCGGCTGACTGGTCATTGCGCTCAAGCATATTTTAGGGAACTCAACGACCTACCCCATCACGCCGCCTATACTTATAATATATATGTATCATTAGTAATATCATCATAATAACAGGAGATACCATCAAATCACCATCAGCATCACCAATCGCAAGAAGGACCAGGAGTGCCAATAAAAAGAATGATGATAATCCAACGGGTTTGTTATTTGTTTTATTAAATTAGGTGTTATCTGCTAGCTATAACTACGGTTGCCAAGGCTCGTGCTGAAATTCAGCGCTGCAGCGTCCCTGATACTACAGCAAAATGAGCCTGGTTTTGGCAAATACTGTGGCACACACGCTTATTCTTGCTAAGACTGCTGTAATATTTATTTCGTATTCTACGTATTCAGTTAATTCATCATCACCATATCGGCCTTTAACTGTCTACTGCTGGATATAAGCCTCCCCTTGAAGTTATCACGCTTGGCAGGCGGATTTTTTATTCTTGACGGGTGAAAGTGGTATGGTAGCCCCGCCTGCGCTAACGGGATACGCTGGCGGAGTACCAGTGAAGGGTGATAAATGAGAATAAAAACAGGCCAGTTAGCCCATCATGATGAATTCATCAAGAATTAACCATGATAGTTTCCAGGGGGAACCGCGAGGAGACCGACCTGGTTGGGTATATTGCTAGCAATGGCATTCTCAGTCTCCATTACTAACAATCCTTTTCCACCCTGGCAGGCGGATTGGCTACCGCAGTTAGGCTTTAGAGATGTTTTAAGAGGGACGCTGTTACCCATCCCTTACCCTCCATTAGTCGCCTCTTACGACACCTACGGAAAAGGAAGGGGTGGCTTATTCTGGGACCACACGGCCACGTTTTAGAGTTTTGGAGTTTCTAGGTTCTTTGTGGACGCTTCTTTGAAGACTGGATAGATTTCAGTCTTTTTCTAGAACTGGCATGCTTGAAACAAAGCATGAGAGAGATGCAATGGTAGATAGAGATACTAGATATGTTTTTTTGACTATCTTCTAAGGGATATGGGATAAAAGTAGATATAGGGTAGTATCTGACAGAAGATAGAATATGGTCTTAAAAATCTTATATGTTCTAGAAAATTCGAAGTCAGAAGAAACGAAGCAGATAGAATTGATCCGCGGACCGGTTAGTTCTAAATGTTTTATATGAATTATTTTTTAGGTCAAAACAACAAATTAAATATTTTTAAGGTAGAAGGACTATCTAGTCGAGCCATATAAACTCTTTATAAAAAAACTGGCTTAAAATGTGACAAAAGCATTTATTTTAAATTAAAAACTAAACTACTATTTTTCATCGTGCCTCCCATCAAATTGTTTATAATTACTCCTCTCCATCCAAAGGTTGCCTGCAAGAGATCGCTCTTAGCGATAAGGTCGCCCATTGTTTTCTCATTGTGATTATGTCTTGTAATTGTTTATATTTATAATGAGTTTACTATTGTAATCTTTTAGAGGAAACAATAAAGAGTGTCTATCTATCTAACTACTGTATCGATTTTAACAAAATGTCTATGGGACCAATAGAAAATATATCCTTTCAGATAAAAAAAGAATTTTCCAAAGCGGTTTATAAATGACGGAATTATGAAGTACCAAACATTAAAAGAAGTACAACTGATTTGAGAACCTCCGTTTTTGAAGTCGGTTGCAAAGTACTGCGTCATCATCACAAACTATTAAAGTATCACTGATGGGTAAGGGATTGCCCAGTCGGTTAGATACAGAATTTTATTTCGAGATGTTTTTGCTACTGATATGTTGCCCTACTGATCAACTTTGTCCTCATAGTTACTTCTTACGAAACTTTGCTTTAATAATTACTTCTTATGAGCTTGTGACGTCGCGGGGAAAAGGAATGACTTAACGTTTGTGATGAAAATGGAATGGTAACCCCACCTGCGCTAAAATATATGCTGGCGAAGTACCAGTGAGGGGTGATAAGTGAAGGTAGAATCAGGTCACTTTTTTTACGGAACTTAGAATGGCAATCAAGCTGACGGCCCACCTAATGGAAAGTGGTAACCGTCGCCTACAGACATGAGCAGTACCATGGATATAACAGATAAAACTTTTTCGCCCGTGATACCCCCCATATGTTGCCATTCCTGAGGACTGAGGTGTTATTTCACTGTACCCTGTAAATTCACTACCATATCTCACCCTTCAAACCGAAACACAACCATGCAAACACAAATGCTTCTGGGTAGAAACTCGAATAGGACAGAGGTACCCAAGCAAACTTTTTGTACAAAGTCTGGAAACCAATTTCTGGAAATACTCACAATTTTGAGTGCGATTTATTAAAACGAGTCCTAACTGTAATGGTAGACTGAGGGTGGCCAAATTGAGACTACAGTGAAAGTGGAGGTGAAACAAGAGTCCCAGGGTAGCAGCGATGATGAGATCTGGATAGTCCAGGCCGCTGATGATGACGGAGAGTTAGATAAACTACTTGGTGCTAAAGTGAGTTTACTTATCTTTAGATTCTGATTTATGAGACTTAAACAGCAAGCAAATTGACGACCCACCTTTTTATTTTTTTTATATCACTGAGGTGGCAAACAAGCATACGGCCCGCCTGATAGTAAGCGGTTACCGTAGCCTATGTACGCCTAAAATACCAGGGGCATTACGCGCCCTTTGCCGACCCTGAAGAAACCTCTTTACCACTTTTTTGAAGAACGCCATGTTGTAGTCTTTTGGAAAAACCTCGACAGGGAGCTCGTTCCATAACCTGATTGTGAGAAGGGATGCACTCGTAACAGTCGCTTATTGACCTGAACAGCGCCATGGGAATCTCTGAATATACCTTAATGTCTTTGAAAGCTCTCCTGTGTTGCCATTCCTGAGGATTAAGTTGTTATACTCCGGTACCATTTAATTATCCATCCTAAGCGATGACGCTTCGGACCTTACCCCTTACGTGTTTCCATTTATGAGGACTATGTTATTATGTCTCCATACCCTGTAATTTGACTGTCATATCCCACCCTTCAATAGGCCGTGTGGTCCCGGAATAGAATAGGCCATCCCTTCCTTTCCAGTGGGTGTCGTAAGAGGCGATTAAGGGAGAGCGCGGGATGGGCAGCAGTGTCTCTTAAAACATCTGCAGAGCTTAACTGTAGTTGTCAACCCGCCTGCCAAGCGTGGCAACTACTGGCAAAACCCCCCAAGGGGGAGGCTTATGTTCAGCAGTGGACAGTTAAAGGCTGGTATGATGGTGATCCCACTCTTCAAACTGAAGTACAGTCATGCAAGCACACCTGCTTCACTATAGAAACACGGGTGTGACAGAGTTACTTAAGCAGACGACCTTTGTAGAAATTCTTTCACTTATAAAAACGTTCTTATAGAACCACCTATTGGTTGAGAATGGTTCTCGAGTGGTAACCTTGTACAGTCAAGCGCAGTGTAGAGCTCTTGGTTGTTTTACTCTGCTATATTCTATTTTGTTCTACTACGCATTTGTTATTTTGATATATCATCATCACCATATCAGCCTTTAACTCTCCACTGTTGAACCTAAGCCTCCCCCTTGGGGGGGGGGGGGTTGCCAGTAGTTGCCACGCTTGGCAGGCAGATTGGTAACCGCAGTTAGGTGTTGGAGACGTTTTAAGAGGGACGTTGCTGCCAATTCCTCGCCCTCCATTAATCGACTCTTAACGGTATCCTATGGGAAAGGAAGGGGTGGCTCATTCTATGACGGGACCACATGGCAATATTTTGATGTATGTAACACAATTGTTTTGACGTATTTTTCTTGTCTAGAACAAAAATAATGATCAAGAGAACACATCGAAGGAAACTTTCAAATGTACTAAGTGCAGGTATTTCATATAAAGTGTCGGTTATTCATTCATATTTTGTCATTAAGTAAGTTACAGAGTTTCTAGTAGTTTCGAGTAGTAGCTTTTAATATAAAAAGCAGATAGCTTAAAATACAAATAGCTTTGTTTGTAAAGTGGTATAAAGGATGGTATATAGTATTTAAATATTGTTCACACTTTTCATCATAATCTGGCATATAATAGTACATTACTGCAGCGGCCAACAACTGAGGCATTGCTGGACGAACGTCCAAATGTGGGCGGAGGCGTAGCCGAGGCACACATACGTGAGTCCATCAATGCCTAGTTGTGGCCAAGGCTTGTATAGTACTTTTCTCAAACAATGCGCGGAAATAAAAAACACAATTTTACGTTTTAAGTTCAATGACGAATAACGAACAATAATAATTTTTCACGCGCCATAATGTTCCTTTGTTTTTTTTATTCAATAAATAGCTTTCTATTTACAAGTCAGTTCGAAGTTTAAATAAAACCTTTTATTAGTTACCTCCTTGGTAGCTAGCTATGTTTCGAAATAAAAGGTCATTCCATTTTTAAATTACAGGATAGATATGAGTTTACATAGTAATTTATCTGGCCGCGAAACACGACAGATATGGATTTTCATACAACTTTTGCCGGCCGCTGCATGCATGTATCAGGCCAGTATGGCAATTTTGATTTATCTCTATGAAGACTGTCAAAATAATGCTCACATTTCCAAGCTTGTTTGAGAAAAAATTATTTAACTGTGCCACTATACTATGCTAATACTATTTTACTTATATCGTCGTATTATATAAATGTCAACATATTTACGTATTAATAATAAATTATACAGCTTACAAATTACATTAATTGAGTCACATATTTAAGCTTTAAAATATTCATTAATCGAGTAAAAACATTTCTCTACCAGCCATCTTTTTAGTTTCTTTTTAAATATATTCAAGGGTAGTGTTTTTTTTTATTTCGTCCGTTAGTTTATTATAAATGCTTATTGTCATACAGTAGGCATTTCTGCTATACAAAGTTCTTCTTCTTCTTCTTTTTAAAAATATGGCTTCCACCGTAGAAGCAACGGTGATTTTCTGCCAATGTCAGGGTTAGAGAAGACTCCGTGTATTTTATATTATGACATTTTTCAGTAATGAAGATAAATCGTTCAGTTGAGTTCTCTGGAAAGGAGGACAACACAAAATATGTTATATACATGCAAAGGAAAAATAAATTTAATATGATATGTGTGTATGAGTGTATTATAGCAAAGACAATACGCGGAAGGAATGAAAAGACGTGAGAAGAAGTGTAAAGAGTGACATATACTTATATTTTAAATTTTTATATTATTAGTACATACTATACAAAGTTGTAGTTTTATAAGGTGGTACTAAGTTTTGAGGATTTCTTGTGTTAAAGTGCAGGTGAATTACCATAAAGTGTCGGTTTTTTTTTTTGATGGGTGAAATTGGTAGCGCAGGCGGGGTTACCATACCATTTTCACCCATCAAAAAAAAAATACACTAATACACTAATCCACATAACGCGAACGTTTAAAAGTTATTACATATGAAATTATTTCTTTGCTTTATCTTGCAGCCAAATATTCTCTTCAGCAGAAGGCCTCTCTTCTCACAAATGTCGTCGTCGAGGGAGGAGACCGAAAGCTCAGGGCCAACCTGATAACGTGTTGTGTGTTCCTACAAAGGAAGACTTTATAAAGGTAAGTAATTTTTTTTTATATTATTTTTTTTATCTTTTTTCACTGTGATCTTTTTTCATACGAGAAAATAAAAATTATATATTTTGTTTTGTTTTCAGAGAGCACAAGGTAGACTACGTCCAGTGGAGAAACCCACCAATGATTTATTGGTGGAGGTAGGTAAAAAAAGATACATGAGAATCGGCTATTTTTATATGAAATTGACACCTAATAGTAACTATTATTGATACGGCAATTCGGAATTTATTATTTAAGGCTACTAATTGGAAAAGGGTTTGTTTTTGATGAGTGAAAATGGTATGGTAACCCCGCCTGCGCTAACGGGATACGCTGGCGGAGCACCAGTGAAGGGTGATAGTTGAGAATGAAAACAGGCCAGTTAGCCCATCATGATGAATTCATCAGGAATTAACCATGATAGTTTCCAGGGGGAACCGCAAGAAGATCGACCTGGTTGGGTATACTGCTAGCAATGGGATTCTCAGTCTCCATTACTAACAATCTCTTTCCCCCCATTGGAAAAGGGTTAACCCTTCGTACTCCAGCCTAGTATAGAGGATTCCAATAACTCCAGCACTGTATTAGTTACAGGTATGTAACCTGTGATGTAAAAGAAAAATGACGTCGTTGCAATAAAACAAAACATTTGAACAAGACTTTGTACAAAAGTCGATTGCTTGGGTACCTCTGTCCCATTCGTGCTTCTACCGTGAAGCAGCTGTGTTTGCATGGCTGTGTTTCGGTTTGAAGGGTGGGATATGGTGTGAATTTACTGGGTACAGAGGAATAACACCTGAGTCTTCAGGAATGGCAACGCATGAGGGGTATCATGGGCGAATCAGTATGTGTGTATACTGTTATGTCCATGATACTGCTCATGTCTATAGGCGACGGTTAGCACTTTCCATCAGGTGGGCCGTCAGCTTGTTTGCCATTCTAAGTTGTATAAAAAGAAAATATTACTTAGTTATTTTATAAAGGGCGCTGAGTCAGTAAAACAACTATGTCGCCGTAGATGCGACAGTGGATAGCTAATGTTAACATTCTAATGTCGCAAATACGCCGACGACGGAGTGCAAAGGGTTACATTTGTTTTTTTTTTATAATTTTTTTTTTATAGCAATTTGTGCTCTAATGATGAAATCTGTTAACTTTAGAGACCTCGCAAGAAGAAGAGGAAGGAGCCAACATCAGACCCTCAGATCGTGACGTGTCACAATTGCAACGAATCGTTCACCTCCAAAGTGCGACTTAAGTTCCACATGTAAGTATACCAGAGGGAGACTTTGTACAAAAGTCGATTGCTTGGGTACCTCTGTCCCATTCGTGTTTCTATATTGAAGCAGTTGTGTTTGCATGGCTGTGTTTCAGTTTGAAGGGTGGGATATGGCGTGAATTTACCGGGTACAGAGGAATAACACCTGAGTCTTCAGGAATGGCAACGCATGGGGGATATCATGGGCAAAACAGTATACTCTGTTATGCCTACGGTACTGCTCATGTCTATAGGCGACGGTTACCACTTTCTATCAGGTGGGCCGCCAGCTTGCTTGCATTATTACCTATTATATTGTCCACTGCTGGACATAGGCTTCCCCCATAGACTGCCATAAGGAATGATCCTGAGCCATTTGCATCCACTGACTTCCTGCAATACATTTGAGGTTGTCACTCCATCTAGTACAGGGTCGTCCTACACTGCGTTTGCTCGTACGAGGTCGTAACTGTCCACTGTTGAATATAGGCCTCCTCCACAAGAAGGGTGTTACTACTAGTTGCCATACTTGGCAGACAAATTGGCAATTGCAGTCGGCCTTTGATGTTTTAAGAGACATGCTGCTGTCTATCCCTCGACCGTTACATTCCCTTAATCGTCATTTACGACACCCACTGGAAAGGGTGGCCCATTCTATGCCGGGACCACACGTCAATTCACATGTATAGATACATCTATACTAATATTATAAAGTGGAAAGATTTGTTTTTTTTTGTATGTTTATTTGTTTGTAATGGACAGACCCAAAAACAACTCGACCGATTTTAAAAATTCTTTCTTCTGTAGAAAGCTACATTATCAATGATTAATATAAGTTATATATTATATATATTAAAAAAAAACAGAAATACCTAAGAAAATGAAAATAATGTAACCCAATGTATAATTTTTTTATTTATTTGTAGGCAGTTCCACGAATCGACAAGCATGCTAGTCGATGGGAAATATTCTTGCTTAGAGTGTGACAACACGAGTTTCGACACTGAGACGGAGCTATTCGACCACGTGCACTTCCAGCACGATAAGCGGAAACGATGGCAGTGCCCGGTAGTTGGCTGCGGGAAGACATTCTATCTCAGGTTAGTCACTGATTTGTATCTCAGATTGGTCACTGAGTTGTATCTCAGGTCACTCACTAACTTCTGTGTTAGGTTGATTACTAACTTGTCTGAAGTTAGTCACTTATTTTTATCTTAGATTGGTCACTGACTTCTATCTTAGGTTGGACTCTGTCCTGTATCTCAGGTTGGTCACTGACTTCTGTCTTAGGTTGATCACTAACTTGTCTGAAGTTAGTCACCTATTTGTATCTCAGATTAGTAACTGTCTTGTATCTTAAGTTGAACTGTATCCTGTATCTCAGGTCACTCACTGACCTCTGTCTTAGGTTGATCACTAACTTGTCTGAAGTTAGTCACTTATTTGTAACTTAGATTGGTCACTGACTCGTAACTTAGGTTGAATTATGTCCTGTATCTCAGGTTGGTCACTGACTTCTCTCTTAGGTTGATCACTAACTTGTCTGTGGTTAGTCACTGATTTGTATCTCAGATTGGTCACTGACTTGTATCTTAGGTTGGACTCTGCCTTGTATCTCAGTTAGGTCACTGATATGTATCTCACGCTAATAATTATCTTCTCTCTCAATAAGTCTCGTAGAGGTATAATGTTGACAGTCTGGAAATCAGAGGATACTGCTCTTACACGACTAGTAGTAATAATATATTAACGTAATTACATACAGGGCAACACTAACAAAGCACAGTCGCACACACACAGACACGCGGCGGTATGTGTGCGTGACATGTGGCAAGCGATTTTTGGACAAGCAAACGTTGGACGAGCACGGCGTTACGCATTTACAGGTGATATTGTTTATTTCATCATCATCACCATCATCGTCTCATCACCTTCGTGTGTATTAATGGGTATGTATATTTATATAGATTTTAGTTTAATTAAGTTCCTAGTTATTTGATTATCAATTGTCTAGTATCCATAATACAAGTTCTGTTTAGTTTAAAACTAGATGGCGTTTTGTGATACGTTTATTTGTATTTACATACATACATATCTGTCACGCCTGTCTCCCATTAGGGTAGGCAGAAACAATGGAACGCCAAATGCTTCGATTCAAACAAACCTCTTTCGCTTCCTCCGCATTCATCAATCTTATTGTATTTATATGAAAAACTATTTATTTGAAAATGCTCTACTTACGATGTTGTCAGTAGTTGCCACGCTTGGCAAACGCAGTTGGGCTTTGGTGATGTTTTAAGAGGGACGCTTCTGCTCATCCCTCGACCGTTAAGTTCCCTAAGTTGCCTCTTACGACACTCATGGGAAAGGAAGGGGTGGCTTTTTCTATGCTGGGACCACATGGATGAATATGGCATGGTAACCCCGCCTGCGCTAACGGGATACGCTGGCGGGGCACCAGTGAAGGGTGATGGATGAGGATGAAAACAGGCCAGTTAGCCCATCATGATGAATTCATCAGAAATTGATCATGATAGTTTCCAGGAGGAACCGCGAGGAGGTCGACCTAGTTGGATGTATTGCTAGCAATAGGATTTAGTCTCCATTACTAACAATCCCTTCCTCCCCCCCCCCTTTATTAATATTAGGGTTTAAACCGCAAACTAAAACAATTCTTTATTGCCCCCAAACAATACTCCAATAGATCAAACCCTTCCAATGCCACATATGCCTGAAGCAGCTGACGCGTAGATCCCGGCTGAGGATGCACCTCCGAGCTCACGAGGAGGAGTTGACGCCCACGCTGGTGCTCGTCTGCGCCGTCTGCAGCAGAGCGTTCAGGGATCAGCAGGACGCTCAGGTGAGGTCAGAACTGATGGTCCTGGTAGTAGAAGAAGTAGAAGGAACTAGTAGTCCCATTGCTAGCAAAACACCAGTACAGGTATAGCAACACGTGGGGGTGAAGAAGCAGGGGGATGAAGCAGTTGTGTTTGCATGGCTGTGTTTCGGTTTGAAGGATGGGATATGGCAGTGAATTTACAGGGTGCACTGGAATAACACCTGAGTTCTCAGGAATAGCAACGCATGGGGGGTATCTTGGGCGAAACAGTATACTCTGTTATGCCCATGGTACTGTTCATGTCTATAGGCGACATTTACTATTTCCCATCAAGTGGGACATCAGTTTGTTTGCCATTCTAATTCGCATAAAAAAACATCACGATTACTAATAGCCACCAGGTGCATTGATAGCTTGTTCTTCTTCAGAATCAATTCTTCTAATCTTATAGGAGCATGCAACGAGATCCACTGAGTGTATAGAAGAATTCGCCAAAGACTTGAAAGAGGAAGAGGACGTGATGGTGCAATTGTCACCAACCAGCGGACTTGTGCGGCACAGTGTACAGAGTGTTGGTATGTAGTTGTGTCTACATACTGAAGAGATGCTTTGTGTAATCAAAGGAGACTTACAGCAAAGAGAGAGACTTTGTGCGTGAAAGGGAGACTTTGTACGCCAAAGGGAGACTTTTTATACTAAATATAAACCTTCAATGCTAAAAGGACTTTTTGTACATCAAAGGGAGACTTTATACTAAATGTAAATCTATGTTAAAAGGAGACTTTCTAAATCAAAGGGAGACTTTTTATACTAAATATAAACTTTTTTTTGCTAAAGGGAAACTTTTTACATCAAAGGGAGACTGGGGATCTTCCTTATGGTAAACTCCCATAAAAGGGGTTTTGCCAATAGTTGCCACGTTTGCCAGGCGGGTTGGCAACAGCAGTTAGCCTTTCGATGATGTTTTAAGAGGTCCTCAGGAATGGCAACGCATTGGGGGTATCATGGACGAAACAGTATACTCTGTTATGTCCATGGTACTGCTCATGTCTATAGGCGACGGTTACCACTTTCCATCAGGTGGGACGTAAGCTTGTTTGCCATTCTAAGTTGTATAAAAATAAAAAAAAACAGTACCGACGATGGGCGGAGATCTACAAACGCGGTAGTTTTTTTTTTAACGGATCATAATGGAATGGAATGACACCCATGGAAAGGGGTAGTCTAATCTATGTCGGGACCGACACACCTACATATATCATCTTAATAATATATGGGGGAGGAGGGTTCAGCACTGTACAGTCAACAGCTAATACATCAACAAGGGGGAAAGGGATTGTTAGCAATGGAGACTGTGAATCCCATTGCTAGCAATATATCCAACCAGGTCGACCTCCTCGCGGTTCCCCCTGGAACCTATCATGGTTAATTCCTGATGAATTCATCATGTTGGGCTAACTGGCCTGTTTTCATTCTCATCTATCACCCTTCACTGGTGCTCCGCCAGCGTATCCCGTTAGCGCAGGCGGGGTTACCATACCAATGTATACATATACAATACCAACCAATTAGCAATGGGGGTAAATCCCATTGCTTGCAGTGTATTATAATACTATATCAGGTCGACCTCCTCGTGGTTCCCCCTGGAAACCATCGTGATGGATTTATTGTTAAATACGTCACGATAGGCTAACTAACCTGCTTCATCCTCACCTATCATCTCTCACTGGTGTATACCGATAGCGCAGGCGGGGTTGCCATTCCATTATCACCCATTAAAAAAAATCACCAACATACAACAATGATGTTTATAATGATGGATGGAATGTACTAATTATTTTCCAGACTCTCCAAAACTAAACGAACCCATAGCACGCCAAGTGGATGGTGAATTAGCCGAGCCCATGCTGTCCAGTTTGGCTGACGAAGCGCGCACAATAATACGCGTGGTCGAGATCGAGAAGGCGTTCCGGTGCGAATACTGCGAGGAGTTAGTATTTACGGGCTTTTCAATCGACTTCAGAATGGAGGGGGGGAGGGATTGTTAGTAGTGTGGACTAACAGTTCTATTGCCAACAATATATACTGTACCAGAGGGACACTTTGTACAAAAGTCGATTGCTTGGGTACCTCTGTCCCATTCGTGTTTCAACCGTGAAGCAGCTGTGTTTGCATGGCTGTGTTTCGGTTTGAAGGATGGGATATGGCGTGAATTTTTTGGGTACAGAGGAATAACATCTGAGTCCTCAGGAATGGCAACTCATGGGGGGTATCATGGGCGAAACAGTATACTCTGTTATGTCCATGGTACTGCTCATGTCTCTAGGCGACGGTTACCACTTTCCATCAGGTGGGCCGTCAGCTTGTTTGCCATTCTAAGTAGTATAAAAAAAAAAAGAAACTGTCAGGTCGACTTCTATTGGCCTCCCTGAAAATCGTGCTGAATTCCAGGTGTATTCATCACGATAGGCTAACAACTGACCTGCCTTTTCATTCTCACCTATCATCCCTCACTGGTGCCCCGTCAAAGTATACCTATGAATATAAACCTAGATAAATAAGAATATATATACTTATATACATGTTAACTACAACACATAAATATCAAATAAAAGAGAACACAATGATGACAGTCTTCTAATATATATATATATATATATATATATATATATATATATATATATATATATATATATATATATATATATATATATATATATATATATATATATATATATATATATATATATATATATATATATATATATTTATATATATATATATATATATATATATATATATATATATATATATATATATATATATATATATATATATATATATATATATATATATATATATATATATATATATATATATATATATATTTTATATTTAAACAAAATTGGAAAGATAGAATGAATGTGATTGTTTATCAAAGTATTCTCCAAGTGGCAAAGTTAGCGAATTAATTAACAGTGATTTAATCATAGATCGCGTGGTTCTCAAGCTAGGATATCTTGTGTTATAAGGGACCAGGCAACGAACATCTGGCAGCCCAATCCGGAATCCCCAGACACGAGCCAATTCAGAATAGTTCATTTTCTTATTTAGTCCGACCAGGAATTGTATCCGGGTCCACATTTAAACGCAGCAACATGCCCACCACCACGCAATGGAGGCGACACTTCCAAAAACCAATTAATTGTAAAAATAATTGTCAAAATCGGATCATCACGGAACACAAACATCATCATTGCCTTGCCTTTTCCCATTTATTTGAGATCGGAACATTACGCTTTCTGTTTCCACAAAGTCTTGTTAATATGTCAATGTCAATGTCAAAAACACATAATAAATATATAATTTTGAAATAAGAATGTCAGTTAAAAAATGATAATATATTAATGATTTATTACAGCATATTCTATTTAGAAGACGCGCTCAACAAACACCGCTTGATACATAAAGGTGTCAAAAATCCTTTCACCTGTCACATCTGTAAAGTTACATTCGCTACATACTCCAGGTTAGTACGATATTGTTACTACCTTTGCTAATTCCATTACTGTTTTTGATACATAAAGGTGTCAAAAATCCGTTCACCTGTCACATCTGTAAAGTTACATTCGCTACATACTCCAGGTTAGTACGATATTGTTACTACCTCTGCTAATTCCATTACTGTTTTTGATACATAAAGGTGTCAAAAATCCGTTCACCTGTCACATCTGTAAAGTTACATTCGCTACGTACTCCAGGTTAGTACGATATTGTTACTACCTCTGTTAATTCCATTACTGTTTTTGATACATAAAGGTGTCAAAAATCCGTTCACCTGTCACATCTGTAAAGTTACATTCGCTACATACTCCAGGTTAGTACGATATTGTTACTACCTCTGCTAATTCCATTACTGTTTTTGATACATAAAGGTGTCAAAAATCCTTTCACCTGTCACATCTGTAAAGTTACATTCGCTACATACTCCAGGTTAGTACGATATTATTGCTACCTCTGCTAATTCCATTACTGTTTTTGATACATAAAGGTGTCAAAAATCCGTTCACCTGTCACATCTGTAAAGTTACATTCGCTACATACTCCAGGTTAGTACGATATTGTTACTACCTCTGCTAATTCCATTACTGTTTTTGATACATAAAGGTGTCAAAAATCCGTTCACCTGTCACATCTGTAAAGTTACATTCGCTACATACTCCAGGTTAGTACGATATTGTTACTACCTCTGCTAATTCCATTACTGTTTTTACTACCGCTGCTGATTCCACTATTATTATTATTATTTACTTCACTCTCGGTTTTCTCAGACAACCCGTCCCAAAAACCTTTGGAAAAAAGAAAGCTGAGAGCCCAACCCCTTTTATTGCGTGTATGTATGCAAATATGCATACACATATATATTACTACATAAACATTATTTTCATGCTTCATAGCTCTATACGTGTGTGTGCGTGTCTGTAGTGGTGTGATTTGGTGTACCTTGTGAGTTTAGAGTAATTATTGTATTTCCTAGTACTTTACATATTGTGGTCGTGGAATGCATGCTCTAATTCTAATTCTACTATCTACTACTATTACTACCTTTGCTAATTCCATTACAGTTATTACTCTGCCACAACCACTGTTTTGTAAGATAGTCAACTTGGAGGTTTTTCTTTTATGCAACTTAGAATGGCAAACAAGCTAACGGCCCACCTGATGGAAAGTGGTAACCGTCGCCTATAGACATGAGCAGTACCATGGACATAACAGAGTATACTGTTTCGCCCATGATACCCCCCATGCGTTGCCATTCCTGAGGACTCGGGTGTTGTTCCTCTGTACCCTGTAAATTCACGCCATATCACGTCCTTCAAACCGAAACACAGCCATGCAAACACAACTGCTTCACGGTTGAAACACGAATGGGACAGAGGTACCCAAGCAATCTACTTTTGTACGAAGTCTCCCTCTGGTAATGTATATGTATGTAAATGTTTTCAATTAACTAAGAAAATTTGTGTTTTAAATAAAATGTTTGAACATATGTATAACTTGGTTATCGAATAGATGGAAGAAATTGCTGTAGGCATAAAAATGACTTCAGTGAGGTATGGTATAAAAGTAATGGAATGTTTTAACAGATGCACGACCCATAAAACAACCCATGGATTCTACAAGCGGCCATTGGCTGACGCGAAGCAGTCGAGGTCTGAAGGACCGGAGGGTGGCCCCTCCTCCACAGGGATCCTCGGCTACGGAGGGTTTCCGGTCGTCAAACACTTCTTGTGCGAGGTTATTGACCCATCATTATTTTTTTTTTAATTTACTGAATAAAAACAACATAGAATATATTATTATTATATGAACATTTTAAGTTTTAAAAAGAAATTTTAGGTATTAAAAAAATAGTATTAAAAACTAGTATGGGAAAGGGATTATTAGTAATGGCAATATACCCTATCAGGTCGGCATCCACGCGGTTCCCTCTACATACTATCGTGGTTAATTCTTGATGAATTCGTCACGATGGGCTAACTGACCTGCCCTTTTATTCTCACATATCATTTGTCTATTTGCCTGTTTGTATGTCTGTCTATTGGTTTATTTATCTATTTATGTATTATTACAGGACTGTGGCCGATCCTATTTACACTGGACGTATTTACAAGTGCACCGACGTATGAAACACGCCAACCAGAACTATCTATACAAATGCAGTCAGTGTGAACTCACATTCCCTAATAGGTAAACTTGATTTTATTAAAAACTCATATTTTTTATGCTAGTTAGAATGGCAAACAAGCTGACGGCCCACCTGATGGAAAGTGGTAACCGTCGCCTATAGACATGAGCCAGTACCATGGACATAACAGAGTATACTGTGTCGACCATGATATTATAAATCTCTAAATCCTGTTTCCGGCATAGAATAGGCCACCTATTCCTTTACCCCATAGGTGTCGTAAGAAACGACTAAGGGAGGGCGAGGGATGGGTAGCAGCGTCCCTCCTAAAACATCTCCAAAACTTAATTGCGTTTGCCAATCCATTGCCAAGTGTGGCAACTACTGGAAAAACCTCCCATGGGGGAGGCTTATGTACAGCAGTGGAGAGTTAAAGGCCGATATGATGATGATGAGCTCCCATGTACAGAGTTACAATTTTATTTAACGAACGAACGGTTTATCCGGACCTAGAGGACCATAGATTCTTAAACTGCCGGATATCGTTAAGGTAACACATAGGATCTATAAAATAGTGGTGCAAGGCAGGGAGAAGCATAAAAGATCCCAATGGGTAAACGTGTACACCATTTTTTTAATGGGTGATAATGGAATGGTAACCCCGCCTGCGCTATCAGTATACGCTGGCGGTGCACCAGTGTGGGATGATAGGTGAAGATGTAAGCAGGTCAGTTAGTCCATCGTGACGAAATCCACTATAATTAACCACAATGGTTTCCAGGGGAAACCGCGTGAAGGTAGATCTGATAGGACGTATTGCTAGCAATGGGTTTATAAGACCTCCGTTACTAACAATCCCTTTCTCCCACGTGTAACGGCTTAGCTGACCCCATACACTACAATTTTATCATATTGCGATTCCTATCATTTCAGTTGGAGTCTGGGTTACCATAAAAAGAAAATACATGGCAAAAGTACACAAGAAGATGGCAATACTGTGAAAGCTACCAAGGAGGATTACAAGTAAGTACCGACGATAGGTTTTGATTCTGTGTGTCTTTATTTAAACCTATGTCTAATATTAAAATTTTAATTTGATATCATAACGAATTAATTTGTCGTAAAAAATACCTTTAATTTTAAAGACGAAGGACTTCAACTAGCGAGTGTTGCCAGTCATGATTTATAAAACCGAAACATGGTTCTACACGATTTTTTTTAATGGATGATAATGGAATGCTAACCCTGCCTGAGCGGGGGGAAAGGGATTGTTAGTAATGGAGACTGAGAATCGCATTGCTAGCAATATACTCAACCACGTCGACCTCCTCGCGGTTCCCCCTGGAAACTATCATGATTAATTCCTGATGAATTCATCATGAAAACAGGCCAGTTAGCCCTGGCCTGTTTTCATTCTCATCTATCACTGGTGCTCCGCCAGCGTTTCCCGTTAGCGCAGGCGTTACCATACCATTCTCATAGATAAAAAAAAACCCTGTCTGAGCTAATGGTATACACTAGAATGATAAAGTAAATCAGTTAGCCCAGTGGTGAATTCAAAGATAAATTAGTCACGATGGTTTCCAGGGGAAATCGCGTGGAGGTTGACCTGATAGGGTATATTGATAACAATTGGGTCTAACCTCCCCATTACTAACAATCCCTTCTAGTCCCCAGTCCTATACGATTGCCTTCAAAAACTTCAAAATACTCAGCGGGCTATGGAGAGGGCTATTGCTCGGAGTTTTTTTGCCTGAGACAATCCGAATTGAGGATATCCGCAAAAGAACCAAAGTGACCGACATAGTCCGAAGGATGAGCAAGCTGAAGTGGCAATGGGCTGGTCACATAGCTCGAAGAACCGACAACTATCAGGGAAGAAAGTTTCTTGAGTGGCAACCCCGTTCGCGGAAACGCCTGTAGATGTAGGACGATCCCCGACTAGATGGAGTGACGACCCCAAATGCTTTGCAGGGAGTCAGTGGATGCAGGTGGCTCAGGACCGTTCTTTATGGCAGTCTATGGGGGAGGCTTATGTCCAGCAGTGGACGGGTAATGGCTGAAATAATGATGATAATGAAGAACTAATGTAAACTAATGTTTACCAGAGGGAGACTTTGTACAAAAGTCGATTGCTTAGGTACCTCTGTCCCATTCGTGTTTCAACTGTGAAGCAGTTGTGTTTGCATGGCTGTGTTTCGGTTTGAAGGGTGGGATATGGCGTGAATTTACAGTATATAGAGGAATAACATCTGAGTCCTCAGGAATGGCAACGCATGGGAGGTATCATGGGCGAAACAGTATACTATGTTATGTCCACGGTACTGCTTATGTCTATAGACGACGGTTACCACTTACCATCAGGTGGGCCGTCAGTTTGTTTGCCATTCTAAGTTGTATAAAAAAAAATACTTCTTATATATAAAATGACTGTATTTTCTCGCAATAAATATTTTTCTATTTTATTCTAATAAACCAAAATAATTCGAATGACTGCGGTAGGCTCGCCCGTGCCATGTTGTATTCCAACATGCTCGGCGTAATGTGGGCGAGTCGAGGGGTATGTTCACCACAATGGAAACAGTCGACAGACAGCTCTGGCTATACCATAAGGTATTATAGTTATGAATATATTTGTTCTCTTTATAGAATCCCATGCCGTGACTGCGACGAGATATTGCCAAACAAAACTGCACTCTATAAACATAGGAAGAAGGAACACAGTGATTTGTCCATTGGAGATGAGAAATCAGGTAAATGACTGTGGAATTTGAAATTCCATATAGGCTTTGGAGATGTTTTAAGAAGCATTGTCTTTCTTATAACATATATAGATCAAGGTAGGAGTTAGTGTCGTGTCGTATCAAGAGGTGAAGAGACTCGTAGAAAATCGTAGTGAATGGCAAGAGCTTCACCGACAAGAGCACAGCTCTTATATAGGATAAGGATAGATACTCTTTATTGTTTCCTCCAAAAGATTACAATAGTAAACTTATTATAAATATAAACAATTACAAGAAATAATCACAATGAGAAAACAATGGGCGACCTTATCGCTAAGAGCGATCTCTTGCAGGCAACCTTTGGATGGAGAGGAGTAATTATAAACGGTTTGATCGGAGGCATGAATATATATATTGCAGGTACATTCTGGTATGGGCGACAAGCCGATATGCTGCGGTCCCATCATTGTGACGTGTGCGGACGGTCATTCCGCACGGCGTCCATGTATAACGAACATTTGCGTGTACACACCGGCGAGCGGCCGTACCCCTGTGATTTATGCGGGGTCGCCTTCCGCAGGTGAGGGGACAGGGTTTTTAACCATAGACTAATGTCCATAGACTCGACTTTGTTTGTCTATGAAAAATCGATCTTATTTTTTTTACTGTAAACTAATTGCGCATTACTTGTCCATGATGTATCTATTGTTGTTTTTAACCATAAACTCCATAGACGTATGGATGAACTCAATTTTGTTTGTCTATGCCTATTCAGGTCGGTCTCAATTACCTGCGGACTCAGTTCTGTTTGTCTAGGGTGGAAAGGGATTGTTAGTAATGGAGACTGAGAATCCCATTGCTAGCAATATACCCAACCAGGTCGACCTCCTCGCGGTTCCCCCTGGAAACTATCATGGTTAATTCCTGATGAATTCATCATGATGGGCTAACTGGCCTGATTTCATTCTCATCTATCACCCTTCACTGGTGCTCCGCCAGCGTATCCCGTTAACGCAGGCGGGGATGGTAACCCCGCAACAATTTTTTACCCATAAAAAAAAGTTCTGTTTGTCTATGACAGGTTAACAGCGATGCGGTCAATGGCAACCATAAACTTATTCACACGGTGCTATCCTTTCATATAATAATAACTATAGATTAATTCACACTGACCAAACTCCGCTTGTCTACGGCAGGTCGACGTCAATGAGCAACCATAGACTAATCCACACGAACTCAACTTGTTTCAAACTATAGATAGATAGATAGATAATTTATTTACATTACTTACAGCACACAAATTAGAATAAAAAAAAACATACATATAATACACAGCAAAAGAGATAAAAGAATGAAAATAAAAAGCAAGTTATTGAAGTCGCTGGCGGAAGACCCAAAAAAAAAACAATTTTATAAATATAACTAAATTTAATTCTAAAATTAATTGTTACAACAATAAAAGTGTCTTCAGATCGATGTGTGATCCGGTAAGTGAAGTCATATCGAATCAAACATAAAGGAAATGGGTATTTTTGTTGCGGGAATTGAAATGCTGACTCGACGCAGGTGTCTTTCTCGGTAGCGCACCTTTATGCGTCATGCTAGGTGGTCCAATCCGATCGCCGTTGAGGGTGTGTCGTAATACTTGACAGGTATCTACTATAACAAGCAATAAAACAAAAAAAAAAAAAAACAAAATATAGAAACTAACAATTACCTTTCTCTTTCCTGTAGTTTCATTCGCACTGACTTTATTCTGCTTGTAGGTCGACAGCGATGCGTAACCATAGACTAATCCACACGGGAGTTCGAGCGTGGGCATGCGCACGGTGCCCTAAAAGGTTCCGTATACGGTCCGACCTGCGAACACATATGAAACTAAAACATCCATACTACATAGCAGTTATAGAGGTTAGTACCCATGTTACTGATTCGTTATATAATATTTTACAGCCGACTTTAAAAAAGGTGGATGCCAATTCGGTGTTGTCACCACATAACTCTGTCAGTTTATATCTGGTGTGATGAAATAACAAGAACCTACATTGCGTGGCAATCTTTTTTCCTTTTTATTTAACAGTTTCCTCTTGTCGATGCAACTAATTCGTGCATCTTCTTTCAGCCAGCTCTATCCCAGGCCATATCCTTGACCTCCCTATACGACATGATATATATATACATACTAGCTGACCCCGCAAACGTTGTTTTACTTATTGCGAAATATAAAAATGTCGATTAAAATACAGGGGTTGATCGTAAAACGATGAAAACTTAAAGTTGTGTGTATTTTTCAATGCTAAATCATATTTAAATAAAAATAAAAAAATTGTCAAAACAATACAAAAAAATTTTGGGGAGGGTCACCCTTATTCATTCATTCATTCAGTCATTGACGGGTATGAAAAATAGATGTTGGCCGATTCTCAGATCTACCGAATATGCATACAAAATTTCATGAAAGTCGGTAAATATTCATATATATATATATATATATATATATATATATATATATATATATATATATATATATATATATATATATATATATATATATATATATATATATAGTGGTAACCGTCGACTATAGACATGAGCAGTACCATGGACATAACAGAGTATACTGTTTCGCCCATGATACTCCCCATGCGTTGCCATTCCTGAGGACTCAAGTGTTATTCCTCTGTACCCTGTAAATTCACGCCATATCCCACCCTTCAAACCGAAACACAGCCATGCAAACACAACTGCTTCACGATTGAAACACGAATGGGACAGAGGTACCCAAGCAAACGACTTGTACAAAGTCTCCCTCTGGTAGCTAGTATAATATTACAGGTGGTCGGTTCGAATCCTTCGCCGGACGAAGTGATGGCGGAGCTCGCAAGACACAACATACCACAAGAGAGAGTGATAGAAATAAGCAAAATGTCATTTAGTAAGGTAAACCGAACTCTTTTTATGTAAAAAATACTGCTTTTTGCCCGCTGCTTTGTCTGTGTGCATTTCAGAAGTAGGAAAACCAATGTAAACCAAAGTACAATAGGAATAGAGGGGGAGTGATTATTTATTTATTACATCCACTGGGTAAGCCTTACAGTCTTCCAATACGCTCACCCAGGAAAGCATGAGTACAATAACATATAAAAAGGAATATTACACAAAAATAACAAAAATAATATAAAAAGATTTAACTCAAACAAAAAACATCTGAACACAAATACTCTGTGGTCACTCGACTAAACTCCAGCAAGTTGGATGCAAATACATCCAATTGCGGATGCTGGCTCAAAATATCATTGAGTAGTTTCAACATTTATACATAGTTATATTCAACATTGGTCAGTTAACGGGTGATGATGATGATGATGATGATAAGATGATTAGATGATTAGTTTGTATCTTTTTTCGTAAGTTGTCGTGGCAACTACTGGCAAAGTTCCAATGGCCCAATGTTCACCAGTGGATAGTTAATGATGACGATGTCCGTATGGTCCCAGGGTACCCGTAGCCTGGTGCCTAGCTGTGCCCGGGCGCTGGCACTGTTGGGACACGTGCCTCGCACCCTGGCCTGCAGCCGTCTCCTCCACCAGAACCAAGCAGGTATCATACTTGTAAATATACGATTATGATAAAAAAAAACACCGACCCGCTAGTAAACCCTGTTGAATGCAAAAAGAATAATTGAAATCGGTTCGCAGTTGTTGGAGATATAGCGAAATATATATAATTTAAGATTTTGTTCCACAAAGATATTTATTATTGTTCAATATCTATACGGGAGTAAATCCTACACAATTATAAAAGGAATCATTAAAATCGGTTTAAAATTGGCGGCGTAATCGCTTAAAACACACACACCCACAGGCACACAATTATGATTGTATTGCTTGGGTACCTCGGTCCCATTCGTGTTTCTACCGTGAAGCAGTTGTGTTTGCATGGCTGTGTTTCGGTTTGAAGTGTGGGATATGGTGTGAATTTACGGGGTACAGAGGAATAACACCTGAGTCCACAGGAATGGCAACGCATGGGGGGTGTCATGGGCGAAACAGTATACAGTATAATAGGTCCAGTGGTTTAGTTTTTTAATTAAAATAACTGGTTTCGCCACAATTGAAGTTGGATTTTTGGTGTAATTTTTCTAAATAGAATCTTCGATTGAATTGTTTAGTGAACCAGCCGGCTCGTCGAGGTAGAGGCATAGCTAAGAACACCCGGCAGCCCAAGATCCTGCAGCGCGGCCATTTGCCTGCAATACAGGAACCCTCCAAGTACCCCATCACACTTGGTGTCACTGGCGAGGTATTGTTGATTCACTAGTTATGTCGCGCGGTTTTGTCCGATTTTGTTGTAATCGCGATAAAATATTTTATACTTTGACTTCGATGGTCGTTTTTAGCTCAATGGGAAAGGGGTTTTTTTTTTTTATGCAACTTAGAATGGCAAACAAGCTGACGGCCCACTTGATGGAAAGTGGTAACCGTTGCCTATAGACATGAGCAGTACCATGGACATAACAGACTATACTGTTTCGCCCATGATACTCCCCATGTTTTACCATTCCTGAGGACTCAGGTGTTATTCCTCTGTACCCAGTAAATTCACGCCACATCCCACCCTTCAAACCGAAACACAGCCATGCCAAACACAACTGCTTCACGGTTGAAACACGAATGGGACAGAGGTACCCAAGCAATCGACTTTTGTACAAAGTCTCCCTCTGGTAATGGTGTTCAATTGTCCCATTACTTTTTTTTTATGGGTCAAAATGCAATGGTATTTATTATTATTTCCAATAGATTGAATAATACCAATACAATACACACACTAATTGTACAACTACTAACAATAATAGATCCAAGTTGTCTACCAAAGGGAGACTTTGTACAAAAGACGATTGTTTGGGTACCTCTGTCCCATTCGTGTTTCAACCGTGAAGCAGTTGTGTTTGCATGGCTGTGTTTCGGTTTGAAGGGTGGGATGTGGCGTGAATTTACTGGGTACAGAGGAATAACACCTGAGTCCTCAGGAATGGTAAAACATGGGGGGTATCATGGGCGAAACAGTATACTCTGTTATGTCCATGGTACTGCTCGTGTCTATAGGCGACGGTTACCACTTTCCATCAGGTGGGCCGTCAGCTTGTTTGCCATTCTAAGTTGTATAAAATAAAATAATAAATAAATAAAATAAAGTTCAATAAACTAGAAATAATCCCTAGGAATTGAGAGACGCTGATGTCCAGCTGTTACTGCGCGATGGTGCGCTGGTCAACGGCAACCAGATGGTCCAGCTGGAAATTGATGACAACGTGCTGACAGAATGAATTTTTCTGTGTAAAATAATATAATTAATCGACAGTATCATTATAAATGAATTTTGTTTCAAGTTGTTTTTTTTATTACTTTTTGTAACCCCAAAAACCTGTCTTTCTTTGTAATGTTTCGTATTAAAATCTTTACAGATATTATAAAAGTGCAAGTCTAGACGTGGGTAATATATAGTAATATCTATATATTTTAGTTACAATATCTATATATTTGTTATTGTAACCACAAAGATCTAGCTATCTTTGTAATAGATAATGTTTCGTATTCAAATCTTTACAGATATTATAAAAGTGTAAGTCTAGAGGTGGGTAATATACAGTAATATCTATATATTTTAGTTACAATATCTATATATTTGTTTTTGTAACCACAAAGATCTATCTTTGTAATAGATAATGTTTCGTATTCAAATCTTTACAAATATAGCAAGTCTAGAGGTGGGTATATATAGTAATATATAGATATTGTAACTAATATATATAGATATTTGTTATTGTAACCACAAAGATCTAGCTATCTTTGTAATAGATAATGTTTCGTATTAAAATCTTTACAAATATAAAAGTGCAAGTCTAGAGGTGGGTAATATACAGTAATATATAGATATTGTAACTAATATATATAGTTATTTGTTATTGTAACCACAAAGATCTATCTATCTTTGTAATAGATAATGTTTTGTATTCAAATCTTTACAAATATAAAAGTGCAAGTCTAGAGGTGGGTAATATACAGTAATATATAGATATTGTAACTAATATATATAGTTATTAGTTATTGTAACCACAAAGATCTATCTATCTTTGTAATAGATAATGTTTCGTATTCAAATCTTTACAAATATAAAAGTGCAAGTCTAGAGGTGGGTAATATACAGTAATATATAGATATTGTAACTAATATATATAGATATTTGTTATTGTAACCACAAAGATCTAGCTATCTTTGTAATAGATAATGTTTCGTATTAAAATCTTTACAAATATAAAAGTGCAAGTCTAGAGGTGGGTAATATACAGTAATATATAGATATTGTAACTAATATATATAGCTAAAGATCTATCTATCTTTGTAATAGATAATGTTTCGTATTCAAATCTTTACAAATATAAAAGTGCAAGTCTAGAGGTGGGTAATATACAGTAATATATAGATATTGTAACTAATATATATAGATATTTGTTATTGTAACCACAAAGATCTAGCTATCTTTGTAATAGATAATGTTTCGTATTAAAATCTTTACAAATATAAAAGTGCAAGTCTAGAGGTGGGTAATATACAGTAATATATAGATATTGTAACTAATATATATAGTTATTTGTTATTGTAACCACAAAGATCTATCTATCTTTGTAATAGATAATGTTTTGTATTCAAATCTTTACAAATATAAAAGTGCAAGTCTAGAGGTGGGTAATATACAGTAATATATAGATATTGTAACTAATATATATAGTTATTAGTTATTGTAACCACAAAGATCTATCTATCTTTGTAATAGATAATGTTTCGTATTCAAATCTTTACAAATATAAAAGTGCAAGTCTAGAGGTGGGTAATATACAGTAATATATAGATATTGTAACTAATATATATAGTTATTTGTTTTTGTAACCACAAAGATCTATCTTTGTAATAGATAATGTTTCGTATTAAAATCTTTACAAATATAAAAGTGCAAGACTACAGGTAGATAATATACAGCGGTAGGTATCTATATATTAAAGTTACAATATCTAGATATAGATACCCGTATATACAGATATACCGGTCCAATAACGAATATGTTATCTAAAACATAATACTGGATAACAGACTTAACATATTCGCGATATGGGCGATATCGGAATGGGTGAGATGACCTTTTTTCCGCTGTCAGTGTCCAGAAGAACCTAACATATAGATATTGGATTGGTATTTTTATTGTATATAATGTACATTGGACACATTAAAAAAAATTTAATATATGTATAATGTCTTTTCAACCTTTGAGAAGCTGAAAGAAAACTTGTATAGTTTTCTTAGTAGTATTATTAGTGTTAGTAGATAGATAGATAGATAATTTATTTACATTACTTACAGCACACAAATTACAATTAAAACATACACATAATACACAGTAAAAGAGATAAAAGAATGAAAATAAAAAGCAACAAAACAAAAAAAAAAAGCAAAAAGCAAAATATATTAACCAACAATTTCCTTTTTTTCCTTTGCTTAGTAATAGTAGTACTTCTTAGTACGAGGGTATTTTTACCCTCGTACTAAGAAGCACTTTACAGCTAAAGATAAAACTAAATAATACCTAGTTATAATTAAATATATATTACAACAATAAACCACGTGACTCTCCCTGGAAACCATCGTGGTTGATTATTTTCGAATTCATCACAATCTGCATACTGACCTGCTTTCATCTTCACCTATCATCCCACAGTGGATCTCCGCTAGGGTATACCGTTAACATGAGAGCGATATCATTCGATTTTCATCCATGAACTAGTCATTGTTACCGACATATTAGTTTATTTATGAAAATATACATCTACCAAGATTACAAATTAATCAACACCCATTGTAATTATCTGATAATGACTTGATAAACTATCGCCATATCGGAAATTTTATGACAGTGATTTTATATCGTTAAAATTATAAATGCATTGTAGTTGTGATAAAATAATTTTGTTGTAAAAACAAGTGAAAATACTTGTTTAATTGAAAATTTATATGTAAAAATTGCAACAAATTTATACTGTTCACACCAGAAGTAGTGGTTCCAAAATTGAAAATTGAAGTTTTATGTGTAAAAATGTTACTGAATTTCTATCAATTGTAAGACGGTGCAAATAATTGTGTTCAGAATTCGAATTAGGAATTCTCGTTTTAATTATAGTGAAATCAAATGTGTAAAAAGTTTGAATTTATATTGGGAAGTGTGTAAATTAAAACTTTTACTATTTTTTTTAAATATGAGATTTCTGGTACCTTGTTTGCCTGATCCTAATGCAGATGGCGGTAGAACTAAACGGATTGACAGAGATATAAAAAACTGGATCAAACCATACAATGATGTGAGTATATTTTTGATGACTATGCAAAAATGCAGATGGCATTGGTACTTCTATCCCATGCGTGTTTTTGCCGTGAAGCAACTATGCTTGACTGTAGCCTTGAAGGGTGAGATATGGTAGTGAAAGTACTGGCTGAGTTGTCATTCAATGGCAACTCATAATTGGGCGTCACAATGTTTTTTTTCTAACGTACACAGTACTTATTATTGCTGTACTTACTATTGCTAGACGACAATTATCAATTTCTATCAGGTGGGTCGTCAGCTTTTTTATTATTGCAAGTTGCATAAAAACAAACCTCGCAAACAGTAACAGGGTCAAACGTAGTTTTAGACAAATTAACAGTCTGTTTCCACACCAATAAATTTGCAATTTTTACAATAAATTTTACACAAATATTTTCATTCTTCTTGATATTTAAAATAACCCTTACTGGGTAACAATAAAGGAACTAGATATGTTACAAACACGCTGAAAACGTAAAATGACGTTAATTTTACAACTACCCTCTACCCTTAATAACTTTAACATATGTATATTATTAACATTATTACCTGTCCACTGCTGAACATAAGCCTCCGCCTTGGGGGATTGCCAGTAGTTGTCATGCTTGGCAGGCGGGTTGGCAACCGCAATCAGGCTTTAGAGGTGTTTTAAGAGGGAAGCTACTGCCCATCCCTCGCCCTCCCTTAGTCGTCTCTTACGACACTCACGGGAAAGGAAGGGGTGGTCTATTTTATGCCTATGACCACACAGCCTAGTGTCTCTTTGCCCCATAGAAACCCTAAACTTTAAACTTTACAAACTTATTTAATTATTACCCTGTTTTGTCACTTTCTATTAAATTAGGCACCACCATGTACCCTCTTGTATAGGCATTCCGTCACCCGTATCCAATAGCGAGGACGGGATGCCTTAAATATTGCACCGCAAACCAAATATCAAATTAGGCATTTGTTGTAAATCTTCGAATATATAAAGTGATTATTAAAAAGGAAAAATTGATTGATTTATTTATTTATAAAAGACACACCAACAATATGCTCACAATAATTGAGCAGACAATATACAATGTTATTAGTAAGTAAAAGAGAAAAACTACTATTACAAAATGCTTAAATCTAAGTTTGAACAAAAAAATCTTACTCCTCACTACCAAGCTTAAGGCTATATGAACATATCATTAGATTTAAATTTAGAGATAATTCTGTATTATTATTAGATTAGGTTATGTTGAGGTAAAATAGATTAGACTCGACCTTTGTGATTTTTAATCTATGGTCTTGTCTCTGTGAAAAATATGTAGAAATTTGATGGTTTATTGATCTATGATGGGAGCTCTGTATTTTCTATACAACTTTAATGTCTGGGAATAAATAAATTAATTATATTGTAGTTGTAAATATGTTAGAAAAGTATTAAAACGGTGGTTATTAAGAAGAACAGTGTTAGTATTATTAATACAACAAATTATAATGAAAGACAAAGAGACAAATAGTAATATCGAATAATAATTTTAAATTATGTCAAAGTCTATATATACCATATATACTAGCTGACTCGGTAAACGTTGTTTTACCATATACATTATTTCTAGAACTATACATGAAAATGTATCGTACTACAATTATTATATTCGATTGTCATCTTGCAACCATATTGCGGCATATAAAAATTGCGATTAAATGACAGGGGTTGATCATAAAAACGTGAAAATTTGAATTTGTATGTATTTTTCAATGCTAAATCATAATAAAATAAAAATAAAAAATTTTGTCTAAAAAATAAAAAAAACTTTAGTGGTGGGTCACCGTTATCATTGAGGGGTATAAAGAATAGATGTTGGCCGATTCTCAGACCTACCAAATATGCACACAAAATTTCATGAAAATCAGTAAAGCCGTTTCGAAGGAGTTTGGTAACAAACACCGCGACATGAGAATTTTATATATATATTATTATAACATTTCCAACCATTATCAATAGAATTTAGCACCATTGTAATAGACTAAATAGTTAAATAGCTAAAATGGGGGGTAGTTTGGACGTTTTTTATGAATAAGGGGGGGTAGCATAACGTAATTATGTTTGTCCAAAGCATTAAACCACGCCCATGGTCAATACAATGCCCACTGCCCATGTCTATATGCGTCTGTTACCGCTTTCCATTAGGTGGGCCGTCAACTTGTTTGCCATTCTAAATTGCATAAAAGAAAAACATGAAAGTACCACTAAATCACAGATATGAATGATTAATCATTAATACTACTCTAACATGACTAACTATTCTATTTGTAGACGCTGATTAAGATTATAGTTCGTTAATCAATCACGCATCATCACTTGAATAACTGAAATATTTTACATTGTATTCATGTGAATTTTACAATGTAAATTTCATGTAAACATACCTAGGTATTATAAAGCTGTATAGATTAATTCTTATTACACTTTGAGTAATAAAAAAATAAACTTTTATTTTTAATCATCTAGATTCATTTTACGTAGAGGGGTACTATGCACAAATTGTTTTTTTTTAATGTGTGATAATGAATGGAATGGTAACCCAAGCTGATGGGGGAGAAAGGGATTGTTAGTAATGGAGTCTGAGCATCCTATTGCTAGCAATATATCCAACCAGGTCGACTTCCTCGCGGTTCTCCCTGGAAACTATCATGGTTAATTCCTGATGAATTCATCATGATGGGCTAACATACCTGTTTTCATTCTCATCTATCACCCTTCTCTGGTGCTCCGCCAGCGTATCCCGTTAGCGCAGGCGGAGTTACCATACCATTTTCACTCATAAAAAAAACCCAAGCTGATGGCTTACCTGATGGAAAGTGGTAACCGTCGCCTATAGACATGAGCAGTACCATGGACATAACAGAGTATACTGTTTCGCCCATGATACCCCCCATACGTTGCCATTCCTGAGGGCTCAGTTGTTATTCCTCTGTACCCTGTAAACTCACTGTCATATCCCACCCTTCAAACAGAAACACAGCCATGCAAACACGACTGCTTCACGGGTGAAACACGAATGGGACAGAGGTACTCAAGCAAACGACTTTTGTACAAAGTCTCCTTCTAGTATGTATTGTATTGTAAAGTCTATATTGTATTGTATTGTAAAAAAACAACTATTTATTTATTTCAGGCAATAAAACTATTGCTTCTGGGCACCGGCGAGAGCGGGAAAACTACAATAATAAAGCAAATGAAGATTTTACATGTACAAGGTTTCTCGTCGAGGTAACATAGCAATCAGTCAATCTATAGCATATATTACCGTGAAGCAGTTGTGTTTGCATGGCTGCGTTTCGGTTTGAAGGGGATATTGCGATATTGCGTGAATTTACTGGGTACAGAGGAATAACACCTGAGTCCTCAGGAATGGCAACGCATGGGGGGTATCATGGGCGAAACAGTATACTCTGTTATGTCCACGGTACTGCTCATGTCTATAGGCGACGGTTACCACTTTCCATCAGGTGGGCCGTCAGCTTGTTTGACATTGTAAGTTGTATAAAAAATATATATATTCTAGTCCAGTTTGCAGAATCTTCCTGACAATTCGCCGTGTATTTAGGATTACGGCTTACTTTCTGTAACTGTTACAGTGACCGAGAAGAGAAGGTGAAGTACATAAGGCATAACGTACACGAGTCTATATATGACATTGTTCGCAACATGACCCCGCTCAGTATTGGACTGCAGAATATCAAGAATGTACAGGCGCAACAGTACATCCTGAAGTGTGGACCGGACGGGCCCCCTGAATACAACGAGGTATTTATAAAAGCTTAGAATAACAGTTTGAGTGGAGACCGCGAATCGGCAAGCGTTGTATGCGACGACCTGGGGCTTTTTTTGTGGATCAAAATGGAATGGTGACCTCATCTGTGCTATCGGTATGCAGTGGTGGGGTACCAGTGATGGATGACAGGTGATGATGAAAGCAGGTCATCATTAGCTCACTGCAATGTAGTTATCATAATTAAGGTTGTGTTTCACAAAAACAAAACTAGTTATATATATATATATATATATATATATATATATATATATATATATAATATAATAATATAAAATTCTCGTGTCGCAGTGTTTGTTACCAAACTCCTCCGAAACGGTTTTACCGATTTTTATGAAATTTTGTGTGCATATTGGGTAGGTTTGAGAATCGGCCGACATCTATTTTTCATACCCGTCAGTGATAAGGGTGAACCACCCCTAAATATATATATTTATATATATATTTTTTGACAACTTTTTTAATTTTTATTTTATTATGACTTAGCATTGAAAAATACAAACAAATTCAAATTTTCACGCTTTTACGATTAAGCCCTGTTTTTTGATAGCGATTTTTATATTCCGCAATAGGCTTGCAAGATGGCAATCGAATATAATAAATGTAGTACGATAAAGTTTCATGTATAATTCTCGAAATAACGTATATATATATATATATATATATATATATATATATATATATTCTGTAAGTACCGATTTGGTAATTTATTTTATCTGATAATACCTATATATTTTTAGAGTGATCACGTGTATCAATCCACTCAGGGTTTGCTGGAAGAGAACTCTTACAGAGTTAAGCTCGCCTGTTGTACATCTTTATTTTATATATATATATATTATATGTTTGTAATTTTTTGTGTACAATCAAGAATAAATAAATAAATAAACAATGATTAGATCAAAATAACTGATTTTGTCATAACTGAAGTCGGTTTTTTGTGCGACACAATCTTAAATTATAATATTACTAAGAATTAATAGAAATATCCACTTTCAGGAGTATTTTGACTATGTGAGGGCGTTATGGAAGGATGGCGGCGTGAGGGAATGCTTCAGCAGATCCAACCTGTACCAGCTCATTGATAGTGCTCAATAGTAAGTCTTCTTTTAGGGTTCCGTACTGAAAAGGTACAAGGGAACTCTTATGGTGCGGCTTTGTCAATCAATAAATCAACAATTATGGTATTTACTTTATATCAGAAACGCTATACATGAAAATTATTTTATAAAGGTCATTTTATGTCATTTTATGTAAAGAACCCTTGGCGTGTGAGTTCAACTCGCTCTTGACCGGTTTTTTTTTTTAACGATAGAACGTTTTAAAATTTTTAAATATAGGGTCATGCATCTAGCTGTCGTGTGATTAGGAACACTTTTAACAAACAAACAGAAAAAGAGTTTATAAAATAGTTTAAGATTTTATCCAGAAAAAAAAAATACCGACCTCGATATTGTCAAAACCAGTTATATCAATTTAAAAACTAAACTGCTGAATTGATTTCGATAAAATTTGCGCCAATCTACAAGTATATCATTTCGGATAAAATAATAATTTTCCAAATTAATTTATAAACGACGGTGTTCTGAGTTAGCACAAAAAAATGCAACCGAATTGAGGGCCTCCTTTTTTGAAGTTTTTTTTTTTACAACAGGGGGCAAACGAGCTTACGGCTCACCTGATGGTAAGTGACTACAGCCGCCCATGATCACCCACAACACCAGTTGCATTGCAGGTGTACTGCCGGCCTTTTAAAAAGGATAATGCTCTTTTCTTGAAGGTTATGTTGTCGTATCGGTTCGGAAATACTGCTGCTGGAAGTTGATTCCAAAGAGTGGTTGTGCGTGGAAGGAAGTGCCTTGAAAAACGCACGGTGGAAGACCGCCACTCGTCCAGATGATTGGGATGAAACTTTAGTTTGTGGCGGGTTGTACGGTGGTGGAAGTTGTTTGAAAACAACTTTTTAACTATTTTCTCTTTTTATATTTATAGCTTCCTAGATAGAATAGATCTTATAGAGAAGCCTGATTACGTGCCGACAGACGCGGATATCTTGAGGTGTCGGCAGAAGACCACCGGGATACAGAAAATTGAATTTAAAGTTAAGGTGAGTAGAGATGATAATGGAATTGTAACCCAGAGGGAGACTTTGTACAATAGTCGATTGCTTCGGTACCTCTGTCCCATTCGTGTTTCAACCGTGAAGCAGTTGTGTTTGAATGGCTGTGTTTCGGTTTGAAGGGTGGGATATGGCGTGAATTTACTGGGTACAGAGGAATAACACCTGAGTCCTCAGGTATGGAAACGCATGGGGGGTATCATGGGCGAAACAGTATACTCTGTTACGTCCATGGTACTGCTCATGTCTATAGGCGACGGTTACCACTTTCCATCAGGTGGGCCATACCATTTTCACTCATCAAAAAAAAAAATGCATGTTACAAGAATCTGCCTTTTAAATTTTTTAATATTTTTTTTTCAGGTACCTAAAGCGATGCATGGGGGTGTTCAGGACTTCTGGATGTTCGATGTTGGTGGACAGAGGGGGGAGAGGAAGAAATGGATACAGGTATAAAATACTTGATCATTATTGTTGCAGTAAAAACTCTTAACCAGTCGAAAGTACTATTGACTAGCAAAATCAGTGTAAAGTACTTTTGACTAAAATAACAGTTAAAAGTACCTAATTTAACCTAACCGCAAATTTGCGGGGGGAAAGGGATTGTTAGTAATGGAGTTTGACAGCCCCATTGCTAGCAATATGCCTTATTAGGTCGACCTACACGTGGCTCCCCCTGGAAACCATCGTGAACAATTCTTGTTGAATTCGTCACGATGGGCTAACTGACCTGCTTCATCCTCACCTATCATGCTTCACTGGTGCCCCGCCGGTGTATACCGATAGCGCGGGTGGGGTTACCATTCCATTATCACCCATTAAAAAAAATACAGTGTCATAGGAAGTAAAGAATGGACAGCAGTAGTGCAAAAGAGTAAAGAAAATAAGTATTTATAAAATTTACACAAACAGACTCATATTCTGGAATGTTCGATAGGTGTTCGAAGGTATCCACGCCATCTGGTTTCTGGTGGCCTGCAGCGACTTCGACCAGACTCTGAGGGAAGACGAGACCCAGAACAGGCTGAAGGAAGCGTTAGTTCTATTCGAAGATGTGTGGTTAAGCAGGTAATTCATACTTCTTATTTGAACTTCTAAATTGACTAGGAATAGTCCGTATTACTAAAAATCTTTTCCTTCTTAGACTATGGTGTTTTTTAGTGGATGATAATGGAATGGTAGCCATTCCGGCCAAGCCCCACTTTTGCGCTTTGGAAAGGGATTGTTAGTAATGGAGACTGTGAATCCCATTGCTAGCAATATACCCAACTAAGTAGACCTCTTCGCCTCCCACTTATTCCAGGTTCCTTCTACGAGCGGGCCTAATAGTGTTCCTCAATAAGCAGGATCTACTGCAGCACAAGATCTCGCAGGGACGCTGCATCGGGGACTACTTCCCGGAGTATCACGAGTTCGAAGCATCAGGCGATGAGTACAATCGCACTAAATTGTTCATCAGGAGTATGTTTGCTGTGAGTATATCAGTACATATTAAGGGTCGGTAATATCTAATAATATCTATATATTGTATTTACAATATCAATTGTTTTTTATACCACTGATGTGGCGAACAATCATACGGCCCACCTGATGGTAAGTGGTTACCGTAGCCTCGGTTTGAAGGGTGGGATATGGCGTGAATTTATTGGGTACAGAGGAATAACATCCGAGTCCTCAGGAATGGCAACGCATTGCTAGTATCATGGGCGAAACAGTATACTCTGTTATGTGCATGGTACTGCTCATGTCTACAGGCGACGATTACCACTTTCCATCAGGTGGGACATCAGCTTGTTTGCCATTCTAAGTTGTAAAAAAATTAACATCCGAAGGATCTTAATATATAAATATCAGATATTACCCATTTCTAGTATATAGATTACTATTGAAATCTTTTGGAGGGAACAATAAAGAGTATCTATCTATCTAGATTACATCAGGCATGCCCTTCTATAGAGTAAGTGGAGCTATAAAACAGTAAAACTCTTTCAATGGAATTTAATGAAAATAAACGAATAATTGAATCGACCATAAGACAGTTTACTAATAGTAGTCCAATAGTAGTAGAAATAAATATTTGATTAATCGATTGAACAAATCGATTTGTTACTTTTTTTTTTTTACAACACAGGGGGCAAACGAGCATGCGGCTCACCTGATGGTAAGTGACTACCGCCGCCCATGATCACCCACAACACCTACGACATTGCAGGTGTGCTGCCGGCCTTTTAAAAAGGAATATGCTCTTTTCTTGAAGGTTATGTTGTCGTATCGGTTCGGAAATATTGCTGCTGGAAGTTGATTCCAAAGAGTGGTTGTGCGTGGGAGAAAGTGCCTTAAAAAACGCACGGTAGAGGACCGCCACTCGTCCAGATGGTTGGGATGAAATTTTAGTTTATGGCGGGTTGTACGATTAATTGCATTTCATTTATTATTATTGTTAAATTTTACCAAAATTCTCATCTCCCCTCTTAAGGAGAGGAGATGGCAACTAACCCCCGGCAGAAGCACAGTCGGCCGGGGTTCAGGGCCTCAGGGAGAGAAACCGGCGCACAATGCGGGCAGAATCTAAGAGCACCGCATTCTGCATCTTTCCCGGGAGTGAGCCGCCTTGGAATCCCAACCGTCTGAGATGTTGTTCCAGACTGGTTGGGATAAGACCGTTCACCGACATAACGATTGGGATGATTTCGGTAGATGTCACCCCCCACATTTCGGTCACCTTGTGAGCCAGGTCGAGATATTTTCTCTTCTTCTCGGTTTCGGCTTTCACGAGGTTCTCGTCATGCGGTATGGTGACATCCACCAAAAACACCCTCGAAAGTGCCCGGTCCATCACCACGATATCAGGTTTGTTCGCAAGAACAGTCCTGTTCGTGATGATGGATCGGTCCCAGTAGAGCCTGACGCTGTCGCTTTCGAGGACCGGCTATGGCTCGTACTTATAGTACGGCAACCTCTCATTCGCGAGGCCGTACTTCAGAGCTAGCTCTTGATGGAGTATTTTGGCTACCTGGTTGTGCCTGTGCAAGTACTCTGTGTTGGCAAGAGCTGAACAACCCGAAAGCACATGTCTGAGTGACTCTCCGGGATGGCGACATGCTTGACAGATGTCCTCAGTGCCATCCTTCAGAATGTGCTTTCGGTAATTGTTCGTCTTAACCACCTGATCCTGTATTGCACAGACAAAACCCTCGGTCTCTCCGAAGAGATCAACGAACTGTAGCCAGTGCACGGAGGTCTTCGTGTTTACGTACGGCCCGTGAAGGGCTTTGAAGAACCTTCCGTGCAACTCCTTCTCTTTCCATACGGCCTCCCGCTGAGAGGTACCCAAAACTTCGGGTTTTCGCCAGTCCTTATTATTATTATTATTTCAGTGATAATTTCAACAAGACTTGACTATCATTTCATTAAATTTTATTGAAACAAGCTTATAAATGCTTAGATTATAATAATAAACGTCTTTAAACTTTGCACAAAAAACATCTAATTGGGTACTTCTGTCCCATTCGTATTTCTGCTGCTGCAGTGTTTATATTTACATGGTTATATTTCGATTAGAAGGGTGGAATATGGCAGTGAAATTATAAGGTACTTATGGAGATATAACACCTTTGGAAGGTATCTTGGGTGCCGCAGTATATACTGTGTGACGTCTACGGTACTGGTGAATCGTCTGATAGATCATTAATAAAGTATTCGTATTATTTTTCAGAATCTAACCAAAAAGAAACGCGAGAGGAAGCCAATAGCGGCGTCCGCTGAAAGCTTCGTCATCCAGGAAGTGAACCGTCCGAGGGAGTGCTACTTCCACTTCACGACCGCCACAGACACGGATAATGTCAGAACAGTCTTCAAAGATGTCCACCAGATGATATTAGCGGAAATACTGAACAATATTGGCGTTTATTAATAGATAGAAATAGTATTTTAACTAGTTATGACAGACTTCTATTGCTTGCGATTGACTTCGACTAGTAGTAATTGAATTTGACGGGTTATGACTGACTTCTACTGGTTGCGACTGACTTCGACTAGTTGAAAACGATTTCGATTGGTTATGATTGTGACTAAATTGGACTATTTGTAACTGACTTCGACTACTTGAATCCGACTTAGACTTGACCGACTCGACTATGTTGTGGGTGATTTGTACTGGTTGAGCCCGACTTCAGCTAGTTGCTGTTGCTACCTACTTCGACTAGTTGTGATTGAATTTAACTGGTTGTGACTCTCTCTGATTGGTTGGGGCCGAATTCAACTTGTTGCGACTTATTTCGACTATCAATGAGTGACATTGACTATTAACGACTGACTTCGACTATTTCGACTAAGTTCTAATGAACTTTGACTTTTTAGATATTTATTTTTATTTATTTATGATAATTATATTGTCCAAATGTAGCTCATGGTTCAAAGGCGGATTTAATGATAAATGATATCTATTTATTGATAAAATATATTATTTATTTAGGAATTTTTGTCCACTTTTGACATTTCAATCATCTCCTAGTTTAACTTTTGTTTTCAAATACTATATCATGGGGCTTGCCTGTTATAATAATAAAGAACGATGTTTTAATAAATAACAAATGTATTTATTTTGGATCGATCGTCCAATATTTAACGCAGTGACAGCAGCACGCACATTCAATTATCTATATTAGTTTTAAAAAGAGTAAAGATTTGTTTGTTTTAATGATTAAACTCAAAAATTACTCAACTAATTTAAAAAAAAATCCCCTATAGAAGTCCATTTTATCAGCAAGTAAGTGGTAAGTGGTCCCGGCATACTCGTAGAATTGGCCACTCTTTTTTTTCTCGTGGATGTTGTAAGAGCCGACTAAAGGAACATAACCGTCGAGCGACCAGCAGTAGCGTCCCTCTTAAAATATCACCAAAGTCTAACTGCAGTTGCCAACCTGCCTGCCAATTGTGGCAACTACTGTCAAAATCTAATGTCAAAATAGGAGGAGGCCTATGTTCAGCAGTGGACGCTTAACTGTTGTTTTATCATTTCATCAAATAGTTTCATAATCAAGGTTAATTATAGACATGAATTTACAGGGTACATAGGAATAACACCTGAGTCCTCAGGAATGGCAACGCATGTGGGGTATCATGGGCGAAACAGTATACTCTATTATGTCCATGGTACTGCTCATGTCTATAGGCGACGGTTACCACTTTCCATCAGTTGGGCCGTCAGCTTGTTTGCCATTATAAGTTGTATAAAAAAAATGTAAAAATAAAAACAAAACAATAGCACAATTGAAAAGGAATGGAGTGATTAAAACAATAAGAGAGAATAAGACGGCCAGTGTTTGTCATATGCAAATGTTTTAGGGGCGTTAATTAGTCCCATTTGGAAGTCTTATTTTAGCGAGCTTTTAATGTATGAGTCCTATATTAAGAAAGAAGTTAATATAAGAAGAAGTCCAACTACGGAGAAGAAGATCTGCCTAACTCAGGTATTGCTTCAGTGACCTGGGAATAATCGCCCACGGAATTGATAATACTGAGTATAAAGCGTCAACTTTTATAGTGAAATTCAACAGGTTTACTCAGGGGGGAGGGGAGGGATTGTTAGTAATGCGAACTACCAGTCCTAATGCTAGCAATATACCCCGACAGGTCGACTTCCGCGCGATCCCCTCTGGAAACCATCATGCTAAATTCCAGGTGTATTAATCACGATGAGCTAACTGGCCTACACTTTCATTTTCACTTATCATCCCTCACTGGTGCTCCGCCGGTATATACCAATAGCGCAGGCGGGGTTACCATTGCATTATCATCCAATAAAAAAAAAAAAACTGGTTACTCAAGGAACAGTCCAGGGATCGGCGAGCAGTTCCTTACATATCCTAGGTTATGTTAAAGACATGAATACTATTTTCCAGTTTCAATAAATAAATAAATAATGGTATGGTAACCCTGCCTGCGTTATCGGTATACACTGGCAGGGCACCAGTGATAGATGACATGTAAGGATGAAAGCAGGTCAATTAACCCATCCAGACGAATTCAACTAGAATTAGACACGATGGTTTCCAGGGGAAACCACGTGGAGGTTGACCTGATGGGGTATATTCCTAGTAATGGGACTATTTGACCCCATTATAAACAATCCCTTTCCCCCCGTACTTCCTAGTTTGCCGACGATACCTGCCTTTTTATTTCAGGCTCTTTACACGAACTACATATAATAGAAATCACTGAATAATTGCAGAATGATTATGATAAACTATATCTAAATCCTATCTTTTATATTTATTTTCAAAAATCTTACATCATAAAACAGTAAAACTCTTTCAATGCAATTTAATGAAAATATAAGTAAACGAATAATTGAATCGATTATAGGACAATGTACTTATAGTAGTCCAATAGTAGTAGAAATGAATATTTGATTAATCGATTGAACAAATCGATTTGTTAATAATTACATTTAGAAAGTGTTCCTGTGATCATTTCAACAAGACTTGATTATGATTTCATAAAATTTTATTGAAACAAGCTAATTAATGCTTATATTATAATAATAAACGTCTTTAAACTTTGTACAAAAATCATCTAATTGGGTACTTCTGTCACATCATATTTTAACAACCAATCAACGTGTCCTAACAGCACATTATCCATAGTACCAGTTTGCGACATACCAAAACGCATATAAAAGAGACAATTATTCGCTGGATTCGTCTTAAAATTGATAGATCTTCAGGATAGCAACATGGCTCCATCTATAAAGAAGCAGAAGACCAGATCCGCCAGAGCTGGCCTTCACTTCCCAGTTGGAAGAATCCACAAGATACTCCGTAAAGGAAACTACGCACCCCGTATCGGTGCCGGAGCGCCCGTGTATCTAGCGGCAGCCCTAGAATACCTTGCAGCCGAAATACTCGAGTTGGCAACCGAAGCGGCGAAGGACAACAAGAAAGGCAGGGTTGTGCCAAGACACATCTTGTTCGCGATAAGAAACGACGAGGAACTGAACAAGATGCTGTCCGGAGTCACGATTTCTCAAGGTGGCGTCATACCAGCAATCCAACCGCAATTGTTGCCAAAGAAAACTGCGAAAAGTAACACCTCCGAGTGAATAAATAATGTTGAATGCACTCATACTTGTGCTAATGTCAAGGTTTGCATTCCGACGAGGATTTCAAAGACTGATTGACAAAGTCCTGTTCAGGATTGCAATAAATATATTTATTGATTGAGAGTTCGAAGTGAATGGTTATTTTTTTTTATTTTAAATTTATATTAACACTAAATAAATAAATAAGTTAAGACAATTAATAATAATTCAACGAAGGGTATAAAGCCAGATTGACAAAGTCCTTTTCAGGACTGCTAAATCATTGTTTCTCTCTGATAATGTCTTAAGAATTCCCAAATGTAACACTGCAGGGAGAGCCTGTATAAAGGTCGACTGAATGGGTACCAGGACGTGGGAGGAAGGCTGAATGAACGGCGTAAGACATAGACATATCATGCCATATCTCTCTCTATTGGGGAGGTTTTCCAGTGGTTGTTACGCTTTACAGGTGGGTTGGCAACCGCAGTTAGGCTTTGACGACATTTTAAGAGGAACGCTGCTCTCCATCCTTCGACCAATAAATTTCCTCAATCGCCTCTTACGACACTTACGGGAAAGTAAAGGGTGACTCATTCTAAATCTTGTAAGGCATCGCAACTTGGGAAAAATACAAATGAGAATTGAATAAAAGGTTTTTCAAATTAAATCTTTTTAAACTGGGGACCTCATTTAATTTTACCGTCCCGGACTTCTGACAGGTTTAGTCTTCCACTGGTGGGGATACCTAGGGAAGGGCCGGTCGACTTAGACAGATATATAATTTATTTGCATTACTTACAGCAAACAAATTACAACAAACAGGGGAGACAGGGATTGTTAGTAATGATACTTAACCACCTCATTGCTAACAATACACTCCAGTAGGTCCTTCTCCACGGTTTCCCTTGGAAACCATAGTGTGTTACTTCTTGTTCAATTGGCCACTATGGGCCAACTGACCTGCCATCATCCTCACCTATCACCTTTCACTGGTACCCCGCCAGCGTATACCGATAGCGCAGACGGGGTTACCATTCCATCTTCACCCATCAAAAAAAAAATCACAACAGACATAAATATAGACATAGTACACAAAAAGAGAGAATAAAGAAATACATATACAAAAATAGTAATATATATAAAATAGGAAACACTCATGCCAAAAACTGGCAAAACCCCTCAATTGGAGGAGGCCTATGTCCCGCAATGGATAGTTAACGGTTGATATATTGGTGATGATAGTGAAACACAATGATGGTGATGATGATGATGATGAAACGTACGCAGTAATCTTATAGCCTTTTTAAAAGTGCAGCTTGCAGAACAAGCTTTGGCCGCGAAAACGCGTCTGTATAATGTCAAAATCAATTTTACTAGCGAAAGACTTTGTACAAAAGTCATTTTCTTGGCCACCTCTGTCCAATTCGTGTCTCTACCGTGAAGCAGTTGTGTTCGCATGGCTGTGTTTCAGTTTGAAAGGTGGTATATGGCAGTGAATTTACAGGGTACAGAGGAATAACACCTGAGTCCTCAGGAATGGCAACGCATGGGTGGTATCATGGGCGAAACAGTTTACTCTGTTATGTCCACCGTACTGCCCATGTCTATAGGCGACGGTTACCATTTTCCATCAGGTGGGCCGTCGGCTTGTTTGACACTAAGTTGTAAAAAAAAAAACTAAGCCTGAACATGACATTCATTTTGACAGTCACTCTGTGTTCATGTCAAAATAAAAAGTTGATATACCTCGTCATTATGTTTTGTTTATTTATAATTTAATTTAAATTCAATTGAAATAATTTAATCATATGTGTCTATTATTAATATTTTAATTCATTTAATTACATTTAATAATTTAATTCTACTTTAATGTTTTTTAAACACAAAACATGTTGGTTGCCTCTAAATTTAAGAACGGTCACCCGTAATCCACTAGTGTATTGTATTTAAATGTTTCGCTGTATCTTATTAACTCTTGTAACTAGCTACCTGGTGATAAATGGTAACCATCGACAATAGACATGAAGCACTATGGACATCGTTGCATACATTGTGACGCCCTCACACGCCTTATTCTGATAAAATTAAAGTTATTCGTCGACTATGTTCAGTTTTTTTTTTCAGTGACCATAGTGTTATTAATAGTTTTTTTTTATTTATTAAAAAGGAAAGCATTTATAGCTTTTTAAATTCTATTTACGTTAATCACTACAGTAGAAACAGACTGCTGCAGTCCTTAAAAGAACTTTTGTCAAAAATATAATCTAATTTAATGTGACCTAACCATAGTAAAATTACAAAACGTAACGATAAAAACACGCGACCAAAGACTATCCTCTCTCCCCTCGCAGTCTTCGCGCCAACTGCATATCTTTGGGCATTATTGTTACTCTCTTTGCGTGGATTGCGCATAGATTAGTATCTTCAAACAGGCCAACTAAGTAGGATTCACATGCCTCTTGCAGCGCCAACACCGCTGAACTCTGAAAGCGGAGATCCTCTTTGAAATCTTGAGATATTTCCCTCACTATTCTTTGAAAGGGCAACTTTCTCATTAATAATTCTGTGCTCTTTTGATATTTTCTTATTTCTCGCAACGCCACAGTGCCCGGCCGGTATCTGTGCGGTTTTTTCACGCCGCCAGTAGCGGGAGCGCTTTTTCTAGCTGCTTTTGTCGCTAGTAGTTTACGGGGGGCCTTGCCTCCGGTCGATTTCCTCGCGGTTTGTTTCGTTCGCGCCATTTTGTATCTGTATTCGAATGTAACCTTTTCGATAATGGCGATTCTAGCCAATGGATGTTTATATATAAGATTGCCCCTCTTTATCCCTACTATTTTTGCAAGGTTTTTTAATTATATGTGGGTAGTTGATAATTTTATTACACTTGCTACTAGGCAACTGTATAATATCGCAGTTATATGTGTATGTATATATATATATATATATATATATATATATATATATATAGATTTTAGTTATAACGGTTAAACGAATTTTAATAAAATTAATCTTTTTTTTTATACAAATTAGAATGGAAAATAAGGTAACGGCCTACCTGATGGCAAGTGATAACCGTCGCCTATAGACAAACAGTATAGTGGACATAATAGAGTATAGTGTTTTATCCATGTTTCCCCCAATTCGTTGCCTTTCTTATAAATTAAGAGGTTTTTTTTTGTGGGTGAAAATGGAATGGTAACCTTGCCTACGCTAACGGGATACGCTGGCGGAGCACCAGTGAAGGGTGATAGATGAGAATGAAAACAGGCCAGTTAGTCCATCATGATGAATTCATCAGGAATTAACCATGATAGTTTCCAGGAGGAACAGCGAGGAGGTCGAACAGGTTGGGTATATTGCTAGCAATGGGATTCTCAGTCTCCATTATTAACAATCCCTTTCGCCCCGGATTAAGGTGTTATGTCTCTGTACTCTGTAAATTTACTGCTATATCCCACCCTTCAAACTGAAACACAACCATGCAAACAACTGCTTCACGGTAGAAACACGAATGGGACAGAGATACCCAAGCAAACTACTTTTGTACAGTCTTTCTTTAGTTATTCACTTATTTATTTTTTTATTATTATTATTTCAGCCGTTAATTGTCCACTGCTGGACATAAGCCTTCCCCATAAGGGAAGTTTTGCCAGTAGTTGCTACATTTGGCAGACGGGTTAGTAACTGCAGTTAGGCCTTTAGAGATGTTTTAATAGAGACGTGATGTCCATCCCTCGCCCGGGAAAGGAAGAGTTGGTGTATTCTATGCCGGGACCACACGGCAGTTAACTTACTTATTATAATTGACGTAATATCACTCAGAAACAGTAAAACTGCGGTCCTCATAAGGACCTTGTCAAAAATATAAATAACAACAACAAATTAATTTACAACAATTTATTCACAACAAATTTGATTCATGTATCCATCAACCACCAAAGCCGTATATTGTACGCCCTTGCCTCTTCAAAGCATAGACAATATCCATGGCCGTCACAGTTTTTCTTTTCGCGTGCTCCGTGTATGTGACCGCGTCGCGGATGACGTTCTCTAAAAATACTTTCAACACGCCACGCGTTTCCTCGTAAATCAAACCCGATATCCTCTTCACGCCCCCTCGTCTCGCCAATCTTCGGATAGCGGGTTTTGTTATTCCTTGTATATTGTCGCGGAGCACTTTCCTGTGACGTTTAGCGCCACCTTTGCCTAACCCTTTCCCGCCTTTTCCGCGGCCTGCCATTTTTTTTGTTTGTTTTTTATTGCACTACGGTCGATGGACAAATGTAGTTAAGCGGGCGAGCTACGTTTTTATATAGCGTAGATAGATTAAAAATATGAAGGTAGATATTAAACAAAAATTATTGTGGGTGCAGAGAAAATTTTATGATAAGTTAATTGTTTATTGACTTTATATGCAATTTGTGTTTCGGTTTGAAGGGTGCGATATGGCGTGAATTTACAAGGTACAGAGGAATAACCTGAGTCCTCAGGAATGGCAACGCATGGGGGTATCATGGGCGAAACAGTACACTCTGTTATGTCCATGGTACTGCTCATGTCTATAGGCGACGGTTACCACTTTCCATCAGGTGAGCCGTCAGCTTGTTTGCCATTCTAAGTTGTATAAAAAAAAATATGCAATTTACGATTTTGTGTTATTGTACAACTAATAATTAAAGATTGCATTCCACAAAAAAAAAAACCGACATAAATTGTGACAAAACCAGTTATTTTAATATAAAAACTAAACTAGCGAACGAATTTTAATAAAATTTCTATAGGACTAATCTGTAAGTATGTTCTTTCAGATAAAAAGACAATTTGTTAAATCGATTTTGAACTTACGGAGTTATGAGGCAACAAACAAATAGAAAAACTGAATTCTCAACCTTCTTTTTTTTGAAGTCATTGAAAAATACAAGCGAACAAATCAATAGATAATCCTTATTTATTGTAAAAAGTATTATTGTAAATTTTATTAAAAAAAAAAACAATTATAGCTGTTGTATCAGCCGTTGACTGTCCACTGCGTCCCTCTTTTTTTTTTTAATGGATGAAAATGGAACATTATCACCGCCTGCGCTATCGGGATACGCTGGCGGAACACCAAAGAGGGATGGTAGCTGAAGATGAAGCAAGTCACTTGGCCTATCGTGATGAATTCATCAAAAATTAAACACGATGGTTTCCAGGGGGAACCACGTTGGGGTCGACCTGTTATATATTGCTAGTAATAGGGCTCTTGGATCTCATTACTAACAATCTCTTGTCCCTCTGCGTCCTTCTTACAACATTTCTATAGCTTGACTGTGGTTGCCAATCCGCTTGCCAAGTATGGCAACTACTGGCAAAACCCTCCAAGGGGCAAGCTTATGTTCAGCAGTGGACAGTTAAAGGCTCATACGACAATGATGACGAATTGTCAAAAAAAAATATAAAATTAACAAATGTCTTAGTATAGTATACATTTTATCCATACATACATGTTCTCCACGTGGGTTACCCTGGAAACCATCGTGCTGAATTCGAAGTGTATTCATCATCATGGACTAATTGACCTGCCTTTTCATACTCGCCTATCATCCCAAACTGGTGCATCGCCAGCGTGTACCTATAGCGCAGACGTGGTTACCATTCCATTACAATCCATTAAAAAAAATACGCTGGTGAGCCACTACTGAGTGAGGATAGGTCCTCACCTATCTCATGAAGCTTGCTCATGAAAGCAGTTCAGTTCACCCATCGTGATGAATTCAACAAGCGTGAACCACGATAGTTTCCGGGAGGAGCTGCGTGGATGTCGACCTGATAGGGTATGCTGGTAGCAAGCATTCGTGTTTCAACCAAGAAGCAGTTGTGTTTGCATGGCTGTGTTTCGGTTTGAAGGGTGGGATATGGCGTGAATTTACTGGGTACAGAGGAATAACACCTGAGTCCTCAGGAATGGCAACGCATGGGGGGTATCAGGGGCGAAACAGTATACTCTGTTATGTCCATGATACTGCTCATGTCTGTAGGCGACAGTTACCACTTTCCATCAGGTGGGCCGTCAGCTTGTTTACCATTCTAAGTTGTATAAAAAAAATAATTGACATATCAAAACTCCTCTAACTTGATTGGTCGAATTTTAAATCGAAATTCGATTACTTACATCTTTAACATAGTACCAGTTTGCAGCAAAGGAATATCTATAAACATCTTTAAACGTGCCTGTCATGTAAAAGATAAAATAAAAAAAAAACATGGTCGCTAAGAAGCAAACGAAACCGCCAAAGGCGTTGACGTCATTAGAAAAACCAATAGAGAAACCTATATCGAAGATTAAGAAGAACAAAAAGAAGAATTACCAGAGCTTCTCGATTTATATATTTAAAATGCTTAAAACCATGAATCAAGATAATTTGAGAATATCGAGGAAGTCAATGCTGATAATGAATAATTTCGTGAACGACATGCTGGAGAAGATCGCAATTGAAGCTGGCAGATTGGTAGCACACAGCAAGAAGACAACATTGGGAAGTCGAGAAATACAGTCCGCTGTCCGATTGCTTCTACCTGGTGAGCTGGCAAAACACGCAAACATTGAGGGAATGAAGGCTGTAACTATGTATCACCAGAGTCAAATACGCGACACCGCAGAGAAATAAAAAAAAAAAAAAAAAATTAAAAATAAAATTAAAAATTTTTTTTAAATAATATTGTTGATTGTTAATTATAATTTTAATTGTTTATTACGTGGCCCTTTTCAGGGCTGAAATTATTGTTTCTGGTTTGGTATTATATGCCCAGGCTTAGTTTAAATTGTGCTTTTTGTATGTTATTTTTTATATATTTATTTCCTTGTTACAATACCGTATCCATCGGTCCATCAAGTGTGTAAGATGCGCCGGAGAATGCGCGGCCGCCGATTGTAACCGGCCGCGCGACCACAAGCCTTCCTGCGCCATCTGCGCTAAGCCGCACACCACTAACGATAGGCAGTGTGCAGTCTACAAGAGGGAGGCACGCCGCAGGGGAATCCAAACCTGCCCTACGCCCCCACAGGGGGCTTGTACCTTTTCTACAATGTTTGTAGCAAATAAATTTCATTTCATTTCATTTCACAGTACCGACGTCCGCCCCAGGCGTCAATAGGTGCGCAAACGTGTCCTCGCAAACGGCGCCGACACGCGCGCAACATCCGACGCGCGCCTCAGTACTTCAGCGTACATTTCAGCCGTTGGCACCGGTTCCGGTGACAGCTGTGCCACCGTCAGCGTCAACTCGGGGCACACTCATGGCCCCGGCAAATCCACCCACAAGTCGCGAGAAGAGCCCAAGCGCAGGAGGCGCAACAGGGCCGGTAGAAGGCGTCGAAATTGCGCACAACAAGCGACAACATCGACACCCTACGAGGAGGTCGCCAAGGCGACAACAGCGAAAAGCCGTGCTGCGCCTTCGCATAGGGGACTCGTTCCCCCCCAACACAAGCACCGCAGTTCTCCGCGAAGAGAGGGACGGCAACACACAACATAGTTTCATCCGCTCACCGCCAGGCGGCGCCACCCGTCGCGCGTGTTAGATATTTATTTTAAATTAGTTAAAATATGTATCTACATTTATCAATAAAAGTCAGACTAACTACTTCAAATATAATAAAACGTTAAAATTGTTATTATACCAAATTTGGTAATAAATTATTCTTGTAATGTATATAGAACACTAATTTATATTTTAATTAATTTTATAATTAGTTATTGTCATGATACTTGAATAAAAAGTAATGAAATTGTAAGAACACGTGGTCTCGCTGACTTGTTCACTCGAATTCGGCCCTGTAGACATAAAAGATTGTTATTTGGATGGGGAGGCACTTCTTGTCCAACCGTTGAACAGAGCAGAGCTGCCTGACGTATCAAGAGTGAACAAGTATAGTGAACCACGTGGTCATTATATAAAATATATCACGATTATTGTTGATGGAAGTCCTAAAGAAGCTATATTTAAATAAGGGTCAATGGACTAACAGAAGTTGGGTATTTGTTATATATTAAATATAAAGTAAAATAAGTAAATATACGATTTAATAGTATGATATCTAAAGTAAATGAACTAAGTGAACTTGTGCTTTATTTCTATTTATTACTAAGAGGCTTACAACCTTTATACTGCTAAAGAATATATTATATACAAATATGTAAGTTAGTATTACGTAGTACCCCACATATTATTATTATATATATATATATTATTATTATATATATATATATATATATATATATATATATATATATATATACTAGCTGACCCCATAAACGTTGTTTTACCACTTATTGCGAAATATAAAAATCGCAATTAAAATACAGGGGTTGATCGTAAAACGATGAAAATTTAAAGTTGTGTGTATTTTTCAATGTTAAATCATAATAAAATAAAAATGGAAAAATTTGTTAAAAAAAATAAAAAATAACATATTTTAGGGTGGGTCGACCCTTATCATTGACGGGTATGAAAAATAGATGTTGGCCGATTCTCAGACCTACCCAATATACACACAAAATTTCATAAAAATCGGCTATGCCGTTTCGGAGGAGTTTGGTAACAAACACCGCGACACGAGAATTTTATATATAATATATATATATATATATATATATATATATATATATATATATATATATATTAAATATTATAAATAATAAATAATAAATTGCCTTCTTTTCTGACACGCGCGAGCAACAGGTGGGCGCGTGGCCGCCATTGGCCGCCGTCCCAACTTATGCTAGTAAGCCGCTACGGCGGCCGACCCAGACGGCCTCTCTGCCGTCGCAGATGCGCGAATTCCCCGCACTCTCAGCGGACAATGGAGCCCTAAAGTTAATAATAGGGCTCCTAACTGACTTCCTCGCGGCTCTAGCGGCCGGACATGACATTAAATCGGCTGCCCACTCTCAGTTGCCTGCAGTCTAGGGTTGCCAGGTCATCCTCATATTTCTACGCTCCAATACGAAGAAATTGAAGGGAATAAGTATTTTTGAAAACTACATGATTTAGGTACTTTGTACTGGAATGCTGTACAATATAGCTATTATAGGGAGTGGGGGTTGCAAGTAATGTGGATACCCAGGCCCATTGTTAGCAATATGCCCAAGCAGGTCGACCTCCACGTGGTCTCCTCTGGAAACCATCGTGCTGAATTCCAGATGTATTCATCACGGTGGGCTAACTGACCCGCCTTTTCATCCTCACCTGCCATCACTCACTGGCGGGGTCACTATTCTATTATTATCCATTAAAAAAAAAAACTATTATTCGAATCAATTTTCTAGTAATAGGTAAGTAATTATATACTATGTAAATTTTGTAACACAATTAAAATATCTATGCATTTGTAATTTAAATGGAAGCTATTGTTGACAAAAATGAAGTGGAAAATATATGTTATTCCTGTGAATAATATGCTAAAATGAATAAAACAACTAGAAAGCAGTTGTGTATAATACGTATATTTATTGTACATTTACAGTATACATAGGAATAACATCATATCGTCATATTCGTAGAATACCGACGGATCTGACGAATATTAGATATATAGATCCGTCAGTATTCTACGACTGTGACGATATAATTTATAACTGGACTGTGCACGCACCTTTTTATTTTCTTTTTGAATTTTATTAAAAAGATAGTCTCTTTGTAATTTGAAGTCTGTGTCAGTTCAGTTTTGTTTCGTTCGCTTTTTTTGCTCCGCTGGTTTTGCTATGTATATTTTTTATATAATTATATTATCTTTCTAAAACGCTATGTTTCCATACCGGCATACAGTCTTACCAGTACAGTTTGTGTTTAAAAGCTAGCTTGCTTAGGGTAGATCTTGTGTCAAACGGGAGTGTCTTCCTGTGTTTAATAGCTTAAACAGTAAAGGAATAGGGAGGAAAGGGATTGTTAGTAATGGAGACTAAGAATCCCATTGCTAGCAATATACCCAACCAGGTCGACCTCCACGCGGTTCCCCCTGGAAACTATCATGGTTAATTCTTGATGAATTTATCATGATGGGCTAACTGGCCTGTTTTCATTCTCATCTATCAATCTTCACTGGTGCTCCGCCAGCGTATTCCGTTAGCGCAGGCGGGGTTACCATACCATTTTCACCCATAAAAAAAAAACAGTGAAGGAATAAGAAATGAAGCCAGTACGATGAGCAGGCTCGTGAAGAAGAAGATTCCTGCACGGACGAAGACAACGATTATGTTTACGCTTAAGGTATACTCTGTTATGTCCACGGTACTGCTCATATCTATAGGCGACGGTTACCACTTACCATCAGGTGGGCCGTCAGCTTGTTTAATTGTTCTAAGTTGTATAAAAAAGAAAAAAAGATATATATATATATATATATATATATATATATATATATATATATACGTTTAAATTATGTTAATATCATTTAATACCACGAGGATCACAATAAATAGGCTGCGTTATTTGTCTTAAGTAAACTTCATATTGGCATTGTATTATTTAGGATTCTGTACTATAAAGGCACAACATTTTCTTTTTTTTTTACAACACAGGGGGCAAACGAGCGTGCGGCTCACCTGATGGTAAGTGACTACCGCCGCCCATGATCACCTACAACACCAGCGGCATTGCAGGTGTGCTGCCGGCCTTTTAAAAAGGAATATACTCTTTTCTTGAAGGTTATGTTGTCGTATCGGTTCGGAAATACTGCTGCTGGCAGTTGATTCCAAAGAGTGGTTGTGCGTGGAAGAAAGTGCCTTGAAAAACGCACGGTGGAAGACCGCCACTCGTCCAGATGATTGGGATGAAACTTTAGTTTGTGGCGGGTTGTACGGTGGTGGAAATCAGCAGCAGGTATCAGTCCGAACAATTCCTCAGAACACTCCCCACAATTGAATGAATTCATCATGATAGGCTAATTAACCTATTTTTCATAACCACCTATTCTGCTATTTGCGCTCATGTTAGTACACCAGTGAGGGATGATGGGTGAAAATGAAAAGGCACGTTAGTTATCCCATCGTAACTTTCATGGGGACCACGTGAAGTTTGATTTGACAGGATATATTGCTAGTAATGAGTCTGGTAGTCTGCATTACTAGCAGTCCCTTCCCCTCGACTTAGGTGTTATGCCTCTGTACCCTGTAATTTCATTGCCATATCCCACCCATCCTTTAAACCGAAACACGGCCATGCAAACACAACTGCTTCACGGTAGAAACACGAATGCGATAGAGGTACACAAGCAAACGAATTTTGTACAAAGTCTCCCTTTGATAAACTTTCCATACAATAAATACTATGTATTAATTTTTTTTTATTTAAAGTAAATAAAATTTTATTTACAAGTTACTTTATGTACGGAATCCTCACTGTGCTAATGCAGGTTACACCTGACTGATTTTGATTTGAAAGCTGTTGGTGTAATTTTCAGTAACACTTGTGCCTAATTGACGTATTTATTGTGCGTACAGTGTTAAAGTGTTTACTATGGAACTGAAGGCTCTTATAACCGTCTATTATTTTTATAAAATAATATTATATATAGAAGCAGCTAAAATACTAGCCGTATTCCCAACACCTTCGATCAGCCACCAGGTGGTGCTCCGTCCCCTGATGCGTGAACTAGCGGCGCGCGGCCATGAAGTGGTTGTTATCACTTCATACCCCGCGTATCCCGCAGGAGGGGGTCCGGCGAATTTAACTGAAATTAATCTTAGACAGTCTAAAATAAACAAAAAAAATCTTTCCGATATGTTAAATGAATATGACGATATCAGAACGAGCTATGCAAGAGCCATATTTTATTGTTTAACATTATTTCATAGAGAACTGAATACAGTTGTCATGGAAAACTTTATTCAAGATAGAAATACCGAGTTTGATTTGCTCATCATTGAAGCATGGTTGCCATCTTTTTTAGCGTTTTCTCACAGATTCAACGTACCTGTCATAAGGTTTAGTTCCTTGGGATCCTTTTTTTCCGAATACCATGTTATGGGTGGTTTCGGGCATCCTCTATTGTACCCATCGCATTTGTGTTCCCGATGTCCTAACATAGAAAATCTTACACTCGTTGAGAAGATTTACGAGATATATAATTACATTTATACCAGTGATTTGTATGATTTTTTTGAAAAAACAGAAAATGATAAATTGAGAGCAATTTTTGGGTCCGACATGCCATCTCTGAGTGAGCTGAGCAATAATGTACATTTGCACATGAGCAATATACATCGTCCATGGGAACTGAACCGTCCGGTGCCGTCAAGTATCGTTCAAGTTGGCGGAATACATCTCGAGTCTGAATGCACGCTGCCAGAGGTAATTTTTTTTATTTTCCACTGCTAAACTGTCTTTCATCTTCTTCCACATATGGGGAGGTAGGGGGAGAGTTGTATTTGTTTTTATATTTTTTTTAGGAAAATAGTGGTAACCAAGTTTAAAATGTCAGAAATGAAGAATATTAAAATGAAAAATTATATATGAAAAATATATTGTTTGTAAATACACTATGAATATACTTAAATAAATTACCAATTTTGTGCTGCAGCATTACAATTAACTACAAACAAAAAATATATAAATAATGTTGTACTTTTAAGTTTTTTTTTTTTTTTATATTAAATGAGTGAAAATGAAATCACACCTTCGCCTGTGTTATTGGTATAGGTACACTGGCGGGGCACCAGTGAAGGATGGTAGGTGAGGATGAAAGCAGGTCATTTCACTTATCGTGATGAATTCAAGAAGAGTTATTTATGACTTTTTTTACTACTGTTTACTACTATTTTAGTTTACTATTGTAATCTTTTAGAACAAACAATAAAGAGTGTTTATCTGTCTATCTTTGATGGTTTCCGGAGGTAACCGCGTGATAGTCGATCTGACAGGGTATATTGCCAGCAATATAGCTGTAATACCTACCACATTATTAACAATTCCTATACCCACAATTAAATGTATTATGAATTTAATACTTTGGTACTGGACAATGTGTGTACATGGATGATATTTAAAAACAATGCTACAAGGGATTTTAATAGGAGCAATAGAAGCTAAAATCAATAAATTTAGAAATTTTGCCTATGTATTAGTCTATCTGTACATTTGTTCTGACATTACGCAAAAATTACTATATTAAATTAAATGTAGTTGTCCCTATTGTATTTTTGAAATTAATTTATTTATTTACGGAATCCTCACTGTGTAAATGCAGGTTACACTTGACTAATTGTGATTTGAAAGCTATTGGTGAAATTTTTAGTAACACTTGTGCCTAATTGACGTATTTATTGTGCGTACAGTGTTAGTGTTTGCTTTGGAACTGAAGGCTCTTATAACCGTCTATTATTTTCATAAAATAATATTATATATAGAAGCAGCTAAAATACTAGCCGTATTCCCAACACCTTCAGTCAGCCACCAAGCAGTGTTCCGTCCCCTGATGCGTGAACTAGCGGCGCGCGGCCATGAAGTGGTTGTTATCACTCCAGCCCCCGCGTATCCCGCAGGAGGGGGTTCGGCGAATTTAACTGAAATTGATATTAAACACACTATAAACAAACTATATGGACGATGAATATTACAATATAAGAATCAGCACTGAAAGATCTATGTCAATTGTTGCAAAAAGATTTCATGGACACCTAAATACTTATACAGTGTAACCAATTATTCGAAATAAAAATACCAAGTATGATTTGCTTATAATCGAAGCATGGTTTCTACCTCTGTTGGCATTTTCTCACAGGTTTAACATCCCAGTCATAAGGTTTAGTTCCGTAGGATCTTTTTTTTTCCGAATACCATGTTATGGGTGGTTTCGGACATCCTCTGTTGTATCCACCGAATTTGTGTTCCCGATGTCCTAATATAGAAAATCTTACATTCATTGAGAAGATTTACGAAATATATAATTACATTTATATAAGTGATTTGTGTGATTCTTTTGAAAAAACAGAAAATGATAAATTGAAAGCTATTTTCGGTTCCAACATGCCATCTCTGAGTGAGTTGACCAATAATATACACTTACATATTGTACATGGGAACTGAACCGTCCGGTACTGTCAAGTGTCGTTCAGATTGGTGGGATACATCTCAAGTCTGAATGCACGCTGCCAGGGGTAATTATATATTGTCTTTTAATTAAAAAAAAATCCTACGGCTAACTTAACCTAACAGACAGTCTGTTAGCTCAGAAGAACTAAACATATTGAATCTGATACCCACGACCACTTTTTACCATCGTATGGTTCGCTATCGACAGAGAGTTCATCTCTATACCTTAGAGCTTAGATCGTCGCGTACAGAGCGATTTTAGAGATGTTTTCTCCCATGAATACTCAGATTATGGAATGAGCTCCCTTTCTAGGTTTTTCCAAGAGGCCATAGCATGGAATTCTTCAATAAAGATATAAACAGATATCTTCAGGGTCAGAACCGCGCGCATAATGTCCCTGCACATTTAAATTTTTACAACAAATTATTTTTTTGAAAAATAATTTAACACATCCTTATTTGAATGAGATGAAGCGAAGTACATTTGGTCAGCATCGGTGCACTCACAATGAAAAAAGTACCCGAATGTCATTATTATAATTATTACTTTTATAGTAAAGTCTCTGCTGCTTTCATACATCTTTGAATTCATAACAAATTTCACGACAACTGTGGTGTGCTGCGCATGTATTCCTGCCTAAAAAAAACTTACTTTATACAATGCAATACAAATTTACTTTAATATGCCATTGTATTATTTTTGGATTCCGTATTGAAAAGGTGCAAAAGAACCCTTACACAGCAACTTTGTTTGTTCTTCTTCTCTGTCTGTCATAACGCTGTATCTTAATTAAAACATAATAGTATAAGCTAATATAACTAAAATAAACTGGGTGTCGTAAATTGCGACTAAATAAACATTATTATCATAAAATTCTCACCAAAACCTAATTGTCATTGTCATTGCCTATCAAGCGTGATATCTACTGACAAATACCCGCAATGGGAGAAGGCCTATGTTCAGAAATGGACAGTCAACGGCTGATATGATAAAAATTATTGCTATCCAACTGAAGTTTGGATTAATTTTAAATATTGTTAGCCCATTCATTACTCATAACATAAACTTCTTATTGCACGCACACTGCCCGCTGGTAATTAATGCTCCTTTCCACTCAGGGTTTGCTGGAAGAGAACTCTTACAGAGTTGAGCTCGCCTGTTGTACATCTTTATTTTATATAAATTAAACAATTTAATTTTGTATGTATATTATATAATGTATATTGTCAACATCTGCATGTATTTATACGCATGTTTTACAAATAAATGAATCTTGAATCTTGAATCTTTGTGTACAATAAATTATAAATAAATAAATTAAATTCTAGAAGAAATATTTTTATTTTGTTTAAAAAGTGTTTCAAATAAAACAAACAGATTTTATTTGAAACCCTTTAAAATAAAATGTGGGATATCAAATACAATATCGTCACAGTCGTAGTCGTAATACTGACAGATCTTTATATGTAGTATTCGTCAGATCCGTCAGTATTCTACAACTGTGACGAGATATCCTACTTAGAACTATTAGGTTATTTAAAAACTAATAGTCTAAGTGAGATATGAAATATCACTATTTGGACATTTTAAAAGAAAATATTTATTTGATGTCGCGGTATTTTCGACTTACTGTCATAAATCGAAATTCTCATCTAAAGAAAATAAAAATCTTTTTACAGCTTATTTTACAAACGGAACCCTCGGTGTGTGTTTAATATAATGGATTGTTGATCAGTTATATTTTGCGCATTTTAAGTCTCAGTAATATTTGTGTTATGCTGACGTAAAACCGTATTTATTGTGAATAATTAAAGTGATTTATTTATCAAATAATATGGAACTGAAGGAGTTTTTGTTTTTCTATAACTTATAGAATAATATTATATACAGAAGCAGCTAAAATACTAGCTGTATATCCAACTCAGTCAATCAGCCACCAGGTGGTGTTTCGTCCCCTGGTGCGTGAACTAGCGCCGCGTGGCCATGAAGTGGTTGTTATCACTCCAGCCCTCGCGTGTCCCGTAGGAGAGGGTCTGGAGAATTTAACTGAAATTGATATTAGACAATACCATGATAAAGATAAAAATAGAGTTTCTGAAATGGTAAATGAGTATATAAGAACTAGCCCAAAAAGATCTCTGTTAGTTGTTTCAAAAGTATTTGATAGAGAATTAAAAAATGATGCCGTTCAAAAAATTATTCGAGATAGAAACACAAAGTTTGATTTGCTCATTACTTAATTATCGTCGGAGGGTGCGAAGGCGGTTCGAACCTCGGCCCAAGCCGTCATATCTCGTTCCCCCTGAAGGGATAGTGGTCGTTTAGGACCGGCTGAATATAAAATTTATTTATATTAAATATTTTTATATATTTATTAATTATTTTAAATAACTTACAATATATTACGTGTAAATTGTTCATTTAATAAACAATATATATTTATTAGTTTATACATAACAAGTTTGGACGAGTATATTCTCTTGTTTCATATTTAGAACGTGATATTTCAGTGTTATAGTTATATCCTCAATAGGGTGCCATGTTAAATTTATCCAATAAGCCTAATTGAACGCGGTTTTCAGAATAATATTACTGGAGGTCTATGCCATTAATATTCCACACATGTTATTTACTAGTGCTAATCTACTTGCACGAGCAATATTACATTCCGTTTTTAGAACTTCAAGGTTGACAAATTTGGCACGTATTGGGTATTTGAATTATCTTCAGAACACACTTGTGTTGAATCGACGTAAGAGCGTGTTTATTGTACAACATTTAAAAGTAACTTATATGTACATAGTTTAATATGGAATTAAAAGTTATTGTATACTTATATTGTTCCTATAGAGTAATATTATATACAGAAGCAGTTAAAATATTAGCTGTATTCCCAACTCCGTCAATCAGCCACCAGGTGGTGTTTCGTCCCTTCGTGCGAGAATTAGCGGCTCGCGGCCATGAAGTGGTTGTTATTACTCCAGCTCCCGCGTATCCCGCAGATGGGAGCCCGATGAATTTAACTGAAATCGACGTCAAACAAGTTAGCCAAATATATAAAGAGGAAAAGATTAGGGAATCTTATAGCATGGTAAATGAATATGCCGATATAAGAATGAGCGTTAAACGATCTGCGTTATGTATATTGTCAGCATTTTATGAACAAATAAATACAGATGCAGCGAGCAAGATAATTCGAGATAAAAATATAGAATTTGATTTGTTGATTATTGAAGCATGGTTTCAACCTTTGTTAGCGTTTTCTCACAGATTTAACGTACCTGTGATATGGTTTAGTTCGGTGGGATCATTCCACAAAGAGTACCAAGTTGTGGGAGGCTTCAGCCATCCTCTGTTTCACCCGTCTTTTCTGTGTTCCCGATGTCCTAATATAGAAAATCTTACAAACATAGAGAAGATTTATGAAATATATAACTATATTTATATCCATAACTGGAGTAGTTCTTTTAAAGAAACAGAAATTAATAAATTAAGAACTTTTTTCGGGTCCGAAATGCCATCTCTGATAGAGTTGAGCGATAATGTACACTTGTACATGAGAAACGTACATTGTACATGGGAACTGAACCGTCCGGTGCCGTCAAGTGTAGTTCAAGTTGGTGGGATACATATCAAGTCTGAATGCACGCTGCCAGAGGTAATTATAGTTTTTTATTTTATAAATTAGCAAATCATGACTTTGTGTAAGTCTTCTGGAATATAAAAAAATATGATGGAAATAATATTTTTTTTCTGGGAAACCGAGGATATGGGGAAACCGTCGCCCGTCACGGTGCGATTTAGAAACAAAGATGTCCAATATTAATACTGTCACTAGCAATGTTGATAGGTAATTAGTTAGATAATAATTTATAACAATTTTATATCCCGAAGTATAGAATTCGTAATTGTAATAATAAATATTACGTATCTATTTCAGATAACACTTAAAAAATTGATTTGTATGTAACATCATTTTTATTTAAGGAAAACAAATGTCTATTTATATACTCATTTTACGCACGGAACCCTCGGTATGGTAGTGAATGTTATAGTCTATAGTTGAGCGGTTTCATTATACACATTATTAATATTGGAATCAGTAAACACTTGTGCTAAGAAGACGTAAGATCGTGTTTATTGTGCGCTCTTAAAGTGGTTAATATGAAACTGACGGAAATTATATTTTTCTATTACTGTTATAGAATAATATATACAGAATCAGCTAAAATACTAGCCGTATTCCCAACTCAGTCAATCAGCCACCAGGTGGTGTTCCGTCCCCTGATGCATGAACTAGCGGCGCGCGGCCATGAAGTGGTTGTTATCACTCCAGCCCCCGCGTATCCCGCAGGAGGGGGTCCGGCGAATTTAACTGAAATTGATGTTAGACAATATTACGGTGATATAGTTTTTAATCTTTCTACTTCGGTAAATGAATATGACAATATAAGAACCAGTATTAGAAGATCTATATCAATTGGTGAAAAAAGATTTCCTGGACAATTAAATACTCCTACAGTGCAAAAAATTATCCGAAATAAAAATACCAAGTTTGATTTGCTCATTGTCGAAGCATGGTTTGCACCACTGTTAGCATTTTCTCACAGATTCAACGTACCTGTCATAAGGATTAGTTCCGTAGGATCTTTTTTTCCCGAATACCATGTTATGGATGGTTTCGGACATCCTCTATTGTACCCACCGAATTTGTGTTCCCGATGTCCTAATATAGAAAATCTTACATTCATTGAGAAGATTTACGAAATATATAATTACATATATATCAGTGACTTGTTTTATTGCTTTGAAGAAACAGAAAATGTTAAATTGAAAGCTGTTTTTGGTTCCGACATGCCATCTCTGAGTGAGCTGAGCAAAAATGTACATTTGCACATGAGCAACGTACATCGAACTTGGGAACTGAACCGTCCGGTGCCAACAAGTGTTATTCAAGTTGGTGGAATACATCTCAAGTCTGAATGCACGCTGCCAGAGGTATTTATATGTATAACCTCTTATTTTTTTCTGGATGTACTAGCAAAATCTCACCAGTTCTCATATCAAGACAGGGCATTGTAAATCTCTTTCAACTTAAGACCATACTTTTATGTACAATTACATGTATTAGACGTAAATTTAGGATTTTTTCAGTAAAATTATTTAAGTACTACCTTCTTCCCGCGACTACTTCCGCATATATTTATTGATCAGGGTAAAAGGCTCATGTCTTTCTTTATCATGATTGTTTATGTCGTCAAGACGCTATAAGGTAACAAATAAACAAACTTTTATAAAGAAATATCTACTTGTAGATACGATTCTGCGTAAATTAAAACATTTTTATCACTTTGTGTCTACGCAACATCTTGTCATTCATAAGTGTGTCCGTCATGATTGAGTATTGTTTTTGTTTAGTTCATTAAAATTATTTTGTTTAATTCTGCTAGCATTTGTGTGCATTCAACTACCAACATTTTAGAATTGACTACTATTAGTAGAGACATTCCAAAAGTCTTTCTTTGTACTATTGAAGGGTCCCCCGAATGAGTTTGATCTCACCTAATGGAAAGTAATGACGTGGTCTAAGATGGGGCTCGTGGTCTTACGAATCGCTCAGTCACATTTGTCTTCAATTGGTACAGATTGTATTTAGATGGAAAAACATAAGCAGGGAGGGAGTTCCACTCCTTGGCTATGTGAATAATGAAAGAAGACGTAAAGCGCTTCGTGCGTATAAATGGTATGTCGACGATGTAAAATGGAGGCTCCTGCTCCGTCTTGTCGTCCAATATCGAATGTCGAAAAAATTCCGATTATCAAGTGGAATTAATTGCGTTTGTTTCTGCTTATTTGATTACAATTATTTTGTTCAATTCGACTTCAATTAGTGTGCGTGTGAATGTCAATATTGGAGGAATGATAGAGTACTGCTAGAAGAACTACGTACGATCTTGCCTGTTAGTTTTCAACGTCTCGTCTCTCATTTCAGACTTCAACCACAAAGACTAGTATTGATTACTGAATGCCACCATCAGAAAACAAACGTAATTCAATACGTCAGTATTGATAACTTTAATTGTATTGTTTTCTTGAACAAAGATTCCAATTGTGCGGAATAGAAATGCTAATAAGTATCAGAATTATTCAATTAATTGAATAGAGACAATTGGTATAGATGAATAGAACATGGAAAGCCACTGTTACCGATAAACAGCTATTATCTACCATTATATTAGCTATTAACTGTCCACTACTGAGTATAGGCTTATGGTGTATTGCCAGTCGTTGCCATGCTTGGCAGACGGGTTGGCGACTGCAGTTAGATTTTGGTGATGTTTTAAGAGGAACGCTGCTGCGCATCCCTCAATTATTAAGTTTCCTTAGTCCTTACGTATGGGCAAGAAAGGGATGGCAGATTCTATGCTGGAATCACACGGCTAGGGGAAAGGCTTAGTAATGGGGTCTAACAGCCTAATTAATAGCAATATAACCTTAATTTTTGTGGAAATCCTCACGATAGGCCGAATGACCTGCTTTCATTTATCATCTCTCATTAATGCCTCGTCACTGTATACCGATAGCACAGGCGGGATTGTCATTCCATTTCAACTATTAAGATCCTATTATATATAGTTATATATCTAACTCAATATATAGATATCGGAGCGATACTGGTATTATCCCTGCCTACAGTTTAGAATGGCATACAGTATGTCGGCCTATCTGACGTAAAATGATTGTTATGATTAAGACTAACAATATCATTTATAAAAATTGCAGGACTTGAAGAAATATTTGGATTCCTCAGTGAATGGTGTGTTGTACATTAGCTTCGGTACCAATATGAAAACGTCGTGGTTACAAGCTGAAAAATTGGATATTATGATTAAAGTTTTATCCAGCCTGCCTCTAGATATATTGTGGAAATGGGACGAAGATGAATTGCCGGTACAAACTGGAAATATTAAAATTTCTAAGTGGCTGCCGCAGGAATGCCTTTTGAGTGAGATTTTATCTATTTACTAGCTGTTTCCCACAGCCTTGCAATTGTAAATCAGTATATTAACTATGAGTTTACTATGTATTACACTGAAATATAACTTACCCTCGTACCAAATTTTATTTAAATCCTTCTAGCAAGTATGTACTGAATTAAATTAAAACCGAGTGTAATAAATTTTATTCTAATTGGTCCAGTTATTTGAGTGTGATTGAGCAATCATATTTATAATAGGTACTTCCTTATGTCCGCGATCAATCGCGTGATTTGGATGTGTTAACTGTGCATGTATGCATAGAGAATTTATACCAAATTTTTAAAAATTAAATAAATGCCCTTGCAAATTAATGTAAAAAAATATTGTTATTTCAGGACATCCAAAAGTTAAGCTATTCATCACCCAGGGCGGGTTGCAGTCGACGGAGGAAGCTATAGCGGCAGGCGTGCCACTTGTGGGCATCCCGATGATTGCTGATCAATTTTCAAATGTGCAGAATTACGTTCGTCACCGCATAGGAGTGAAGCTTATGTGGAACGATTTCACTGAAGAAGAATTCAGAGACGCAATTTATAGTGTATGGAAAGATGAAAGGCAAGTCAATTGGGAGTCTTATTAAGTTTTTTTACCAGTTTCAATAAAATGCTGAGTTTTGTACGATGATAATACAAAATAAGAATATATTTTATTCAAGTAAATATAAATACAAGCATTTTGGAATAGTCATTTTTTTATGATTCTATCATTCATTGGGAATATAATTTCAGCTGAGAAGAACGGGCAACTGTTGCTTTTTTCAACAGAAGTTGATAGACCAAGTTGGATAAAATCCGAAATGATTTTTTTTTTATACGACTTAGAATGACAAACAAGCTGATGGCCCACCTGATGAGAAGTGGTAACCGTCGCCTATAGACATGAGCAGTACCATGGACATAACACACCTACTGTTTCGCCCATGATACCCTCCATGCGTTGGCATTCCTGAGGACTCAGGTGTTATGAATACTAAAGACAGACTTCTGTAGAAAAGTCATCTACTTGGGTGGAGATTTCTATTGCTATTATGTATCCCACTGAGAAACTTGTTGGTGGAGTCCCAGTGAGGAATGATAGGTGATGGTGTGATCAGGTCAGTTGGTAATCTCGCTAGAGTTGATCAAATTAACGGCCAGGAATAATTGCTGAAAATAAAGACAGGTTTCTTCTTTAAAGCTTGCAAAGTATTTATAGATGAGAATGAAGTCAGATCAATTAGCCCATCATGACGAATTTACTAAGAATTAAATGTCGATTTTCGAGGTCCATTATTAGGAATGAGGTCGTTACATTACTAGCTTAGGTAATAGGATTCACAAGTCTGGGTACGGAAGAAGAATGCAATCTTACCACTCTTCTTCATCATTTTCCAGCTACCGACATAATATAATCCGGTTTCGGGACCAGCTGCGTGACGTGCAAATGCAGCCGCTGGCACGCGCTGTATGGTGGACGGAGTACGTGCTAAAGTACGGGGGCGCGATGCATTTGCGCGCGCCCGCAGCCAACATGCACTGGGCGCAATACCACGAATTGGACTTGCTCGCGCTCCTCGCTGCCTTCGTGTTCCTCGCCTGCTTTGCTGTCTACATAGCTATTAAAATTCTTCTCAGACTGATTTGGAGAATATGTGTAAAAAAAGTTAATTTTAATGAACAAAAATTGAAATATTAAACGTAGTCGCCTTGTATTTACAAAAAATTTAAAAGTGGAAGAACTATAAAAGTCGATGACATTCAGTATTTCTGCTTGCTTAATGAAGTGCATGGTGTATAAAAAATATAGAGAATTATGTAAACATAGCCTTGATAATACGAGGGGAGGTCAAAAAGTTCGTGGTATGAGGGGGAAGGGGGTCGAAAATAAACATGAAACTATTTTTCCTTTTCAATATATTCTCCCTTAATCTTAATATATTTTTTGGATCTTTCAAATAATGATCAAAATCGTCGTAGTCAAATTTTTTTCCACCCAGCTCCTTTTCCATTTTTGGAAATAAATAATAGTCGCTGGGGACCAAGTCTTTTTTACCGTTAGCAAACAAGCTAACGGCCCACCTGATGGAAAGTGGTAACCGTCGCCTATAGACATGAGCAGTACCACGGACATAACAGAGTATACTGCTTCACCCATGATACCCCCTATGCGTTGCCATTCCTGAGGCTTTAGGTGTTATTCCTCTGTACCCAGTAAATTCACGCCATATCTCACCCTTCAAACCGAAACACAGCCATGCAAACACAACTGCTTTACGGTTGAAACACGAATGGGACAGAGGTACCCAAGCAATCGACTTTTGTACAAAGTCTCCCTTTGGTGACTGGACTTTTGGACTGTAAAGTGGATGGTGTAATTTTCCAACCCGCATCGGTAGATGGCAGCCGTTGCAACATGGCACATGTGGACGGGAGCGTTGTTGTTCAAAAGAAGCACGCCTTTTGACAGCTTTCCTCTTCATTTTTCCTTGATTGCTTCTTTCAATCTGTCCAGTAAAGAAGCGTAGTACTGACACGATTTTTATAATCGATCAGCAAAATACCTTCTGTATCCCAAAAAATAGTCGTCATGATCTTTCCGGCCGATTGAAACACTTTCAATTTCTTCGTAGGAGTTGTGCTTTTTTATGCTACTGTATCGACCCAGGTTCATAGTGGTGAACCCAGATTTCATCTCCAGTAACAATTCGGTCCATAACTTCTTCCCTATTCTATCCACAGAGCTCAAAAAGCTCTCTGGCGAGAACACTAGATACGCTCACTTTTTTAACTGGCGTGAGCATTCCAAGTCATGCTAAGATGATGATGTAGAATATTTAAACTACTTGTTTTGGATACTCTAACCATTGTTACAAGCTATTTCTTCGTCAGTCGGGTATCTGCTAATACAAGTTTTTCTACTTTTGCGACGATTTCCGGTGTGGTGATCTCAATTGGCCGTCCGGAGCGAGAGTCATCTTTAATAGTCTTTAATTACTCTCTTCCTTATTTGAAAAACCATGCCACTTGTAAACCTTAATTTTACTAGGGACAGAGTTCGCGTAAACTATTAACAGCTCTTGTAAATTCGTCTGAGCGGATTTTCCTTGCTTCGTGAGGACTTCTTCCCGATTCACTTGTTTGCAGGTTGATAACAAGTGACTACCTGGACGAGTAAACCAACCTCTCCATTCCGTGAACTTTTTGACCTCCCGTCGTACGTCCATTGTTCATACGTCCCGCGATGCAGATCCAATTTCAAACGAAATTCATATTTCTGCAGAATCCCAGTTAAATTTAACAAATTATTGTTTGACTTTGATATTGATCCCGCATGCATTCAAGCTGCCAATAGCAAGGTCATTCTGGTCTCTCCTGTCAGGTCAGGGTCTCCTGGGTACCTGCTGTACTAAATTGACTACTGTAAAAATGTTTTTTTTTGCTTCATATTGTTTTTTTTTTTACCATGAAGATGGCAAACAAGCATGCAGCCCGTCTGTAAACGGTCACTGTAGTCTATGGACGCCTGCAACACTAGAGTTGTCACGTGGGCGTTGAAGAAACCTTTTTTTCTCGGTATTTCAATACCTCATTGTTATAAATTAAGGTATAAAACTGTTTTAGCAAATTTATGTCTATAATTATTTTTTATATAAAAACCGATTATGTAAACTTTATATGGCTCAATATAAATGTAATTTGATTATGTGTTGATTGAATCAAGCTGTATGTTTCCAAAGAATAAATTTATTTATTTATTTTATTTGCTATACTGAGGGCATCACATGCGTGTTTTTAACTTTCACTTGACTCTGATTTGAAACTTTGACTTGACTTCAAAAAGAAGTTGAAGAATGTCTTTCTCCATATTACGCAGTGTATGGTTACTTTCACCTGATTTCAAAACAGGAGAAGGTTTTTAACAAATAATAAATAATAATAATTCTTTAATAAAGGCAACCAGAGCCCACAAAATTTTAACAATATTAATTTGCACCAACAATATAAATTATTAAATCAAATTTTAAATTACTTTTTTTTTTACATTTATAAATAAATTTTATAAAAAACATTAACTTGACCTACTTTTTTTTTGTATGTTATGTATTTATGTATTTTTTTATGTTTATTATCTCATATAATGGTTTCAGTAGTTTAGCTTTTAAATCAAAATGACTGGATTTTATTAAATCAATATAATTGATTTCGCTGTGATTGGAGTCGGTTTTTTCTACAGAGCACAATCTTAAATTATTTTATTTCATCATCATCATCATCACCTTCCTACCCTTATCCCAATTATCATTTGGGGTCGACGTAATATGTTCTTTTCATTCTTCTCTATTCGCAGTCATTTCCATATTCACTTCTATCCTGGCCACATCCTCTTCCAAGCAGTACATCCATGTCTTCTTAAGTCTTCCTCTGCCCTTATAGCCATCCACATTCATACTTAGTACCTTAAACTATTTCGATTACCATTGAAATTTCAAGATATTCGTATACATCAGTATTATGAGTTATAATCCAGTCGATTTCGATGAAAATTAAATGCCTACATTATCAGTATATGCTTGGTGGAAAATATATAAATAGATAAGTTTAGATTATAAAGTATAAAGATTGATAATGTTAAAGAGATCAAACATAAAACCATATATGATAGAGCGAGATAGATATTATTTACAATATAAGCTCAAAGCTGATTTGGATTAGTAGTGAATTTTGGAGTGTTGGCAATCGTACATATATTGTTGATAGCGAAATTAAACAAAGTAATTCTAATCTAGTAACCAGTAATATGGACTTCCGCAAGAAAACACCTACTTTAGTATAATATATTATCATAAAATTGTTTCTCAAGATACACATTAGTACAGTTATAGTCATTGTTTCCTGCAGATACTGCAAATATATTAGAATACCTGCAGAAAACAATGACATCAAATTACCGAGTTGACGTAAAACACATGTTATATACTTTATATTTATTTTACAGTAGAATTGTGACTTTATCGCTTTATTGCTAAAGATCGTTTTCAATTACGCTATTTTTTATTTCATTACAATTTTTACTGGATAATCGAAGCTAAAGCGTAGTGTTTTAAGGTTACTTTACATTAATCTTTGTCATTTCAGTGTCAATAAGTTTACATGAATGCATGCATGTTTACACACATTGGTAGATGTAATATATTTGTAATATTTAGGGAGACACTTGTTATTTCTCAGTCGACGATGAAACATCGTTTAAATTGCGCATAGATAAAAGTAATTCCCAAACATGAAGTCGGAATTCTTTATAGTCATATATTTGTTAATAATTTTAACAAGTTCTGAAGCAGCTAAAATTCTAGCTGTATTACCAACTCCATCAATCAGCCATCAAGTAGTGTTCCGTCCTTTTGTGCTTGAACTAGTGGCGCGTGGCCACGAAGTGACTGTTATCACTCCAGACCCCGCATATCCTGCAGGAGGGGGGCCGACGAATTTAATTGAAATTGATATAAATGAAATTTATCAAGATTTCGAAATAGAAAAACATCCTGCAGTTAATGAATATGCAGCTATAAGAATAGCTATCAAGAAAGGCATACTCAATGTAACCAAAGCATTTAACAAACAATTGAATACAGATATTTTAAAGAAATTTATACTAGACAGAAATATTGAATTCGATTTATTGATAATAGAAGCGTGGTTGCGACCAACTTTAGCATTTTCTTATAGATTCAATGTACCAGTAATAAGGTTTGGCAGCGTGGGCTCCTTCCTTTCCGAATACAATGATATGCTTGGCTTCGGTCATCCATTGTTTCATCCAACTAATTTGTGTTCCCGTTGTCCTAACATAGAAAATCTTACATTCCTGGAGAAGATTTATGAAATATATAATTATGTTTATATAAATACCTTGTATTATTCAAAAGAAGAGGAAGAAACTGAGACATTAAGAGCAATTTTCGGGCCCGAAATGCCAGCACTGAGTGAGTTGAGCAATAATATAGACTTATATATTAGTAACATTTACCGTACTTGGGAATTGAATCGTCCGATGCCGTTAAGTGTCATTCAGGTTGGTGGGATACATCTCAAAACTGAATGCATGCTCCCAGAGGTAATTATGTCTTTTTTTAGATTGTATTGTATTGTAAACATTTCTGAATTGACTTAAGTCTGGGTGTTGTGGATTGTGCAAGCAGATACTCGTCGATTGGTATGATCAGGTGGATTAAATCAAGTGCTTCATACATTATTTTCATATTACTGAAGTGGCAAACAAACATACGGACTATTTGATGGTAATCGGTTATTATAGCCTATGAACGCCTGCAGTACATTTACTGCATTTACATTATAGGCATTACGCACGCTTTGCCGACCCTAAAAAAAACCTCTTAACTCTTTTTTTGAAGATCTTCATGTTGCAGTCTCTTGGAGAATTCTCGACAGGAAGCTTATTCTATAACCTGAGCGTTCATGAAAGAAGACATCTCTGAGACTTTTAAAATTTTAATTTTGGAATTGTAGGATCTGCAGAATTATTTAGATTCCTCAATGAATGGAGTGGTGTATATAAGCTTCGGTACCAATATGAAGACATCTTGGCTGGATCCGGAGAAATTAGGGATGATGGTCAACGTTTTGTCTCAAATACCTATGGATGTATTGTGGAAATGGGATGAAGACGAATTACCTGGACGCACGGAGAACATCAGGATATCCAAGTGGCTGCCGCAAGAATGCCTTCTGAGTGAGATTTTCTTAATTATTTTATCATTATCATAAACAGATTACTGCAGTCTACTGTTGGACACAGTTTACACTTATAACATGCGAGTAATCCGATGATTATATCCAGGTGCGATCTTTAATCCTTATTACTATGAAATATTATAAACCTGAAAGTGAGTTTGTTTATTTGTTACCACTTAGCACCTTAACGGTAGAACCAATTACTATGAAATTTACTATACACATACGAATATGAAAGAAAGGATGAAATATTTTTATTCAAGGAAATTTGGATTTAAACATTTCTAAATAGTAATTTCTGCTCATTATCGCCCATTCGGAACACAATTTTAGCCAAGATAAACGGGCAAGAAACTCGGCTGTTGCTTTTTTCAAAAAGTTTAATTGTATACGTGTAAAGAATGAGTTTGTGTGAATAAAAATTAATAAAATAATAAAAATAATATATAATTAAATAAAATGGATAATAATATAATTAATTTTTATGGCCAGTGAACGTATTTCGTACACACGGAATAAGTTGAGGCTAAAAGTTAACTTTACTAATATAATAAAATTATGACTAGACGATATTATAATATTATAGACACGGGATATATATATATATATATATATATATATATATATATATATATATATATATATATATATATATATATATATATATATATATATATATATATATATATATAGATATTATAGATATAGACATGGGAGATATTTGAAAAAAAATATATAAAAAGAATAAAAGCAACTAAAAAGCCAAATGAATCTATTTTAGAAATTTTGTTTGTTTGAATGTTTAAACCGACATAAACTACTGCACCAAATTACATGGTGTGACCATGATGTGACCATGGTGTGACCATGGTGTGTTTCTTAAGGTCTAACTTAGAATCTTATATAAATACATTATCTAGAAGTGTTCTAGATAATCTTATGAGTAGTCAAGCTTTTTTTTTATAATTTCAGGACACCCAAAAATTTAACTGTTCATCACCCAGGGTGGGTTACAGTCGACGGAGGAGGCTATGGCGGCAGGCGTACCACTTGTGGGCATCCCAATAATTGCTGATCAATTTGCGAATGTGCAGAATTACGTTCGTCACCGCATAGGAGTAAAGCTTACGTGGAACGACTTCACTGAAGAAGGCTTTAGAGACGCAATACACTCTGTATGGAAAGATGAAAGGCAAGTAGGATTTTAATGTAATAACTACCGATTTGACTTGGTTAAATTACAATTTGGTCGAGAAGGCTCGACTGGTTTCGGGACCATTCTGGTCCTTTATACATGAATAGCTGCGATGTAAGCGAGAGGCTGACTGCGCACTTCGACCCGCTGAGCACGAGCTATAGGCGTTCGCTGCACCGTCACAGATAATAAAGATTGGGTTGGGAAATCTTCGGGTATAAATGAATGGGCTCCGTAGTCTCTTCCCATTCGCCTGTTGTGATGTTTTAACTAACTGTTAAACTGGTAGTTAATACATTAAAATATATTGAGTACTTACGAAACTTTCAACAATAAAGTCAAAAAGGAGTTTGTTAAGTTCTATTACCATCATCATCATCATTTCAGCCATTAACTGTCCACTGCTGAACGTACGAACTGCTGCCTTCCCTATTAGGGAGAGTTTTGGCAGTAATTACCACGTTTGGTGAGCGAGTTGGTAACCGCAGTTAGGTCTTGGTGATCTTTTAAGAGAGACGCTGCTGACCATCTCTTGACCATCAAACAATTTCTAGCAGTTGTATTTCCAAACTTCAAGAAAAGAGCCTATTCCTTTTCGGGTGCTGCCGACCGATAGTATATGCCAGCAAGCTGTAGTTACTCCAGTGTTGCGGGTGCTGATGGGAATGTGGGAATCACGTACCATCAAGTGAGCTACACGCTCGTTTGTTCCCTGTTTAAAAAAAAACAAATTACAGTTGCAAAATTACTTCACTCGTTTGACCGTTACTCTATTTATTTCTTTAATACTTGATTGTACACACTACTTATACATAAAAATATGGCAGAGGTAATCAAATGTACAGTGGCGAGCTTAACTCTAAAAGAGTTCTCTTCTAGCAACACCCAAACTGGAAAGGAGCATCAATGTGTTCTTATTCTATTCATCTCTATAATTCAATTATATCTTGTTGATATAGGTTTTTTTCATTAAGATTATAGATAGACAGGTACTCTTTACTGTTTCCTCTATAAGATTACAATAGTAAATTTATAAATACAAACAATTACAAGAAAATATTACACTGAGAAAACAATGGGAGGCCTCATTGCTGAAAGCGATCTCTTCCAGGCGACCTTTATATTGTTGTTGTTAACATTTTCCAGCTACCGTCGCAATATAGTCCGACTGCACGTTTTGCTACACGTGTTTCATCCTTAAACAAGGCATCAAGGCGGGCTCCTCTTATTAATATTTCTGTTGCAGTAAATACAATAAACGAAGACCTTGAACGTATATTAAAACTATGGTCTTGCTGTAAATCAGGTTATAATCATAGCCTAGTTACATTTCCAGAATGGCTTTTAATGACGTTCCTTCTGTATTTTTTAATGGAATGAAGTTAAACTACAGCGACCGCGTTAAAAACATTTGTTTTGATAGTACTTTATCCTGGTCATAATAATAAATAATATATTGATACCAAAATCATACATTGCTCCTCCCCATCCTTGACTGACTGTTATTCAAATGTTCAGTTAAATAAACTTGAGCGTCTTCAAAATTTATGTATACGGTTCATATTTGGACTTCGCAAATATGACCATGTATCCCAATATCGTACACGGCTCAAGTGGCTCTCTATCCGTCTTCGTCGTAACTGGCACATCCTTTCCCTTCTTTACTCTATTCTCTTTAATCCAGTTACACCTCATTATTTAAAAGAACGTTTTATATATTGACAACCTACTCATAATTCCTACCCATTTTTCTTTCTACTCCAAATCCTTTTTTTCGTTTGTGGAACTCACTCCCTACCCCTATACGGTGCTCTCAATCGTTGCCCATTTTTAAAAACTTAGTTAAAGCCCACTACCTATCCTTATAATCCGTCTGCAGTTTTATGTGTGCGCGTATATATATGTATATGTTTGGTTGTATGTGTTTATTTATGTATGTATATGCTATGCTGTCACAAATATTATTTTTTACAAATCTATCTTTTTTAACGCGCCACCTACCTACTTATGCTTTAATTCTTTTTACCCAAAGGTTGTCTGGAAGAGATTGCTTAGCAATAAGACCTATACGTATTGAAAATTGTTTTAACAAATCATGTTATGTTGGTGCAATAAAGTGTTAAATAAATAAATAAATAAATAAATAAATCATCAGGCAAATTATTAAAACGTTGCTCGAAGCCTAGTCTAGAACCTTTGGCAGCCAAACTGTTAATATACTATATTAATAAATAATATATTGATCCATACCGTGACTATCAGTTCTGGTATTGGTCGGCAAATTGTTACTTCTACTTGCTCCAAGATATATATTTACTATTTTTTCAAAATTTTCAGCTACCGTCGCAATATAGTCCGTCTGCGCGCGCTGCTGCACGACGAGCGCCTGCCGCTGGCGCGCGCGCTACCGTGCTGCGGCACGCGGGCACGCCGTATCTGCGCGCGCCCGCCGCCAACATGCACTGGGCGCACTACTACCAGCTGGATCTAATCGTGCTCCTCGCCGCGGTTGCGCTCCTCGCCTGCTACGCTGTTTACACAGGCGCTAAGATTCTTCTCAGGCTCGTTTGGAGAAATTGTTCAATGTTCCTTGCACGAATTCTCCAAATTAGAAGAATAGAAGAAAAAAGTATATAATAATGCGGCTCTCAACGGAGAGCAGAACATTCACTTTTCAACCGACTTTAAAAAGAAGAAGACTTTCAATTCAATTGTATTTTTCATGTTTGTTACCTTATAACTTCGACAGCTCTATACTGATTTGGAAAATCCTTGGAAAGGATATACTTACATAGCTGTGTTTCGGTTTGAAGGGTGGGATATGGCGTGAATTTACAAGGTACAGAGGAATAACACCTGAGTCCTCGGGAATGGTAACGCATGGGGGGTATCATGGGCGAAACAGTATACTCTGTTATGTCCATGGTATTGCTCATGTCTATAGGCGACGGTTACCACTGTCCATCAGGTGGACTGTCAGCTTGTTTGCCATTCTAAGTCGTATAAAAAAAAGAACGCCATCGAAATTTTATAAAAATTGGTTTAGAAGTTTTAGCTTTTGAATCAAAATTGGTTTTGTCGCAATTGAAGTCGGGTTGTTTTTTAATATCAATTGTATATTTATTATTCAAAATACTTGTAGTTTGTCTTATTGTTTTTTATTAAAGTGTTTTAATTATTTACTAGTTCTTTTCCCGAATTGTTTAAGTTTCTATTGGTCTTATATTAAAACCCCTTATACCAGTTCAAAATTCAAATCATCTTAACCGTGAAGCAGTTGTGTTTGCATGGCTGTGTTTCGGTTTGAAGGGTGGTATATGGCGTGAATTTACAGGGTACATAGGAATAACACCTGAGTCCTCAGGAATGGCAACGCATGGGAGGTATCATTGGCGAAACAGTATACTCTGTTATGTCCATGGTACTGCTCATGTCTATAGGCGACGGTTACCACTTTCCATCAGGTGGGCCGTCAGATTGTTTGCCAATTGTTTAATCAAATAGACTTGTTTACAAGCACTTTTAAATCGTCATTTTTTTAAATCTACTGCAGGGTTCAGAGAGTTGTTATCTGTTGAGAAGAGCCCGCAAGAAATTCAAAAGTTACTCTTTTAAATCTCTGTTAACATATACATATATTTTATGTAATTTACAATTACAATTTATCTTATTATCCTCTAGTTATAATATTACTATATTAATATATAATTAAGTTAAACTGTTCTCCAATGATACATTTACTTATTTAATAACGTCTTACATTTTTGTTTATTCAGTTGATTTGTCTCAATAATTAATACAAAAAATAATATAATGTGAACATACAGCACATGTTTTTAGGGTTCCTTAGCTCAAAAAGGTAACTGAATCTTTCATTCTAACTATCCGTCTGTCAAGAATTTTCTCTCAGAATCTCGTGAATGTATCAAGTTGAAATAAATAAATGAATGGAAACTCTTTATTGTTACCTTAAAAATAATTCCAAGTGTATATATATCAAGTGTGTAATCATGATGGGCTAACTGACCTTGCATTTTCATCCTCACCTTACGTCCCTCACTTGTGCCCCGCAAGTGTATACCATTGGCGAAAGTGGAATTATCATTCCGTTATCATCCAAACGATATACAATTATATGTATATTAAAATATAGTAAGAATTTTTTTAAGGAGCAAAGTAGATAGAAAAATAGAGAACAAAAGAGGAAGGGGAAGACCGAAGAATAACTACATGGGACAGATAAAGAAAACACTAGGTGTCATGTCGTATAGGGAGGTCAAGGATATGGCCTGGGATAGAGCTGACTAGAAGAGAATGCATTAGTTAGTTGCACCGACAAGAGGAAACTCTTAAATGAAAAGGGAAAATCAGCTATCCACAACATTTAGGATGGAGAGGATTTATTATAAGTAACATCAAATACTTAAGTCTGGAGGAGTCTTGGAGTCTTGAAATAAATCAAACTTCTAAATCAACGCAATTAAAAGATACAACCATTTTTAGCGTATATTTTGATATTTGCAAGGTAATCAAAACTTTAGAATAGATAGGGTACTTCCCTTTAGCCTAGTATTATGAAATTAGGCAAGAAGTAATGACGTATAGCACAAGTAAAGGGGAAAGTTGAAAAACCGTAAATGTTCACACACAAAAGAAAACAAAATTATTTTGCAAATTTTATTATTCAATTATAACTCGCGCTTGACTTCGACGAGCGCAGCGTTGCGATTGATTTTCAGTGAATAGCAGTTCAGTAAACACTTGTGCGTAAGTAGACGTGAGAACATATTTATTGTGCGTACTTAAAGTGGTTAATATGAGACTGAAGGAGTTTTATATTTTGCTATTACTATTATGAAGTTATATTATATACAGAAGCAGCTAAAATACTAGCCGTATTCCCAACTCAGTCAATCAGCGACTAGGTGGTGCTCCGTCCCCTGATGCGTGAACTAGCGGCGCGCGGCCATGAAGTGGTTGTTATCACTCCATTTCCCGCGTATCCCGCAGGAGGGGGTCCGGCGAATTTAACTGAAATTGATGTTAAATACACTGGTGAAAAGAAGAGTAGACTTTCTGATATGGACGATGAATATTACAATATAAGAATCAGCACTGAAAGATCTATGTCAATTGTTGCAAAAAGATTTCATGGACACCTAAATACTCATACAGTGCAATAAATTATTTGAAATAAAAATACCAAGTTTGATTTGCTCATAATCGAAGCATGGTTACCATCTCTGTTTGCATTTTCTCACAGATTCAACGTACCTGTCATAAGGTTTAGTTCCGTAGGATCTTTTTTTTCCGAATACCATGTTATGGATGGTTTCGGGCATCCTCTATTGTATCCACCGAATTTGTGTTCCCGATGTCCTTATATAGAAAATCTTACATTCATTGAGAAGATTTACGAAATATATAATTACATTTATATAAGTGATTTGTGTGATTCTTTTGAAAAAACAGAAAATGATAAATTGAAAGCTATTTTCGGTTCCAACATGCCATCTCTGAGTGAGCTGACCAATAATATACACTTGCACATGAGCAATATACATCGTACATGGGAACTGAACCGTCCGGTGCCGTCAAGTGTCATTCAAGTTGGTGGGATACATCTCAAGTCTGAATGCACGCTACCAGAGGGAATTATATATTGTCTTTTTATCTCACCAAATCTCATTTTTCAATTTATATTGTCCTGTCTCGAGACAGGACTATGTAAATATCTTTCAAATTCAATTAAGATTATATTTTTATGTACGATGAAACATATTAGACGTAAAAGTTAGTTTTTTTTCTTCAGTAAAATGCGATACTGATATTTTATCCCTGCCTACAGTTTAGAATGGCATACAGTATGTCGGCCTATCCGACATAAAATGATTGTTATGATTAAAACTAACAATATTATTATAAAAATTACAGGACTTGAAGAAATATTTGGATTCATCAGTGCGTGTGCGCGCGCGTGTGTGTGTGTGCGCGTGTGCGTGTGCGTGTGCGTGTGCGTGCGCGTGTGCTTGTGCATGTGCGTGTGCGTGTGCGTGTGCGTGTGCGAGTGTGTGTGCGTGTGCGTGTGCGTGTGCGTGTGCGTGTGTGTGCGTGTGCGTGTGCGTGTGCGTGTGCGTGTGCGTGTGCGTGTGCGTGTGCGTGTGCGTGTGCGTGTGCGTGTGCGTGTGCGTGTGCGTGTGCGTGTGCGTGTGCGTTTATTTAATTAGTATATTTGAGAAATAATTCTTTTAAGAAGCAATTTACAGTGGTACCCTGCACTTTGGTTATGTTTTGTTAAGAGAGGGACTGGCTGAAAACTAGCGCTGTGCAGCTGTTCACATTGCGCTGGGATACTCACAGCATCAGCTGAGCCGGTTCCTTTTGCCTAGTATGGGATACTTTTTGTATATGTTATTTATATTGTAATTGTATGTTTACTGGCAATAAATGTTTCTATTCTAAAATTTATTAAATTCTAAAATGCTGAGTTTTGTATGATGATAATACAAAATAAGAATATATTATATTTTATTCAAGTAAATATAAATACAAGCATTTTGGAATAGTCATTTTTTTATGATTCTATCATTCATTGGGAATATAATTTCAGCTGAGAAGAACGGGCAACTGTTGCTTTTTTCGACAGAAGTTGGTAGACCAAGATGGATAAAATCCGAAATGAATACTAAAGACAGACTTTTGTAGAAAAGTCGTCTACTTGGGTGGAGATTTCTATTGCTATTTATATATCCCACTGAAAAACTTGTTGGTGGAGTTCCAGTGAGGAATGATAGGTGATGGTGGGATCAGGTCAGTTGGTAATCTCGCTAGAGTTGATCAAATTAACGACCAGAAATAATTGCTGAAAATGAAGACAGGTTTCTTCTTTAAAGCTTGCGGAATATTAGTGAGAGATGATAGATGAGAATGAAGTCAGATCAATTAGCCCATCATGACGAATTTACTAAGCATTAAATGTCGATTTTCGAGATCCATTATTGATGAGGTCGTTACATCCCATTGGGGTCTTAGGTAATAATTCACAAGTCTGGCTTACGGAAAAAGAATATCTTACCACTCTTCTTCATCATTTTCCAGCTACCGGCATAATATAATCTGGTTTCGGGACCAGTTGCGTGACGTGCAAATGCAGCCGCTGGCACGCGCTGTCTGGTGGACGGAGTACGTGCTAAAGTACGGGGGCGCGATGCACTTGCGCGCGCCCGCAGCCAACATGCACTGGACGCAATACCACGAATTGGACTTGCTCGCGTTGCTCGCTGCCTTCGTGTTCCTCGTCTGCTTTGCTGTTTACATAGCTATTAAAATTCTTCTCAGAATGATTTGCAGAATATGTATTTAAGAAAAATGTATTTTGCGAACACTTAATAATAATCGGGCAATAGAAGTCAAAATAATAATTTTTATAAATTTTGTTTTCTTCAAGAAATTCAAGAATCCAATTGGACACGGATTTCAAGGTTACATTTCTGAAGATCGAAGCGTCAAGGGTGTTCTTCTCTAGAATTTTGTCCGATTCTAGAATAAGGGCATACGGGTATGCGACCCGGGCCTCCCGAGCCGCTGCAGTATCCGAGCCCTTTCCGCAACTGCAGTGTTCCCCCCTTTCCTTTCCCACATAAGTCCTTTATTCCTCTCATTCAGCAATTTCCTTTACGCATTTCTTACGTTCCCTCCCTTTTTTCCTCAATCCTTTCCTCCGTACCGTTGAAGGCGGAAACCATCAACAAATGCATTCCCAAAGAGGGTTGACGTCAGGCAGGTGGCCGGTCGTAAAACTAAAAACCAAATCTTTTTGTAATATGGATAAAATCATATTACGCCGACCCCAAATGATTGGGATAAGGGTAGGAAGATGATGATTTCTGAAGGTCGAACTTAAAATTTGTTGTATGTTTCACGCTATCTAGAAGTGGTCAATTTCCTTGTTTTTTTTTTATGGGTAATAATGGAATGGAATGGTAATGACGGCCTGCGCTAACGGGATACGCTGGCGGAGCACCAGTGAACGGTGATAGATGAGAATGAAAACAGGCCAGTTAGTCCATCATGATAAATTCATCAGGAATTAACCATGATAGTTTCCAGGGGGAACCGCGAGGAGGTCGACCTAGTTGGGTATATTGCTGGCAATGGGATTCTTAGTCTCCATCACTAACAATCCCTTTCCACCAGTGTATGTCGGCTTAAAACTCAGCGAATCGAAGGTAGTAGCCTCCGGAGAAGATGCCAGGGCAATGGGGCTCGCCCCGAGACCCCTACCTCTCCCGCCCTTACAATCTGGCGGGTGTTTAAAAGACCCCTCGTCGTCAAAATCCACGCAGACGAAATAACGGGAGAAAAGGGATATGGCGTGAATTTACTGGGTACAGAGGAATAACACCTGAGCCCTCAGGAATGGCAACGCATGGGGGGTATCATGGGGGAAACAGTATACTCTGTAATGTCCATGGTACTGCTCATGTCTATAGGTAACGGTTATCACTTTCCATCAGGTGGGCCGTCAGTTTGTTTACCATTCTAAGTTGCATAAAAAAAAAGCTAGTATTTTATTATTCTAAACTAAACCTCTTATTTTGATTTAAAAACTAAACTACTGAACTGATTTTGATAAAATTTGTATGAGACAAATCTGTAAGTATATCCCTTCAGATGAAGAAAGAATTCTCCAAATCGGTTTACAACTGACGAAGTTATGAGGTGACAAACAAACATAAAAAAATACAACCGAATTGAAAATTTCCTTCTTTTTGAAGTAGGTGAAAAAGAAGCAATCAATGAAATATTTATTTTACATTACCAGTTATTAAAACACGGTATAAAACCAAAATGTTAACAGAGTCACCTGTTAACACAATCTTAAGCTATTGTACTGCTGTTTAAATATAAATAGTGCGAGACGAGACATTGTGACGCAGAGCGTTGAATGCCCTTTGCAGGCTTCCGAATGAAGTTGAAACAATTGTCGGAAACGATAAGAACTTTTTTTTTATACAACTTAGAATGGCCCACCTGATGGAAAGTGGTAACCGTCGCCTATAGACATGAGCAGTACCGTGGACATAACAAAGTATACTGTTTCGCCCATGATACCCCTCATGCGTTACCATTCCTGAGGACTCAGGTGTTATTCCTCTGTAAATTCACTGCCATATCTCACCTTTCAAACCGAAACACATCCATGCAAACACAACTGCTTCACGGTTGAAACACGAATGAGACAGAGGTACTCAAGCAAACGACTTTTGTGCAAAGTCTCCCTCTGGTAAAAATGCTTTAAAATAAATAAATAAATATTTTTTTAATCCACCACTTGTATACATATATCTAAGTAGGTATTTAACATCTTTTCGTCCGCTCCATCGTACGCGTAGATTTCAGAAAAAAATTGAAAAAGCAATGAAATATATTATCACTTCTAGATGCAGGTCAGTTGGCCCACCATGATGAATTCGACAAGAATTAAACATGATGGTTCCCAGAAAGAACCGCGTGGAGATCGACGTAATAGGGTAAATGGGGTACTCTTGTCCGCCTGTCTGTATGTTCGTTCTAGTATTTAACTTAAAAACTGGTATATATTTTATCTTGATTGCGGTGTGACATAGCCGTAGCAAGGTGGAGGGGGCATTGAGGGCAAAACTCTATCTTAAAAGACACTTAAAATAGTTTATATACTTACTAATTTACGCAAACGAAGCCGCGGAATACAGCTAATAGGATATAATAAAAAAAAATCAAATTCGATTTACAAAAACAACTATGACAAATGGACGTGCTCATGTCACATGACTATTATATACTAGTTGTATCCCGTGGCTATACCCGTGTTTATTCAAATGAAAGTATCCTATCTGCTAAATTAGGGTATAACCTACTTGTGTAACAAATTTTATTCAAATCGATTTAGTAGTTTTTGCGTGACAGAGTAACAAACATCCAGCCGTGATATGATGATACCGCTGTTAACTATCCATTGCTGAACATAGGTCTCCACCTTGGAGGGTTTGGTTACTAGACTTGACAAGTGGATTGGCAACCGCAGGTAGATTTTAGTGATGTTTTTAGAGAGCTGCTGCTGCCTATCCTAGACCATTAAGTTCCCTTAGTCGCATCTTACGACACCCACGGGAAAGAAAGGGGTGGCCCATTCTATGTCGGGACTACACGTCTATTTTTTTATTTATGCTACAGAATAATGGCAAATAAGTAAGAAAAAAAAAAACAAAAAGAAAGTACATAAAATAGGTAACATAATTTTTCGCTAGTAAATTAAACAGTAAATTTTAAATGGTCATCAGAAATGAAAAATTATAAGAGAAACATAATGAAATAATGAAATGGACCATTTCACAGGTCAAGATCAAACAAACGCTAGATTTTAAATCAATTTGGTGCAGTAATTTTTGCATAAAGACAAAACCAAAATAACCGACAGAGCCCGAAGGATAAACAAGCCGAAGTGGCAATGGACTGGTCACATAGCTCTCAGAACCGACAACCGATAGGGAAGAAAGGTTCTTGAGTAGCAACCGCGTACGGGCAAACACAGTGTAGGACGACCCCCCACTAGATGGAGTGACGATATGAAATGCATTGCAGGTAATCAGTGGATGCAGGTAGCTCAGGACCGTTCTTTATGACAGTCTATGGGGGAGGCTTATGTCCAGCAGTGGACGGATAATGGCTGAAATAATGATGATGATGATGATGAATATAAAGACAGGCAGACAGACAGAGATAAAATTTGTAAATTTAGTTTTGGCTTTTGTCACTCTTATTACATACTTTGAGAAAAATGCTATGAACATTTTTCTCAAATGCCTCCTATGCACAGAGGTCTAGTTAGAATTTTGTTATATTAGAAAGATATTTATTCAATTCAAACAGATTTTGTTTTGATACCGAAAAACAACTTTCAACGCAGTGTTGCCAGGTGAAGTATTTTTTCTCGATTTTTGGGTAAAAATTTACTGGGTGATTTGGTAATTTGGGTGAAACGGACGCAGAAATATAGCGGCTATATTTTTGTGTCAGTTTTGATATTTGTAAACTATCAATAGTATATAAATCCAAACAATACACCAATGAAATTAAGGAACTTAGATTATTAATAGATGACAACTTTCCGAACCTTGCATTCATTAAAAAGATGACGATTTAAAAGTGCTTGTAAACAAGTCTATATAAATAAACACGATTTGAATTTTAAATATATAGTACCTCCATAGATTTGTTGTTTGATTTGATACAGAGCACCGAAATACCAACTTGAACCCTTTGACTCGGTGCAACGACGAGCTATAAGAATTGTCGTTGATCCCAGGCTTGCCATACAAGCGGTATCGAACCCTTAAGTCATAGAAAAGATTTTGCCTCTGCGTGTTCTACCGCTTGTACAACGGATTGTGCTCAGAGGAATTGTCCAATATGATGCCCACGACCACTTTCTACCATCGTACGGCTCGCCATCGACAGGGAGTTCACCCCCATACCTTTCAAAGCGCAGTTTCAGTGATATTTCCACCCACGAATGCTCAGGTTATGAAATGGCCTCCCTGTTGAGATTTTTTTCAAGAGACTACAGCATGATCTGATTACGTTATCATTAAAAAAAATCATTCAAAAGTAAAATTTGTTCCCCATTCCCATATTTTAAAAATCGATTTTATACAGGTTTTATTTAATTTAATTTTTTTTATACAACTTAGAATGGCAAACAAGCTGACGGCCCACCTGATGGAAAGTGGTAACCGTCGCCTATAGACATGAGCAGTACCATGGACATAAAAGAGTATACTGTTTCGTCCAAGATACCCGCCATGCGTTGTCATTCCTGATGACTCAGGTGTTATTCCTCTGTACCCAGCAAATACACGCCATATCCCACCCTTCAAATCGAAACACAGCCTTGCAATCACAACTGCATCACGGTTGAAACACGAATGGGACAGAGGTACCCAAGCAATCGACTTTTGTACAAAGTCTCCCTCTGGTGAAATTCCTGTAACACTAAAAAATGGCGCGTTAATATTTTATAATAAGTATAATATATAATACTTAATACTTAATGTATTCAGGGAAACGTTATTTTGGCTAACTAAATTGTGCTACATTGTTTTTACATGATATTATGTATTCTAGAATAAGGGCATATGGGTATGCGACCCTGGCTTCCCGAGCCGCTGCAGTGTCCCAGTCTTTTTCGCAACTGCAGTGTCCCCCTCTTTCCATTCCCACATAGCTCCCCTATTCCTCTCATTTTCTTATTTCCTTTACGCATTTCCAACGTTCGCTTCCTTTTTTTCCTCAATCCTTTTCTCCATATCATATGTGGCGGTAACCACCAATAAATGTATTCCCAAAGAGGGTTGACGTCAGGCAGGCGGCCAGTCGTAAAACTATAAGCCAAATCCTTTAGTAATATGGCTAAATTATTTTTTTTTATTTTATCACGTATTCATTCCGTTTATCTTTACCCCCAGTTCCTTGACATCAGTGTAGATCCTCTCCCTGTGTTCACCAGACGACTAGATCAATTTCAGCACACTATATCGACCTTCGGAGAAGTCTGGTTCTGATTCATTTTGTGGCTGAGCGGAAGCTGCCTGGAATTATAACATAAACTCCGTTCCGATAGAAGTTAACGCAAAGATTGTCTAAATCAAAATGGCGCACCCATTCAAATTTTTACTTCAATCTGTGTAACCATAAATAGACGTTGTGTTCTATTTGAGTTCATAATTCAAAATTTAAATAATTCTTTTATCTTTATTCAAATAGACTTATGTTATATGCGCATATGGAGTCAGCTAAGCTGTTGCACGTCGACCCATCGGGATCTTTTGTGCTTCCCCCTGCCTTATACCATCATTTCATAAACCCTTTGTGTTACCTTAACAATATCCCGCGGTTTAAGATATCTGTGGTCCCCTGGCTTTGGATAAGCCGTTCCCAGTAGCAATATCTTAGACTTATCTACAAGCACTTTTAAATCGTAATTTTTTTTAAATCTGCTGCGAGTTCGAAAAGTTTTTGGATGCACTTATGTAATGTAAAGGTAAGACGTATAAAACGTATTGTGATTAGATAAATGTGAAGGAATTCATAATAATTTTTTGGGGGGAAAAATATTTTATATTTGGGTAGAAATAAAAAAAGCATTTAGCAACTCTTGTTCGACACCTGTATAAACTTATTTTCAATTTTCGACTATGGGACTTTGTGATATCACCAGTGAAGTATTTTGTGGTTAGGCTTAATAAAAATATGGAGTTACTCAACGGTGTATTAGGTTAGAGTTTCAATATTTATTTATAATTTTTTTTTTCATCAATACGTAATAAAGTGGTAATGTGTGGGCCCGGCGAATTTGTATATATAGAGGAAGGTAGGGATTGTTAGCAATGAGGAGTTAGTCCCCCTCACTAGCATCACAGATAATATAATACTATGCTAGCAATATACTCCAACAGGTCAACCTCCACGAGGTCTCTCCCGGAAACCATCGAAGTTAATTCTTATTGAAATCACCACGATGAACTAACCGATCTAGAAATTTAGTTAGACCTGTAAGTCCACCTAGATGTAATCAACAGGAATTAACCATGATGGCTACATTTGTTACGGCATCATGCAAAAATTGCAATATCAAATTGGATGAGGAAGTCTTGATGGGCGTAAATGAATAAAATCTGGTGCAATTGTTCGGATTGATACCTGCTGCTGATTTTCACCATCGTACAACCCGCCATAAACTAAAATTTCATCCCAACCATCTGGACGAGTGGCGGTCCTCCACCGTTTGTTTTTCAAGGCACTTTCTCCCACGCACAACCACTCTTTGGAATCAATTGCCAGCAGCAGTATTTCCGAACCGATACGACAACATAACCTTTAAGAAAAGAGCATATTTCTTTTTAAAAAGCCGACAGCACACCTGCAATGTCGTTGGTATTGTGGGTGGTCATGAGCGGCGGTAGTCACTTACCATCAGGTGAGCTGCATGCTCGTTGGCTCTCTGTGTTGTAAAAATTCTACCTACTTCTATGAAGCAGTTGTGTTTGCATGGCTTGGCTGTATTTTGGTTTAAAATGCGAGATACGGCAGTGTATTTACAGGGTACAGAGGAATAACACAGAATGAAACAGTATACTCTGTTATATCCATGGTACTGCTCATGTCTGTAGGCGACGGTTACCACTTTCCATTAGGTGGGCCGCTTGTATGCCATTCTAAGTTGCATAAAAAAAAGAAATAACACCTGGGTCCTCAGGAATGGCAACGCATGTGGGATATGTGTTATGTCCGTGGTACTGCTCATGGCTATACCATCAGGTGGGTCGTCAGCTTGTTTGCCATTCAAAGTTGTATAAAAAATATATTTATTACCTATTTCCAAAATTGACGCATACGATGTCGCGAGATAAAACTAGTAATTAATATAATTTTAAAATTCGTTACAGACATACACTTTGCACTTCTAACAGCATGTAATATTATCGAAGCAGCTAAAATTCTGGCTGTATTCCCAACACCTTCGATCAGCCACCAGGTAGTGTTCCGTCCCCTGACACGTGAACTAGCGGCACGCGGCCATGAAGTGGTTGTTATCACTCCATTTCCCGCGTATCCCGCAGGAGGGGGCCCGGCGAATTTAACTGAAATTGATGTGGGACATACTGTCCCAATATACAGAGAAGGCAAAATAGCTCCAAGCTATAATCACGATGCAGACATAAGAGCATTTATAGAAACGCTGTTGCCTCTTGGAGCAAAAGTTGTTTTCGAACAATTGCAAACGGTCGCTGTGAGTGAAATAATAAAAAATAAAGATATCAAATTTGATTTATTGATAATCGAAGCGTGGGTTAGACCCGATTTGGCTTTCTCCCATAGATTCAATGTGCCTGTAATAAGATTAGCTTCTATTGGACCATTTCTGAATGAATACGGTGTTATGGGAGACATGGGGCATCCGTTGTACCACCCAACCTGTGCCTGTTCAAGGTGTCCTGATGTAGAAAAATTAACTTATATGGACATGATTTATGAGATATATAACTATTTATATATAAATAAAAGATACTGTTCTTTGGAAGATGAAGAAGTTGCTATGTTGAGAACTTATTTTGGGCCTGACATGCCAACTTTGAATGAACTCAGCAATAATGTGGACTTGCTCGTTGTAAACACGCACCACGCTTGGGAATTGAATCGTCCCTTACCATTGAGCGTGGTTCACGTTGGTGGGATACATTTAAAATCGAATTGCTCGTTGCCAGAGGTAAACTTTGTTTTATATAGTTTAAGAATGTGTCCCTCTAAACAAAACTGACTTCATTCATGGCATGACCAGTTTTTTTTATTTAAAAAATAATTAATTAATCCTCCTCTCAATCTTTTACCACTTCTTTGGTATGCACTGCCTATTGATATCAAAAAGTCCCTAACCAAATTTTCCTTCAAAATGTCCCTTCGTGAACATTACTTCAATTTATTACAACAATGAAAAGCCTTAATCTGTTATATAATTAGTTATTATTTATATATTTATTAATTTAGTATATGCAATGTATGGTTATTTATATATGTATTTATATTTATAAGACATGAGCAGTATCATGGACATAACAGAGTATACTGTTTCGCTCATGATACCCCCATGCGTTACCACTCCTGAGGACTTAGGTGTTATTCCTCTGTACCCTGTAAATTCTAGAAATAGACTATATCATTAGTGTTTTTATTTCTAAAATCTGCAGTTTTAAAAAACTAGTTTTCATTATTGCAGGATTTGAAAAGATACCTTGATAACTCAGAGAATGGTGTGTTATATGTTAGTTTTGGTACTAATATGAAACCCTCATGGTTTCACCCGAAGACATTGGAAGTTATGGTCAAGGTCATTTCTCAATTGCCCTTCGACATCTTATGGAAGTGGGATGAAGAGAAATTACCAGCACACGCTAAGAATATCAAGGTAGCGAAGTGGTTTCCGCAGGAATGTCTTCTAAGTAAGATTCATTCTATTATTTTAATTTGAAAGCTAGAATTTTCTTCTTTTATCTATGCTAAAACTTAACTCTGTTCTCTCTTTCTATCATTGAACAGTTTCCTCTTGTCGGTGCAACTAATTCATGTATTCTCTTCCTTCCAGTTCTATTCCAGGCCATATCTTTGACCTCCCTATACGACATGACACCTAGTGTTTCCTTTATCTGTCCCATGTAGTTATTTTTCGGTCTGCACCTTCCTCTTTGCCCTCTATTTTTTCTTCTAGTATGCTCTTTAAAAAATTGTCATGTCATATAAGGTGGCTATTTTCCCTCTTCTATTCTTTAAAACTATTCTCTAACTTATATATATAAGTAACTAATTATATATGGATAGAATTAGATTTTTTTTATACAACTTAGGATGGCAAATAAGCTGACTGCCCACCTGATGGAAAGTGGTAACCGTCGCCTATAGACATGAGCAGAACCATGGACATAACAGAGTATACTGTTCCGCCCATGATACCCCCCATGCGTTGCCATTCCTGATGACTCAGGTGTTATTCCTCTGTACCCAGTAAATTCACGCCGTATCCCACCCTTCAAACCGAAACACAGCCATGCAAACACAACTGCTTCACGGTTGAAACACGAATGGGACAGAGGAACCCAAACAGTCGACTTTTGTACAAAGTCTCCCTCTGGTTGTTACAGTAACTCCGTTTACCAGTAGACGGGCCGTATGCTTTTTTTCTTCCATAGTAATATAAAAAAAATCAAAAACACTTAACCAATTTTAAAAATTCCTTCACCTATAGAAAGATACATTATTATGATCCATATATTGTATTATTTTAGAAAATTCTTTCTACCCGTGCGAATCCGGGCTGAATCACTAGTACGCTATACAGAGCGACGTTTTAACTATTATTTCAGGGCACCCAAAAATTAAGCTGTTCGTAACCCAGGGTGGGTTGCAGTCGACGGAGGAGGCTATAGCTGCTGGTGTCCCACTTGTGGGCATCCCAATAAATGCTGATCAGTATACAAATACGCAATACTATGTTCGATATAGGATTGGAGTTAAAGTACTGATGAATAATCTCACACAAGAGAGTCTCAGAGAGGCCATTTACACAGTTTTAAATGATGAAAGGTCAGTGTAAACAATATTAATGATTCTTTAGTAAAACAATGACTCGCAGTAAAAGAACGTAATGCGAGGAACATATTAATCTAAAGCTAACGCAGCTGAAGTGGACAAAAGAGACTGCTTTCAAATCTACGCTTAAACTTCCTATGAGCTGTATAAAGGAGTTCTTTGCGCCGGATTTTTGGCTAAAAAGCATAGTTTATTATCACTACAGGGTTACTGGTTCAATTTTTAATAGTACCTTGATACAATTTGTCATGGAGAAACAATACTATGACAAATAGAATTTGAATCATTAAAGTATGTAATACCTATCATTTAATTAAACATTTCAATTGGATATCTCGCGACATTACTGTTTCATTTCTTATGCAACTTAGAATGGAAAACAAGCTGACGATCCACCTAATGGAAAGTGGTAACCGTCGCCTATAGACTTGAGCAGTACCATGGACATAACAGAGTATATTGTTTCGACCATGATAATCCCATGCGTTGCCGTTCCTAAGGACTCAGGTGTTATTCTTCTGTACCCTGTAAATTCATGGACCACCATTAACTAAATTTATAATAATTTTGAATTAAATTTATTAGAAAATTCGTTTTTACATACATACATGCATATATATATCTGTCACTTCGCTGTGTTTCGGTTTGAAGGGTGAGATATGGCAGTGAATTAAGCAGCACACTGTCCCTCCCTATTACGATTTACAAAACGTAACAACACTATTGTCGAATCTCGATCTTGTCCTTCTTACATGTTGTGTCCAAAAGAGTTGTGTTAAAAATATAAAATAAAGTGTTCACAATAAACGCCTGCTTCAATGCATACACAATTTGTAGCGCATCAATTGTGCATAACATCCAATTGTGGATTTATAGCTTTCCCGCCAGTAGACTTCATAACCCACTCTTACCAGCTTTAACAATTCCTGTCAGTTCTCATCCACAATCATATTTATTATAACTATAATTTGTGAATGAAATTATATCGTGTATAATATATCATATATGTGTAAGTATATTTGTTATTCATATATATTTATTCGTTTATATATGTAATTTTAGTATGTATGTATATCAATAATTACCAGTACCGCATTCATGTATTCTGACACTTCCCTATGGTTGACTGGGAGTTCTCTCCCAATGCTTTTAGCATTAAATCCGCCATGTACACATATTTGTACTAATGAATAAATAAATAAATAATTATTTTACTCAACTCGTCTGTTATCTTGCGGAAGTCTACATCACTGGTTATTTGTTTAGAATTATTTTGTTTAATTCCGCTACCATTAGTATGTGTGTGACTGCCAACACTCGAAGATTGCCCACCACTATTACTACCAGAAGTTCCATGACCTTCCATATTAGACATCAATCTCCGACTGCCATTTTGTTCGCGCCTAATAATACACCTCTAAACAAGGTATTTACAGGCAAATTATTAGGTTTCTGCTCGGAGCCTAGTCTAGCACCTTCGACACCCAAATTGTAAATATACTATAATAATAAATAATATATTGACCCATACCGTGACTATCAGTTCTGGTATTGGTCAGCAAATTGTTACTTCTACTTGCTCCAAGATGCTAAATGAATTATATTTACTGTTTTTTTTTTATAAATTTTCCAGCTACCGTCGCAATATAGTCCGTCTGCGCGCGCTGCTGCACGACGAGCGCCTGCCGCCGCTGGCGCGCGCCGTGTGGTGGACGGAGCACGTGCTGCGGCACGCGGGCACGCCGTATCTGCGCGCGCCCGCCGCCAACATGCACTGGGCGCACTACCACCAGCTGGACCTGATCGTGCTCCTCGCCGCGCTCGCGCTCCTCGCCTGCTGCACTGTTTACACAGGCGCAAAGATTCTTCTCAGGCTCGTTTGGAGAATATGTGTAAAATAAATTTGTTACAATAAATTATAATAATTTAAAAATGGCGTGATTTTGCATAAAGAAATGGTTTATTTTATATAAAAATCTTATAAAATCTTATAATGTCATAAAAATATAATAATTATTTAAAATATGGTGAATAAACTTGTAAATGCGAATTTCAATAAAAAGAAAGGACTGATGCATGTGTATTTTTTTTTTAGTCTTCTTATTTCTTCGATAAGCAAATGAGATCATTACTCCAAAACGCTTTCGCAGTAAATTTTTAATAATACATACGTGGGACACACAGTAAGTTTTGCGACACTAAAAAAAATTTTCTATAGGTAAATATATTTTTATTACATCTTTTCAAAGTACTCTCCACCAGCCTCTATACAAAGTTTCATGCGTTTGAACCAGTTTTCGAAACACTTTTCCAGTCCGCCGCAGACACCTCGTTTACAGCCTGCTCGAACACTGAGAGCGCATCATCCGGCAACGAAAATTGTATCCCTTTGAGCCGATTTTTTTATTTTTGGGAATAAAAAGAAGTCACACAGTGCTAGGTTAGGGCTGTAAGAAGAGTGACCAAGGAGTTTGACCGGTGTGCTATCTAGGAAGTCTCTCGTTTTGATTGCGATGTGGGCGAGCGTATTATTGTGGTGGAGCACTAGCCCTCGGAGCCCTTGCGTTTGGTCGCTTGTTGCTCATAACAGAAAATATTTCTGCCAAGCATTTGATAGTATACCATTCGGCGTTAATGCTTCTTTGGTTTCGTAAAGGAATTGACACTTAGTAGCCAGACAAATTGTAAAAGCTCGCGATCAAAATCTTCCCCCCGCTTCTAGGTCGCTTTACTTTGGCAGCCGTTTTGAAATACCCAAACCGTCGACTGGCGCTTTGTTTCTGGATCGTATTGATAAATCCAGGATTCATCACCTGTAACGATGTCGTGACGATTCCTGATCCAATCTGCAGTATATTCTGAATCTCTTGGTATGTAACTCGTATCTTGTCTTGGATCAAATTTTTCACTACTAGCACGTTTTATTCCGTAACAACCGTTAGAGGGCGACCACTTCTTTCTTCATCCCCCAAAGTTAGTCGACTACGCTTAAATTCATTATACCAACGATACACGGTTTCCTTAGAAGGGTATCCATGCATGCCATTTGAAATCTATCGTACGATTCATCCGGTTTCAGACGACACCTAAAATCGTAAAAATCATAACGCGAAAATGTCCTCGACGCAAATATATTTTGCAATGAGACACGGTAATTTTAATTAGCTCGCAAAAAATATGGAGGGAAGTTTTGAATTTAGAACGTACCTATTTTTACTTATAAATAATCATATTTTTTAATAACTTATAACTGGCCAGCCTCACATACATAAAAACTTTTTCTCGCAATACTTTCGGAGTGACCTGGTATTTACTCTTTATAAAAGCACTTGTATTAACAAGATTGAATTCAGAATTAATTTTAAATACTCTTCAAAACCTAAAATAATTTGGGTAGGCATAATAGAGTCATTTTGATATGGGTCCCAGGACATATAGGAATTATAGGTAATGAAAAGGCAGATGAGTTGGCAAGAAGGAGATCAGAATCAAAAATGATAGGTCCTGAACCATATGTTGCACTTGCATTAAATGTCGTTAACTGTGTCCTAGAGAAGTACTTATTTATACAAAAATAAAACAGCAAAAGTAATGAAGAAAATGAAAGAGTCTAGGCATGCTAAAAGTTCTTAAACATTGGTAAGAGACAACACTTCGTCGCTCCCCTCTCGCGGGCTTGGAGTGCCTTCTGCATACGCCCCTGCACACGCCCGGTGAAGCTGAAAAGGCTATCTGTGATCAAAAGCAATTACAACTCGAAGATCATCAGTCATTCGCTGTTTGGGTGCCGAACGGACAATAATAGGCTCCGAGTAGTCTAGTAAGTAAGTCTAGTTAGTCTAATTATTTGTTTAACACGTTTTGCGACACGTTTCACGTATCCCAAAACGTGCGTGGACAAAATGATAATCGGAGATTGAGACTAATATGGAAGGTTATAGAACTTCTGGTAGTAATGATGGTTGTCTGTCTTCGAGTGTTGGCAGTCACATATACTAATGGTAGCAGAATGAAACAAAATATCTCTAATAAAACTACCAGTGATATGGATTTCCACAAAATAACACCTAGTTTAGTAAAATAAGTGTTTCAGAAAAAAAAAATCAGCTGCGATTATTTCACCTAGTGACACGTTTTAATTCTACTTTTTTGTCTGTAGGTATTATGTCGGAGAAGAATTGAATAGTATTTATTTTTGGTTATAAATACACCGTTACATAAAGTATATTAGTAAATGACGCATTTAAACGTCATCAGAGGGCACGGTAGTGCTCTCGTCAAGTCAATAACCGTACCATCCTTTTCTCGAAGCGACTCACGCCACTTTTGACTCGTATTGTAACTGCATTGTGGATAAAGCAGAAAAAATGAATTTTTGTGATCAGTAAGACATACTATAACTTGTTATATTGCCAATATAATTAATAGTTATACTTTACATTTTACAAATTGTTCTAACTCAAATTTCTTAAAAATTTGAAAGTTATTCTAGCACATAGTAATGATTAGCTTATATAATGGAAGGAAAAAATAAATAAAAAACCCGAAATTTAATTTTTAATTTTCATTAAATGAAAAATAAGGATCATTAAAAATGACGTTAATTAATTCAAATAAACCACTGTGCTTGCAGGTGGCGGACAAGATATATTATCTGAGTAAAAAATTGCCTATTTAAAAAGAAATGAGGTCTCATTAAAAACATAAAATGTAAAAAAAGATAAGTCTTGGAATACAGTTCTCCTTACTCTTTTATAATCTACTAATAAAATATTTTATTCTTAAGTGCATTATTTAGATTTACTTAGTAATCGAAACAGTCCATTTTCTATTAGATTATTCTTTTATAATTAAGGCGCCGTACCATTAAAATTATTATAAAAATAAAAATATCTGATATCAATGCGATCACTATAAATATTAATAAATACTTGATTAAACAAAAATTTATAACAAAGTTATTGAACAAGTGCTTCCATAGACACTAATTAAAATAACTCGGTTAACAGTGAAATAACTGCGTTACAAGACTTGGCACTTTTTTACATTTTATATTTTTGATGAGAGATATATTTGTATTACAATAATAAACCACATACCTACTTCTTTCGTTAAACGAACTTTATTGATTCATTGTAAAGCAGATTATTCATTCAGATGGTTTGATACGTTTAACAGTATATTAAGTGTTTTGTAATTTCTTGTAATTTTTGTACCTGTTTTACTTATTTTCACCTTGTATTTAATTTGCAAATTCAATCTCTAAATACATAATTTACAATAATGAAGCAATTGTTATTAGTGTTTGTATTTTTGGCGATTATATTAAGGAGCGAATCAGCTAGAATTTTGGCTGTCTTAGTGCTACCATCAAGAAGCCACCAGAGAATATTTCATACTTTAACGACAGAGTTAGTGGATCGAGGGCATCAACTAGTTGTCATCACACCTAATCCTATGTTCCAAAAAGGGGAAGCACCGAAAAATTTGACAGAAATCGGTGCAATAAACAAATTGGATAAAGTATGGACCAAGATGCCAGTCCCTGCAGGTATATCCGGAGAAACTGATAGAAAGTTTGCCGCAAAAAGCGCAATAGAGAAATTAAGCAACTTATTTTACGAATGTTTGGGAACAGAAGATGTGAGAAAAATTATCGAAGACAGCAACATTAAGTTCGATTTGCTAATCTTGGAGGGATGGTTCCGACCGAGTATCGCGTTTTTCTACAAATTCAATGTGCCAGTTATAAGATTCAATTCTTTTAATTCAGTTTTCTCAGAGTATAAAGATATTGGAGTGGTTTCACATCCTATATTGTATCCTGGGGCGTTTAGCACCAAATTGACTGGTTATTCGTTTTCGGAGACCATAAAAGAGTTGTATGATAGTTACTTTTTTACCAATTTATACAAGAATCAGGATAAAGACAATGATATTCGTTTGAAACAATACTTTGGTCCCGGTATTCCCAGTTTGAGTGAGTTGAACGAGAATGTAAACATTCTCATGGTGAACATGCATAGTATTTGGGAAATGAATGTGCCGACCCCACCCAGTGTGGTGCATGTTAGTGGTATACATTTAAAAGCTAAAAAGGAACTGCCTAAGGTTGGTATGGTCGTAATGCAATTGACAAAAGCGTATTTTGGGGGAAAAGGATAGTAACTAACAAGTCTTATAGCTAGCAATATACCTTACCAGGTTGACATCCACGAGGTTCCCCCTGAAAAATATTGTGGCTAATTCTTACGGTACTCGTCACCATAGACCAACTAACCTGCTTCCATCTTTATCTATCATTCCTCTCGCATTTCGATAACATAGACAAGGCCACCATTCCATTCTCATCCTTTAAAAAAAAATTGGTGTATTTTTCTTAACCATTTTCACTTCCTCCTTATCGTTTTTGGTCATACCGCGTGATATATTGAAAATAAATACATACATACATACATATCTGTCACGACTGTCTCCCATTAGGGTAGGCAGAAACAATGGAACGCCAAATGCTTCGATTCAAACAGACCTCTTTAGCTTCTTCCAAATTCATCAATCTTTTCATACACGCACATTTTTCTTTTCATATATCTTCAGCGTAATTACGTGTTTTAAATTTTTTTTTTACAACACAGTGGGCAAACGAGCATGCGGCTCACCTGATGGTAAGTCACTACCGCCGCCCATGGTCACCCGCAACACCAACGGCATTGCAGGTGTGCTGCCGGCTTTTTAAAAAGGCCTTCGGAACAATTCAATCAGACGTGTCCGATAGAATACTTATCTTTTAGGATTTACAATTATAACTGAATTAGCATATTAAGAAGTTCGCGTGTGGCCCCAACACAGAATGGACCACCCCTTCCTTTTCCGTCGATATCCTAAAAAGCGATTAAAGGAACTTAATGATCAAAAGACAAGCAGCTCTTTAAACATTACCAAAGCTTAATTATTGTTGGCAACCCACCTGCCAAGCATGGCAACTACTGGCAAACCCCTACTTTTAGGGGAGGCTTATGTTCAGCAGATGACGGCTTTTGTGATGATAATGATTAATTTAAGCTCATGCAGACAAGTTCAGGGAACAAAACAAATATTAAAGAATTTACAGTGGAACGTAAATCTTCTGTTTTTTTGAAGTCGGTTAAAAATCTTATTACGTGGACTGATCGAGTGTCTAACGGTGTGTTTGCCTCCAAACTGGCCACCTGTTCAAATACACTTCGTACTTGATTTCGTAATTAATATTTGTTTTCACTTCACCATCATTTGAATATCATTTAGTTTTATTTTCTTTCAGTTTTAGGAATGACAAGTGAAGTGAAATTATTTTTGAAAACTTGCTAAAAATGGTAACACAATTACTCCGCCAATAAAATGGCGCTGTCGTCGATGTAATTTTTTTTAGTGCATGATAATTGTTGCAGCCTCTTTGACCGTTAAGATATTTGACAGACAAAAGCTAAAAGCGTTTACAAAACCCGGTTAAAAAGACGACCATCATTTTCAGACTAGAAATTTATCTTTTTTTAAATCCAAATTCTGACCCTCGACCCTTCGACCTTCAACCTTTCAATAATGGTAACCCCGTCTACGTTATTAGTATATATAAATTGGCAGTAAAGGATGATAGGTGAGGATAAAACAGACCAATTGGACTAACGTGATGAATTCAATTGAAGCAATCATGATGGTTTCTAGAGACGACCTAATAGGGTATATTGCTAGCAATGGGGTTACTAATCCCCAATTCTAACGTTATTTTCTCCTCCTGATCTAGTGAACATAGATTTCCCTCATAAGGTGGTTTTGTAAGTAGTTGCCTCGCTTAGCAAGCAGGTTGACAAACGCAGTTAGGCTTTGAAATGTTTTAAGAGGTACCATGTGGCACTGCCGCCTATTCTTCGGCTATTAAGTTCTCTTAAATGCCTCTTACTTTACTCACGGGCAAAGAAGGGGTAGTCTATTATATGCCGGAACTACATGTGAATTTATTGAATGAACACCGAAGGTAGTTGCATAATTGTCTATGCAATCGACAGGGTTTACTCTCTCATTAGTTCCATATTAGTTATGCGACAGCCGAAACTGTATTTTTTTTCGGAGTAAAATAGTCCATTTTCATGGTGCTGTTCATGTCTAAAGACAATCTTTACTATTTTGATATAGCCAAGTTTCATGAAAAAGTATCTATAGCGAAGCAAAATTCTTGTTAATGTTATTTCTTCATATGCCTGCTCATCGTACGGGCTTCATTTCTTATTCTCTCACTGTTCAAGCTATCAAACACTGGAACACACACCCGCTTGACACAAGATCTACTCTAAGCAAGTTAGCTTTTAAACACAATTTGCGCACCTATTTCTTAGAAAAATCATTTTTCCTTCAAGCTTCTCATAGCTAGTTACTCTGTTTGAGTCATAGATTACTATTTGCTCTTCTATTGCAGTTGTTTCTTCATCATTGTTTGTTCATCTTTATCCGTCATTCTCTTCTGTTGTACGTGTGCTATTAAATATGTGTATGTTTATGTATATATTTGTTTTTAAATATGTATGTTTGTATACATTAGTATCTATATAATCGTGCGCCACCTAGCCTTTGTCTTTTTTCTCAATGTCCTCTACCCAAAGGTTGTCTGGAAGAGATTGCTTAGCGATAAGGCCGCCTTTTGTATCACTTACAATTACAATTAGTGTAATAAATTGTAAAATAAATAAATTATCCTCCACATAACATCCCATCACTTAACGGTGTGTGTTTAAAATTACAGGATTTTAAGAGTTATCTTGATGATCTGCCAAATGATGTGATATACATAAGTTTCGGCTCCATCTCGGAGACAGCGTGGATATCTGCAGAACAGTTGCAAATGATGGTCAACGTGCTGTCCAGACTGCCCTACCAGGTGATCTGGAAGTGGAATGAAGACGGGCTGCCTGGACGCAGTGGGAACATCATGATATCAAAGTGGTTACCGCAGGAGGCTTTGTTGAGTATGTGAATATTGATATAGATTTACATAGAATGACTATATACTAATGGGAGACTTTGTACATAAACCACCTTCATGGGCACCTTTGTCCCATAAGTTTTCCTGCTGTAAAGCTGGTGTGATTGCATGGTCATGTTTTGGTTTGATGGATAGGATATTGCAGTGACATTACACGATATGGAAGCCCACCATGGTTCTCTGCGATAACAATACATGGGGATAGAAAGGACACCCTGGATATATCAAGGTATTTTGTGATATACATGGTGTTGTTCATGTCTATAAATGATCGTATACCATCAGCTGAGGCGTAGGCTTATTTGCCGTTCTGGGTATGTATCATAAAAATTTTTTCTTTTTTTCCCCAAACTCTCTTATGCCCCTCTTGAACATTTTGAACCTTTTTCCGACAAAGTTTACTTGATGACTCTAATCGCCCAGTTTATATTGATACAGATGAGTTAATTTCCCCCCCCCCCCCCATAACTATCAAATTGCCCCCTTGTATTTCCGACGTTGGGAAAAACGTTTCAGATGAGTTTCTCGATTTAGAATAGAAATAATCTTTATTCAAATAGACTTATTTTTAACCTGTTTTATATATAAACGCCACTATAATATACATTATGTTTTTGAAATAATATTAATACGAGTATAATTCTAATCGTGCCTCCTCTCAATCAAACTGTTTATAATTACTCCTCTCCATTCAAAGGTTGCCTGGAAGTGATTGCTCTTAGCGATAAGGTCGCCCATTGTTTTCTCATTGTGATTATTTCTTGTAATTGTTTGTATCTATAATAAGATTACTATTGTAATCTTTTGGAGAAAACAATAAAGTATTTATGTATTTATAATATCATATATAAAATGCACCACTTACTGTTCTGCTCACCTCATGGTTGACTGGTAGAGAATTCCGTGGTGTTGAGTCTTTAAGTCCGTTAAAAGCTGTTATGACGATGATGATGAATGTTTTATATTGATTTAATTTCAGAGCATCCGAAGGTCAAGCTGTTCATAACTCAAGGCGGTTTCCAATCAACGCAAGAAGCTATAGTTGCTGGTGTACCATTGCTTGGGATGCCGCATAGAGTAGACCAATTCGTTAACGTCGAGAATTACATCCGATTAAAAATAGGCCGGAGATTGGATATGAAGATGTTAACAGAAGAACGATTTGAAGACTCTATTAATACTCTGATAAAAGACAAAAGGTTAGTTCTGTTTAATGGATGATAATGGAACGTAATGGGCAATATAATGATATAACGATAATGGAATAGTCGCCATGTGATCCCGGCATAGAATAGGCCACCCCTTCCTTTCCCGTGGTGTCATAAGAGGCGACTAAGGGAGGGCGAGAGATGGGCATCAGCGTCCCTCTTAATATATCTCTAAAACCTGATTACGGTTGCCAATCCATCTGCCAAGCGTGGCAACTACTGGCAAAACCCCCCAAGGGAGAGGCTTTTGTTCAGCAGTAGACAGTTTTTTTTTTGTAAAACTTAGAATGGCAAACAAGCTGACGGCCCACCTGATGGATAGTGGTAACCGTCGCCTATAGACATGAGCAGTATCATGGATATAACAGAGTATACTGTTTCGAACATGATACCCCCCATGCGTTGCCATTCCTGAGGACTCAGGTGTTATTCCGAGATATATGAGGTACCCAAGCAATCGACTTTTGTACAAAGTCTCACTCTGGTTTAAGTTTAAAGCTGATATGGAATGGAATGGTAGCCCCGCCTGCGGTAGGTGAGAATGAAAAGGCAGGTCAGTTAGCCCATCGTGATGAATACATCTGGAATACAGCAAGATGGTTTGTAGGGGGGACCACGTGGAGATCGATTTGACAGGAAATATTGCTAGCAATGGGACTAGTAATCCGCATTACTAACAATCCCCTCGCTCCTCTTTAAGGGTTTTTTCGTCAAATACAGTGGTGAGGAGGGAAAGAAAATTTTAGGATGCTGGTAATGTACCCTATCAGATCAGGCTCCAGCCAGTTTCCTCTAGAAACCACTGTGGTTAATTCTTGTCAAATGCATCATGATGTGACAAATGACTTCATCCATTCTCACTTGGCTGATTTTCAGCAAGTGAAATTTCTGTTAAATTTCGGTGGACTTTTTTTGGTTTCGAGTCTTTAACTCCAGATTGTATTATACAAAAAACTCCTTGTTTATTTTCCCGAGTGGTCCCCGCGTAGAATAGGATACCCCTTCTTTCTCCGTGGCTGACGTAAGAGATTACTAAGGGAGGACGAGGGATGGGCAATAGCGTCCCTCTTAAAATATCTCCAAAGTCTAACTGCGGTTGCTAATTCAAAACATCTTTAAAGTAACTTTTAACTGCGGTTGCTAATTCGCCTGCCAAGCGGAGCAACTACTGGCAAAACCCCCAAGGGAGGCTTATCGACTTTTTTACAAAGTCTCCCTCTGGTAAAATGGTCTTGTTTGCCATTTAGAGATGCAAGAAGAAATAACATGCTGTCTATGTTTGATAAACTTCAGCTACCGCCAAAATATTCTGCAATTAAGCTTACTGCTGCACGACGAGCGCCTGCCGCCGCTGGCGCGCGCCGTGTGGTGGACGGAGCACGTGCTGCGGCACGCGGGCGCGCCGTATCTGCGCGCGCCCGCCGCCAACATGCACTGGGCGCGCTACTACCAGCTGGACCTGATCGTGCTCCTCGCCGCGGTTGCGCTCCTCGCCTGCTTCGCTGTTTACAAAGGCGCTAAGATTCTTCTCAGGCTCGTTTGGAGAATATGTGTAAAATAAATTTGTTACAATAAATTATAATAATTGAAAAATAGCGAAATTTTGAATAAAGAAATGGTTTATTTTGGAAAAAATGTAAGGTCCTTGCAATCTAAATACATATACATAGTATTTTAAAACTCCGCCTTAAGTACCTATTATTATTATTATTTTTGTAATGGTATAAATGGAGAATAAATAAATAAATAAATGTTTAAAAATACTTCTAAAACAATTATGCTCACTCTTATAATGTAATCCGACATCTTGTTTACAGTTTAGTATCTATAACAATAATTATTTTTTTATGCCACTTAGAATGGCAAACAAGCTGACGGGCCACCTGATGGATGATATATATATATATATATATATATATATATATATATATATATATATATATATATATATATACACGATATGAGATCGCTCTTAGAGATAAGGCCGCCTATTGTTTTCTTGTAATTGTTTGTATTTATAATAAGTTTACTATTGTAATCTATGTACTGTTTTCAAGGTTGGCTATTAATGAATGGAAAGGTATTTAGGTAAGTAGGGCGCAGACTTCGAGCGAAACGTTTCAAACCTTTGTCAAATAAATGGTCTCACAATGTCATACAATTTTATTAACAAAAACAGTCGTTCTATGAACAAAGATTATATGTAATTTGGTCTATTTCTAGAGCACCAATCCTTGAGTGCGACTAAAAATGACCTTTGTTTTATACAACTTAGAATGGCAAACAAGCTGACGGCCCACCTGATGGAAAGTGGTAACTGTCGCCTATAGACATGAGCAGTACCGTAGACATAACAGAGTATATTGTTTCGCCCATGATACCCCCCATGCATTGCTATTCCTGAGGACTCAGGTGTTATTCCTCTGTACCCTATAAATACACGCCATACCCCATCCTTCAAACCGAAACGCAGCCTGTGTTTAATTCAAATAATTACATAATAATATAATATAATATATTTTTATAATACATTTTTATTTTCAGATATATTTCAACACAATTATACTATAAAGGTTAACAATACTCGATTAGAACAGGTAAATACATATAAATATTTAGACAGTTTAATCACAAGTGACTCCAGATGTACTCCGGATGTAGTTGCGAGAATAGCCATGGTCAAACAAGCCTTCAATAACAAAAAACGCCTTTTAAAGGCTAAGATAAAATAAGATATTAGAAAGCGGCTCATCAAGACCTACATCTGGAGTATGGCTTTGTATGGATGTGAGACGTGGACATTAACTCAGAAAGCAATGAATAAATTTAGAGCATTTGAAATGTGGTGCTAGAGAAGGATGGAGAAAATTTGCTGGAGAATTCGAATTAACAATGAGGAGGTCCTACTTAGGGTTAAGGAAACGAGACAAATTATAAGAAGTATTGAGGACAGAATGTTCATGTTCATGAATTGAGATCAGAGGGAAAGAATGTTAGGACACTTGATACGACACGACAGACTTATGAATATTATAATAGACCACTCTTTGGAATCAACTTCCAGCAGCAGTATTTCCGAACCGATACGACAACATAACCTTCAAGAAAAGAGCATATTTTTTTAAAAGGCCGGCAGCACACCTGCAATGCCGCTGGTGTTGTGGGTGATCATGGGCGGCAGTAGTCACTTACCATCAGGTGAGCCGCATGCTCGTTTGCCCCCTGTGTTGTAAAAAAAAAAATAGAAGGTAAGATAGAAGGAAGGAGCAGATCAAGGAAAAGGTTGGTGTCGTATCGTATCAAGAGGTGAAGAGACTCGCTGAAAATCGTAGTGAGTGGCAAGAGCCCCACTGACAAGAGCGCAGCTCTTAAATAGGATAGATAGATACCAGTGGGAGACTTTCACACGGTTTTAGAGATGCTTTCTCCCACGAACACTCAGGTTATGGAATGAGCCAAGGTTTTCCCAAGAGACTACAGCATGGGGTTCTTCAAAAGGGGGGTAAAGAGGTTTCTTTAGGGTCGGCAACGCGCGCGTAATACCTCTGGTATTGCAGGCGTTCATAGGCTACGGTAACCGCTTACCATCAGGTGGGCCGTATGCTTGTTTGCCACCTCAGTGGTATAAAAAAACTTTGTACAAAAGTCGTCTCGGTTCTACCTGCTAACAATATACCCTAATTCAACCTCTGCGCGGTGCATCCTGGATATTATTATGGCTAGTTTTAGCGAATACGTCACAATGTTGTTTTTTTCTTAAGACGAAGGTCTGTAACCAGTGCGTGTTGTCAGTGATGGTTTATGGAACCGAAACATGGTCCTACACGTTTGCCCGTGTGCAAAAGCTTCAAGTTACTTAGCGGGCTATGAAGAGGGCTATGCTCGGAGTCTCTTTGCGTGATAGAATCCGAAACGAGGATATCCGCAAAAGAACCAAACTAACCGACATAGCCCGAAGGATAAATGAACTGAAGTGGCAATGAACTGGTCACATGGCTCGAAGAACCGACAACCAATGAGGAAAAAAAGTTCTTGAATGGCGACCCGTACAGACAAACACTGTAAAACGATCCCTTACTACATGAAGTGACGATCTCAAATGCAGTGCAGGAGTCAGTGGATGCAGGTGGCTCAGGAACGTTCCTTATGGCAATCTATGGAGGAAACCTATGTCCAGTAGTGGCTGTATAATGGCTGACATGATGATGATGACGTCACGATAGGCCGTTTGACCTGTATTTATGCTCACCTATCACCCCTCACTGGTACCTCGCCAACGTATACCGTCAGCGCAGGCGGGGTTATCATTCCTTTATCATCCATTAAATAAAAACTCTAGTTTATATACAATTTACTGGAATCCATTGAACTCTACTTCCGCCATAAATATAACACAAAGTAATAAAGCGATAAGAATAACAGAAATAGAATTCTTTTTCTAATTTATTTTTGTACATTACAAATGAAGTAGATACATACATTTATTTAAATTACTATAGTTCAATGTTTTCTAAAATGGGTTCAGCATAATCTAAATTATTTTATTTATTATTTATTCAGTCAGTCAGTTAGTCAGTAAGTCATACTTTCATTCATTCAATCAGTCAGTCGGTCATTCGGTCAGTCAATTAGTCGTTTATTCATTATTAATTCATTCAATCAGTCAGTCAATTAGTCATTTATTCATTATTCATTCATTCATTCATTCAATCAGTCAGTCGTTTATTCATTAGTCATTTATTCATTCATTCAATCAGTCGGTCGGTCATTCGGTCAGTCAATTAATCGTTTATTCATTATTCATTCATTCAGTCAGTCATTTATTCATTATTCATTCATTCATTCATTCAATCAGTCGGTCGGTCATTCGGTCAGTCAATTAGTCGTTTATTCATTCATTCAATCAGTCAATCAGTCAGTCATTCGTTCATTCTCTCTTAGCTTAAAGCTATTATTACTTGTTTGAGTGTAATGCAACAGATTAGCATTTTAGTCACAAACTTATTACATACAACGCTATTTTTTTGTTAATTCACACACAGATTTTTATTTGTCGTGTTTATTCAATCAATTGAAATAAATTAATGATTCCTTTTGCCATTTCAACTGATTTAAGAAGGGAATAAGTTATCAGTTCGATGAAATTTTTTGTTTACCTTGTCATTTATAAAGCGATTTGGAAAAATTTTATTTTAATCGAAAAGGATACCTATACTTACAGATTGATTAAGTTAATCAAAATCGATTTATTAGTTTAGTTTTTAAATCAAAACAACTGATTTTCCACAATTGAACTCACGTTTTCTGTTTATGGAAGACAAAATTAAATTATGTTTGTAACGGATAAATTATAAAAAACACTTAACCAATTTTAAATCTGTAGAAAGCTACGTTATTATAAAGTAACATAGGCTTTGCTTTATTTGAAAAAAGAACCGCGCGAAGCCGGGGCACGTTGTAAGTTTGGATTAATTTTTTTCGTATAAGCATGTTAGAGACATTATTTTTCATGTTTTTTTTTTTTGGTACCACGAAGGTGGTAAACGAGCATACAGCCCGCCTGATGGTAAATGGTCACTGTAGCTTATAGATGTCTGTAACACTAGGGGTGTCACGTGCGTGTTGACGACCATGAAAAAATCGTAATACACCCTTTTTGAAGAACCCCATACTGTAGGCAGAGATTCAAACTGTTTGTATGTATTTATGTATGACAACGGTTATCAGTATTATATATATAATATTATCTATTCCAAGTTTCATAAAAAAATTTGGATTAAATATGATGACAAATATCCAAAGTTTTTTCGATTTATAATTAGATTAAATAGTAGATAATTTGCTGTTTCGTAAAATAAAAAAAAAATCACTCGAAAGTTTGAGAACCGCTACTAGTAGGTACACAAATAGAATGTTCTAAGTATTCAATAGAATATATTAGTCAATAGAGAGGTATACACTGTCGTGTCGGATCTAAATAAGGTTTTATATCTATTACCAAAATCTAATTTCGATCAAAACCGAAACCGAAATTCGGTTTGTAAACAGAGGGTTTACCATGAAATGAAATTCCGAATTTTCGGACATAATTTCGTGTTTTGTTTGTTCGTTTCAGTAAATGGAATTTTAATTTTCGTTCGTCATAAATCCTACGTTAATAGTCTAAAGGAGTGATAGTTTAACATTGTTAAACGGTAATTAACTGTATATATTATGTAATTATAACATCAAATTTGTGTTTCGTTCGACCCCGAAATTTCGGAATATTTTTCATGGTAGACCCGCTGGTATATTTTAATATGAACATGTACAAGACTAAAATCATGTCTAACGTCCATGTGAGGGATGATAGGTGAGAATAATGCAGGTCAGTTAGCCCATTATGATAAATTCACTAATGAATCAATCATAATCGTTTCCAGAGGGAATCACAAAGAAGCCGACCTGATTACATTGCTAGTAATAGGTTTACTAAGCCCGATTTCTAAAATTCCTTCCCCCCCTCCCATCGATGGGGTATACCTATGTTCAGCAGTGGACAGATAATGGCTGGGGAATGCCGCTCCGTCCATGCTACCCATCCTTCGACCAATAAGTTCCCTTAGTCGCCTTTTACGATACTCCTGGAAAAGAAATGCCAACCCGAACTCGAACTTTGGAACGCCATAAGGCAGAGAGAATCATAAGAATAATTTTTACAATTGTAGTGACATGAAAGATAAATTCTCGAAATTGTTTCGGTTTCAGCCAACTCAAACTCGAAAAATTTGGTCGAAATCGAATCGACAGTTTTGTCTGACACTGGACAGTACTATTTTTGTATTTATCCCAATAAGAAACACTTATATATTAATAGCTGGTGTTTTTATACATGTGTTTAATGCTCTTATAGGTAAATTAGATAACGATAAACTATTACGCCTCTCAAGTATGTAGAATATTACTCAAACTATAATCCTTTGAACTTTGCTGCTCACGTAATCCTGGAATGTGAGGCTAAGGCCCATCAACGTTTAGAAATCCTCGGAACGGTGAGGTCGCTCCGTGAGGCCTGTGAAGAACCCAGGAAGCTTCTGCGCTTCTGGGCGGAGCTAGGTTGGCTGTACTAGCCACGACTCATACGCACAACGGCCCAAATGAGAGGCTAAGCGCGGAAAATAGAGTCTTTCTTACATGCACATTCACATTCAATCCTTCGAAAAAATCTGTATCTCTGAAACATCTAATGAAGACATTTTTTCCAAGCATTAGTTAGAAATATCTATTATTAATTATCGTGTTCTTGATAAGCTTGTCAAAAAATAAGTTAGCGGCAATTTCAGCAGTTTCTGCAACACCATCAAAACGTCTTTTTTTTATGGGTGAAAATGAAATGGCAACCCCACCTGCGCTAACGGGATACGCTGGCAGATGATCGATGAGAATGAAAACAGGCCAGTTAGCCCATCATGATGAATTCATCAGGAATTAACCATGATAGTTTCCAGGGAGAACCACGAGGACGTCGACCTGGCTGGGTATATTGCTAGCAATGGGATTCTCAATTTCCATTACTAATCCAAAAAAAGTATTTTGGTGTTGACGAAGTGAGGACACAAAGAGGTCCTCAAACCGTACCCTGTTTTCCAGTACGCCGAAGGACCAGACAATTACAAAGAGAACAATATAACCGACAAATCTTGGGAACTGTGGGGAAGTAAATCCACAAATTCGGTTTCGGTAGAGATTCAAACATAAAAACTATATTATCAACTCAAACAGATCTTGTTAATTAATCTATTCTGTGAATATTTTTTTATACAACTTAGAATGGCAAACAAGCTGACGGCCCACCTGATGGAAAGTGGTAACCGTCGCCTATAGACATGAGCAGTATTATGGAAATAACAGAGTATACTGTTTCGTCCATGATACCCCCCAAGAAAATGAAGAAATAAACATTATTTAAATGATCAAAACGCTAAGTTCGATTTTCTAATCCTGGAAGCATTGTTTCCGTCGAGTATAGTTATTTCTCATAAGTTTAACGTATCAGTCACAAGGTTCAGTTCTTTTGGTTCATGTTTTACTGAAAATGAAGTTAATGGAGTGATTCAACATTCAGTGTTCAGTCCAAAAAATGTTTAGCATAACATTAAACGATCACTTGTTTCGGAGTAAGATCACTGCGTTGTACGACAGGTTTATTCATGCAAATGTGCACAAATCTCGAAATAAACAAAACTACGCTTGAAAAGAGATTTCGGTGATGTTTGCTGATAAATGTACATCGTATATGAAAAGTGTATACTCCGACACCATCCGATCTGATACATGTTGCTGATACCTATATTAATACGTGAAGCAAAAACTTACTATCACTTTTTGCGAAAACTGCGCGGATAGAGGAGTATGAAATTTGGCACACTTATAGTTTATATAGAGAAGAAGTGCAAAATGATAATATTTTTTTTTAATTATGCATAAAAATAGATTAAATGATTAAAAAAGCATTACACGCTTCCTTGTATTCGACACACACATGCGTATACATATACTCTTTTGTTTGTTATTAAAATTTGTGTTTAAAATGAGAATAAATGAATATTGTTTTTCTACTAGTTTTACTGAATGTAAAACATAACTATAATAAATTCTTTTATTTATATAGTGAAAAATAAATTCTCGGAAGCAGTTGTAATGTCGACCAATTGAAACTGCAAAAATCTGACCAATACCGTTACGGAACAGGTAGCTCTGTGCAACACTAGTCATTTCCATTATTGTATGAACAACAGTAAACACCTGTAGATACATAAGAGCGTACAAGTGTTTCTTGTTGGTATTTTTAGATTATTAAAGTTAAATTTTACAGTAGGAACAGATACATCTAACGACTACTCTATTCAGTGAGCACACAGTTCAAAGATGAAATACTCGTATCTCTTACCAACGATTGTGCTGTTAACAAGCTTATCAGAAACGAAGTCGGCAAGGATTTTAGCAGTGTTTGTTATACCAGCAAAAAGTCATCATGTAATTTTTCGCACTCTGACGTTGGAGTTGGCGAAGCGTGGACATGAATTGGTCGTGATCACACCGCATCCTGTTTTCCAGAACGGCAAAACACCAGACAATTACAAAGAGATCGATGTATCCGACAAATGTCGGGAGGCGTGGAGTAGGAAACCAATGAATTCCGGTCACGGCAGTGTTTCAGATTTAAAAAATGTTATATCAGCACAATTGGATATTATCGTTGATCTATTTTATGAATATTTAGAAGATGAACAAGTAAATAAGATATTACATGATCCAAACGCTAAGTTCGATTTACTAATCGTTGAAGGATGGTTTCGACCTAGTGTCGCGTTTTCTCACAAGTTCAACATACCAGTTATAAGATTCAGTTCTTTTGGTTCATGTTTTACTGAATATGAAGATAATGGTGCGATTCAGTATCCGGTTTTTAGTCCGAAAATGTGTGGCACGACACTGAAAGACAACACGTTTTGGGGTCAGATCACTGCGTTGTACGACAGTTTAATTTACGCTAAAATACATAAGTCTCGTGATAAAGAAAACGAAGATCGTTTAAAAAAACATTTCGGTGCTGATATACCAAGTTTAGATGACTTGAACCAAAATGTAAATGTTCTGATGATGAATGTGCCTCGTATTTGGGAAATGTATACTCCGACACCGCCCAATCTGATACATGTTGCTGGTATTCATTTAAATGTGGAAAAGGAACTCCCGAATGTGAGTTGTTTTTGTTTTCACTAAATGGAGATTTATTAAATTTCCTTAATTTGTGCTTGCTGTATACTTTAAATGGCATTATTGTATTTCTTTTGTTTTTTCATATTTTCATATTAGTATATATATATATATATATATATATATATATATATATATATATACGAGTATACAATTCTGTATATGAAATATATTTCCAAAATAACTATCAGGGGGTGATTAGTAATCGATACTGGTGCCAAAAATCCAATCAGTAAAATTTTTGTCTGTCTGTCTGTATGTTCGTTATAGAAACAAAAACTACTCGACGGATTTTAATGAAACTTGGTACAATTATTCTTAATAATTTAATTCAATAAATTACAAGATTATCTACGAAATTAGCACTCATTCAAAACTCCATTCTTTTGTTGGCGAAGTTAAAAGCCATGCCAAAATGTTTTATTAAATTGTCCCCTTTTATCACATTTATGTGTTTTATATACACGTATTATAAAAATAATAAGCCTGGAACAACATCTCAGACGGTTAGGATTCCGAGGCGGCTCACTCCCGGGAAAGATGCAAAAAGCGGTGCTCTTAGATTCTGCCCGCATTGTACGCCGGTTTCTCTCCCTGGGGCCCTGAACCCAGACCGACTGTGTTTCTGCCGGGGGCTAGTTTGCCATCTCCTCTCCTTAAGAGAGATGTGAATTTTTGGAAAAATTTAAAAATTATTTTTATTTAAGTAAACTTTAAATATTTCTATAAACTACCGCCCAATTATGGAATATAATTTTAACTGAGAAGAACGGGCGAGAAATACAGCTGTTGCTTTTTTCAAATATAAGTTGAGTTTTCAATAAAATTTTTTTTATATCTTGTGATAGAGTAAGACATAGGCTACTTCTTATCCCGATCAATAAACATATCCCGATCACGGACGAAGTCGCGGGTAAACATTTGTATTGTATAGTGTAAGTGTTTAATACACTTGAATAAATACAGTTAAATAAGAAAATAATAGAAAGGTAAGACATTTTCGAATTTTAATTCACGAAATAAATAAATTAATTGAATGTTAATGTGAAACTTAATACATCGTTAATGAACATTCAGTTTTATCGTGACACCTTCCAAATAAACGTAATTTCTACTAAACAGTTTTAGTATTAGCATCGTGCTTCTTGAGACAAAAGAAATAAATTTAAAATCTTCAGCATAAAAATAATGAAGCTATTATTAGCAATTAATGTATTTTTATCAAGCATCTTAATCACAAACGCAGCGAGAATTCTAGCTGTTTTTGTAGCGCCAGCGACGAGCCATCAAATAGTTTTCCGCTCTTTAACACTCGAATTGGCGAGACGAGGACACGAATTAGTTGTCATCACACCAAGTCCTGTTTTCCGAAAGGGCCAAGCACCGGAAAACTATACAGAAATTGATGTAACACAAAAATCCCGTGAGGGATGGAAGAAGAAACCTACACCTGCGGGCATTAGCAAGGATTCAGATGCTAAAGTAGTATTAAGAAATCATATTGGTGTTATTAATAAATTGTTCTATGAATATTTGGAGTTAGAAGATGTGAATGAAATTATAAAAGATCAAAACACTAAATTCGATTTGTTGATCTTAGAGGGATGGTTCAGACCGAGTATAGCGTTTGCATACAAATTTGACGTACCAATTATTAGGTTCAACTCATTCGGTTCAGGATTCTCTGTATATGAAGATATGGGTGCATTTCAACATCCAGTATTAAATCCAAACATGTTCAACCCGAAACCTAATGATCACACATTTTGGGGTAGAATTACTACATTGTATGATAATTATATTTATACTAATATGCATAAGAGTAAGGACAATGAAAACGATGTACTTTTGCGTAAACATTTCGGTGCAAATATTCCTAGTATTAACGAATTGAATATGAAAGTAGATATTTTGCTAGTAGATGTGCATCGTGCCTGGGAAATGTTTATACCAACGCCACCTAATTTAATACATGTGGGTGGTATTCATATAAATATAGAAAGAGAACTGCCAAAGGTGAGATAAAATTTTGCTGTTTTTCTTGAATGATTTACAACTTACAACTTAATGGTATGTACTCATATTTAAACAAATAAATTAAACCCTTGCTCCTTTCCGTTTTGAGTTTGCTGCAAGAGAACCCTTTTATAGTTAAGCTTGCCTTTATACATTTGATTACCTCTTACATATTTTTTTACAATAAAGTATAAATAAATAAATAAAACCAAAAGAGATTATAATTACAGAATATACTGTGATATGTTTTGCCATTCGCCATGTACTCCCGGCGTAGAAAGGGCCACTCCTTCCTTTCCTGTGGGTGTCGTAAGAGGCGACTAAAGGAATTTAACGGTCGAGGGATAGAGAGCAGCATCCCTCTTAAAACATCACCAGAACCTAACTGCGGTTGCTAATCCGCCTGCCAAGCTTGGTAACTACTGGCAAAACCTCTCAATAGGGGAGGCCTATTTTCAGCAGTGGACAGTAATGGCTGATATCATCATTATCGCCATGCTTCGCCATTTTGAGAACTATCGTGTTAACCTCCGTATCTAGTAATTTCACTGTATTTACTATTTTACATATTCTACCCATCAAATCAAAATAACCAAGCCAGCACAACTGCATCACGGCACTAACACAAGTGAAACAGACGTATGGCAGTAGACGACTTTTGTAGAAAAATAACTATCGTAAGTCATACTGTAGTGCAGGGCCAACTTTGCCAGCTTGTCTAGACCCAAGATCTACTGTTTACTGACGAAACCTTGTGCGATCTACCAATTACATACTTCTTAAAATCACAAACAAACAACCTAGTGCAATACACGATTATGTAGTATTGTAGTAAATTTTATTTTATTTAGAGGGAAAACATAAAACAGAAAATTATTCTTAGTAACTACTTATTTATATTAGTGTGAGCATTGCATCTGAGCATCTTCCGTTAGATTAGCAAAATATTTTATTTTATGTCTTGCCACTATCAACTGGACTAGTCGCGATCGACCAGTTAGCCACCCTTGCTGTAGTGTAATTACACAGTTGTGAATCACGCTCCAATAAGGGCTCCTATTGTCTTCGAAACTATTCGGCCATTACCGAATTTAGACGACTTTTGTGCAAAGTCTCTCTAGATTCACTTATTTATTTTAAAATTACAGGACTTGAAAACATATCTGGACTCCTTACCTAATGACGTGATTTACATAAGTTTTGGCACCAATGTGGAAACGTCCACTATACCAGCAAAACAATTACAAATGATGGTGAACGTGCTGTCCAGACTGCCCTACCAGGTGATCTGGAAATGGAATGAAGACGAGCTGCCTGGACGCAGTGGGAACATCATGATATCAAAGTGGTTACCGCAAGAGGCTTTATTAAGTTAGTGGTTTTTATTATATCTTCGTCATGTAATCCCGGCAAAGACTGGGCTGCCCCTTCCTTTTCCGTGAGTGTCGTAAGAGGCGACTAAGGAAACCTAATGGTCGAGCTTGAGGAATAAGTAGCAGCGTCGCTTATAAAATATCACCAATTTCTAACAGCAGTTACCAACCTGCCAGCCAAACGTGGCAACTACTGGAGAAAGCACACTTATAGAAGAGGCCTTTGTTCAGCAGTGGACGGTTTATTGTCAACAGCTGTATTATGAGATTGATTGGATCTTAAAATCATACAATCATGTCTAAGGAAAGTAAATAAAACTATTTGAGAAATTAATTTAGGGTAGATATACCTACCGATAGAGCGGATATACCTGAAGAAGAAAGCCCTTATAAAAGCAAAATCATATCGCACGGATGAATAAAATTTTCAAAAATAATATAAAGCCTGTTACACTTTGAAAATTTAGCTTTCTATAAAGGAAAGAACTACAAACGAACAAACAAATATTCTTATACCTGCTTCTTTATTGCCGACGTTTCGACGTGGATTGTGTACTTAAAATATATGTTAACAACAAGTTTAAAATTAAGCATTCATTAATTAATTCGTCAGCAGCATTGAAAATAGATATTTTTTGTTGCTAATCATATGTATATACGTGTTTATTTCTTCGTCAAGTATTGTATCTTAAAGTAAGTTAGCTGGTATCTTAAAATAGCAACAAAGTGTTTTTCTGAAAGCTATTTTTGTTTAATTTTAACTTATCTGCATTTACAGCTATGTAAATGCGTCACTTCAGAACAGCTGCGATAATTTTGCAAATTCTTTTTTGTTGTATTTATCAAGACAAGGTCTGTGTAAAAGGAAATGTTTGAAAAATTTAATTAAAAGTCTATATGTAGAGTTTTAACTAAATTTTATTTTAAATTTAAAATTAGATTAAGAGGAAGATCGAGGATTAACTATATGGGACAGATAAAGGAAACACTAGGCGTCATGTCGTATAGGGAAATAAAGGATATAGCCTGGGATAGAGCTGGCTGGAGGAAGATGCATGAATTAGTTGCATCGACAAGAGGAAACTCTTAAATAAAAAGAAGATGTAGAAAGAGCGAATGAGTGGGACAAAAGATAGTGGGGAGATCTTTAAAAATATTGACAGATTGACACTGTAAAGGGAAGATTTGGATTCATTGCGGTATGTTGGAGCACGCAGCTTGAAATATTATTGTCTGATTTTAGGACATCCAAAAGTGAAGTTATTCATAACTCAAGGCGGTCTACAGTCAACACAAGAAGCCATATTTGCTGGTGTACCATTACTTGGCATGCCACTTAATATAGACCAGTTCTATAATGTGGAGAATTACATTCGACTAAAAATAGGCCTAAGACAAGACCTCAAGACGTTAAACGAAGAGAAATTTGGAGAAACCATTCTTACTCTTTTGAACGACAAAAGGTAAGCTCGTTTTAAATGTTTGGACTGCATTACTCGACACTCTGGTTGTTTACTCAATTGCTCAATGAAATTAATTCTTTTAAATATAATTTATCGCAACGATCAACTAATTACAGGAGCCATGGTTCACTCATGTTTCCGCCAAAACACTGTGTTTGTAAGGCCTGCATGGGGTTCTTCTAAAGGGGGTAAAGAAATTTCTTGAGGGTCGGAAACGCGCACGTTTAGTCCCTTGGTATTGCAGGCGTTCATAGGCTACGGTAACAGCTTACCATCAGATAGGCCGTGCTTGTTTGCTACCTCAGTGGTATAAAAAAAAATAAACCATGTTTCTCTTAACCAGTTACCGTGACAATGTGCAACGACTGAGCGTGAAGTTGCACGACGAGCGCCTGCCGCCGCTGGCGCGCGCCGTGTGGTGGACGGAGCACGTGCTGCGGCACGCGGGCGCGCCGTATCTGCGCGCGCCCGCCGCCAACATGCACTGGGCGCGTTACTACGAACTGGACTTGCTTGCTATCTTTATTACCATATGCCTCTTCAGCATTACCCTTGTTTATCTGTGCCTTTATTATTTGCTGTTATTTATTTTCAACTTCTTAAAGAACTCAGTTGGTTTTCAAAAGTATAAAATCGTTTAAAGCATACGTTTTTTTTTATTGTCTTAAATATGGTAAATTTAAAGTATTTATATACCATAATGTCGTTACCGTTTTATACAATGGTAACTGTAAAAACTAAAATTTTCAAAATAGTTAATTGTTGTTTTTTTTAATGATACTCAGAATGGCAAACCAGCTGAGAGCCCACCTGATGGTTAGTGCTAACTCTCATTTGTGGGAGGGAGGGGGGGGGGGATTGTTAACAATGGACACTAAAAGCCTTATAGCTAGCTAATATACCCAATCAGGTCGACCTCCACATGGTTTCCCCTGCAAACCATCGTGCTGAATTCCAAGTGCTTTTATCACAATGGGCTAACTGATATGTCTTTTCATCCTCACCTATCATCTCTCACTGATGCCCCGCCAGCGTATACCGATAGCGCAGGCGGAGTTACTATACCATCATCACCCATTAAAAAAAAACCTTCACTTGTGGATATGAACAGCACCATGTTATACTGGAAAATACATTGCAATGCTCATGGTACCCTGGTACCTCAGGCGTTGCCATTCCAAAGAAATAAGACTTTTTTAATGGATGATAATGAAATGGTAACCCCGCCTACGTTATCAGTATCAGCCCATTGTGCAAATTCAACGATAAATTAGTCACGATGGTTTCCAGGGGGAACCGTGTGGAGGTCGACCTGATAAGGTATATTGACAGCGATGAGGACTATCTTCCCCATTACTAGCAATCTCTTTCTTCTCGGCTGTGTTTCGGTTTAAAGAGCGAGATATGGCAGTGAATTTACAGAGTACAGAGGAATAATACCTAAGTCCTCAGGAATGGCAACGCATGTGCGGTATCATGGGCGAAACAGTATACTCTGTTATATCCATGGTACTGCTTATGTCTATAGGCGACAGTTACCACTTTCCATCAGGTGGGCCGTCAGCTTGTTTGCCATTCTAAGTTGTATAAAAAAACGATATTCTTACTGCAGAATTATTTTCGCATTTAGATAATATTAGTATGTTTATGTTTATTATTAGGTTTAAGGTCAAATAATATTGATTAATGCACGATATTCGATGGAACAATGTCAACATTGTGTACGGACAGGGACCCGTTTTTAAATCGATCGATATTCAGATAACGTAAACATTTTAAATATGAATAAATATAAATATGATTTTTTTTTATACAACTTAAGAGTGGCAAACAAGCTGACGGCCCACCTGATGGAAAGTGGTAACCGTCGCCTATACACACGAGCAGTACCATGGACATAACAGAGTATACTGTTTCGCCCATGATACCCCCCATGCGTTGCCATTCCTGAAGACTCAGGTGTTATTCCTCTGTACACTGTAAATTCACTGCCATATCCCACCTTTCAAAGCGAAACACAGCCATGCAAACACAACTGCTTCACGGTAGAAACATGAATAGGACAGAGGCGCCTAAGCGAATGACTTTTGTACAAAGTCTCCCTCTGCACATAATAAAAACTAATAATTAATTACATAAAAACAAGATAAAGAAGCAAAAATGAGCGACCTTATCGCTAAAATATGATCTATCTATATTTTGATTGTTTTATTAATTAATACATTAATAAAATTAAAAGAAATTTATTTGAATATCGAATTAATTATTTTTCAGGAAACTTCAAAAAAAGCAGATTTCTTACCTCATAACTCCGTCATTTTGGGGAGGAAAGGGATTGTTAGTAATGGAGACTGAGAATCCCATTGCTAGCAATATACCCAACCAGGTCGATGTCGCGGTCCCCCTGGAAACTGTCATGGTTAATTCCTGATGAATTCATCATGATGGGTTAACTGGCCTGTTTTCATTCTCATCGTTCACCCTTCACTGGTGCTCCACCAGCGTATCCCGATAGCGCAGGTTGGGTTACCATTCCACTTTCACCCATCAAAAAAAAAACTCCGTCATTTATAAACCGATTTGGAAAATATCTTTTTTTTTTTGTAACTGAATTGGATATACATACTTTCAAATTCGTCCCAAAAGAATTTCATCAAAATCGTTCCAGTACTTTGGGTTTTAATCGAAGAACCTAATTTTTTGTGATGGTTGAAGCCTGTATTTTTTTCACACGATTTTTAATTATTCATTTGTGGAAATGATCTGTTATTTTATTAAATGTTGCCATTGTTGCGCGAGCCCTGCTCGCAGCTGGCGCTTGCGACGCAGCTGCGAGCGACCGTTACGGGTGAGCACGTGCCCTTATAATCACACATACACACTCACACACACACGCACACATAGAAACAGGGAATAAATTACACACACATTCTAGTTCAACTTAATAATAATATTGTTTTTGTAATGTTAGTCGTGTTGCTTATAATAAATATTTTTTTTATACACTAGAAGTGGCAAACAAGCATACGGCTCACCGGAAGCGCTCATTATCGCAGCCTACCAAAGCTCGAACTATGAGTATCATCCTGAGAGTGAACTGGTATATATAGGTATATAAATATACCAGAGGAAGACTTTGTACAAAAGTCGATTGCTTGGGTACCTCTGTCCCATTCATGTTTCAACCGTGAAGCAGTTGTGTTTGCATGGCTGTGTTTCGGTTTGAAGGGTGGGATATGGCGTGAATTTACTGGGTACAGAGGAATTACACCTGAGTCCTCAGGAATGGCAACGCATGGGGGGTATCATGGGCGAAACAGTATACTCTGTTATGTGCATGGTACTGCTCATGTCTATAGGCGACGGGTACCGCTTTCCATCAGGGGGACCGTCAGCTTGTTTGCCATTCTAAGTTGTATAAAAAAAAAAAAAATAGAATCAAAAACCTTCAGGAGCCTTCCTTAACCCGTGAGTGTCTTAGATTATATAAGAGGCTACTAACGTTTTCAGCTTTTTGAGGGCGAAGGATGATCAGCTATATATCACACTCTTTACACAATCTTTATACAATAAAATGAGTGTTTACGCATTAAAAAAAGATGCAAAAATTATAAAACAAAATAAATATAGAAGTTATAAAGGAATCGCTCGTAACTATTTATCACGCGAAATTGTATGAGAAAGTTGAGCCGTTTTTCTCGAAGCATTTGTTTGGAGACACTCTATCTATACAATTTAAGACGTAAACATACTATAGGTGCACTTGTTCAAATACAGTATGGAGGTTTTATTGCTGTAAACACTTTCTTTTCAAAACAAATTTTGTATAACGTATTTTATTTTTTTGATGGATAAAAATGGTATTGTAACCCCGCCTGCGCTAACGGGATACGCTGGCGGAGCACCAGTGAAGGGTAATAGATGAGAATGAAAACAGGCCAGTTGGCCCATCATGATGAATTCATCAGGAATTAACCATGATAGTTTCCAGGGAGAACCGCGAGGAGGTCGACCTGGTTGGGTATATTGCTAGCAATAGGATTCTCAGTCTCCATTGCTAACAATCCCTTTCCCCCTGTATAACGTATTTATTTGTGAGACATAATTCCGTTTGTGTTTCAATGAAAAAAAAAACCTTCTACGGCAGGGGTAATGGTATACTTTATAATGGGAACTAGCGACTCCATTGCTAGCATTAAACCCTGTCACGTCGACCACCACGCGGATCCGCCTGGAAACCAACTTGGTCATATTTTTTTTTTTTTATATTTTACATTGTGTGACTATTTAGTATTTTAACTTAGAATTATTATCCTAGTGAGAGTCTGGAGTCTGAACTAGGTCGAAACCTGTACTACAGATCTCCAGGCTCTCTCCGGAGTTTTACAATATTTACTAATTAATTAGTTCTTACTGATTTGGTCACGACTGACCTGCTTTCATCGTTACCTATCATCCCTCACTGATGCCTCGTCAGCGTATACCATTAGCGTAGGCGGAGTTTTTTTTTTTTATATACTACTTAGAATGGCAAACAAGCTGACGCCCCACCTGATGGAAAGTGGTAACCATCGCCTATAGACATGAGCGGTACCATGGACATAACAGAGTATACTGTTTCGCCCATGATACCCCCCATGCGTTGCCATTCCTGAGGACTCAGGTGTTATTCCTCTGTACTCTGTGAATTCACGCCATATCCCACCCTTCAAACCGAAACACAGCCATGCAAACACAACTGCTTCACGGTTGAAACACGAATGGGACAGAGGTGCCCAAGCAATCGACTTTTGTACAAAGTCTCCCTCTGGTTACCATATAATTTTCATCCAATAAAAAAATACCTCCACGACGATAAATTAATGTATTTGCATAAACTTTACTATTAGTATCTACTTATATTATCAACTAGCTGCCCGTCCCGGCGTCGCACGGGTGGACATTTTTAACATCTCCCTTCACTGCTCTGCTCCTATTGATCGTAGCGTGATGAAAAGTATACTATAACCTGCCCAGGAATATGAAGAATAATTGTACCAAGTTTCGTTAAAATCCGTCGAGTAGTTTTTGTTTCTATAACGAACATGCAGACAGGCAGACAAAAATTTTACTGATTGCATTTTTGGCATCAGTATCGATCACTAATCACCCGCTGATAGTTATTTTGGAAATATATTTCTTGTACAGAATTGACCTCTCTACAGATTTATTATAAGTATAGATACATAGATAAGGCAGTCCATTATTTTCTCAGTTACATTTGTTTGTATTAATAATACATTTACAGCTATAATCGTTTGGATGAAACAATAAATAGTATCTATCTATTATAAATAAGCTAATATTAGGTTGCCGTGTGGTCCCGGCATAGTCCCGGTATCATGGGCGAAACAGTATACTCTGTCATGTCCATGGTACTGCTCATGTCTATAGGCGACGGTTACCACTTTTCATCAGGTGGGCCGTCAGCTTGTTTGCCATTCTAAGTTGTATAAAAAAAAATAGAATAAACCTTCCCTTCCTTTCCCGTGAGTGTCGTAAGAGGCTACTAAGGGAGGGCGAAGGATGAGCAGCATCCCTCTTTACACATCACCAATGCCTAACTGCGGTTGCTAACCCGCCTGCCAAGTGTGGCAACTACTGGCAAAACCCCCTTATGGTGAAGGGGGAGGGTGAGGGCAGTGAACAGTACAGCTGATATCATCATCGTCAACTTTAGTGTCGTGAAATGGAGTCCGGTTGTCTATATAAATGTTCACTTAAAGGTACTTACTTATAACGGAATCGCTCTCTTACTCACCCTCACCCTATACAGAAACTTTCCGTCACTCATTCAATAATTGCACAAAGCTAAATTCATTCAAAAAACATCCTTATACAATGTACATAAAACCCATTTTACTGCCACACTTATATTCCTTTCCCACCTTTTTATATTACACCAATAAAAATAAATATTAAAACTTAACAGTTTTAATACAATTGAATTTCAGTCTTATGTCCAAAACATTACAATATACAGTTGCATAAATCTATTTGAACTTTGATGTTGGAATTCGAATAGCTCGTGCCGTGCGCAGGGGTGCGCTCGCGCCGTTTCCGACCCTAAGTTTTTTAAAAAGGGAACATGATCGCAGTTTTCAAATGGCCGTTACAGCGAATGCACGTTAATGTTAATTTCTCATAAATTAATTTTTTTTTTTTAAATAATAATAGTGTTAACTTTATGTATTATAGTGTATAGTGATTAGTGTTTAAAACACGAAGTGATTATAAAATTATTCATAAAAAACCATGACCTGAACGGTCACGGTGAATGAACACTGCAAGAACAGGAATTATGGTTTGAAGCACACTGTCGAAGAATACGGGGGAAATCTTACGCTTAAACGATGGAATCGCCTAAAATCGTCTACAAATATTACTCGAATCCAGCATTCTGTGCGCAAAGCGAAGTTTTGTTCGCACAGAAATCATGTGTGACGAAAATCGTGTCACCAAACAGGCAAAGAATGCCACCACTGGGTGCTAATTCACCTAGAAAACCTTCTGAACCAAATAACAGAATAGTGAGAACGGATATTTCTGATAATCCCTTGAGAATGTCACCGGCGGGACGGAACAGAGACGAGCCTCCCGAATTACCACCAAAACCGTTAAAATTCCAACCCAGAAACTTCTATAGACAATCTTCTCTTGTATATAAACCTACACGTGCCACAGTGAGATGTAGAACAAGAAGTGAGGACTTAGAAATGGCAGAATTCAGACAAAAGAGAATAACAAAATACGATAGGAACGCCGAAAGTGACGATGGATTAGAAGATAGTAGATACAAACACAGGTATGAAGTTATTCCTGATGACATTGATGATTTAGTTGACTATTCACCAACGAAAAAGCGCATAGTCGAAGCAGACGTAACAGAAATAGAAGAGTATAATGTCGATGCACCTGATGATAACGAATTGAAGGAGATACCAACTGAAATAGTTAAAACTGTTAATGGGAAGACCCATAGATATGCAATTGTCCCGTCCGACGACGAGGAACCAGTTAGAAAGAGTAACGTCACGTTTTCATCACCAATGATGTCAAGAAAGGATCTGATAGCTACACAGAAGCTCCACGAGTTGCTTTCTACGCCGAGGAAATTAAAAAGCTACGCCAGTCAACCGTCAGTTAGAGTGACGCCTAATAAGTCTTCTGAAAGCTCAAACAGATATGCGGGCACTCCGAAAAAGATTGTCTCGAGCACACCAACAAAAGGGGTGACTCCTTCTAAATCGTGCGCTAATTTGGCGTCAAGAAGTTTAGCAACGTCGCCAATTTCACCTAAAGCTCAGCAGAAGTTAAATTATGGGTTGGCGGATGAATTTAATAGGTCAGATGTTTTCGTTACGAGTTTTAGGGAGAAAAGTCACGACAGAAGTTTGGATTTGGATAGAAGAAATTCTAGCAGGGAGAGTAGAAGAATGAGAGAGCCGAAAAAGGATAGAACCACTGCTGTTATAATGCCCAGGTAATATAGTATTTAGTTTTTTCTTTTTTATTAATTTAAATAACTTTGTTGACCTTTAGAAAATATGAATGAATTAGTATACTTTATTTGCATTATACAATATAGGGAATAAGTAAGACAATTTACAAACACAACGATACAGTTGTATAAGTACAGTGAGGCGGTCTTATTGCTGAGAGCAATCTTTTCAAGACAACCTTATTTCGAGGCAATTAAGGGAGGGCGAAGAACGGGCAGCAGCGTCCCTTTTAAAATATTTCTAAAGCCTACCTGCGGTTGCCAACCCGCCTGCCAAGCGTGGCAAATACTGACAAAACCCCCCAAAGGGGTGACTTATGATCAGCAGTGAACAGATAAATTTAAACACATTACAGTCTCTTTATATATTCTCTGATGGAATTCACAAGGGTTGGAATATTTACTAAATTCAAAAAGTCATTGTAAAATCTAAACCAATGTGCTTTGTTGTACCATATCGTATTGGGATGTATCCTGTAAGGAAATAAAACAAAAAAAAATAAAATAAACAATTTGTCAAATACGGTCATCTCTGTGGTATCCCATTTGAAATCCAGTGACATATGTATACAATAACACGAGTGCAACCTGCTTGCAGTGGGGGAAAGGGATTGTTAGTAATGGAGACTGAGAATCCTATTGCTAGCAATATACCCAACCAGGTCGACCTCCTCGCGGTTCTCCCTGGAAACTGTCATGGTTAATTCCTGATGAATTCATCATAATGGGCTGGGTATGGTAACCCCGCCTGCGCTAACGGGATACGCAGGCGGAGCACCAGTGAAGGGTGATAGATGAGAATGAAAACAGGCCAGTTAGCCCGTCATGATGAATTCATCAGGAATTAACCATGATAGTTTCCAGGGGGAACCACGTGGAGGTCGACCTGTTAGGGTATATTACTAGTAATAGGATCTCATTATTAACAATCCTTGTCCCCCCCACCGCTTACCATTAGGTGGGCCGTATGCTTACTTGCCATTGCAGTGGTATAAAAAAAATAATGATTTCAGGATAGCGCCGGCGGCGTCGTCAGTGTACTCTGATGACACATACAAATCATACAACAATCTGAAGACGGTCAACGCGGCTACCGCCTCGCTGACGATTGCAGCAATGATGCTGACTCTATGTGGTGGACTGACGACCGGCTTGAGCTTTTATATGATGTACACTGTGAGTGATTTATCTTGACAATAATTTATGTTCCAGAAAAAATAACTTCAACAATAATGTATGATAATGGAGGAAAGGGATTGTTAGTAATGGGGTCATATAGCCCCATTACTAGCAATATACCCTCTCAGGTCGACCTCCACGTGGTTCCCCCTGGAGCCATCGTGGCTAATTCTTGTTGAATTCGTCACGATGAGCTAACTGACCTGCTTCATCCTCACCTATCATCCCTTACTGGTGCCCTGCCGGTGTATACCGATAGCGCAGACGGGGTTACCATACCTTTATAACCCATTAAAAAAAATTGTATTATAATATATATATTATAATATATATATATATATATATATATATATATATATATATATATATATATATATATATATATATATATATATATATATTGTTGTAAAGCGGACTGCCAGTCCCATTGCTAGCAATACACCCTGTCAGGTGGACATTGCACGTGGTCCCAGGTGTATTCATTACGATGAGCTAATTATATCATCTCTCACTGGTGCCCCACCAGCGTATACCGACAGCGCAGGCGGGGTTACCATTCCATTGTCACCTATTACGAAGAAATCGCAGTTAGACTTTCGGAACGATACTGCCCATTCCACGACCAGTCCAATTTTGTTACGGAACTGTTACATACTGCCATAACTATGTACAACTGTTCATGTCTATAGGTGACGGTTACCACTTTCCATCAGGTGGGCCGTCAGCATGTTTGCCATTCTAAGTTGTATAAAAAAAAGAACTGCATTCTCGGGACCGTGAATAACTAACAATAGTATATACGTCATGGCATCGATTTCCAGACATTTTTCATTATAAAGACAAAAGATGAATCTCAAGCGAACAAGACGTTATATTATTTCTATAATCTTATAATATACTAGCGGCCCGTCCCGACTTCGCACGGGTTTTTTACAACATTTTAAAAAGTGGTTATTGTGACATAACGATAATAGTTGGACATATAGTATCGCCGAGTTTTTTGTAGCTATTGATATTTTCTTCAATATTGTAGAACATACTTTTGTTCTATCACCAATAGTTTCCGCAGCGCACGCGACCAAAGATATTTCATAGCATTTTTTTACACCTTGAGTTACGTTACTAAAGTTTTAGTAAGGATCCCTAATCTTTTCTAGCAGTAAATATAGCCTATGTTACTCAGGGTAAATGTAGCTTTCTAATGGTGATAGGATTTTTGAAATCGGCAAAGTAGTTTTTGTGTTTATTCATTACAAACATACATACACACAAAAATACAAATCTTTCCTCTTTATAATATTAGTGTAGATGTAGAATTCCTATCTGTAAAAGAAATTTGTTTTGACTAAAGACTTGTGTTAACTAAAATATCCTTTTTTTTTAAAAAAAAAACGTCTCATCTGACCCGTCCCGTAACAGAACCCTAAAAAGTAAACGTTTTTTAGTGAGAACATACTGTTATCAAGTATGCAAACCCGTGATATATTTGTTTATGCTGTATTATTGAGAACTTTACATTTCTCATGGCCTTTCATACAAACATACTACATATATTAAAATTATTTTACCAGAGGGAGACTTTGTACAAAAGTCGATTGCTTGGGTACCTCTGTCCCATTCGTGTTTCAACCATGAAGCAGTTGTGTTTGCATGGCTGTGTTTCAGTTTGAAGGGTGGGATATGGCGTAAATTTACTGGGTACGGAGGAATAACACCTGAGTCCTTAGAAATGGCAACGCATGGGGGTTATCATGGGTGAAACAATATAAACTATTATGTCCATGGTACTGCTCGTGTCTGTAGGCGACGATTACCACTTTCCATCAGGTGGACCGTCAGCTTGTTTGCTATTCTAAGTCGTATAAAAAAAGGCCTATACCTCCTTCGCTATCCCATATAGTGTATAATAACTAGATAGATATTATCAAATTTTTAAATACGCCAAAATGATATCCGTTACAGATAAGATGCCTAGTAATCATCGTAACGTCCCCGTGTCTGTGTGTTTGTATTTATTTTATTATTATTTCAACCGTTAACTGCCCACTGCTATAAGCCTTTCCAGTAAGGGGAGTTTTGCCCGTAGTTGCCACGCTTGGCAAGCGGGTTGGCAACCGCAGTTAAGCTTTTAGAGATGTTTTAAGAGGGACGCTGCTGTCCATCTCTCGACCTCTCTTAGTCGACTCTTACAAAAGGAAGGGGTAGCTTATTCTATTCCAGCACGTTCTGTTCACGTGAACGAAGTCACGGACAAAAGCTAGTCACTTATAAACCAGAGGGAGACTTTGTACAAAAATCGATTGCTTGGGTACCTCTGTCCTATTCGAGTTTCTACTGTGAAGCAGTTGTGTTTGCATGGCTGTGTTTCGGTTTGAAGTGTGGGATATGACAGTGAATTTACTGGGTACAGATGAATAACACCCGAGTCCTCAGGAATGGCAACGCATGGGGGTATCATGGGCGAAACAGTATACTCTGTTGTGTCCATGGTACTGCTCATGTCTATAGGCGACGGTTACCACTTTCCATCAGGTGGGCCGTCAGCTTGTTTGCCATTCTAAGTTGTATAAAAAAACATATCATCATCATGTCAGCCGTCTACTATCCACTGCTGAACACAGACCTCCCCCTATTCGGGAAGTTTGCCAATAGTTGCCACGCTTTACAGGCGAGTTGGCAACCGCTGTTTTTTTTTATGGGTGAAAATGGTATGATAACCCCGCCTGCGCTAACGGGATACACTGGCGGAGCACCAGTGAAGGGTGATAGATGAGAATGAAAACAGGCCAGTTAGCCCATCATGATGAATTCATCAGGAATTAACCATGATAGTTTCCAGGGGGAACCGCGAGGAGGTCTCCCTGGTTGGGTATATTGCTAGCAATGGGATTCTCAGTCTCCATTACTAACAATCCCTTTCCCCCTGGCAACCGCTGTTAGGCTTTAGTAATTTTATAAAAGAGACGCTGCTGCCCATCCCTCGATCATTATGTTCCCTTAGTCGCCTCTTACGACACCCACATGAGAAGAGCAACCTATTCTACGTCGGACTCACAGGGAATTCTCTCCCAATATCATCCATTAAAAATAAATCTATGTACAGAACCCTTAGAGAGCTAATCCGATTCACACTTGACTTCCTTTTGTTTACATTCGTTCACTGTACTGCGAAATAATGATAAGACGTTTATTTATAACGCATTTGCAAATAACCTCCCTTATTCCCTTTCGCTTTCCCACGACTTTTTATTTAAAGTCGATAACAAGATAAAATTTATATTGATGTGTTATTATATACCTTATCGTGTCCTGTAAAGTATAAACATTTACTATTTTTAACCGACTTCATAAATAACAATAATATTTATTTAATCAGACTACATAAGACTACATAGATTGATGAATGTGTGAAGAAGCGAAAGAGGTCTGTTTGAATCGAAACATTTGGCGTTCCATTGTTTCTGCCTACACTAATGGGAGACAGGCGTGACAGATATCTATGTATGTACTACATAAGGCTCATTTTGTTAGTTATAAATTGACTTATGTTAGTAAATGAGCGGTCGTGACGCTCTTGCATTGATAACCTGTCCCACCCAATATTTTAGGATGGGACAGTACATTTTATCAGCAATTGTCTTCAGGACACTGTTTAAGCTAACACACACTCTATCCAACATATTTTTTTTTATGGGTGAAAATGGTATGGTAACCCCGCCTGCGCTAACGAGATACGCTGGCGGAGCACTAGTGAAGGGTGACAGATGAGAATGAAAACAGGCCAGTTAGCCCATCATGATGAATTCATCAGGAATTAACCATGATAGTTTCCAGGGAGAACCGCGAGGAGGTCGACCTGGTTGGGTATATTGCTAGCAATAGGATGCTCAGTCTCCATTACTAACAATCCATGTCCCCCTATTATATTAAATATATTATAATAAATACATATTATAATAAATAGAATGTTTGTGTTCCACAAAAAAAAAACCGTCTTCAGTCGTGACAAATCCAGTTATATTGGTTTAAAAACCATACAACTGAAAACTACTGAATGCTTTTAATAAAATTTCCATAGGTAAGTCCCATTTACCAGAGGGAGACTTTGTACAAAAGTCGATTGCTTGGGTACCTCTGTCCTATTCGTGTTTCAACCGTAAAGCAGTTCTGTTTGCATGGCTGTGTTTCGGTTTGAAGGGTGGGATGTGGCGTGAATTTACTGGGTACGGAGGAATAACACCTTTTTTTTTTAACGTCTGGAAAATGCTTTATGCAGACCCATACACCTTGTGGGAGGTGAATGGGTACTGTGGGAATTCCCCCGTAAAGTGGGGGTGTACCCACCAAAAACCAGACGATATACCCTCGATGAGGAATAACACCTGAGTCCTCAGGAATGGTAACGCATGGGGGGTATCATGGGCGAAACAGTATACTCTGTTATGTCCATGGTATTGCTCATGTCTATAGGCGACGGTTACCACTTTCACTCAGGTGGGCCGTCAGCTTGTTTGCCATTGTAAGTTGTATAAAAAAAAATTATAGAAAATCTCTAATGGACCAATCTGTAAGTATGTCTGTATTTATTATTTTTATAAACGATCCTTTAATTCCAAATCGGTTTACAACTGTCGGAGTTATACAAACATAAAAAATACAACTTAACTGAGAACCTCTTTCTTTTTAAAGTCGGTTAAAGATATAAAGACGTCTACAATAATTTAATCTCATGGTAGTTATTTTTTTTTTCTTTATTCATTACAGATGGGTCGGCGTTATTACCTGGACTTCGCTGTGCTGGCAGGGTTCACCTGCTTCCTGCTCGGTCTACTCGGGTTCAGGTCGAGACGGCAGCAGCTTCTGCCAAACAGGAATTATGTTTCGGGTAATTATTATTAAAACCGACTTCAAAAAAAGGAGACTTATTTTGAAGTCGGTTACATAAATATACTTATCATATATTTTATATTTATTACCACATGTCAGACATATTATGTCAGTTGTAATCTCTTGTCCACCATGAAATGAAATTCCGAATTTTCGGACTCGTGTGTATGTTCAAATTGATATCGACCCACTAAATACATTTCGTTCGTCATAAATCCTATCATAAAAGTCCAGAGGAACGAAATTCTATCATTTTTAATATTCTTAAACGATACGTATTACGTAATTTTAACATCAAATTTGTATTTCGTTAGGCCCCGAAATATCAGAAGACGTTTCATGCTAGGCCCTCTGATTTGGAGAGTTACTTTTTTATCTGAAGGAATATACTTAACAGATTGGTCTCATAGAAATATATATATATATATATATATATAATAAGTTAAAGAAGAAATATATATAATAATAAGTTAAAAGAATATATATATATATATAAATATATATATATATAATAATAAGTTAAAGAAGGATATAGGCTACTTTTTATCCTAGTTAGTAAACATATCCCGGTCACGCAGACAAAGTCACGCGTAAAAACTAATTATTAATATAAATCAGAGAAATCTGTCGTGTGGTCTCGGCATAGAATGGGCCACCCCTTCCTTTCCCGTAGGTGTCGTAAGAGGCGACTAAGGGAGGGCAAGGGATGCTCATGCCTCCCTCTTAAAACATCTTTAAAGCCTAACTGCGATTGCCAATCCGCCTGTCAAGTGTGCCAACTACTGGCAAAACCCATAAGGAATAAGCTTATGTTCAGCAGTGGACAAGACACCGAGCATAGCCCTCTCCATAGACCGCTTAGTAATTTGAAACTTTTGCATACGGGCAATCGTGTAGGACCATGTTTCGGTTCCATAAGTCGTCACTGGCAACTCGCACTGGATAAAAACCTTCGTCTTCAAATTTTGAGGTATTTTGGATGCGAACATGCGTAGTTTTCCGAACGCTGACCAACCGGATTGGATTCGTGGATTGACTTCTCGGTCGAAGTCGGACTTAACCCTTATTGACATACATATCTTAGTGTATTAATCTATACTAGTGGTCGCCGAGTGGTCGAAATTCGACCATAACATATATTGTAATAAATGTATTTATTATGGTCACGTTTGACATTCAGTGAGACTAAAGACAAATAATATTAACAGACAAACAATATTAATCTATTCTCAATTCGACCGCAGACTTTAACTATAAACAAAAGAGTATATATGTGTGTGTGTGTGTGTCAAATACATGGTAGTGTGTGTAATGTGTTTTTTTTTTATTGATTTATTGCATTTTTCATGCAAAATTAAAAAAAAATATTAACATTCAGCACTTCTCTGTATACACTATAAGTATGCCAAATTTCATACTCCTCCGTCCGCGCATTTTCGTAAAAAGTGGTACAAAGTTTTTGCTTCACGTTTTAATATATACATATTATAGCTCCGTCTGTGATGTACTTAAAAACCTTGTTCCATATTGTTGCAGGATACATAGTTCTTTCTTCTTTTTCCCTGCTCAGCGCGTTCGGACTACTCATTCTTCTGACTGTCCAGCCGCAGCCAGGGTCTCCAGTCAACGATATCACATCTGGCGCCGTCTGTGGAGTTAGCATACTATCTTTAGGTCTAGCCTCTGTTGGGGTACTGGCATCATATTGCTGTGCCAGAGACCCGCCAGACAACAGGGTGGGGACAGCCACTTGGTACTAGTATCAAGTATTTAAGGACTTGCTCAGGTGAAGAACAATACTCGAGGGTACTTTTAGTATCACATCTTTTCTGTAGCAAAATAAAATCTACGCTAAAAGTACCCTAAAGACTGTCCCTCTTCTGAGGAGGTCCTAATTCTGTTAATGTTATGTCTATTATCAATTGTAAATTTACATGAAATTTGTAACCTCTGGCCTATATTGTGGTCTTGGAATTGTATTGTTGTGACTATAAACAACAGAATAGGCATAATCCTTTATATCAGGCACTGTCTGTATCTATACTATCTCTATGTCTAATGTTTATTGGGGTACTAACATCGTATTGCTAAGCCAGTACCCTAACAAGGCTACATATAGAAACAATATGCTGATGCCACTGGACAGGCCCTTAGTACTTATTTCTTTCACGTATTACAAATTTAAGGATTTACTCAGACGATGGATACGGGGGTATTTTCCGTATCACGTATTCTCTGTAGTAAAGTTCACCCTAAAAAATCCCTAAAAACTGCCCCTTGTCTGTGCAAGTCCTTATTAAGACTATTAATGGTCAATTTTGTACCTGTTGTTAATTTATGTATAGTGTTAAGAGTTATGTAACTTTTTAAATTAATAAAGCTTTGTACCTCTAGAATAATATGTTGGGCTCAGTTGTATACAATAAATTACCTGTATGTGTAACTAATGCGGGGAGTAAAAATTCATTTAAAATAAAGACTGGCTTGCCGAGAGAAGTTTCTATAATGATGAGGAATATACGTAAAATATAAATAATATTTAATCTAATTCTCAAGTTCATGTAGTTATGATTTAAAGTGACTTTATTATTATTGTTATAAATTAATATTACTTTTAAACATTTTTGTTTATATAGAATACTTGCTATTTTCTCAAATTTATAATTAAATAAAATATGATAAAGTAATGTAAATGTTATAATATAATACTGAACTAGTGATAAATATATAGATAATATTTATTGTTTCCTCCAAAAGATTACAATAGTAAACTTATTATAAATATAAACAATTACAAGAAATAATCATAACGAGAAAACAATTGGCGACTTTATCGCTAAAAGCGATCTCTTCCAGGCAACCTTTGGATGGAGAGGAGTAATTATAAACAGTTTGATCAGAGGCACGACAAAAATTCTATTATTCCTAAATTTGGAGATGTAATACATATAATAATGTAATTTTGTAATGTATAAATAAATTATTTGTACCTGTTTACCTTTCTGTCAAGCACCATCTGTGGCATCTGCGTAATATCTAGCCACTAATGGGATACTGGCCTTGTATTACTTTATAAAAAATAAAGATTTGCCAAGAAGGTCTCGCTTAGCGCTAGTAATACAGTTTATTAATTATATATAAGAAAGTTAAGTTAGTATGTTAATTTTATTTAAAGCGCAATCGAAATTGTTGAATACGTTTTAAATAAAAAAAAAATACCCTCGAGGCTTCTCTCTCGATTCGAGGTACAATCCTCGACGGTACTTTTGTATAGTTTAGAATAAGAAAAAAAATAATTTAAATAGTATCTCAAATATCTAATGTCTTCATCTCTTAATACAAACTAAACTATTTATATAGAATAGTAGTAATCAAACAGCATTTTTTGTCCACGCTAAAAGTACCCCAATAAATTTATACGCTCTGTACCTACAGGGGCCTTAGATATTGGAATTGTAAAAATATTTGTTAATATGTTTCTTATTATTTTTAATATTTTCAACTGAAAGGTAATGGGGTCAATTCCGAAACATCATATCTTTATAGATAGAGTAGGGCGGGGCTAGTTGAGCAATTTTTTACTTGATCGGATATAGCTCCTCAATGATAAGTCTCAATGAGTTGTTATGCGGCTTGATGGATTAGTAATTTATCCCTTAGCAAAAGTGCTAAAAGTAATTTTTGTATAACAAGTCGAATTTAAGAGCTACAGCTGTTTAAATGCAGAAAGTCAAGTACGCTCAATGTACCCCATAGGTGAGGTAAGTTGAGCAAGGATATGGGGCAAGTTGAGCATTAAGAATGTCTAACCAAACCATGGGTTCAATGTTAACTAGAGATGAAGTAAAATATGTGTTTGACAATTAGCTCTTTATTTATAGTCTTTAAGTGACAGAACAACAAAACTTATAGTAATTTATTAATTATTTTTTTTATTTCGATTGCCCAACTTGCCCCTATGCTCAACTAGCACCTAACTACCTATTCTAAAACACAATTTAATATCATAGCAAATTCTGTATTCAAAAGACCAATATAAACTATATTTCTAATAGATTTAAGTCAATTTTTTATTTCTAACGGTCCATTAAACAATATTTGAACGAAATTTACAAATTAAAAAATATTAAGTCGAGAGAAAGCTTTAGAGAAGTGTCAGAATTGACCCCATTGTCTTCAGTAAAAGTAAGGACTTTTGTTTTTTATTTATTTGGCTTTGGAAAGAAGCTAAAATGTAAAGATTAAAATAATTCTGTGTCAGATTAAAATAATTGTTCTTAATCTGTGTTCCGTGCCCAGCCCAGGATATGGAAGAAGCTTCAAATTTAATGAGTAAAGAGATTTCTTCAGGATCGGCAACGTTGATCGTTGCCATAATTATTAATATATTTAATATTATTTTCCATTGGGGAAGGGATTGTTAGTAACGCAGACTATTAGTCCCATTGCTAGCAATATACCCTGTCAGGTGGACCTCTTCTTAGTCCCACTTAGAAACCATCGTGCAACCATCATCACGATGGGCTAACTGACCTGCTTCATCCTCACCTATCATCCTTCACTGGTGTCCCGCCGGTGTATACCGACGCGGGTGGGGTTACCATTCCATTATCACCCATAAAAAAAAACCCCACCCCCCACTCCTTTAAATACGTCTATGACCATGTTAACCATACATAAGTATAGACACATGCAAATGTTTTGCATAATTTATAACTATTCAGACATTTCTGTGTTTTTGTATTAAAACAACAATATTTTGTATTGCTTTGTAAATATTTACCTATGTAAATTGTTGGCCAAGAATAAAGTTTAATAAATAAATAATAATAATAAATATGTGTTTATTTCCACCGTATGGTTTCAGCATAGAATGGGCCACCCCTTCCTTTCCCGTGGGTGTCGTAAGATGCCACTAAAAGAACTTAAACCATCTTAAAACTTCACCAAAGCCTAACCGCGATTGCCAACCAGCCTGCCAAGAATGGCAACTACTGACAAAGCTCTACTTATGAATAAGGCTTATGTTCAGCAGTGGACAGTAACAGCTGATATGATAATGCTGAATATGTATTTATTTAAAAAAAATGGCACCGAACCGAAAATGGACTTTTAAATTTACATAGCAAATGTAATTCATAGGGGAGAAAGGGATTGTTAGTAATGGAGACTGAGAATCCCATTGCTAGCAATATACCCAACCTAGTCGACCTCCTCGCGGTTCCCCCTGGAAACTATCATGGTTAATTCCTGATGAATTCATCATGATGGGCTAACTGGCCTGTTTTCATTCTCATCTATCACCCTTCACTGGTGCTCCGCCAGCGTATCCTGTTAGCGCAGGCGGAGTCACCATACCATTTTCACCCATTAAAAAAAATATATATCACTCACAGTTTAAATAAACCTTAAAATCATTCAACTAAATTTCTATTGTAGGTAGTAAATTCATTTATTTTAACATCCATTGTATAAGTAGGTAGATATTATGTTTATTCATAGTATATGTATTTATGTAATATTTTATTATGTATCTTAATATTTCATTTAACTGTATATTTGTTTATGTACTCTAAATATTAATAGTTGTAGCACTTCAATTGCTCGCTAACAACATGCTTTCTAACTGTATCGGGTTGACTGGAAGAGATCTCTGTCAGGGATAAGTCCACCCTTGCTCACAATATTTATAAATGCATTAACAATGTAATTTTCAAGTGCAATACAGAATCTAACAAATTTTCTATTTCGTAATTAACGAAGGTCAACAACAGTTGCTAGGCAACACTCACAAAAGGTGTCACGCTGGATCATAGTCTTGAACTAACCAAAAAGTTTTTTCTCAAACATGCTTGGAAATGTGAGCATTATTTTGACAATCTTCTTCGAGATAAGTCAAAATTGCCGTACTGGCCTGATACATGCGGGCAGCGGCCGGCAAAAGTTGTATGAAAATCCATATCTGTCGTGTTTTGCGGCCAGATAAATTACTATGTAAACTCATATCTGTCCTGTAATTTAAAAATGAAATGACATTTTACTTCGAAACATGGCTACCAAGGAGGTAACTAATACAAGGTTTTATTTAAATTTCGAACTGGCTTGAAAATAGAAAGCTGTTTAAAAAATTATTAAAAAAAATATTATTATTCGTTATTCGTCACTAAGCTTAAAAAGTAAAATTGTGTTTTTGATTTCCGCGCATTGTTTGAGAAAAATACTATACAAGCCTTGGCCACAACTAGGTATTGATGGACTCACGTATGTATGCCTCGGCTATGCCTCGGCCCACATTTGTACGTTCGTCCATCAATGCCTCAGTTGCTGGCCGCTGCAGTAATGTACTATAACAATAAGAAAGAATGTCACTTAATATGATATCCTAAACCCCTTATTCATAAAAACTGAAAGCTTCAAAATGACCAATTTAATTATTACACTGTTTTGTTACTTTCAAATTTGGAATTTTGTGTAAAAGAAACAAAATCATTCAACAACTAAATTAGGTTTAAGAAAGGTTTCATATATTTATGAATGGTTAAGGTTTAATACAATGCTTCACCTTCTAATGGTCGTGGGTTCGATTTTCGCATAATACAAACATTCGTTTTAACTATATATGTGTGTATTGGGTTTGGCTTTTTTTATGAATAATATGCATATTAAAATTATGTTTTACCTATGATAAGAATAGACATTCTTATACATTGAAAATATAATAGAACCCTTTAATAGGCAACGCATACCTAAGAACAATGAAATCTTTGACGTATATCGATAGTGCAGGCGAGGTTATCATTTCGTTATCACCCATTGCACGCATATATTTATCCATGTTACAAGTTTCAAATAGTACGTTATAAGTAGATAGTAGTTCAAAATGTAATACTAAAGCAAAATATATATATAATACAAAATATAATATTAAGCTTTACAAAATTATATTTTTACAAAAATAAAGAATAATATAAAACATGTTTACATACATTTTATTCTAATTTATTATTAACATATATTGTTAAAATTGTAAATTTAAATGATCGTGAAACGGAACGTATAATTTTCAAAGCTGACGTCAAACGTTGGGCAGACAGCTGTGACAGTTTTAAACAATTTCAATGGATGTCAAATTATCAATTCGCATTTGAAAGTACCAATATTATTTACAGTGCTGCCAGGTTAGGCGATTTTTCGACTTTTAGGCTATTTCGAATGGTGTCGAGGCTACCGAAAATTGCAATTGACGGCCAATTGCCATTTAAGCTAACCAAAAAAAAATTAAACGATTTTTGGCTATAAAGAACGTTTATAGAAAATTATACTATTTAATTTTTGATGGATGATAAATATTTAGAGAGGAGACCAATTGGACCGTGCCCACCCTAAAATCGTTTGGTAACCACCACAGGATGCACAAAGCTTTGCAAGGATATATCTAAAAGTACATATGTGTCTTTATAAGCCCCTGTCCACCCCCACCCTTCCGGAAAATAATCATAAGTACCCCAATAATGGTTATTAGTAACCCCATTTGCACTATCACTATTTGCTGACATCAAATCCATCAAAAAATAATAATTTCTGGAAAGACCACTATTGACTACAATGGTGCCACTAATGTCGAACCAAACTGAAATTTTTGGCGCTTTTCGGTTATCTGTATCTGGCAACACTGATTGTTTATTGAATATTTAGTTAGGTATTGTGTATTAAAATAAGAATAAATGTATCTATTTCTCAACATTGTTAACTATGATAACGATTTGTAGCTATACAATATACGATAAACAAAACCTCAAAGTTTTGTAATACAGTGCGTGAATTCTGTAAAAATGTGTTGTCTAAATTAAGCTTTTGTTATACTTGTCAATCAATCAAGTAAGTCTTTGTTATTCTATTAATAATTGATTATCCATACATAATTAGAAGCTAGATATTCATCTAAGTATAAAAAATAGGATTTATTGAAATTATATATATAGATTATTATTTTTAATTTAACAAATTTGCCAGTAAAACAAATACTTCCTGCAAACCTATTATTATTATTACAATGTTTTGTCTCTTTCAAATTAAGAATTATGAGTCATTGACGTTTTGAATGAAAAAAAATATTTCAGACATAATTATGTTATTTTTGAAATAATTCTTTATTATTTCACTTCTATGATACTTATAATAATATATATAAAATACTAGTGAATTATACTAGCACTTTGTTTTTTTTTTTTATTCTAATTTTTGTTGATGCTTCAGTACACGTGGGTAACTATGCCAGTTGGGGGAAAGGGATTGTTAACAATGAAGTTTGACAGCCCCTATGCTAACAATATATATATATATATATATATATATATATATATATCAGGTTGACCTCCACATGGTTCCCCCTGGAAACCATCATGAACAATTCTTGTTAAATTCGTCATGATGGGCTAACTGACCTGTTTCATCCTCATCTATCATCCTTCACAGGTGCCCCGCCGGTGTATACTGATAGTGCGGGCGGGGTTACTATTTCATTATCGCCCATAAAAAAAACTATGCCAGTCTCTTAGGAGATGTCTACCAGTAAAGGATGATAGGTGAGGATGAAAAATAGGATAAATCATGGAAAACTGGAAACCATCGTGCTGAATTCCAGATTCATCAGGATGGGCTAAGGGACCTGTTTTTTATTTTCACCTATCATCCCTTACTGGCGCCTCACTAGCATATATCGTTAGTGGAAATGGGGTTACATTTCCATTATCATCTATTAAAAAAAAATATCCATGTCATGGATATTTTTTTTCTTACACCTAGACATACTTGCATCTTCTCAGAGTCAATCTATTATTGTCTAACTATATTGAGGTAGATCACCGGCAAGTTCAAGTTTGAGCATGTCTGATGTAGCTAGTCATAGTGTAAACGGTGAACTTACCTCCAGATGGTTTACTCTACCAGTCAACCATAGACACAAGTAGCTAAAAAAAATATTGCCTGCTAGCATGATGAGTAAATAAATAAAAAAAAAGCAGACTATATTTACAGATGGGGATTTACTCTGTCCTCTTATTCTTAGGGAAGTACCTATTCTAGAATTGCGGTGGTGTTCACAGTGAGTTTACTTTGTGTCAGATGATGAAAGAATATTAAAATATTTACCTTATTTTAAATATTTGAAAGAAGTGTAAAAAAAAAAACCTCAAAAGTGTGAGTTATAGGTAGAGATGAAACTGTCAAAGATAGATTAAAATTTATACAATAACTTGCAAGTGTAGATGTTTAACAATTACATACATACATCAAAATGTCAAAAATGGAAAATTTCTTAATTTGATAGTATTTTTCAATTGACTAGTGCCCTGCCCCGCTATCCATTGACCATTAAATTCCCATAGTCGCCTCTTACGATATCCATGGGGTATTTTTTAATGGGTGATAATGGAATGGTAATTCTGCCTGCTATATCATTATATGCTAGCAGGGCACCAGTGAAGGATTACAGGTAAAGGTAAAACAGGTTAATTAGCCCATCATGACGAATTACACTAGAATTAAGCACTATGGTTTCCAGGGGTAACCGTGTGTAGGTTGACCTAATAGGGTATATTGCTGGGGGGGAAAGGGATTGTTAGCAATGGGGTTTGACAGCCCCATTGCTAGCAATATGCCTTATTAGGTCGACCTCCACGTGGTTCCCCCTGGAAACCATAGTGAACAATTCTTGTTGAATTCGTCACGATGGGCTAACTGACCTACTTCATCCTCATCTATCATCCTTCACTGGTGCCCCGCCGGTGTACACCGATAGTGCGGGTGGGGTTACCATTCCATTATCACCCATTGAAAAAAAAATAGGGTATATTGCTAGGAATGGGGCTGTTTGACTCCATTATCAATAACCTTATGTTTGACAAATTTTAATAAAAATATAACTGAAGATAAAAATACAAGTTATTTCAACAGCATTAAAGTACAAAATTTTTAACAGACAGACCAATATCCGGAGGTCTCAGCGCTAAATTATATAAATGTCAGCCGTTAACTGTCCACTGCTGGACATAAGCCTTCCCCATAAGGAGAGTTTTCTTACCTATAAGCTGTCGATCCCTTTTTGCCCCTATACCCACAGGGTAGGAAGGAGAATTAAAAAATATTTAATAATTAATAATATAATATAAGCCTTTATTCAGACATTTTTTTTTTAAAACAACTTATTATTTATTTAATTGCTGTTGTCTGTTTGCTTATTAGCAAAGGCCTCCTCCAACTGTCTCCAATGGTCTCTATTGCTAGCAATTCTTGTCCAAATACCCCCTGCTTCAGCCCTAATGTCATCTACCCATCTTCTATGTGGTCTTCCTCTTCTCCTTTTTTTTTTTTTTTTTGTCTTTCGTGTACCAAAACATTATCTTTTTACTCCATTTATCTCTCCCTCTAATTGTATGCCCTGCCCATTTCCATTTAAGTTTTGTAACTGATGACTGTAACATCTTTAGTTTTTATGTGTTTTTTTTTAATTTATTTAAAATAATTTAATTAATAATATGGAAGAGGTAAAAGAGTAAATTTGAAAACAATAGTTTATTCTTAGATTCTGGGTGTAAATATATAATATTGATAAGAGATTGATAGCAATGTAAACATGATTTATCACAATAGTATTTTAATGACATTTGAACTAATTAAAGTGTTTAGTTGTTCATAGTTTCCTATTGATTTGTAAAGGAAGTGGTGCTAATTTTGATTGTATATATTTTGTTTGTGCATTTTACCCAATGTTTTTTGTGAATACTAAACTTGATTTAGTGTTTTTTTTTTTATAGTTTAATCTCAAATAAATTTTGTCAAGATTACTATTATAATTTTTGTGCAACAATATCTCAAAACAAACTAAATGGAAGGTCTTTGTATTGTGAGTTTTAGAATATATTTTTTTTTCTGTACTTTATGTATTTCTATGTGAGTTGTTGCCATTCCTATAGAACGGGTGGAGGGGGGGGGGGGGGGGGATACCATAGGCGTTGCAGACTCGCAGTATGTTTTGTGATGTGCATGCATCATAAAAAGTAGCTTTTTTTTTAATGTTTTTATTTGACATGAACAGTACCATGGGCATAACAGTTTTTTTTAATGGACGAAAATGGCATGGTCACCAGAGTACCAGTGAGAGATGATAGGTGAGGATGAAAAGGCAAGTCAGTTAGCCCATTATGACAATTTCAACGATAAATTAGTTAATTACTAGGATTAATCATGATACTTTCCAGGGGGAACCGCGTGGAGGTCGACCTGATAGGGTATATTGACAGCAATGGGAACTAACCTCCCCGTTACTAATAATCCCATCTCCTCAGGCATAACAGAGTATACTGTGTCACCCATAATAACCTTCATGCGTTTCTACCCTATAATTAATAATGATGTTTCTTTTTATACCACAAAGGTGGCAATCGAGCATGTAGCCCATCAGATGATAAACAGTCACTGTAGCCTTTAGATGCTTGATGATGTAATGTCATCATCATCATCATCATCATCATCATACCAGCCATTAACTGTCCACTTCTGAACATTGGGCTCTTCTATATGGACCCTTCTTTGACAATAGTTACCACACTTGGCAGACGGGTCGGTAACCACAGTAAGGCTTTTGGTGACTTTTTAACAAGGACGCTGCTGCCCATCCCACCACACCCATAAGAAAGCAAGGGGTGGTCCGTTCTATGCCGGGACCACATGGCTAACCTTAATAGTGTAATGTTTATTGAATAATGTAATGTCTCAGTTAAATTTAATTGTTTCAGTTAATCAGAAGTCAAGATGACCGACTATCATATTAGGGAGGCAGCCGAGTCGTTACTCAGTACTGTGTCCAACCCAAATTATAGGACTATATGTAAGTATTTTTATGGAATTCTTCCATTCTTTAGACATTAGACCATTTAAGACTAGCTGTATTCCGCGGCTTCATCGACATCATCATATCGGCCTTTAACTGTCCACTGCTGAACATAAGCCTTCCCCCTAAAGCAGTTTTGCCACTAGTGGCCACGCTTGGCAGGCGGGTTGGCGACTGCAGTTAGGCTTTTTTCTTTATAGGTGTAAATGGAATGGTATCCCCGCTTGCGCTAACGGTATACGCTGACGGGGCACCAGTGAAGGGTGATCGATGGAAATGAAAACAGGCCAGTTAGCCCATCGTGATGAATTTATCAGGATTTAACCATATTGTTTTCCAAATTTCATTCAAATCCATTCGTAGTTTTGACATGAAGTAGTAATAAGTATCCATCCGTTCTTACAAATTTTCGCATTTATAATAAAGGATCATACGCTAGAAGTGCCTTTTTAATGGATGATAATGGAATGGTAACCCCGCTTCCGCTATCGGTATACGCTGGAGGGGAACCAGTGAAGGATGGTAGGTGACGATGACAGCAGGTCAATTAGCACATCAAAACTAATTCTACTAGGATAATTAGAGATTAATCATGATACTTTCCAGCGGGAACTGCGTGGAGGTCGACCTGATAGAGTGTATTAGCAATGGGTAAATTAGACCCCATTACTAATAATCCCTTTTCACCCCGCTGAGAGCGACTGGCACCTTAAAAAAATACATATGTACTCTCAAACATATTTTTGCGTATAACTGAAAATCTAGTCCAGACCTTGGGGCTTGTACCAAACAATTCTGCCGTCGGCATGGCATATTCTAGAATTATTTTTCTAGTGAAACCATAAATTGTAAACCTACCGCCCAATACAAACACAGCGCCACTTATCACTTCGCCCCTTATAATAATTACCTTAGACTTATTTACATAATTATCTCTTATTTGAAAGACATGTATAACATATAGATCTGTCTCTTTCCAGCACATTCACAATCATTAAATCTCGTGTCTGAGGATCTAGTCGCCGGACACAGGCCACATGGGAAGATGTCGACCGTACGGAGGTTTTTCTGTCTCTTCGTCACATTCGATATACTTTTCACTAGTCTAATGTGGCTCATATGTGTAATGGTGAGTTTTTATTCAGAATATTACCTTTTTTTTTATACAACTTAGAATGGCAAACAAGCTGACGGCCCATCTGATGGGAAGTGGTAACCGTCGCCTATACACATGAGCAGTACCGTGGATATAACAGAGTATACTGTTTCGCCCATGATACCCCTCATGCGTTACCATTCTTGAGGACTCAGGTGTTATTCTTTTGTACCCTGTAAATTCACCTAAACGGCAATACCATGCTGCTTAGCGCTTTATAAACTCGCAATAAGAAAAAAATCTTGCGGTCACTTTAAATCTTGTCAATTTTAAACTTTTTCTTTCTTATATTTTGTTGCTGTGCGGGCCACCTAGTTTTGACCCGCTTGTAGGGCGTGGGTTCTTGGGCGTTGGATCAGGCTGGAGAAAGAGAAACGATAGGTTTTTACTTTGAAGCTATAATATCGCGAACCGTTGTTGTTGTCAATATTTTAAATACACAATCGGAACTTAACGCGATAATATGCATGTAAATAATACCTACATACCTGTTTCTTTCATCATACGTACATCGATCCAAATGAAAGGCTAAGCTCAGAAAAGAGAGTTCAATTTACATTTACCTGCTTCTTTATTGCTTTTTAACTTTTTAACGTAGATTGTTGTCTCATCCCGTTATATCCCAATTGTGTATTTAAAATATTGATTCTTGTTTTCAACAAAAACTCTGGGTGTTTATATTAAACCAAGTGAATTTATTGCAAATTCATGGTTTGTCTGATGTAATCAATTATAGATCCAAGGTTTACAACATCATTGGCTTCTTTTTGCACATTACCAGTTTAGCGCTAGAGTTAATTACGGTTAAAGAAATTTATTTCCCAAAAAAAAAAACAAGTATTTACTTTAATGAGATTACAGCTAACTAAAACTAATTCAAAAAGAGCATACAAAAAGAGTTAATTCACAGCCTAAATATTTACAACGGTACATGGAATTCAAACAAACAGCTTAGTGACAGAAATAGATTCGGCTTCCTTTGGTGGGTTATACGAAACGGGAGTAAAATAAGCAAAATTTAATTTAAAGATGATCCTTGGTGACAAACGTTCTCTTTTGAAAAACGTCTTTCGAACAATTTACAAAGTCTATATAAATAATAATGATTAAATACTTTGTTACAGATGCGAGGAGAGACATTAGAACAAATATTTAACCGTGAAATAGTGCATTATGATGTGAAGACCTCACTATTTGATATAGTCATGGTGGCAGTGAGCAGATTCGTTGTGCTGCTATTGTTTTACGCCTTATTGTACATAAATAATTGGAGTGTTATAGCTGTGAGTATACCATACCATATCAGCTGTCAACTTCCCCATGGGGGGAAGGGGTTGTCAATAGTTCTCACTTGGCAGGCGGGATGGCAACCGTAGTTTTTTTTTTGATGGGTGAAAATGGTATAACCCCGCCTGCGCTAACGGGATACGCTGGCGGGGCACCAGTGAAGGGTGATAGATGAGAATGAAAACAGGCCAGTTAACCTATCATGATGAATTCATCAGGAATTAACCATGATAGTTTCCAGGGGGAACCGCGAGGAGGTCGACCTGTTTGGGTATATTGCTAGCAGTGGTATTCTCAGTCTCCATTACTAACAATCTCTTTACCCCTGGCAACCGCAGTTAGGTACTGGTGATGTTTTAAGAGGGACGCTGCTGCCTATCTCTCAACTATGAAGTTCCCTTAGTTTCCTCTTACGACACTTACGGGAAAGACAGGTTTGGCCCATTCTATGCCGGGACCGCACGAGTATAACATAGTTTGTTTGAAGGGTGGGATATGGCGTGAATTTACTGGGTACAGAGGAATAACGCCTGAGTCCTCAGGAATGGCAACGCATGGGGGGTGTCATGGGCGAAACAGTATACTCTGTTATGTCCATGGTACTGCTCATGTCTATAGGCGACGGTTACCACTTTCCATCAGGTGGGCCGTCAGCCTGTTTGCCATTCTAAGTTGTATAGTCAAGTTAAACAAATGCTGCACAAAAATATTCTTTCTTACTTTTTTTCTCTCTTATTCCTCTTTCTCGTCTCTTTCCCCTCTCCCTTGTCTCTCCCTACCCTCTCTGTCTCCCTTCCCTCTCTCTCTCTTTCTATTTCTCGCTAACAATTCTGCTTACTGCTTTCTTTTAGTATAAATCCATGTATTTGTTTCAGCTCTCAACTGGTGGAACGTGTGCCTTTTTGATAGCCAAGGTTTTCGTCTTTGATGTAAGTACGGAACTAATGTTAATGTAGCCATTCAGTTTTGATGAATTATTCATGTTTGTATGGGAATGTATGATAGTAGTATTACAGACGTTTTGAAGTTTTATACTCAAAAATATATGGAGGAAATAAAAAAAGGAAAGTCCTTGTAATGATGTTTGAATATTTGTTACTCAATCACGCTTAAACGGCTAAACGGATTTCAATGGAATTTGGTGCACAAATAGGTTATATCCTTATTAAATAAAGTTTGAGTTAAAGCAAATTCTTTACACGCGATTCCGCATTCTAAACTCAAAAATTTGCAATTTAAGTTATTTACGATACATCTAGTCGTTTATCAGTATGTGTGCGTGCTTCTTATGTGCGTGCGTGTGTGCGTGCAGGCGTCTGTATGCATGCGCATGCTTACGATGCGTGCGCGTACGCATATGTGCTTGCGCTAGAGCATGCGGACGTGTTTTTACATACGCGTGCGTGTTTATGCGTGCGCGTGTACCTTTATGCGTGTATGTACATATGTGTGAGTGTGTGCGTGCTCGTTCGCGAAATCACATTTCCACAAAATAAAATGTAGGTACAATTTTTTTTTAATTTTTTTTTTTGGTTTTTTTTGCCAGTGGCCAAATGCATCGCAGCCTGTGTACCAGGTCTTCTTGATCCTCACATCCTTCACTATTGCGTGGGGTGAAGCATGGTTCCTGGACTTTCGGGTGCTGCCGCAGGAATTGCAAGCGAAACAGATACTGGAGTCCATTGGTAAGACTTTTGTGGATCACTAACTTTTACCCGCAACTTCTTCCACGTGATCTAGTATAAAAAATGTAACCTATGTCCCATCTCCCTCCTAAATACTACGCATATGTTAAATTTCATGTTCACTGATTCATTAAAAAGCCAAGAGGTAGATAGATAGATAGATATATAATTTATTTACATTACTTACAGCACACAAATTACAATAAAAAAAAAAAACATACATATAATACACAGTTAAAAAGACAAAAGAATGAAAATAAAAAAGCACAAATAAAAAAAAAAACAAAATATATAAACTAACAATCTCCTTTGTTACCCTTCCTTCATGCGTGTGCCATAGTAACACAAAATGATCACAGCTCAGTTTATTGCTTTGCCCTTAAAAGAGCAAAACACTGATATTCTGTTGTGGCCAAGAGTCAGTCGCGAAACTCCTTATTAAAAATAACAATAAAAAGAAATATAAATAAACTTCATTGTATGTGTCCATTGAGGTAACAAACATATCCAAAAAGGAAAAAAAAAGGCGTTTGATAATTTGTATGAAAAGGAAAAAGAAATTGCATTAAGAAAAGAAAAATTTTGCTCAAAATTTCATCATTAGTATTTAGAGGGGGACTGTTATTTTTTTTTTAACAGATGAAAATGGAATTGTAACCCCCGCCTGCGCTATCGATATACGCTGGTGGGACACCAATGAGGGACGACAGGTGAGGATGTAATAGGCAGGTCAGTTAGCACGTCGTGATGAATTCAAAATTAACCTCGATGGTTTCCAGGGGGAACCGCGTGGAGGTCGACCTGATAGGGTATATTGACAGCAATGGGCTGACCTGCTTCATCCTCACCTATCATCCTTCACTGGTGCCCCGCCAGTGTATACCGTTAGCGCAGGCGGGGTTACCATTCCATTATCATCCATTAAAAAACCCTTTTCCCCTCAGGAGTTGCTATTTATGTATATTTTAGTTTACTTCTAAAGGGAGACTTTGTACAAAAGTCGATTGTTTGGGTACCTCTGTCCAATTTGTGTTTCAACCGTGAAGCAGTTTTGTTTGCATGGCTGTGTTTCGGTTTGAAGGGTGGCATATGGCGTGAATTTACTCGGTACAGAGGAATAACACCTGAGTTCTCAGGAATGGCAACGCATGGGGGGTATCATGGGCAAAACAGTGTACTCTGTTATGTCCATGGTACTGCTCATGTCTATAGACGACGGTTATCACTTTCCATCAGGTGGGCCGTCAGCTTGTTTTCTAAGTTGTATAAAAAAAAAATAAGGTCCATACAAACCCCATAGTGCACCAAGGGACGGAACGAATGCCCCTGCTGCACCCCGGGCGACCGCCCGGCGTGCTGTCCACCCAGGGGGAGTCCACAGTGAACTGGTTCTCACCGGTCGAGACTCCGGAGGGCAGTCCTCGGCCGAAGAGGCCTGGCGAGCAAATTATACTGACCCAGGATCAGGTAAGCCTTTATTATTTTTAGTATTTGTAAGTATGTTGTAATTAGATATATTTTATTAAGTTATCGATATTTTCTTCAATATTGTAGAACATACTTTTGTTCTATCACCAATAGTTTCCGCAGCGCACGCGACCAAAGATATTTCATAGCATTTTTTTACACCTTGAGTTACGTTACTAAAGTTTTAGTAAGGATCCCTAATCTTTACTAGCAATAAATATAGCCTATGTTACTCAGGGTGAATGTAACTTTCTAATGGTGAAAGAATTTTTGATATCGGCAAAGTAGTCTTTGAGTTTATTCGTTACAAACATACATACACACAAAAATACAATCAAAAATAAAATCACTCACACCTCATTCTGTTATATACTTAAATGATAATTACGTACGTAATACCTTCATAAAGTTTTAGCCAAGTCAACTGATCGGTTATTTTATAGCATTTTATATGTGATTCTTAACAATAATATAACTTTTATATTTACAAACCGATTGAAATGAAACAAACACTAAATGTTAAGTGAACTAAACCGCAACGCATTAATGAAAACCACATTGAAATCTGTTAAGCCATTAGAGATTAGCGTGCACAAACGTACAGACAAGCAGACAAAATTCTAAAAATCATTGTTTTAATATAAATCCCCCTATAATAGTTTTTCTTATACACTCAATGCACTTCTTCCATCTGGTTTCCAACGCCTGTATGCCAGTCATAAAAAAGTTTCTTTAAGGCCTTCAAAAAAGTCACCCACCGCAGCTTCGACCTCCTCATTTGATGGACATTTTTGACCTCCAAGGTGTTTTTTTAGGTTTGGGAATAAATGAAAGTCTGAAGGTGCCAAATCAGGGGAATAAGCGGGATTGGACAGTAATTTAAAGCCACAATCACGAATTTGAGCCATAGATTCAACAGACGTGTGAAAGCGTGCTTTATCCTGATGGAACAACACATTCTTGCTGAGTACTCCTGGCCTTTTCTCTTTGTTACACGCAAACGACGTAAAAGGGTGCAGTAATAAGCCGAGTTTATAGGGGGGAAATTGATTGTTAGTAATGGAGACTGAGAATACCATTGCTAGCAATATATCCAACCAGGTCGACCTCCTCGCGGTTCTCCCTGGAAACTATCATAGTTAATGTCTGATGAATACATCATGATGGGCTAACTGGCCTGTTTCCATTCTCATCTATCTCCCTTCACTGGTGCCCCGCCAGCGTATCCCGTTAGCGCAGGCGGGGTTATCATATCATTTTCATCCAATAAAAAAAAATTGATGTATGACGCTACAAAACATCGGTTACGATGCAAAGTGCATAACGTATCTATTAATCTTTTACGAGGCAGTTGATTAAAGGGAATTGACAGCAAATGGTCAATTGACCCCAATAAACCCTATTATCGGTTCGATTCCCGGGCTTAGCCGACAGATTACGAAATTAGGTCATCTATCTCTATGTCTAGGTGTTTTGCTCTTTTGAGGGCAAAGCAATAAACTGAGCTGTGACCATTTTGTGTTACTATGGCACACGCGTGAAGGAAAGAAAAGAAAGGAGATTGTTAGTTTATATATTTTGTTTTTTGTTTTTTTTTTTTATTTGTGCTTTTTTATTTTCATTCTTTTGTCTCTTTCGCCGTGTATTATGTGTGTTTTTTTTTATTGTAATTTGTGTGCTGTAAGTAATGTAAATAAATTATCTATCTATCTATCTGGCGTTGTTAGCTACATCTGAAATTTCATAGGCGAATAGTTTTTTTTTTTAATGGGTGAAAATGAAATGGTAACCCCGCCCGCGCTATCGATATACACCGACGAGGCGCCAGTAGGTAATAGGTGAGAATGAATGCAGAGCAGTTGGCCCACCATGATGAATTCAACAAGAATTAACCATGAAGGTTTCCAGGGGGAACCGCGTGGAGGTCGATCTGAGAGGGTATATTGCTAATAATGTGGCTGTTAGACCTCATTACTAACAATCCCTTTCCCCCCATAGGCAAATAGTTATCTCTGTATGTCGACTGACGACAGTCATGTACAGCGCCATGGGTATCATAGTATACACTGTGACACCCGTGGTACCCATTCTCGTGAACTGAAATGTTCTATAATTTCACTGCCCAGACCCTTCAAAGCGAAACACAGCCCACCATGCAAACACAACTGCTTACCCACTACGCGTTGCAACTGAGAACTCGGGTGTTATTCCTCCGTACCTTGTAAATCATATCCCACCCTTCAAACCGAAACACAGCCATGCAAACACAACTGCTTCACGGTTGAAACACGAATGGAACAGAGGTGTACAAGCAAACGACTTTTGTACAAAGTCTCCCTCTGGTTGTCCTAGACTGTTGTCTGTATGTTGCAAGTGTGTAGGACTATATATATATATATATATATATATATATATATATATATATATATATATATATATATATATATATATATATATATATATATATATATATATATTAATAGAAAGAGATAGAATAATAATTATAAATACTATAAATATGCATTGTTATCATGTGGTATAATCAATTTAATACGTTAATCTGTGTATTATTATGATAAGCACACTATTTGTTAACCGACTTCAAAAAGGAGGTTGTCAATCGGACAGTTAATGTCTGTACATGTCTGATCACCATCACATGAGCCTAACTGTACATAAGACATAATTAGATATCAAAAAATTTTTGTCTGTCTGTCTGCTACGGCATTAGACCAAAACTACTTTGGAATCAACTTCCAGCAGCAGTATTTCCGAACCGATACGACAACATAACTTTCAAGAAAAGAGTATATTCCTTTTTAAAAGGCCGGCAGCACACCTGCAATGCCGCTGGTGTTGTGGGTGATCATGGGCGGCGGTAGTCACTTACCATCAGGTGAGCCGCATGCTCGTTTGCCCCCTGTGTTGTAAAAAAATAAATAAAACTACTGCACCAAGTTGTATGCGGTTTTCTCACTTGTGTCTTTGAAAGTAGAGTTCAAAATCTGTTGTATGTCTTGTCTCGATAAACTATCTAGAAGTGATCTATTTAATTTGAAATACAAGTAGACAAAGTAGCGGGAGAAAAGATAGTTGAAAATCTTTGAACCTTTCTGTAAAACGTTCAGTTTCTGCAGACCATATTTACAGATTACAAACAGACATACAAGGTTTGAGTAAAAATCGTTATGTCAAATGGTTACGATTTTTATATACTGACTACTTGAATACTAAAATTTTATATGAGCTATAAGTAGGTGCACTTCAGTGCAAAAAAACAGAGTAATGTTGTATAAAAAAAATAATGGGTGAAAATGATACCATATCATATAATAGTTCCCACTTGGCAGGCGGGATGGCAACCGTAGTTTTTTTTTTTTTGATGGGTGAAAATGGTATAACCCCGCCTGCGCTAACGGGATACGCTGGCGGAGCACCAGTGAAGAGTGATTGATGAGAATGAAAACAGGCCAGTTAGCCCATCATAATGAATTCATCAGAAATTAACCATGATAGTTTCCAGGGGGAACCGCGAGGAGGTCGACCTGGTTGGGTGTATTGTTAGCAATGGGATTTTTAGTCTCCATTACTAACAATACCTTTCCCTCCAGTGATCATACTATCCCCAGGGACATGGTAAATGCTATCAATTTCTTTTGTAAGTGTAAGTAACACGTGACCTCATTCCAAACATTATCATATCAGGGCCTCTAGACAAATGGAAACGACATCGCTAGCGAGTCCGTGAGATAGAATGAGATAGCAACGCCGGGTTTTTTTTTTAATGGGTCATAACAGAATGGTAACCCCGCCTGCGCTATCGGGATACGCTGGCGGAACACCAGTGAAGAATGATAGGTGAGGATGAAGCAGGTCAGTTGGCCCATCGTGACGAATTCAACAAGAATTGTTCACGATGGTTTCTAGGGGGAACCACGTGGAGGTCGACCTAATATATAATATTGCTAGCAGTGGGGCTGTCAAACTCCATTGCTAACAATCCCTTTCCCCCCTCATAGCAACGCCGGGTGACTCATTCCAACTTACGGATTCACTAGCGATGTCGATTCCATCGATAAATTCGTTTGCCACTTGTCTAGAGGCCGAGGTGCTTTAACCGTAAATAATTTATTTATTTATTGAACTTTAATGCACTTAAGAATTGAGCATGTTTCCAGGGGAGACCGCGAGAAGGTCAATCTGACAAGGTACTATTCTAGCGATGTGACTACAAATCCCTATTACTAGTAATCCTTTCCCTCCAGAAAGTCGCAGATTGTAGATGGCAAAATTAATATGGAACCTTCACGGGAGTAAACTTCTCAAAATCCTAAAAAAGCAAATCCTAAATACAAAAAAAAAAAAAAAATAGAAATTAAATAGTCATTAAAAATCTATATTTGTAACACGCATAAAAAAGTGCATACGAATTGAGAACCTTATTCTATCGGAAATAAGTTTAAAATTGTAATTGTGAACGGATAGTGTACGATAATGAAAACCAATTACATTATAGTCTCTAAGGCAGGCCACTCAGTCCATTCGCGAACTTATCGAACGGCGGACGTGTTCTATTTTTAAATCGAAACGTGTGTAAACAAAGAAGTGACATTTTGTTATCTGTCAAACGAAATGTAATTATAAATATAGAATCGGTTATTGTGATCGCATGTGTACTGATGATTGAAGTGTTCTTAATTTGAAAAAAATATTGGGGCAACTTTTTCTTTTATATTTTATTAAGGTTTTGGCTTCTTAAAAAATATATGGAAAATATTTAAACATGATTATTAAGCGAAAATTTATACAGTTAATTAAGAATATATTTGATAACATTCGATTTTTTTTTTATTTTGAAATAATAAACTTTTTAAATATTAAATAAATTAATATGAATAAATAAATAAATAAAAATACAACAACGTGTAACCAATCAGTTTTCAATGACACCTAAATCATCTTATTGATAAGGAATGAACTGGCGTAGTTCGGTACAGCATAGCAACAGACCCGGTTTCGCTTGTAATATAGTAAAAACAAAATAAAAGATATGCTCACGGCTGTATTCCATAACGGGGTAGTCAAAGATATCTGTCGTCTGTTCCTGATGTAGTGCATTCGGTTTGTCCTCATTTCGCCGAGCATGTTAGAAAACAATGTGGCATACCGCCTGCACTCGACCATAGACCTCGTGTGGTCCCGGCGTAGAATTGACCGCCGCTTCCATTCCCGTGGGTGTCGTAAGAGAATATAATTATAGTCGTCAACAGAACTGGCCCTCTAGACAAGTGGCAAGCGAATTCCTTGATGGAATCGACATCGCTAACGAGCCAGGTCGTCTACCATGAAACGAAATTCCGAATTTTCGGGCTCAATTTCGTGTTTTTGTTTGTACCAAAATCGACCCAGTAAATGGAGCTTAACATTTCGTTCATCATAAATCCAATCCTAATAGTCCAGAGGAATGATATTTTAACATTTTTAATAATTTTAAACGACATGTATTATGTAATTTTAGCATCAAATTTCTATTTCGTTCGTGCCCGAAATTTCGGAAAATATTTCATGGTAGGCCCTCTGATGTCTCATTGCAACTCCCAGCCATACCGACACTTCGCCGTCCCTCGACGGGGGTCGAAGTGCGGTGACCTAAGCCGAGGTCCGAGCCATTCTGGCGCCCTTGGGCGTACGCCGCAGTCCATAAGTAAAAGCTGACCCCTATCTTCGTTTACCTCTCGCGGGTTTGGAGTGCCGTCTGCACTCGTCCCTGCACACGCGTTCGGTGATGCTGTAAAGGCCATCTGTTGGCCAACAGCAAACACAGTAAAAAAAATCGATTAATCGATTTGTTAGGATATGGGCTGTCTTATGGTCGGATCAATTATTCGTACTAAATCTCCGGTAATGGTAATACCAATGACCAACATCATCAGATCAGCCTTTAACTGACCACTGCTGGACATGGGCCTTACCCTGGAGGTTTTGCCAATAGTTGCCACGCACGTCAGGCGGTTTGGCAACGGTAGTTATTCCTTTGGTGGTATTTTAAAAGGGACGCTGTTGTCCATCCCTCGACTATTACTATTTACTATTATCTGCCAGAGGGAGACTTTGTACAAAAGTCGATTACTTGGGTACCTCTGTCCCACTCGTGTTTCAACCGTGAAGCAGTTGTGTTTGCATGGCTGTATTTCGGTTTGAAGAGTGGGATATGGCGTGAATTTACTGGGTAGATTTAGAGGAATAACACCTGAGTCCTCAGAAATGGCAACGCATGGGGGGTATCATGGGCGAAACAGTATACTCTAATAACTAAGTTGTATAAAAAAAAAATATTACGTCCCCTTAGACGGCTCTTACGACGCCCACGGGAAAGGATGGGGTGGTTCATTCTATGCCGGGGCCACACTGCACTTTCTATATACATATAGACATTGCCTATCTACAGTTTTATTAAGTTTTAATAAGTACTAATAGTAAGATTACCATAAGTAAAGATTGCTAAACTAAGATTGGCCCCATTTTTTGCAAGTACTTGCCACGCTTGGCAGGCGGATTGGCAACCGCAGTTAGGCTTTAGAGATGTTTTGAGAGGGACGTTGCTGCCCATCCCTAGTCATCCCTTAGTCGCCTCTTACGACACCCACGGGAAAGAAATGGTCCATTCTATGCCGGGGCCACACGACCAGATATCATAAAATATTTAAAACCCTAAAATACATAATACTTAGATATAAACAAACAAAATGGCCACCACCTCAAACGGAAACGAACTGGCCATAACGGATTCGGAAATAGAAACATACGCGAAAGAATTGGAGAATATACAGACAGAAGAAGAGTTTAACAAGAAGATGAACAGCCTGTCGAAGTTCGGTCTCTCCGTCGGCCACTGGATGAAGTTGCTCTTCAATCGGGACACTAAGAAGGAGGAATTCAATCCCGTTTGGTTGAGTGTGAGTCGTTGGAGCTTTCTCAATCAGTATTTATTTATTTATTCATAGGAAAATCAGGTCTACACTAGAGCAAAAAGATACAGTTTAGGATCACAGAATAAGCCACTAATTGGTTTTCACAAGTAGCAACAATATAGATACAAGGCGCTGTACACAAAGAAACAAAAATAGGAGTTTACAAAAAAAATATGAACAAACAAGAATGAAAACAAAAAAAAATGTAGAATAAAATGCAAAGTAAAAATTAAATTCAAGTATTTGATTAAAATATGGCCTTCTTGTCCATACAATAGCAATTCAAAGTGACTATGAATAAAAAATTGCCTACTCAGTTGGCCTTGAAACACGCACGGTGGAGGACCGCCACTCGTCCAGATGGTTGGGATGAAATTTTAGTTTATGGCGGGTTGTACGATGGTGCCGCGGCGCGTTGCCCACCCTGAAGAAACCTTTTTACCCCCCTCTTGAAGAACCCCACGCTGTAGTCTTTTGGGAAAACCTCGGCAGGGAGCTCATTCCGTTGGCGCGGGCGGGGCTGTCATTCCATCATCCTCGATAAAAAAACCGTATAGTTATATGCATATTCGACCTCTGTGCGACCTCAGCAATCGTACCGGATTTTAAAATATTGTCCTTGCATGCATCAAGTAATACATCGTTATCAATAATTTAGATCATACAAAATCCCACTAAGATAACATTTAATACATACATACATACATATATACATATATATCTGTCACGCCTGTCTCCCATTACGGTAGGCAGAAACTATTGAACGCCAAATGCTTCGATTCAAACAGACCTCTTTCGCTTCCTGCACATTCATCAATCTTTTTATACACGCGCGCCGGTTACGGGTACTTTTAATACAGCGTTTAATATATCACTATATACGCCGACTTCGTCCGTGGTCGTGTCGTGATATTGCCTGTGAACGTAGAAAGAGTGCCTCTCAATAAATGCCAGAGGGAGACTTTGTACAAAAGTCGATTGCTTGAGTACCTCTGTCCTATTCGTGTTTCTACCGTGAAGCAGTTGTGTTCGCATGGCTGTGTTTCGGTTTGAAGGATGGGATATAGCGTGCGTTTTAGCATTTACGGGGTACAGAAGAATAACACCTGAGTCCTCAGGAATGGCAACGCATGGGGGGTATCTTGGGCGAAACAGTATACTCTGTTATGTCCATGGTACTGCTCATGTCTATAGGCGACGGTTATCACTTACCATAAGGTGGGCCGTCAGCTTGTTTGCCATTCTAAGTTGTATAAAAAATATATATATTACGTTCATGATAAACCTATTTTAGCTATTTTTTTTATGGGTGAAAATGGTATGGTAACCCCGCCTGCGCTAACGGGATACGCTGGCAGAGCACCAGTGAGGGGTGATAGATGAGAATGAAAACAGGCCAGTTAGCCCATCATGATGAATTCATCAGGAATTAACCATGATAGTTTCCAGGGGGAACCACGAGAAGGTCGACCTGGTTGGGTATATTGCTAGCAATGGGATTTTTAGTCTCCATTACTAATAATCACTTTCTCCCCACATCGGAACACATTTGATGCGCGAGAGGGTCTCGTTCGAGATGCTTAAGTGGTAAATCGTGTAATTTTGCCCACAGATAGATGAGTACAAGGCGCTAGCTGAGGAGAGCATGTCGAACGCATGGCGGGTCATCCACATGCCCAACTGGACGGTGGAGAAACGGAATAAAGGTGACGTGGTGGAGTCCAAGCGGACCGAGGAATTCGGCAAGGTGTACAGGTTCACGGTGAGATTGTATTTTTTTTTTTTTACCCAACTTAAACTGTCTCGTTGCCCAAAAGCATGTACTTTCTCTTGACTAAATTTACCATTTTTTTTTTTTTACTACTTAGAACGGCAAATAAGCTGCCGGCCTACCTGATGGAAAGTAGTAACTGTCGCCTATAAACATGAGAAATATCAAGAAGTATGTTTATACTTGTCTTCTATTGACAGGAGTATTTATACAGAATGTGCATATACAAAAGGCGGCCTTATCGCTAAAAGCAATCTCTTACAGACAACCTGGCTTAAATAGTGGATCAGTATATGTATAACTAGCGACCTGCCCCGGCTCCGCACGGGTGCAATACTGATACTAAATATACCTACCTACTATAGAATGCCCTTATAAACAACGTTAACAGCTTTTTTGTCATTAGACAATACAAACATGATAAAGTGATAAAGGGCAAAGCGCGGCCTTCGACGCGCCGCCGCACCGCTATGTTCCCTGCATTTTAAATCTGTAATATCTTCGGAAATATTCATTTAAATTACATGCTATAAAGGGCCATGTTGATCTATATTAAATAGACAATGTATTTAAGGTACTTAATTGGATAACAATTAATGCTATATTGCTTAAAATCACTTCGTAAATAAGCTATTTTTCCCGTAAAATGTACAGGATAAAAAATGGTTTTTGTGGGTAATCCTTAAGATATAGACATATGCCATCGCGGACTTTTTTTGTTGACCTTTTTAAAATGTACAATACTGTAGTACATTATTTTGACTTATCTCGTGGGGTTCAGCCAGCGTTGGCAATGTAAACGCAAAACGTGTTTATTTACGACATCACATTAGAAACCACTAAATTTATCAGTGTTTCTCTACAATATTATGCATGTATTATACATATAAACCTTCCTCTTGAATCACTCTATCTATTAAAAATAAACCGCTTCAAAATCCGTCGCGTAGTATTAAAGAATTAAGCATACATAGAGACGGACAGACAGCGACAGCGAATTTGTTGTATACTATGTAGTGACAATTAATCCTGTAGATAACTAGCCTGGTAAATGCTATTCTGCCACACAACTTATCATACCTACCTACATAAAAAAAGTTCATGAAAATCGGTTTTGGATAAGTGCGACCCCAAACACCGTGGGCAGGATATTTGCAACCGACTTCAAAAAGCAGAAGGTCCCCAATTCGATTGTATTCTTTTGTTTTTTGTGGGAATATTTAATTGTTTTTATCGACCTTGAAAATATTAATTGCCAATCTTTACAGGGCATAGTGGAGTGTCCACCGTACTTCCTTTACGAAGAATTCCGTGACCATATACACAAACTGCCGGAATGGAACCCGACCATTTTGAAGAGCGAAGTCATTAAGGTAATTGCAATTATGGATTGGACTCCCTCTTCATTTAACAGTTTCCTCTTGTCTGTGCAACTAATTCAGGCATCTTCTTCCAGCCAGCTCTATCCCAGGCCATATCCTTGACCTCCCTATACGACATGACACCTAGTGACGGATGAACAGCAGTATATATTGTCTTTACTCGCGTATTAAAAGAGCTCCTAACTTCAGCTTACCTTAAATGTGTCAATGTCGTAATTAACTAACGTAAGCCAATTTAAAAAAAACAATTGAACAATTTTCAATGTTTCTGTTTGGTTATTCAAAAAGTTTGTTTTTTTTTTACCAGAGGGAGACTTTGTACAAAAGTCGATTGCTTGGGTACCTCTGTCCTATTCGTGTTTCAACCGTGAAGCAGTTGTGTTTGCATGGCTGTGTTTCGTTTTAAAGGGTGGGATATGGCGTGAATTTACTGGGTACAAAGGAATAACACGTGAGTCCTCAGGAATGGCAACGCATGGGGGGTGTCATGGGCGAAACAGTATACTCTGTTATGTGCATGGTACTGCTCATGTCTATAGGCAACGGTTACCACTCTCCATCAGGTGGACCGTCAGCTTGTTTGCCATTCTAAGTTGTATAAAAAAAAAATAACGCCAATTTCTACTCATCCGGAATAATTCTCAAAGTTTGAAAACGAAGAACTTTAACCAGGGCATGTTGCTACTGATGACTTATGGAACCAAAACATAGTCCTACACGATTGCCCGTATGCAAAAGCTTCATATTACACAGGGCCATGCTCGGAGTCTCTTTGCGTGATAGAATCCGAAACGAGGATATCCGCAAAAGAACTAAACTAACCGACATAGCCCGAAGGTTAAGTGAACTGAAGTGGCAATGGGCTGGTCACATAGCTTAAAGAACCGACAACTGATGGGGAAAAAGGATTCTTGAGTAGCAATCCCATACGGGCAAACACAATATAGGACGACCCTCTACTAGATGGAGTGACGACCTCAAATGCATTTCAGGGAGTCAGTGGATGCAGGTGGCTCAGGATCGTCCTTTATGGCAGTCTATGGGGGAGGCTTATGTCCAGCAGTGGACAGGTAATGGCTGAGATGATGATGATGATGACCCAAAAAGTGATCTGCTAGCGAAGTAAATTGTTAATCGTGCAATAACATTTTTATGAGATGTGAGTGCAAATTTGGATTTTGATTGCTGAAATGTATTTGAATGATTCAGAAACAAAATGGCAACGCATGCGGAATGTCATGGGCGAAACAGTATACTCTGTTATGTCCAAGGTACTGCTCGTGTCTATAGGCGACGGTTACCACTTTCCATCAGGTGGGCCCCATGTTGGGAAACACCGGATTAGAGTGTACAATAGTTAATATAAAATTTTAATTTTGTTCTAACTTAAGAACCCTAACGTTTGACGCGATGGTATTTCACATATTTAACTCATTGATTTGATTCCCATGCAGGAAATAGCACCAGGCATCGATCTGTCTTACCAGGTGACGGCTGGCGGTGGTGGCGGCATGATCACGCCCCGGGACTTTGTGATCTTGAGGCGGGCAGCGCCCCTCTCTCGGGACGGCCGGATCGTAGACCAGGACCCGTACTGCTACATCAGCAGTGGAGTCAGCGTCCAAGTGCCTGGGTACCCGCCCCAGCGGAATCTTGTCAGGTGAGCGTTTCTTTTTTATGGAACTTAGAATGACAAACAAACTGATGGGAGAAGCTGTCCACCTGATGGGAAGTGGTAACCGTTGCATAGAGACGTGGACAGTACCTTGGACATAACAGCATACTGTGTCGCCAATGATACCCTCCATGTATAGCTATTCTTGAGGACAAGATGGAAAGCCCTTTACTTAATGGGAGAGGTGTTAAGCAGTTGACAGTTAAGCAATGTGGTGATGATGATGATGATGATGAAAGTGGAAAACAATAATAGTTGAGCAATCGCCTACTTCTCAAGTTATGATATCATGGGCGAAACAGTATACTCTGTTATGTCCATGGTACTGCTCATGTGTATAGGCGACGGTTACCACTTTTCATCAGGTGGGCCGTCAGCTTGCTTGCCATTCTAAGTTTGTTAATATAAAAACAATATTGTCCTCTAATTTAACCACACGATTACTTGAATGACAAACGTGCACGGTGTTAGTGGATCATGCGCGGGCTTCTAACGACCGTGTAATTTTAGACATAGTACATTTAAACAAATACACATAATGTTAACAGAGATTTAAAAGAGTAACTGTTGAGTTTCTTGCGGGCTCTTCTCAACAGATAACGACCTTCCGAAGCCTGCAGTAGATTAAAAAAAAAATTACGATTTAAAAGTGCTTATAAACAAGTATATTTGAATAAAGATATTTTGAATTTTAACCCGAACGGGAATCGAATCTCGTTATGCAAAAATGTTTTTCTACACTAATATTATAAAGAGGTAAGATTTGTATTTTTGTGTGTATGTATGTTTGTAATGAATAAACTCAAAAACTACTTTGCGGATTTCAAAAATTCTCTCACCATTACAAAGCTACGTTCACCCTGAGTAACATAGGCTGTATTTATTGTTAGAAAAGATTAGGGATCCTTACTAAAACTTTAGTAACGTAACTCAAGGTGTAAAAAAATGCTGTAAAATATCTTTGGTCGCGTGCGCTGCGGAAACTATTGGTGATAGAACAAAAGTATGTTCTACAATATTGAAGAAAATAACTACAAAAAACTTCGCGATACTATAATATATGTCCAACTAATATCGTTATGTCACAATAACCACTTATTGAAATGTTGTAAAAATGTCCACCCGTGCGAAGGACGGGCCGCTAGTACTTTCTAAAGGAAACAAGTCTATTTCTTCGTTCTACTCAAAAATGTTAGAATATTTTTTATTTTTTTTAATGGATGATAATGGAAGGGTAACCCCACCCGCGCTATCGGTATACACCGGCGGAGCACCAGTGAAGGATGATAGGTGAGGATGAAGCAGGTCAGTTAGCCCATCGTGACGAATTCAACAAGAATTGTTCACGATGGTTTCCAGGGGGAACCACGTGGAGGTCGACCTAATAAGGCATATTGCTAGCAATGGGGCTGTCAAACTCCATTGCTAACAATCCCTTTCCCCCCAATGTTAAAATATTATATTGTGGTATTTCTTTCAGGGGCCACAATAAAGTGGGCTGTTGGTACATGAGGCCGCTGAACGTGAAGACCAGCGGTGGGAAGATAGAAAAGCACACCACATTCCAGTGGCTCATGTGTTGCGATCTCAAAGGTGGGTTTATAAACCCTTTTGGTATGTCCCGAGGCGCTTACTTGACAATTCGGGACGTCACTGTATAGACCAGGGGTCCCCAAACTTATTTTGTCTACTGCCCACTTTGAGAATAAATTATTTTTTAGCGCCCCCCATTTTTTCACCTACTTAAAAACCACTATTACTTCATGATCAACAAATCACCCTCCAAGCCTCTACACAACGCCCCCATTTTTTTTTCTGGGTCTCTTACCGCCTCCCTTTAGGCCTGCATCGCCCACAAGGGGGCGTTATCCCCCACTTTGGGAAAGGCTGATATAGACGGAAATGTGACAGCTTCAATCGTCGTAAAAAAAATATGTCGCCAATATGGGTGTAAATGTTACTGATTTAAAAAAAATAATTAAAATTGGTTCAATACGGTGCTTTTTAAGACCGGCAGCACACCTGCAATGTCTGGTGTTGCGGGTGCTCATGACTCTGGTAAAGGTCAATATACCTGGTGTTACCACAATGGAAGTTGTATGTTTTTCACAATATTTTTTTTTTTTCAGGTAAAATACCACTGTTCGTGCTTGACACCGCGTTCGCATCAGTAATGTGTGACTACATAGTCCACGTTCGGAAGTACGCGGCCGCCGCGAGGGCACAAGGAAAGTTCGAGGAACGGAGTCTGATGTAAGATGTACCTACACAGACCCAAATGGGCACAATGACCATTCGACGGGTAACCACCAAAAACTCCTAAGAGAACGTTCAAGTAGGAGGTAACGCAATTTTTTTAAGTTTTTTACCTTCCCCCCCCCCCCCCACCCTTTCAGGAAGATTTTCTGTGACCCCACTTCCCCATTCTAATCTAATCTAATGTGATCTAAAAGTCACAATAACGAATACTGTCAACGAAAACAAAATGTAAATTACGTACAATCCAGTAAAACATAAACGAAAAATGTTGCCAACTTGACAGATTTTATTTGCCTAGCTTTGTATTTGAATCCTTTTTCCCCAATTAGCAACTTTCCCAATAAAAAATGTTTTTATTGAAATTGTTTCAAATGAGTTGCTTATATAGAGCGTTCACTGTTATAATATTGGATTATTCGTGTCAGTTACATGTTTTTGGTGGTTGGCCATCGTCTTGTTCTACGTACACACAAGGTCCGTTATATTTGTTTTAAAATGTATTATTTAATTTTTAAGAGGACGATTCTATGCTAGGAAATGCAAATTCGCCATTTTTTCTTTTTTTTTTTTGGTATTTTGTTTACTTTTTTATAGATTTTTATTTTTAGCTTTTAACCGACTTCAAAAAAGGAAGTTCTTTGTTTTTTTTTCATATTGTTTATTATTACAATTTTTATTTGTTTTAATGCATTTATGTACATAATATAGAGATGTTACAATGTTACTATGAATAGTAAGTACGTAACTGTATTTATTATTTTATATATGGTGCAATAAAGTGTAAAATATATAAATAGTAATTATTCTTTTCTCAAACATGCTTGGAAATGTGAGCATTATTTTTACAATCTTCTTGGAGATAAATCAAAATTGTCGTACTGGCCAGATACATGCGGGCAGCGGCCGGCAAAAGTTGTATGAAAATCTATATCTGTCGTGTTTTGCGGCCAGATAAATTACTATGTAAACTCATATCTGTCCTGTAATTTAAAAATGGAATGACATTTTACTTCAGAACATGGCTACCAAGGAGGTAACTAATAAAAAGTTTTATTTAAATTTCGAAGTGGTTTGCAAATAGAAAGCTGTTTATTGAAAAATAAACAAAAGAACAATATGATACGTGATAAATTATTATTGTTCGTTATTCGTCATTGAACTTAAAAAGTAAAATTGTGTTTTTGATTTCCGCGCATTGTTTGAGAAAAGTACTATACAAGCCTTGGCCACAACTAGGCATTGATGGACTCACGTGTGTGTGCCTCGGCTACGCCTCGGCCCACATTTGCACGTTCGTCCATCAATGCCTCAGTTGCTGGCCGCTGCAGTAATGTACTAATATAAGTATGTATATTTCTACAAACTGTATTTAAATGTACCTTTGATAGTTAATATGAATGTTGCCTTTCTTAGCATAGTAGGTCCTGAATATAATCTATTCCAATGTAACTTAATAGATAGATAGATAGACATACATAGGAACGCTAGCGCTTCTGCCTTGAGGAGGTGGGCGTTGACAGCCACGACACAGTTATTTTTAACTAATGTGGCTGTTATCGTACACTACCCTACAATTGTAATTTTTTTATGGTTCCAATAAATACAAATACAATACAAATACATATAAAAAAGAAATAAAAGATATATAAAAAAAAATATTAGTTCCAGTTAGCACCAGCGAGGGATGATAGGTGAGGATGAAACGGCAGATCAGTTAGCCCATCGTGATGAATATACCTAGGATTCAGCACGATGGTTTCCAGGTGGGACCACGTGGAAGTCGACCTGACAGGGTATATTGCTAGCAAGGGGACTGCGTAGCATTACTAACAATCTACCCCCAAACCCATGGAGTTTATTTTAACATAAAAAAAAATCTATTAATCTTTTGTCTTTTAGTCGAATCCATTGTTCGTGATTCACTGTTCATCCCAAAGGTTGGCTGGTAGAGAATGCTACAAGCATTAATACCGCCCTTTGTACCTTATTTTATTTCGGTCAATAAAGTTAGATAAATAAAATAAATAAATAAATAATAAGATATTGTTAGTTTGTTTACGTATTTATTAAGTTTCATTGGAATAGACTATATATATATTTTTATAATTATAGTTTGCTTTATCCAAGCACATCTTATCACACAGGGATATTTTCAGATAGCTCAAAATCTAGACAGATTGAAAATATAGGTGGAAAATTATTGGATTTTTTAATATTTTAATATTGATATTTGACAATTGTAGCTCGTCATATACGCAGTTTGTCATAATTGTAACACGTCATGTATGCAATTTGTCATGATTGTAAAACGTCATGTACGCAATTTGTCATAATTACGAATTGTCATATAGGCAGTTTGTCATGATTGCAACTCGTCATATATGCAATTTGTCATAATTGCAGATTGTCATATACGCAGCTTGTCATGACATGTCATGTATGCAATTTGCAACTTGTAACTTGTCATGTATGCAATTTGTCATATACGCTATTATATGTTATCTCTACCTAGTTGTACCTTCTCATTTTTTTTACTAATTCGGTTGAAAATTGTTTGAGATTTAGATTCCTTGTCCGTTCATAGTTTGTTTTAAGAAAAGTAAGTGACCAATTGCGTTTATGACGAAATACGTTTATGACGAGCGACGTTTATAACCGATTGCGTTTATGACGTGGCGACTTGGCGAGTGTAATGTAAACCAACATTAAGTTTGGCAATACAATATCTGTTACAAACATAAGCATTTGAAATTAGCATTTATATAAAATTTCTATTGTTAAAATGTTACGAACTAAGTATGTTCTGTGAATTATACGTGCGTATGACAGGTGATATTTTTATAGGGTTTTTTTTTTTAAATAAATTTTTATAATAGCTTCTAAGTATTTAGTCTCTATCCGTGGCTTCATGACCGGGTTATGTTCACTGACCGGGATAAGAAGTAGCCTTTTTTACCAGAGGGAGACTGTACAAAAGTCTATTGCTTGGGTACCTCTGTCCCATTCGTGTTTCTACCGTGAAGCAGTTGTGTTGAAAACCTCAGCAGGGATGCTGGGGTTTTCCCTACAGACAACAGTATGGGGTTCTTCAAAAAGATATATTAAGGGTTCTTCAGGGTCGGCAACGCGCACGTGTCACACCCAGTGTCGCAGGCGTTCATAGGCTACAGTGACCGTTCACCATCAGACGGGCTGTATGCTTGTTTGCTACCTTCGTGGTATAAAAAAAATTATTTTTTCTTACAATATGGTTGAAACCTATAAGTTGAGTTTAAATTTTTTTTTAATGATGTCAATGACCTGTCAAACGCACCGTGCTATAATGTGAGCATTATAAATTACAGTATTGTTTTATACGGACGATTCCAGATATTGCTGGCGATGGGGAAGCTAGTCCCCAACACATACAATCCCTCCCAAATCACATTTCATATATATGTATATATCCGGAATCGTCATATGATATATATATATATATATATATATATATATATATATATATATATATATATATATATATATATATATATATATATATATATATATATATATATATATATACACTAAATAATAATAAATGCTTTAGAAATAATCAAAATATTGGTACAATAAATATAATTTAATTAATAAGCAAATGAACTGAAATATTTAAATTCTGTTTGATGTGTTGTTAGTACGTTTTTTGTGCATTATATTCAAAACTATCCCTTCTAGATAGATGGCAAAAAAATCGCGATAGATACGTTTTCGCTACCTCACGCCCGAGATAGAACGGGACAGCAATATTCGTCTCGTTCTATTTCGAGCGTGCTGCCGATGCGTTTGCCACTCATCTAGAGGGGTTGGAAAATACATTTCGAATTTGAATTTGTATATATAGGGTGTAATCAAAATTATGAACGGTAGGTAAAACTAAGAATCTACCCATGCAGTAAAACAGCATCATCATTATACCAGCCGTTAACTGTCCACTGCTGAACATAAACCTTTCCCATAACGGGGGGTTTTGCTAGCAGTTGCCAATTGACAGGCAAGTTGGCAACCGCAGTTAGGCTTTAGCGATGTTTTAAGAGGGACGCTGCTGCCTTAACCATTAAGTTCCCTAATCACTTATTAGGACACCCACGGGAAAGGAAAAGGGTTCATTCTATGCCGGGACCACACGGCAACATAATATAACGAGTACAAGTATTAAATAAGTATGGGCTCGAAATTATTTCTCTTTTTGTTCCTTTGATGGGAATGTTCAGTTTCGCCCTTAGAGCACTCCTTACAAAGGATGCTGACGACTTCGACTACACCCTGTATTTTTTTTGATGGGTGAAAATGGTATGGTAACCCCGCCTGCGCTAACGGGATACGCTGGCGGGGCACCAGTGAAGGGTGATAGATGAGAATGAAAACAGGCCAGTTGGCCCGTCATGATGAATTCATCAGGAATTAACCACGATAGTTTCCAGGAGGGCCCGCGAGGAGGTCGACCTGGTTGGGTATATTGTTAGCAATGGTATTCTCAGTCTCCATTACTAACAATCCCTTTCCCCCCATACACCCTGTATTTAAATCTACACATCTCAGTCTTTTATAGTGTAAGCAGAGAATATAAATGAATGTTATATATTCCGCATGGCGCGTCACAAGGAAAAATATTTGGTAATCGAATAAACATCGATTGCGTTGTCCTAATACGTGTAATCGAGTGAATTAATCATAGCTTTATTAAGTCGATAGAATTAAATGAAAAGCAACTGAATGTTGATATACACTCTTTAAATGTAATTAGTTACAAATTAAACAAAGGTAATCGAATAAAAATCGATTGCATTCCTTTAATCCGAGTAATCGAGTGAATGAATCGTAGGTTTACTATTTATCAATAAAATTATAGTCAATAGAATTGAATGAAAGGCAACCGAATAGATGTCTTCACAGGAACACTCTAAATTGAAATTAGTAACAAATCGAAACAAAAAAAAACAAATGTAATCGAATAAAAATCGATTGCACTCCTTTAATACGAATAATCGAGTGAATGAATCGTAGTTTTACTAAGTCAATACATAGAATGAAAGGCAACTGAACGTGAATATTATTACAGGAACACTCTCTAAATGTAATTTGTTACAAAGAAAACAAAGGTAATCGAATAAAAATCGATTACATTCCTTTGATACGAGTAATCGAGTGAATGAATCGTAGTTTTACTATTATTAAGTCAATAGAATTGAATGAAAGTCAACCGAATGTTAATATCATCGCAGGAACACTCTCTAAATTGAAATTAGTAATAAATCGGACAATCAGTATGTCTGATCGATTCGATTATTCGTTTGTTTACATTTTCATCGAGTTCTATTGAAGTGTATTATATCATAATTAATATCATCGAAACTGCTTTATAATCTGTATTTTTGTGCGGAATTTATATGTATTGTGTATGTATAATGTATGACCAATGTATTATTCTGTAATGTTTGTATGTATGTATAAAATATAAATATTTTTTTTTACAGTCGCGCTTAATTATAAGATTAGTGTAAAAAATAATGTTAAATAGATATAAATCGAGAAATAAATTTTTTTATTATATTATTTTGTGCTTTTTATTTGTAACTATAGGTCTAACCCGCGGCTTTGCCTGCATAATTCAGTATATAAAATATCCTATTGGGAAGCGGGGGGTGGGGGGGGGGGTGCACGATGTTACAATTTTGTAGCTATTTGTCAATATGATATACCAGAGGGAGACTACAAAAGTCGATTGCTTGGGTACCTCTGTCCCATTCGTGTTTCTACCGTGAAACAGTTGTGTTTGCATGACTGTGTTTCGGTTTGAAGGGTGAGATATGGCGTGAATTTACTGGGTACAGAGGAATAACGCCCGAGTCCTCAGGAATGGCAACGCATGGGGGTATCATGGGCGAAACTGTATACTCTGTTATGTCCATGGTCCATGGTACTGCTCATGTCTATAGGCGACGGTTACCACTTTCCATCAGGCTGGCCGTCAGCTTGTTTGCCATTCTAAGTTGTATAAAAAAAAAGTTCGCCTTTGTACATTATGTTTAAAATGTATTGTGCTTAACATTATGTTTTGTATACAGTAAAGAATAATGTTAGTTTAAAATATGAAGACGGAACGCCACAAAGTATATATATATATATATATATATATACTAGCTCACCCCGTAAACGTTGTTTTACCACTTATTGCGAATTATAAAAATCGCGATTAAAATACAGGGGTTGATCGTAAAACGATGAAAATTTAAAGTTGTGTGTATTTTTCAATGTTAAATCATAATAAAATAAAAATGGAGAAATTTGTTAAAAAAATAAAAAAAAAATTTTGGGGAGGGTCACCCTTATCATTGAGGGGTATGAAAAATAGATGTTGGCCGATTCTCAGACCTACCCGATATGCACACAAAATTTCATAAAAATTGGTAAAGCCGTTTCGGAGGGGTTTCGGAGGAGCTTAAGTCAAAAAATTTTAACTACCTGCCTGCATGGCACATTTTTTTATATAATTTCAAGTCACCATTAATAAATATCGATAATAGAAAAAATCAATATTGCAAATTGAAGGTAGATTGAGATATGTTATCTTTCGTGAAGGACTTTTTTTACTTGGTTGATCGAAGATCGAATCGAAAACACATGCACCAGTGGCGTAACTACCATTTGGGACCTGTGGCAAATGACAATGAGAACCTATCAGTAAAAAAATACAATTCAAGTAAAAGAAAACACTCAGGTACAATGTAAAAAAAAACAAAGTATATATATATATATATATATATATATATATATATATATATATACCTATATTTCCGAGCTCGCGGCCTCTTGGGTCGGGGGCCCGTGGTATTTTGCCAGTCCTGCCACCCTATTGTTACGCCACTGACATGCACAAAACCTAACAGCTTGGCGCTTGACGGGCCACTGTCAATAATTTTTATGTAATGCACGATATTATAAGAAAACAAATGAGTCCGGCAGCACACCTGCAATGCCGTAGGTGTTGTGGGTGACCATGGGCGGCGGTAGTCACTTGCCATCAGGTGAGCCGCATGATAATTTGCCCCCAGTGTTGTAAAAAAAAAATGTGCACCAAAGAGTTTAAAGTCCCGGTAAAAAATACGTAAAATTTCTTTTTAACGACATGCCCTTCGCTCTCCTTCTGTTAAAAATGGATGAGTTTCTTTAATAGATGATAATGGTATGGTAACCCCGTCTGCACTATCGGTATACACTGGCGGGACACCAGTGATATATGACTGATGAGGATGAAAGGTGAGAAGAAAGGACTGTATAAAGCAATATAGGGTTGAATACATTAGGACAACTTAGTGGATTTGATAGGGTAGTTATATTGTTAACAACAAGGCTGACGGTCCTCTTTCATCATCATTTCCGCTTTTAACTGTCCACTGCTGAACATAAGCCTCCCCCTTGGGGGGTTTTACCAGTAGTTGCTACGCTTCGCAGGCGGATTAGCAACCGTAGTCAGGCTTGGTGATGTTTTAATAGGGACGCTGCTGTCCATCCCTCGCCCTCCCTTAGTCGCATCTTACAACACCCACGGGTAAAGAAGTAGTGGCCTATTCTATGCTGGGACCACACGGCGACGGTCCTCATTACCAACAATCATTCCTTCGGCCATCGTAGTTAGTTCTTGTTGAATTTGTCACGATGGAAATGACCTGTTTTCATCCTCACCTATCATCGCTCACTGGTTTTTTTTATACAACTTAGAATGGCAAACAAGCTGACGGCCCACCTGATGGAAAGTGGTAACCGTCGCCTATAGACATGACCAGTACCGTGGACATAACAGAGTATACTGTTTCGCCCGTGATACCCACCCATGCGTTGCCATTCCTGACGACTCAGGTGTTATTCCTCTGTACCCAGTAAATTCACGCCATATCCCACCCTTCAAACCGAAACACAGCCATGCAAACACAACTGCTTTACGGTTGAAACACGAATGGGACAGAGGTACCCAAGCAATCGACTTTTGTACAGTCTCCCTTTGGCTCCCTCTGGTACCCCGCCAGCGTATACCGATAGCGCAGGCGGGGTTACCATATCATTCTCACTGATTGGTTGATCTCTTAAGGTGCTATAAGGTAACAAACAAACATACTCACTTTCACATTTATAAGTAACAACGATACAGTTATTTTAATGACATATTTTTAAACATATATAAAAACAGTCAAAACTTTATGGATATGTTATATATTCAGTAAAAGTAATGAAAAAAAAACACTTCTAAATGGCGTATCGAGATGAAACATACGGTAGTTTTTAAGTTTGGCCTTCAGAAGTCATCATCCGTCCACTGCTGGGCATAGACCTCCCCCATAAACCGCCATTAGGTACAGTCTTGATCCATCCGCATCCACTGACTCCCTGCAATGCGTTTGAGGTCGTCACTCCAACCTCGTCGTACGTTTGACCTTTAGATCTACCTCATGTACCTAATTTTTTCTATAATATCTCTCATAATACACATGTCACGTCGCTGATGTCACAGAAGTCCAAAACCAGTATTTTTTATTAATTTTTGTACTTACATTATATAGATAGAGCATCGAGCCTCAAAAACGGGTCAACTTTTTGTCAACTAATAATTGTCAAATTAGTTGACTCATGTTTTCCCAGTGTTCTATATATTTACACATAAAATGTATCGTGACGTATTATTTAATAAATAAAATTAATGTTAACGCATTAAAAAGATGCAGTATAAGACAAAATAAATCTAGAAGTTATAAAGGAAACATAACTATTTATCAAACAAAATTGTGTGAAAAAGTTAAACTAGTGGGTACTTACACGACAAGATTAAAAAATATGTAGGTATTTGTTTCATAGTAATTTATTAAAATTTTACAGCATTATACAATAGAATTAACGTTAACACTTTTAAATATATATTTTGTAATTAATTTGTTAATAATTTTTTTTCTTCCTTACTTTTCGGCTTCATTTTTGGCGGTTTTATAACTGAACCGGTACTTTTTCTCTTCAACATGGACGCTCGCTTTTTGGGGGGAACTTTGCTCTCTTTCGCCTTCTTAGATTCAGGTCTCTTTTCTGTTTTACTCTTTTTAACTTTATCTTTCATGCTTGTCATGGCCGCCTCGGGCTTGATTTTCTTTTTGTCCTCTTTCTTTTCCTTGACTACTTCTTTTTTCTCTTTCGTCTTCGATTTCTCTTTATCGCTTTTCGTTTTCGTTGCAGTTTTCTTCTCTTCCGGTTTTTTTTCTTTTTTCTCTGTAACCAGTTTGAATGAACCGCTCGCGCCTACACCTTTCATTTGGACGATAGTGCCCGTTTCCACTCCCGTTTTGATGAATTTCTTGATGAGGTAATTGATTTTATCCGTGTCAACATTATATTTTTCCGTTATATATTTCTTAATTGCGTGCAGTGACGTTCCTTTTCTACTTTTCAATTCGTTCAACGCTTCGTGAACCATAATCTTTGTACTCAACTTCTTTTCGTCTTGATTCTTCTTTAAAATGTCCCTTGGTGACATTTTCGTTGGCTTAGATGTATTTTTAGTTTTCTTGACCAAAGCAGACAATGGCTTGTCATCAGAGCTTTCCGACATGGCGTCTAGTTTTGAAGCGACGAACAAATGTTTAAAAATTTCAAATACGACTCTTAATTGAAGTAAGGCAAAACCTTACAGAGAGCCGATTAAAAATATGGCCATGTATTTAAACTTCTTTATATTTTAAAAAGGTTCAGCCTTACACGCGTTCGGTGAAATTGTAAAGGCCATCTGCGGCCAACAACAATTACAGTTAGAAAAAAAAAGTCCAAGGCCCCCACCTATCCTTTGTACGAGGGATGAGATGACCTTGATTGATTGATTACGTTTTTTATAAGAACCATTTGTAAATATTCTTAATTAAGTACAGATAACATGACGAGTTACACGTTATATTGAGATAATCCGGTCCCGAGTTTAATTTGCGGTCGGGTTAATTTCGATAACGAGATTTTTGAAATTTTCTCGGGTCCGGGTGTTTTGGGTTATGGCCCCAGATGGTCGAATCCTTAGTGCTCGCATCGTTGTCGTCTGACGCTGACGGCGTCGTTGTCCCTACGTTACCAGGTGCACCAGCGTAGGCGCCCCTGCGCTGCGTATCAAAATGCATTGTCGCCTAGGGACCTTAAGGACTCTAGATCGTTGTGGATGTTCTATCCCCCCACACCCCTCTCCGTTGCGCCGGAATTTATCGTCTCACGGAGAGGCTAAGTGCACCTACGGATGCGGTTGAGAGCGCGACCGTCCCGATAAGGCTCGTTCGTGAGACTTCTATTCCTTTATACTCCCCTCCCCCAGGTCGAAGAGGTCACCTCACGTAGAGAATAAGTGCACCCGCGGGTGCGGTCAAAGTCACAGCTTGAATCCCCATCTGGGCTTTTGCATTCCAACACTCTATTACCCTTTAGGGTTACTCTATTTAGGAATGTCCCACTAAGGGTTAACCACCCCTTTGCCAACCCATAGTCCCGGTTAAAAAGCTGCTACCGAGAATTGTTGTTTGTCGGAACCTCGTGGACCTGAAAAACCCCCTTGTCTCAGCTACAAAGTTAGGGCTTTTCTACTCGCGTCCGTCAACGTCTAACCTCACCGACCACAGTATTTCAACTGCGAGAGGCAAACCGGCATGACGACACATATAGTGCATCTCTCTCTATCGCATCTCTATCGCACTCACCCATCCCGTCCACTCAGTAGCGAAGAAGACCCATGCATACGCGTCCGGTGAAGTTGTAAAGACCATTTGCGGCGAACAAATAACTAAAAAACGTCGTACATCGCTATCCAATCGGCGTGCATCCCTAGGTTGCACCCTTGGGATCTGTTTTAGATTCTGGAATTTCGGTAATTGCTGCTGCTTAACTCGCAAATCAGCCTCACAACTCCACCCGCCTCAATGACGGAAGTGGGCACCAGTACGACGCTCCCTCTATGGACATCGATGCGTGTGAGCAGGGGCGAGTGCAGATGGCACGCCAAGCCCGCGAGAGGGGAGCGACAAAGCGTCAGCTCTTTCTTTGCTGGTCTTTATCAGCGGCTAATACCTAATCAGAACCTGCCGCGCGATACCCCCCCCCCCTTCACTCCGGCAGATAGCGACACCCCCGCTGCAGGTGCAACAGGTGGCGTGGCCGCCATTGGTCGTTGCACCATCCGCACCTCGTAAGTCACTTACCACACGATTATTGAATACCAATTAGACGTAAATTTTTTCCGTGCACCTGAAATCGTCGGACAGCTTCCAGCCCAACGTCCACGATGGTTTCCAGGGGGAACCACGCGGAGATCGCCGTGACAATGCTCGTGTTGTAGGTTTATTTGTGTGGGGGATTTCAAATTTTTTATAATTTTAGATAAAATTTTATTACAGTTATTAACTTACACATATGTCTGTCTATTTGAAACATATTATTAGACATTACACCACAACTTACATTATATAAATTTACAAATATTGCTTCACAATTCCTCTATTCAATAATGCACCGCCTACTTATTTCTCTGTTCGCCCAATGGTCGACTGGTAGAGAACACCGTCCGGTGTTAAGTCCGCCAAATGTACAAAGAATTTTACTATTAATGGGCGGCGGACTGATACCACCTGAGAGGGGTAAAAAAACCCCAGACAGGTTTCCCCGGCTTCCCCCTAGGGGAGAGCATGAGAAGACAGCGAGAACTTTACTGTGCATCAAAGTTTAAATAAATAAATGAACAACTATCCACTGCAGTATGTTAATTTTGGCGATGTTTTAAGAAGGACGCCGCCGCCTATCCCTCGACAATTGATAACGGGTAGCCCGTTTTTTTATATTATTAAATGTATTAATATTTTAACAATAGACAATAATAGATACTCTTTATTGTTTGCTCCAAAAGATTACAATAGTAAACTTATTATAAATATAAACAATTACAAGAAATGATCGCAGTGAGAAAACAATGGGCGGCCTTATCGCTAAGAGCGATCTCTTGCAGGCAACCTTTGGATTTACAAAAAAAGAGAGATATTAGAACAAAATATAGTAAAGTTCACTATGTTTCTATATTATAATGTAGATATAAACGATCAATAAACTCTAGTGACCATATTAAACCACGTTTTATCTTCGCACCACTCGCCATTATCAGGGAATTCATACTTTTTTTTTATACAACTTAGAATGGCAAACAAGCTGACGGCCCACCTCATGGAAAGTGGTAACCGTCGCCTATACACATGAGCAGTACCGTGGACATAACAGAGTATACTGTTTCGTCCATGATACCCCCCATGCGTTGCCATCCCTGAGGACTCAGGTGTTATTCCTCTGTGCCCAGTAAATTCACGCCATATCCCACCCTTCAAACCGAAACACAGCCATGCAAACAACTGCTTCACGGTTGAAACACGAATGGGAAATACTTACACGATTGAACCTAAATGGTCGCGTACAGTGCGGTTTCAGAGTACTGCCATGGTACTGCTCATGTCTATAGGCGACGGTTACCACTTTCCATCAGGTGGGCAGTCAGCTTGTTTGCCATTCTAAGTTGTATAAAAAAAAACTCCCGCGAACGCTCAGGATGAGCTCCCTACTGAGGTTTTCCCTACAGACTAACAGTATGGGGTTATTCAAAAAGGTAGAATTAAGGTTTTTCTGGGTCGGCAATGCGCACATGATACCCCCAGTGTCGCAGGCGTTCATAGGCTACAGTGACCGTTTACCATCAGACGGGCTGTATGCTTGTTTGCCATATTTGTGGTATAAAAAAAATAAGCCTTGCTTATAATCCTAAAACCTATCTCATTAAGTTGAAATCACTTTGTTATTATCTTTTAATGAGTATGACGTATCATCATCATCTCAGTCATTATCCGTCCACTGCTGGCCATAGGCCTCCCCCATAGACTGCCATAAGGATCGTTTAAACTGGTAGTCCGCATTACTAACAATCCCTTCCCCCCCCCCCCCTACCTACTATCATTATATTTTATTTTATTTTGTCATAATCACGCCATCTATCTATTTTATATTGAACTATTTTAGGCAAGAATTTAGGAAATAGGTAGGTACTTAGTGAATCAAGTGTTATTTTTTTTTTATGTGTGGAAATGGTATGGTTATCCCGCCTGCGCTAACGGGATACGCTGGCGGAGCACCAGTGAAGGGTGATAGATGAGAATGAAAACAGGCCAGTTAGCTAATCATGATGAATTCATCAGGAATTAACCATGATAGTTTCCAGGGAGAACCGCGAGGAGGTCGACCTGATTGGGTATATTGCTAGCAATGGGATTCTCAGTCTCCATTACTAACAATCCCTTTCCCCCCAGCACGATGGTTTCCACGTGGAGGTCGACCTGGTTGGGTATATTGCTACCAATGGAATTTGTAGTAACAATCCCTTCCTCCTAACTAGGCAAGTTTACAAGTCAATGTATCCAAGCCCGTAACCGTGTTGTCCCAATATGGAGTAAGCCACCCCTTCCTTACCCGTGTGTGTCTTTGAAAGCAACTAAGAGAGTTTAATCATCGAGGGATAGGCAACAGCGTCCCTCTTTAAACATCACCAAAGTCTAACTGCGCCAACCCACTTGCCAAGTGTGGCAACTACTGAGAAAACCACCCCTTATAGGAGAAACCTATGTTCAGCAGTGGACAGTTAATGGCGGATCTGATATGATGATATCCAACTCTGGACACTGGTCCATGACACTTAAGCAGAGTCAATGCCAATGGAAGGGAGATAGATTATAATAATAGACTATTCAGTACTGAATTTAAAATCTAATTTTTTTTATACAACTTAAAATGGCAAACAAGCTGACGGCCCACCTGATGGAAAGTGGTTACCGTCGCCTATGGACACGAGTAGTACCATGGACATAACAGAGTATACTGTTTCGCCTATAATTCCCTCCATGCGTTGCCATTCCTGAGGACTCAGGCGTTATTCCTCTGTACCCAGTAAATTCACGCCATATCCCACCCTTCAAACCGAAACACAGCCATGCAAACACAACTGCTTCACGGTTGAAACACGAATGGGACAGAGGTGTCCAAGCAAACGATTTTTCTACAAAGTCTCCCTCTGGTAACAAATTAACAAGACAACAAATGAATTGACCATTTCAAACATTATTTTACTCAGTAATCAACTTTTCGACGGTACAATTCAGCATTTCATTTCACTATAAACTTATTAGGATACTAGTAAATTACAGTAAATAGGTATTCGATGTGCTTAACAAATGCTAATGGCACAGCAGAAGTATAATAATATGCATAATGTATATTTAATGCAATACACTATTAATTTGATATAGGCCCAAATGAATCACTATGTTTCATCCGCCATTCTACTCTCTGACATCACTATCGGACACAATACGCCTTATCAATCAATTTATACTTTATTGTTTTAGTAATAAAATTTAAATCAAATAGTACACTATCTATAAAACCACTACACGCTTAACCTTTCCGTTTCAAGCAGAAAAAAAATGTGTCAACTATCTTTATTTGTCAAATGTGAAATTGTGTTGCGTTAAAAAGAGATGGATATACATTTCTGGGATACGTACGACACGTCAGAGGGATATTGGGGTCACAGAACGCGTTTTAATTTCGAAACACGTTCTATCCAATGCGGTGCGTCCGTATCCACTGGTTTATCATTGGTTCGGGTTGGCCGGTACCAAAATAAGCGGTGTACACTAAAATCGATACTCGACTCCCTTACTTTAGAACATCACAGAAGCGATATTGTCGTTGTTTTCTCGTCGGAAACGGTTCCTTGGTGAGGGCTGTACGCACAGTGGACGATATTATTCGTGCAGCCATTTCGTGGGCTAACATGTCTGGAGTAATCGTGTATTTGAAGATTTAATTCGTTTTCTGTCGACTGAAGACGCACCAGAAACCTGAATAGCTGACAAAGAATAAAGGTAAGTGAGACTGTTTATATTTTTACTAAATCTTTTTGTTTCAGATACTGTGATGAATGTTTTAAGACAAATACAATATCTGTATTTGTAGAGACAGATTGTAGTATAGCAAAGAACAGGAATGCATACTTGCTGTTCTATTCGGGTTCGAATTTTAAAACGGGCGCCATTTTTAGTTTTTAATTAGTCTATGACACACATTATCATGACGTCCCGTAATATAATTTGTTTATTTTCAACACTGGCAGCTAACAAGTATTGTCTATTTATGCAGAGATTTTGTATATGTATGTTCTATGCTAAAATAATATAAAAAGCAATAATAATACTTAATGGGCAAATAAATTTATTATAATGTCAAAAATAGATCTATATGTATATCTAAATGAAATATGTAGGAAGCCCCCTATTTTTTCGATAAGTAATGGACGCGATAATGGAGTATTATCGTCTCTCTCTTTCCAACCTAAGTTACGTGGACATACGTTCTCTCTCTTTTTAACTTACGGAGATTATTTATAGAGAAGTTGGCGGGATTTTGATTACCCCAGGGGCGTTCTATATTTAAACTAGTGATGTGAGTATGGTGCGTGGTTATTGTCGATAATATAGTTTGTCGATATTTTCGTTCAAAGTTATTTTAAATCAAGTAGAAACTTAGTAATTTTCAAAGTAGTAATATAATTAGCGTTAATATGTAGGCATACATATTTTTACCTATCTTGTTATGTAATGGGAATTTGACTCTTATAAACGCCTTAAATTTTTTTTAATTAAATAATGGTAATCCCACCTGCGCTATCGGCATATGCTGGTGAAGCACAAGTAAGAGATGATAGATGAGAATGAAAGCAGATCAATGGCACATCGTGATGAATTCCACAAGAATTAACCATGATGGTTACTAGAGAGAACCACGTGGAGGTCGACCTGATGGTGTAGAGAGTGTACTGCTAGTAATGGGGCTGTTTTTAATGATTGATAATAAAATGGTAACCTTGCCAAACTAATAATTCCTCTTTCTCCCCCCCCCCCCCCCTTATGTAGGTTCTAGTTGAAATCGTCATCATCCTTTAACTGATGGAACTTTACTGGTGGAATACTTCCTGTATTCCACCACCAGGTATTGGCGTGTTTAAGATTATTTTCCAGTGTGGGTCTGGTCAGTTAAGGTGAATATGCCCTCATTCTTATGTTTGCCCATATTTGCTCCCCTTCTAATTGCACCTAGAATTGTCATCAGATACGGCACGGCCCATCTGGCCACCTCTTAAATACGTCTATGCCAGTGAATCTAAGCATCTTTTCTAAAGAAACGTAGATTGAAAAATTATGTAAAGAATGTTGAATTTCGTACATAACATAATGCGTCATACAGCTAAGTACAGGCCGTATTTTCCGTAACTTTATTATTAATTTTTCTTACCATAATGGCGACAGTTCAGTTGGATAACTCTCAATTACGTTTCGGAGACCCTAAGATCGAATGTCAGCCTCTCAATCATTCAAATTCGTATTTGGAACACTTAAAAATTATTGTCACTTCATGCTTCTGTGGGCATGTAAAACCGTCGTCCACTAAGCCATGTCAAAGACCTTCAAGTATAATGAAGGCGGCCTAAGATCTCTTGATATCAGAGGGCGATACTATACCATCACGCGTGTAGTAGTCATGAAAGTTGTACAACGGACTATTTGCTAACTGACTGGCAATGCAAATACAACAATGAGATAAAAAAAAATTGTTACATTAGTGTGTGTTATGTAAATGTGTGTACGTTACAGTTCCGAATTTGTATGGACTTTAAATTGCAAAAAAAACAAAAATTCACATATTTATTATAATTTTTATTTCAGCTCATAGACATTCACAACTATTTTGATTAAATTAGATTAGATAAAATGATTCTGATGGTTCTATAATATTGCATTTAAAGAGATAGATATTTATAGCATAATATCGTAAAAAGGTGCAATTTTATAGAATAAAAAAAAATACTAAACGGATTTAAATGAGATTTGTTACACGGGTAAGCCATATCCTATACTTCATATACTGATTCACATTAGCCAAGCCGTGGGATACAGCAAGTAAAAGAAATATATAAAAAATGCAACAAAATTCTGAATTTGTATGAACTTTTTATGTATTACTAGCTGAATCAGTCTCATATAAATGAAATGAAATGAGATTTATTTGTAAAAAAAAAAAACATAACTGTAAGTTCTTATCTAATATTAATATTATAATTTTATAATGGTGCAGTAATTATGGTTTTAGAACTGGGCTCCTAAATAGGTTAATATATAAAGAATCCTCTGTGTTAATTTAGAATAAAACCGTTACCTACGTGTACATGCCAAATGTCATTAAATGTCATGTTGAAGAAACATCCAAACATCTTTACAAACTGCCATATTTATAATGTCAATAACCTTTCTTATAATGAATAATTCTTATTATAATTAAATTAATAATATTAAAAATTTTATATTAATAATTTGAAGTCATCCTAAAGGTTGACTGGTAGAGAATGCCCATAGCTTTAATTCTGCCTTTTGTACCACATTTTATTAAGTTTAAATAAATAAATAAATTACAGGGTGGTCATATTTTAAGGGGGCCCATATTCCTTGCAACCTGACTGAAATACGTCATACTGGCGAAAGTTATTTATTTTATATAAAAAAAAAATTCTATCGATATTTCGATAAAAATTGCATACCAAGTAAACTTCACTATACAAAAAACATCTACGGCCATGTCTGACAACGTAGTTATTATTATTCCCGATTACTTCCTTTTAATATAAGTCTTACTGTGTATTATTTAAGGTTTAATTTCTATTGGCACGTCTTAATAGGGATTCCATTCGTTTGTTAAACATTCGATTTTCGACTTTATTCCATCGTAATAAAGATGATGTATGTGAATATTTTTTTCTGGCATTCTTTAAACCCATTCCTTTTGAAATATCTCCCCTACCATTATGAATTATGAGGGGTTAAAAAAGATGGATGTTGTTAGAACGAGACGGAATATTGTTTTGGTCTTGCTTTTTCTTTGTGCTTTCGCTCATTTCGGAGACAGGAATGAAGGGACTCCCTATGACGTTATTGTGGTATTATAGAGGTGAGAGATCTGAGACTATCTATGGTCTGGAGTCCCATGTTCGATCCCAGCCTAAACAATTTATTATAGGGATTATTTAAAAAGTTTGTCACTGGTTTTGTGATGCGGAGGTCGTGTAAAGCCGTCGTCTGGTGGAGAGAGGGGATTGTTAGTAATGGGGACTAGCAGCCCCATTACTATGGGAATTACTAGCAATATAGTCAAACAATATAGACCTTCACGCGGTTCCTCTTGGCCCCTGGAAACCATCGTGGTTCGGAAGGAGGATTGTTAATAATGGGGACGTTAATCCCCATTGTAAGCAATATACCCATGTGAGGTCGACCTCCTTGCAGTTCCCCCTAGAAACTATCGTGATTGATTCATTAGCGAATTTGTCACGATGGACTGGCTAACTTGCTTCATTTTTACTCACTGGTGCCCCGCCAGCTTATACCGATAGCGCAGGCGGGGTAACCATTGCACTATCATCCATTAAAAAAAACCCTGTCAGGTCGACCTCCACACGGTTCCCCCTGGAAACTATTCTTATTAATTATTATCAAATTCGTCACGATCGGCCAACGGATCTGATTTCATCCTCACTAATGGATGATAAGGTGCCCCGCCGGGGGGAAAGGGATTGTTAGTAATGGAGACTGAGAATCCCATTGCTAGCAATATACCCAACCAGGTCGACCTCCTCGCGGTTCCCCCTGGAAACTATCATGGTTAATTCCTGATGAATTCATCATGATGGGCTTTGCCCCACACTAATATATTACCAAATTGTTTTTAACAGATGCAGCAACAAACTGTCAATGAACAAAACCAAATGGGGTGAGTAGAATTTTTTCGTTTTTTTTTATATAATACAACTTAGAATGGCAAAAGAGCTGACGGCCCACCCGATGGAAAGTGGTAACCGTCGTCTATAGACATGAGCAGTACCATGGACATAACAGAGTATATTATCTTACATTCGCATATGGGGTCAGCTAAGCCGTTTCACGTCGACCCATCGGGATCTTTTGTGTTTCCCCCTACCTTATACCGTTATTTCATAGATCCTATGTGTTACCTTAACTATATCCCGCGGGGGGGAAAGGGATTGTTAGTAATGGAGACTGAGAATCCCATTGCTAGTAATATACCCAACCAGGTCGACCTCCTCGCGGTTCCCCCTGGAAACTATCATAGTTAATTCCTGATGAATTCATCATGATGGGCTAACTGGCCTGTTTTCATTCTCATCTATCACCCTTCACTGGTGCTCCGCCTGCGTATCCCATTAGCGCAGGCGGGGTTGCCATACCATTTTCACTCATCAAAAAAAAAACTATATCCCGCGGTTTAAGATATCTGTAGTCCCCTGGCTCTGGATAAGCCGTTCCCAGTAGACTCATACGCATCGCAGTTGCACATCAAGTGTTGCGTGGATTCCGATTTCTCACCGCACAGTCTGCACAATGTGTCCTAAGATAGACCCATCTAGAGTAAAAATATTACTATACCTACATATAAGTACTCTGTTCAAATAGAATTACTTAAATAAATAATGTGAACAAACGTGCAAAATGTGCGTGGATAAAATAGCGGTCAGAGAGTCTAGTAGTAATAGTGGTACTGTCTTCTGGTGCTGAATCGCACACATACTAATGATAGCGGAATCAAACAAAGTAATTACAATCGAATAACCAGTGATATGGACTTCCGGAAGATAACACTAGTTCAGTAAAATATGTAAACAAACGAACAATCGACTAGACCATTAGACAGTTCGCTGATATCCCATAGTAGTACAGTAGAATCTCGAATATCCGGATCAAATAAAACCAGGGATATTCCGTATAATCGAAAATCCGGATAATCGATTATTGACCGATCGATTAGAAAGTAAAATCAAACAAAAATTATATTTTAATATGTATTTTTTTTTCTATTTTCTAAAGGGTTTTATTATGTCATTTAGACAATACGATATAAAAAAAAATTACAAGCTATAAAGATAATGGATTACATTATACTTATTTACCCAATTAATACATAATACTATTTCTAAATCGATAATTAGAGCCGTGAAGAATAAGTCCGGATAATCGAATATTCGGATAATCGAGGTTCTATTGTAGTACAAATCAACAATCGATAAATCGATTGAACGTTTTTGTTACTAATTACAGTTAGAGAGTGCATTTTACTCAGTTCTATCGAGGGAGACTGTAAAAATACATAAATATAAAAAACAATGATTCGTTCACTCGATTACTCGGATTAGAGCAATGTTATCGTTGTTTATTCAATTACAAAATATGTTTTCTATTAACGCGCCATGCGGAATATATAATATTTATTTATATTCTCTACTCACATTATAAAAGATTATCTTTTAGTCTGCTTACACGACAAAAGAAAACTTGGTTCCTTTTCAATCGATTTAAAAAGAAGGAGGTTCCCAATTCGGTTGTAATTTTTTATTAATATTTATTACCTCATAACTGCGTCACTTCTCAATTGATTTGAAAAATTCTACTTATGTATATCTGAAAGGATATATCTACTTACAGTTTGGTCCCATGGAAATTTTATCAAAATCGGTCCAGTTATTTAGTTCTTAAATCATAATAACTGGTTTTGTCATAATTGAAATTGTTTTTTTTTCTTTGGAACACACCCTTTATTCAGTGAAATATGTTTGTATGTATTTACTGTTATTAAGCAACCTTTACAGTTCAATGATCTCCTTTTAACGGCCAGTGTTTGTATTTATGTGTATATTTTAACTAAAAAATATATGCAACATAACAATTAATTGAAGTTGGTGGAAAATGGCAGTTTTTTTTGTGAAACATAATCTTAAACTTATAAAACCATTTGCCCAACAGATCACAAGTTCCAGTACAGCAAATGATGCTGTGCCCAGTCAGAGTTGTATACGAGACCCAGATATTGGTTCAAGCAGGTAAATGTACGCTAGCAGAAGTATTCTATACTGATACTCTAGAGGAAATATTTGATATTTTGCATGTTTGCCCATAATGGGGTAAACTCAAAAAACTACTCCACCGATTAAGAAAGAAGTAATTTATTCATAGAATCATGCGATTAAATGTAGAATAGAATAAATGAAAAAAAAATATGTACAGCAATATTAATTATAAAACAAACAACAACAAAAAAACCTTATCAATACTCTGGCGAGGCACCAGTGCGGGCCAGTTAGCCCATAGTGATGAATACATCTGAAATTCAGCACGATGGTTTTCAGGAGGAACCGCGTTGTGGTCGACCTGATAGGATGTATTGCTAGCAATGGGTCAGTTAGACCCCATTTCTAACAATCCCTTTCTCCCCTATTGACATTACTGTACTGATTCTATAGGCGACGGTTACCACTTTCCATCTGGTGGGCCGTCAGCTTATATGCCATTCTAAGTTGCATAAAAAAGCTGTTAATGTGCCGAGGGCTAACAAATATACAAACAACATCCGGCAATTGATTTTTATTTATATAGATATAAAGTGACATTGTCACAGCATTTGACATACACGTACTATTTTGAATGAAGAAAAAGCTTTATTTCGATTAATCAATATATTCTAGAGACGTGACCGAAGTCGCGGGTAAAGACTAGTTTATAATTCAAATGATGATTCCTGTGCGATAATTTCTAGAACATACTGGAAGTAGTCTCTTTCTAAACCAATGGCACTAATACTGTTAATATCAATTTCTAGGCGAACAAATCCAACCGAACCAAACTATATACATAAATCCTCAGAACCCACCACCTTGGATGCAGAACAGGCCATTCCAAAACCAAGTGGTCTACATTCAGCATGCGCCAAACAATATTGTTCCTTCTATACAACAGCATATGGACCAAAGTCAAATGTATCTCCAACAAGCTTACAATCAACCCATCTTACAGCCAATGATACCCCAAAGTCAGGAAATTAGACCTTATCAATTAGCAAATATGACTCATTCTGTCCAAAACAACCAGAACACTATTGCAAACATTTCAAATCAACCGAACGATCGGATTCATCCAACAGTTTACACAAGTCATCCAAACATTAGCCAAAGTATACCAACATCTACACCAATGCAGGCAAATGCTGTTGGTATTAAACATAACTTTTTAAACGTTCAAGGAGTAGATGCAATGAAAAATTTAACGAGTCCACAAAGAAACATACTTCATATGAACGTTGGACAACCTATGAACCAACAAACGAATACTATGCGGCAACCACAAATGATAACCGTAAATCCAATACAACCAACCAATACAGATCCAAAAACATTTGATCAAACACAGAATGTAGTTCATAATCCGTCACTTCCAGCATACAGTACTACTAACATGCCAATAGTGAACAAAGTAGAAAAAGCACCTCCTATATATAGCCAAACATATCTGTATAGACCCATTCAACCAAGACCACAGTACATAGCCAACATACAAACCATGTCAAACCCTCAAAATCAAACAGCACTTCGTATGGCAAATATTGGACAAAGTATTGTACAATCAAATACAAATATTCGAAATAAAACACAAGTGCATCAAGCAGTAGAAGTAAAAACAAATATAAATAATAGAAAAAGAAAAAGCGAGTCTCCAGATGAAATAAATAAGAAACTAATAGCTATGAATGTAAATATGCCACAAAATACAATTGATAACACGAAAAAATTACAAGAAATTGGTGTCAATACAATACCAGTGTTGAAACATTGTGCATTGAACGCAGAAACACCAATTAAAAAGATTGAAGAGTTAAGAAATAAAATAATTGCACCCACATCTGTTATAATCCAAAAAGCTGCTGAAAAGACCGAAGATGTAAAGATTAAAGTTGAAAAAGATAAATTGGGTGATCAAGATCCATTAGTGAGACATACAGTATTCACACAAGCCAGAGGTTTAAACATAAAAGAAGGAATGGTCAAAGTAAACACAAATGTATTAAGAGATACAAAAAATATTATTAACGAGCAAGGCGCCGAATTGAAAGTGGATAATATTGTTAAGATTGAAAACGCCAAGGAAATTAAAGAGAAAGTTAATACAAGAGATACTGTTGATAATAATGACGCGTCAAAGAATAATATGAAGGAATTGAACAAATCAATAAGTGATTTGAAAAATAAAGGCATGGTTTTTGCTAGCAATGCAAAATCACAAGATAAAGATTACGTTTTGACTCATGTACTGGAAGGTATTGTTATTCAGGAGTCCAACACGGCATTTCCTGTAAGTGTTTAATTATATTTAAATGATTACATATGTTATTACTACTTACTTATTACATATTTAAATCTTATCTTTATTTTAAAATTTTGTATTTTATGTATAGGTACATATTAGATACATTACTCTTTATTGTTTCCACCATAAGATTACAATAGTAAACTTATTATAAATATAAACAATTACAAGAAATAGTACTATATGTATTTGTATACACGTATATATCTATGTTTATATATATAGCGATAAGGTCGCCCATTGTTTTCTCAGTGTAATGTTTTCTTGTAATTGTTTGTATTTATAATAAGTTTACTATTGTATTCTTTTGGAGGAAACAATAAAGAGTGTCTATCTGTCTTGCTTATCTATATCTATCATTTTATTAAATCTGTAGAGAGGTCAATTCTGTATACTGTTCACGCTACGATCAATAGGAGCAGAGCAGTGAAGGGAAATGTTGGGAAAACGGTAGAAGTTACGTCCATTTTTAAGCTTCCGTCGCGTGTGCAGCCTTAATGGCCACTTTTTAAAATATAAAAATGTCCACCCGTGCGAAGCCGGGACGGGCTGCTAGTTTCTAATAAAAACAAATATACTTAGACGATATCTGTACATAGGGCATAATTTTTTTAATTGACTTCAAAAAGAAGAAAGTTCACAAATCGGTTTTATCTTTTTTATATTTATTACCTCATAACTCCGTCAATTGTAAACCGATTAGAAAAATTCCTTTTTTTTTTTTTATCTGAAAGGATGTAATTACAGATTGGTCTCGTAGGAATTTTATCAAAATCGATTCAGTAGTTTAATTTTTACATAAAAATAACTGGTTTTGCTACTATTGAAATTGGTTATTATTATAGACTACAATTTTTAATTATTGACATCGATTGAAAAGTATTTTTTAAACACATCAAAATATTGATTATCCGAACATTCGATTATCCGGACTTATTCTTCACGGCTCTGATTATCGATTTAGAAATGGTATAATGTATTAATTGGGTAAATAAGTATAAAATAGTCTGTTATCTATATAGCTCGTATTTTTTTTTATATCATATTGTCTAAATGACGTATGTAAAACTCTTTACGTAATAACAACATTTTAAAATTTAATTATGTATTGTTTGGTTTGACTTTGCAATCGATTATCCGGATTTTCCATTATACGGAATGCTCCTGGTTTTATTTGATTCGGATATTCGAGATTCTATATATATATATATATATATATATATATATATATATATATATATATATATATATATATATATATATATATATATATATAAAAGTATGTCTGTTGATGTCGCTTTCTAACGTCTGTAGTGTTTGTTATTACTAATATGTGTTATTTAAAGGCATTCCTTCTTTAGATACGGGAACCAATAAAGAGGTTATACGCTAACCCAAAAGTGATAGAAATAGGTAGAGAAGAAGTAAGAATTGGATGCGAGAAGATAAACGCACCATCGGCACAAAGAAATGAAGAAGAGAAATTAGAAGAATCCACGAAGGGTACGGTTTACATTTCTAGAATTTATTCATTCATTTCAACCTTTCATTGTCCACTGCTGAACATAAGCCTTCCCTATAAGGGTAGTTCTGACAGTAGTTGCTAAACTTGGCAAGCAGGTTGCCAACCGCAGTTAGGCTTTGGAGATGTTTTAAGAGGGACGCCGCCAATCCCTCTATCTTAATTAACTCCGATGCAAAAAGAAAAGCGTTATAACGTGTGACGTGTTTGTGTCTATCTGTGACATCGTAACTCCTAAACGAATGGACCGATTGTGATGCGTTTTCCTTGTTTATTAGCTGAAATATTCGAGACGGTTCTTGACAACAATTTATGAATATCCATTCGGGTGTTTTTATCAACTCTTTTATAGTTACATGTTGGGTTTTTTTTTATTTTATTTTTTTTGTGTTCACTTTCAGGAGATCCATTTGCAAAATTGAAACCAGCAAACGTAAAATCGTGGACGGTAAGAAACATTTTTCATTTATTTTTTTTAAACTCACTTTTTTATGCAATTTGAAATAAATTACTATGGTGGCAAACAAGCGTACAGCCCGTCTGATGGTCAACGGTCACTGTAGACTATGGACGCCTGCAACACTGGGGTGTCACGTGCGTGTTGCCAGCCCTGAAGAAACCTTAATACAACCTTTTTGAAGAACCCCATACTGTAGTCTGTAGGGAAAACCCCGACAAGAAGATTATGGAATGGAATGGCGAACAAGCTGACTGTCCTCCTGATGGAAAGTGGTAACTGTCGCCTATATACATTACATATATAACCGACGCTATGCTAAAAAAGTATTTCAATATAGGATACACAATATTTACCAGAGGGAGACTTTGTACAAAAGTCGTTTGCTTGGCCAACTCTGTCCCATTCGTGTTTCTACCGTGAAGCAGTTGTGTTTGCATGGTTGTGTTTCGGTTTGAAGGGTGGGTTATGGCAGTGAATTTACAGGGTACAGAGAAATAACACCTGAGTCCTCAGGAATGGCAATGTATGGGTGGTATAATTGGCGAAATAGTATACTCTGTTATGTCCACGGTACTGCACATGTCTATAGGCGACTGTTACCACTTTCCATCAGGTGGGCTTTTCGACAGCTTGCTTGCCATTCTAAGTTACATAAAAAAAAAGCAAAGACTTTATTATTATTGTATTTCAGGTGGATAAACTAGTGTCCCATTTGGCGAAATACAAATGGGACGAAACGATTTCCGCGTTACAAGAACACGAAATTGATGGCGAGTCACTGTTTCTTGTAAACAGATCGCAGCTCGTCAAAATAGGAGTCCACGAGGAGCACGCCGACATAATTTGCAATTATGTTAAAAGTTGCTAATAAAAAAAAAAACATTTAAGGAATATTTGTATAGTCCAACCTCCTTGTACATAAAAACAAAGTTTCAAACCCTTTTGAACATATAGGGGAGGAGGAGGCCCCTAGGAGGTTTTGCTAGAAGTCGTGCTTAGTCCCCCTCAAAAGGGATGGCACATTCTACGCCGCAATCACACGGCCGGCGATTTTACGAAACACTAATAGTAACCTACGTTTAGTTTTATAAATAAAATAGTATTTATTTAGTAATAACCGAATTTTTAATATAATTTATATTTTTAATTTATATACTTATTATGTAATTTATCAATGTATAAATAAATGTATTTTATTAATGAAAATTTTATTTGTAAAAAGTCAAAATCAATCCAAACACAAGTTCGAAAATGTAAAATAAAAAAATAATAATTACCAATTAAAATACATTTGCTTATTATAGCATAATGCTAATTTCTCTTGGCCGTTTTCCCCATAAAATTTACGACTTGCGCCAACGGAAACTTACCGCGTCTGCCGCGCTTTTTCGCGCCTAAATCGTGCAGATTATCCGATTCAGCCATAGACGAATCTATATTTTTCGAGGCGACCACCTCAGAGTAATCTTCGCTGTCATTCTTATCTGTGTCGGTTACGTCTCTGTATTTTCGGTAATCTGCCTTGCTTCTAGCTGCACTATGGTCTTGTCTATACTTCATGGATTCTGGTGAAAACTTTGAATGCTCCTGGCACATTAACGTGTCGTAAAAATATCTGTCGGCTCGACCTTCGGCTTTCGGCCTTGGTTTGTCTTCATCAGAGCTTTCATATGAGGAGTGTAACTGGGGAGAGCCGGATGTTGATTTCTTAGATACTCTTAAACTAAAAAAAAAAATAAGTTCTTATAGTTACCAATAAATTGTCAGACAAGCCAACCAGGCAAACAATCCGCAAGTTAATAAGCGGTTCCCGTAGTCTATGGACGTTTATAGCAGCACGAGTACTATCTGCGCGTTAGCGACCCTAAAGAAACCTCTACCTATTTTTAAAAAACCATAGCAGAGAACCCCATATCCTGAATTCTCCTGCACTTGATTTTTTTTTTATTTTTTTAAAATGAATAACACAAAGAATGGAAATTTTGCCTTGATAAAACTTGGAAATATACACTTTTTACTTAAGATCAAGCTATATGACTTTTTTCCTTTACCTTTCCCATTATAAATAAATTGATATTACTGCTGAATAGCTGAAATTATTGAAATTGTTAGTGTTTAAAATTAACCTTTTTATATATTGACAATTGTGGTTTTTTATAAAAAAGAATATTTATAAACAATTGAAATAGAACCAAAAATATATACAATACAGCAAGTAAACAGATGGCATTTTACTAACAATTAATATAAATAATAATATAAATATAACAAGAACCAGCATATTTTACAAACAGTACGTACAGATCACAAAGGTTATAACTCGTTACTTCAAATGTTGCCAACATAAAAAAAAAGTGTCAATTTAAATTTCCAACCAACTTTTCAATAAATAAAATTAAATTTAGTAGTATATAGTTGATTGATGTTTCTCACATTGATAAAAAAAAAAACCGAACATGACCAGAGTGCCGGCGGTTGGCTCGCCCCCTGCCACGTTATATTCTTACATGCTCGATGACATATGGGCATGTTGAGCGTTACGTTCACCATATCGTCGACAGTTGACAGATGCCGCTGACTATTTCATTACGACTATCCACTGCTGAACATAAGTCATCCCCATAAGGGGAGTTTTGCCAGTACTTGCCACCCTTGGCAGGCGGGTTGGCAGGAACCCGGGTCCCCAACATTATGGCGCGGCGAGGGATGCCGTGGTGGTTTTAGCCGGTAGGAGTCCGACAGTACACATACGCCTCCCCAGGGGCGTTTGGGTCTGTATGATGCATTTCCCCAAGAAAAAAAAAAGGCGGGTTGGCAAGCGCCGTTAAGCTTTTGGAGAAAGTTTTAAAAGGGACAATGCCGTTCATCCTTCGACCGTTAAGTACCTTTAGTCGCCTCTTATGACACCCATGGGAATGGAAGGGGTGGCCTATTCTATGCCGGGACCACACGGAAGGGATTGTTAATAATGCAGACTATAAGTTCCATAGCTAGCACCATCCCTCACTGGTGTCCCATCAGCGTATACCGATAGCGCGAACTGTTTAATTAATAACTGGTATATAAACTCTTTGTTGGCCCTTTATACAAAAAAAGAAAAATAATGTTTTTATCTGACACTTTCGATTGTGACGTTCTTGTACAAAATTAATAAACACATTCAAGATCAAGATTCGACTTTATTTTTGTTCATTTGGTCCTTCGAGCCGGATAATTTAGTAAATAAATATAGTGCAGTACTAAACGCATAAATATTCACAACTTCAGTGTACAATACTTTTTTCACATATATATATCGGACTTTGTTGTTTGCATATCACAATGACAGAAAATATTAGTTCACGTATTACAATGTTGTTGGACAATTCAAATAAAATTGTGAAATTACTTACTAACACGAAGAAGTGCGCTCGAGCTAAAATTACAAGAGGATATTTGGATGCACGTTTAGAGATGCTAACTGGTCGTCTTATAATAAAATATGAGTACATTACAACTACATATTCAGAGTCGGATTTAAAATCATATAATCTCGATCTGAAAATTATAACTCTACTGAAGAGGCTTACTTAGATCTCAAGACCTGGATAAAAGATTGGTTATATGAACATGAAACAAAATCAATTAAAACTGATGATGATAACACCATCACCATCGCATCATCTTCACACTCGAGACCACATCTTCCTCCGATACCCCTTCCAGTATTTTCTGGTGATTATAATGATTGGATTAGCTACCGAGATTTATATATTTCATTAATACATAACAATAACAGTTTGTCTAAAATTGAAAAGCATCATTACCTTAAGTCTAGTTTAACTGGGGAAGCAGCAGAATTATTAAAGAATTTCACACTTACCGAAGCTAATTATCTCGATGCATGGAAAAAGCTGGAAGAAAGATACGACAACAAGAGGATTATTGTCAACAACATACTGAATCGCTTATTAAGTCAAAAGAAGTTAGCTGGCGAATCAACTAAAAGTCTCAAAGAATTATTAGACACTACTAGTCAATGTCTTGACTCGTTGAAAAATCTCAACATATGTATTTCTAACTGGGATGCTATTTTAGTATATGTTATTGTTGGAAAGTTAGACTCCGAATCACATAAACTTTGGGAGCAGTCTCTTGGTAATTCTACTGAGATTCCTACTTATGCCGATTTAGCTTCTTTCTTGGAGAATAGATTCAGAACACTAGAAATGATTAGTTCAACTCAAGTCAAAGAATTGTCAAAGAAGATATACACACCACAAAAATTTACATCTGTCAAAACTTACGTTACTGAAGTAAATAGTACTTGCACATATTGTTCACAGAACCATTACATTTGTTATTGTAAGAAATTTGCTACACTTACTGTATCAGAACGTCAACATTTTATAAAAACGAACAACATCTGCTTCAACTGTTTGATTAAGGGTCATTCTGTGAAACAATGTCGGCAAAGCACAACCTGTAAGAAATGTGGACGACGTCATCACACTTTGCTGCATTTAACAACTCTTAACAAACCAGAGATTACAACTGAGAAAAATGAGTCAGTACAGAGTCCCTCTACGTCTTGTCATACTGCTAACACGAAACCTGAAACAAATAACAAACAAGTTATTTTACCTACAGCTCAAATTAAAGTAAAGGCAAAGAATGGCTCTACTTACGTTCTTAGGGCACTTGTAGATCAGGGCTCTCAGGCTTCTTTTATTACTGAAGCAGCTGTACAACTGTTGAATCTTGATCGCACACCTGTAATTGGTAAAGTCACTGGAATATCCAATTCACAAGGAGTTACTACTAACTCTATGGTAACACTCACAATTCATTGTAAAAACCCATCACTTTCACGTATTGAAGTTAACGCTTATGTACTTAGAAAACTAACTTCAATACTACCATCTCGAGAATTTCCACAAGGTACTTGGCCTTCATCAATGCAATTAGATCTAGCTGATCCTGATTTTCACAAGCCGAGTCCTATAGATGTTTTATTGGGTGCCGACGTGCATGCTCACATAATTCTCGATGGAATACACAAACACAACACTCTCGTAGCTTTTAACTCTCGCCTGGGTTGGTTGCTGTCTGGAAGCGTTTCACAAACTGATACACAAGTACACAATGTGACTGTAGCTCATACTAAATTGGAGGTGAATCAGTTACTTAGGCAGTTTTGGGAGATCGAAGAGCACGTTCCTCACAAAAAGCCTATGTCTACATCAGAAGTACAATGCGAGAAACACTATAAGGATACTTACACACGTAACGATGATGGTCGATACATAGATTGCTTGCCATTTAAAGAGTTTCTTTCCACAAGTCTTGGTGATTCACAAACCTTGGTTATTAATCGTCTGCAACAGATGGAGAAGAGATTTTTACACAAACCTGAATTTAGAAGTCAATATAGTAACTTTGCACCGACAAGAGGAAACTCTTAAATGAAAATGAAATAGTAACTTTATGGATGAATACTTGTCACACGAACATATGGAGATGATTCCTGAAAATGAACTTAATACTAATAATAAAAATATATATTACTTACCTCACCATGCTGTCCTTAGGCCGTCGAGCTTGAGTACAAAGTTGCGCGTAGTCTTCGATGGTAGTGCTGAACCTGTAAATAGAAAATCAATAAACGATAAATTGTTAATCGGTCCTCCTCTTCTTCAAGATATTCGATACTTCATTACAAGATGGAGACAACACAAAATATGTTTAGTTGTAGATATACAGAAGTCGATACATCGACAGATACTTGTATCTAAAAAAGATATAGATCTTCAAAGAGTCGTATGGCGTGAATCTCTCAATGTTCCTAATGAAGAGTACAGATTACTTACCGTAACCTACGTTTGGTCTTGTGTTCCTTTCTTAGCCATCCGTACACTGCACCAACTTGCTGAAGATGAATGTGGTGAGTTTTCTAAAGAATTTGAAATTATAAAGGAAGACTTCTACATGGACGATTTGTTAACAGGTACGTCAACAGAGGAAAATGCAATATTTCTTCGAAATCGGTTAACTGAATTATTAGCACGAGGTGGCTTTCCTTTGCACAAATGGTCGTCTAATAGTAAACTAGTATTGAATCAAATTTCGAACGATAAAAGAGATTCTTTAAGTACAGTCACTATTAAGTAGAAAAAGCTATTAAAGCTTTAGATATTAAATGGAAGTCACAAACTGACAACTTTAAACTAACACTAAGTTTAGAATTTATATCTCACAATGTCACTAAACGAACTGTTCTTTCTGTGATAACTAAGTTTTTTGATCCTCTTGATTGTTTGGCACCTTCTATAATTGTTCTTAAACTATTCATGCAGAAATTATGGCTAGCTGGATTGGATTGGGACGAGGAGCTACAACTAGAATTAAAAACTGAATGGTTTACTTACCTAGATAAGTTTTCTCACATGCAAATCATTCCCTTTCCAAAATGGCTCAGCATTTCAAATACTACTACTAGATTAGAATTACATGGCTTCAGCGATGCATCTTGTGCTACTTATGCTGCTGTTGTCTACATCAGAGTTTGGAATGCCAAAGATGTTAATGTTCATTTAGTTTTCGCGAAAACACGTGTAGCTTCAGTAAAACAAGTTACATTGCCACGACTTGTGGTGCTATTTACGAGTATACTAGCCAAGATGTTGAGCAGCCTTAAAACTGTTTTATGAATACAAAATAATTGTGTGTTCACTTGGACTGATTCTACTATAGTTTTAACGTGGTTACGCAAAACACCTGGTACTTGGACAACATTTGTTGCTAATCGAACAGCAAAAATTTTAACTTTCACGAATAGTAGTCAATGGCGTCATATTGACACCTTTTAATAGTCCTGTAGATTTAGTCTCTCGAGGTTTAAGTCCGAATGATTTGAGACAGTCAAAACTGTGGTCGAACGGCACTGATTTTCTAAGTCAACCCGATGATATTGTAAATAATGATATAGATATTCCTGAAACAGACTTAGAAGTTAAAACAAAAGTTAAAGTTCACATTTGTATCACTGAAAATAATGATATTACTGACTACATAAACAAATATTTAAACCATTTATTCAATGCTGTAAAAACAAAATTAATTCAATTAGAAGGGATTGTAATTGTTATTTAACTGCTTCTGAAATAAAAATTGTTTTGCTTGTATGTACTCGTTGGTCACAAGCTATTTTTAAAGATGAGATTGAAACTTTAACTCACAACAAGCAAATTCACAAAAGAAGTAAGTTTTATATACACTTAATCCGTTTCTTGATGAACAAAAGATACTAAGAGTGGGTGGCAGACTAGTGAATGCAGAGGTTTCGAACTATCTAAAGTCTCATATTATTTTAAGTAACAAATGTCATTTATGTAAACTAATTGTTACTCATGCACATATTAAATCTTTGCATGGTGACTTGCAACTTACCTTTAAATTACGTCAGACAGAGGTACTGGATTATTCGTTTAAAGTCTTGTTACAAGTACTGTGAATAAATGTATATCTTGTTTTAAACAACAAACAGTAGCAAATATATCATACTCTCTAGTGTCCAGTACAAATGGTTTAAATATATTCTAATGTTAAGCTAACAATTTCTTTAAGACTTGTAGCTAAGTTGTGCCCTCTGCCACTGAATAACTAAAATTTGTTAATTTTTTCTAACAGTTATGTAGTAATTTGATTTCTATCATCTCACTTTGTGTTACATGTTTACTATATTGTGAAGGACTATAGTAGTCCTTGGGTGGCGGAATGTTTAATTAATAACTGGTATATAAACTCTTTGTTGGCCCTTTATACAAAAAAAGAAAAATAATGTTTTTATCTGACACTTTCGATTGTGACGTTCTTGTACAAAATTAATAAACACATTCAAGATCAAGATTCGACTTTATTTTTGTTCACGAACAGGGTAGCCATTCCATTATCATCCATTAAAAAATCCTATCTCCCTTCCCACCATATCTAGATTTTTAACTCTAATGACAATAAAAAATATTTAATACCAGCGTTTAACATCTCCGATGACCACGGGGGACCGAGGTGATGATGAATGGTAGGTACCTGGTACAGTTGCTTCATCACCGCTTAAAGCCTGTAGGTAAAAAAGAACTTAATATTTTTTATGCAACTAAAAAAATAAGCCGACGGCCCACATGATGGAAAGTGGTAACCATCGCCTATAGGCATGAACATAGAATACACTGTGACGTGTATTACATCTGCTGTAGGCATCGGTAATATAGATACCGACTCGATATCTATACATTGAGTTCCTCTGTATATTGGTGACAGAAAAGAGATCATTACCTATTATGATATCGTCCATATCGGTTGGATATTTATTTTCGAATATGTTAATAGTATATTACTGCAGCGGCCAGCAACAGAGGCATTGATTGCGGGCCGAGGCGTGCAATGAGTCTATCAAGAGTTGTGGTCAAGGCTTGTATGGTACTTTTCTCAAACAATACGCGGAAATCAAAAACACAATTTTACTTTTTAAGTTCAATGACGAATAACGAACAATAATAATTTATCACGCGCCATAATGTTCTTTTGTTTTTTTTTTTCAATAAACAGCTTTCTATTTGCAAACTAGTTCGAAATTTAAATAAAACCTTTTATTAGTTACCTACTTGGTAGTCACGTTTCGAAGTAAAAGGTCATTCCATTTTTAAATTACAGGACAGATGAGTTTACATAGTAATTTATCTGGCCGCAAAACATGACAGATATGGATTTTCATACAACTTTTGCCGGCCGCTGCCCGCATGTATCTGGCCAGTACGGCAATTTTAATTTATCTCGAAGAAGATTGTTAAAATAATGCTCACATTTCCAAGCATGTTTGAGAAAAAGTCTGTTATCCAATATTATGTTTTGAATAACAGACTTTTAACATATTCGTTATTGGATCAGTATATAGATATTGTAATTAAAGTATATACCATATACCCTTTATCATCATCATCATCAGGCAGTCCACTGCCGAATATAAGCCTCCCCCTTGGAGGGGTTCGTCAGTAATTGCCACGCTTGACACACAGATTGGTAATCGCAGTTAGGCTTTGGAGATGTTTTATGAGGGACGCTGTTGCCCATCACTCGCCCTCCCTTAGTTGCCTCTTACGACACCCACATGAAAGGAAGGGGGCTTGGAGCATACGGCAATCACCTACCATATTTCTAAATATTAGCAACCTGCTGTCAACTGTTGCCAGGCCAACCAAGCAGCTGAAAACGTCTGGTAAAAATGTAATAGCAATGATGACATTATTAAATTACGTAACATTCATTAAAAAAACCTATTAAAATCGAGACGTTCTATTAAAACAAATAAATTGATTAATCAACTAAAAACAAAACAAAATTTAAATTCATATAACAAAGTAGAAAGAAAGCAAGAAGTAACATTTCATATGTAACTTTTAACAGAAGAGGTTGGGGGAAAGGGATTGTTAGTAATGGAGACTGAGAACCCCATTGCTAACAATATACCCAACTAGGTCGACCTCCTCGTGGTTCCCCCTGGAAACTATCATGGTTAATTCCTGATGAATTCATCATGATGGGCTAACGGGCCTGTTTTCATTCTCATCTATCACCCTTCACTGGTGCTCCGCCAGTGTATCCCGTTAGCGTAGGCGGGGATACCATTAATTACACCCATCAAAAAAAAAAAAGAGGTCACCTAAGCTGTTACATATTGAAAATATTTGAATTTAGAACGCGGATTTGTGTGTCTACCAGTGACGGATTAACGAGGGGGGCGGAAGGGGTGGCCGGCCCCTGGCCTCTGATCGCGAGGGCTTTTAAATGCCTCCATTTTCCTTATCCATATTAATTTATGTAAATTTTACTGTACGTGTATATCAATAATTACTAATATCGCATTCGAGTATTCTGACACTTTCCTCAGGTTGAATGGAAGAGAATGCTTTTAGCATTAAATCTGTCATGTACACATACATGTAGTAATGAATAAATCAATAAATACCTCTGTCCCATTCGTGTTTCAACCGTGAAGCAGTTGCGTTTGCATGGCTGTGTTTCGGTTTGAAGGGTGGGATATGGCGTGAATTTACGGGGTACAGAGGAATGACACCTGAGTCCTCAGGAATGGCAACGGATGGGGGGTATCATGGGCGAAACAGTATACTCTGTTATGTCCATGCTACTGCTCATGTCTGTAGGCGACAGTTGGCACTTTCCATCAGGTGGGCCGTCAGCTTGTTTGCCATTCTAAGTTGTATAAAAAAAATATAAGATGATTTAATCAAGTTTTACAATTGTTTTTATCTATAAGCAACGATAACGTTATGACTAATATATCTCTTTGAAGAGTAAAAAAAAAATATACTGTAGGTAGTAAAGAAAAAATATTGGCAGGCAGATAGGTTTAAACAACATTCTATGTTTGTTTATTTTATGTTTTTTTTTAAACGTCACTTTCTAAATTCTAACTATTTAGTTTATTTAAACATAAACACTTATATATACAAATATAAACTCAACAAATAGTTTGTAAAATTTCCTCATTTTTGGGGGCCTCATTTAGCTTTGTCGCCCCGGGCCTCTGACATGTTTAGTCCGCCACTGGTGTCTACAAACAGATTTTTATTTACAACTAGCGGCCCGTCCCGGCGTCGCACGGGTGGACATTTTTAACATTTCCCTTCACTGCTCTGCTCCTATTGATCGTAGCGTGATAAAAAGTATACTATAACCTGCCCAGGAGTATGAAGAATAATTGTACCAAGTTTCGTTAAAATCTGTCAAGTAGTTTTTGTTTCTATAACGAACATACAGATAGATAGACAAAAATTTTACTGATTGCATTTTTGGCATTAGTATCGATCACTAATCACCCGCTGATAGTTATTTTGGAAATATATTTCACGTACAGAATTGACCTCTCTACAGATTTATTATAAATATAGATAATCAAGATTCTGCTGTAGGTACAAAGTAAAACAGCAGCTTCCATCGTTACAAAATTAATTTGAGGCCAATGCGTGAATAATTTCTAACGATTAAAAAAAATATATGGATACCTACTCAGGTGAATTAAGTAACTCCTTGGTTTAGAAGTAATTCAAAAATGGAATATTTTATTTACTTACTGTCAATTATTGTCTATGGTCTAACTCCAGCTGCATGGGTGTTGCCCTTTGCCTTTACAGTAAATAAAACTAAAACAAAGTCTATGGTCTAAAAAACAATCAAGTACCTTATTCCCCATATGGAAGAAACAGTGCGTGATTCTCTCGACGTCCGCCCACGCCACAATATACCTGGCCATCGAGAGAGGTATCTTCGGCAAGAAGTTCGAATGGAATTTACCCTGACAGTAGATGGTGATCACGTCTGTATCCTTCACTTCGAAGATTATCTGAAATATTGTACCTGGGAAATATTAAATAGATTTATTTAAGTACAATTTTATTTTTTATTTATTTATTTAATACTTTATTGTACACATTAGTTATAAAAATATGACAGAGGTAAACAAATGTACAGCGGCGAGCCTAACTCTGATAGAGTTTTCTTCCAGCAACATCCAAAGTGGAAAGGAGCATCAATGTCAGCGGATACAGCAGTGTACAATTTTTAAACGGACAAAATTAAATTTATTACATTATATTTTATCGTACAAATACACATATATATATATATATATATATATATATATATATATATATATATATATACACGATAAAATATATATATATATATATATATATATATATATATATATATATATATATATATACATAAATATATACCTACATCCATGCATATACATACACATACAATATACCTACATAATATATATAGATAAATAAATATAATTTTAAATATCAAAGAAACAAGTACGTTATGTTTAAAAGAGAAAAAAAAAATCAGCCAATCATTGGACAGCACATCAAATGGAATATTTTATAGTACAACGTTAATAAAATATTGTCACGTAAAAGCTAATTTTGATTATTGGAACGTCAATTGTTTTATCTTTGAATTTAAGTATTGCAATTGACTCGATCGTGTATCCGTTACATTAATTTTGTATTTATAATTTTTGGTGAGGGCAATAATGAATAGACTGGCTGTCATTCGTTCCTGCTTTAATTGTTACCGAGAGAACACGTATCGTATCGTATCGTAAAATCTTTATTGTACATAACTCAGATTAAACACTGGTAAATGGTTTAATATACAATGGCGGACTTATCCCATAAAGGGATCTCTTACAGTCAACCTTTGAGAAGCTGAAAGAAAACTGTAGAATGTACAAGGGTAATAACTTAGTAAGGTAAGGGTATAACACGTATTCAAGGTTAAAAGGTATCTTTTATTTCTGATAATAGCCGGTAAATAATACATACATACATACATATCTGTCACGCCTGTCTCCCATTAGGGTAGGCAGAAACAATGAAACGCCAAATGATTCGATTCAAACAAACCTATTAACCCGGTAAATAATCTTCCAGCTATTAATAGAAATAAATAAATAATTTAATCAAAGAAGTATGCGACTCGCACAGAAGTACACAAAACAAGAACAAGGGGGGAAAGGGATTGTTAGTAATGGGGTCAAATAGCCCCATTACTAGCAATATACCCTGTCAGGTGGACCTCCACGTGGTTCCCCCTGGAAACCATCGTGGCTAATTCTAGTTGAATTCGTCAGGATGGGCTAACTGACTTGCTTTCATCCTCATCAGTCATTTATCACTGGTGCCCCGCCCGTGTATACCGATAGCGCAGACGGGGTTACCATACCATTATTACCCATTAAAAAAAAGCGTTTTCTGCTCAATTAAAGACCAAATAATAAATTTCGGTTGTTAATATTACTCATAGAGGGGAAAGGGATTGTTAGTAATAGAGACTGAGAATCCCATTGCTAGCAATATACCCAACCAGGTCGATCTCCTCGCGGTTCCCCCTGCAAACTATCATGGTTAATGCCTGATGAATTCATCATGATGGGCTAACTGGCCTGTTTTCATTCTCATCTATCACCCTTCACTGGTGCTCCGTCAGCGTATCCCGTTAGCGCAGGCGGTGCTGCCATTCCATTTTCAACCATCAAAAAAAAAATTATTCATAGGACACTAACCAGGTACAAACATATTGTAGTTTGTGTCATAGTTCCCGCTGCCGATCCAAATGCCGTTCTTCCTCGACAGCGAGATAATGTTGTCGCGGTGGAATCTAACGTCAAAGTGGAGGACCACGTCCCTGGGCTCCTCGCCTTCTTGCGCGCACAAGTTCACCGACATTCTGTATATTAATGAATGATAATGGAATGGTAACCCTGTTTACGCTGACGGGGCACCAGTGAGAGATGATAGATGAGGATGAAAGCAGAGCAGTTGGCCCATCTTGATTAATTCAATTAGAATACCACGATGGTTTCCAAGGTTTTCGCGTGAGATCGACCTGATAGGGTATATTTTTTTTACAACATAGGGGGCAAACGAGCATGCGGCTCACCTGGTGGTAAATGACTATTGCCGCCCATGATCACCCACAACACTAACGGCATTGCAGGTATGCTGCCGGGGCTATTTGGCCCCATTACTAACAACCCCTTTCCCCCAATAGGGAAGTATAAGTACCACCAATTTATCCCGATGGGATGCCATTGTATTATAACATAAAGAAAATATGAGGAAGGGATTGTTAGTAATGCGGACTACCAGTCCTGTTGCTAAAAATATACCCTGTTAAGTCGACCTCCCCGCGGTCCCTCTGAAAACATTGTGCATTTATTACAATGGCCTAACTGACCAGCTCTTTAATTCCCACTTATCCTCTTTCACTGGTGCCCCGCCAGCGTATACCGCGCACAGACGGGGTTACCGTTCCATTATCATATATTAAAAAAACATAAAGAAATAAGATGGAAAAATACAATATTAAAAACTTTATTTTCCCACTGGTTTTTTTTTATAGCACAGCACGCAAACGAGCGTGCAGCTCACCTGATGGTAAGTGACTACCGCCGCCCACGATCAGCCACAACACCAACGGCATTGCAGGTGTGTTGCCGGCCTTTTAAAAAGGAATACGCTCTTTTCTTGAAGGTTATGATGTCGTATCTGTTCTGCTGGAAATTGATTTCAAGGCGTGGTTGTATGTGGAAGCAAATGCCTTGGAAAACGCACTGTGGAAGACAACCACTCATCCGGATAGTTGGATGTATATCTCCAAATGCACAAAAAGGTATTCTAAAAGGATCTACATGGTATTCTGTTGTCTATGGTGCTATTCGTGTAACAATGATCACTTTCCATCAGGTAAGCTGTTTACTTGTTATTGTAGCATAAAATAAAATAAATAGATATTGGGCTTGTTAAAAAAAACTCACTTTCTAGCGGTCTCCTTGATTTTTCCACCAATCTCGATCCTATCCTTAACTTTGAGCAAGCCAGGTATGTTTGCAGTAAACACTGGCATCCTATTTGGAAATTGAATTTAGAATAAACAGATTTCGTCGTAACCCAACGAGTATCAGGGCCGGCTTTTTTTGTCATTTTGAACGGAAAATTTATACATTACACAAATTTTTCTTGTGTTTATCGGATTGTTTGTAAGTTATGTATGAAAACTTTGATGGATGCCGTATGACACTATTAATAATTTATTTTCTTTTTCTATTTAGAGGAACTTCTATAAAAGAGTACACGTAGAAAGAAGTCTACACCATATTGGAGCGTAATACGAACCGAACATTTATCTGGAGCAGCAAAACTAAAATCAAAGATAGGTTACGCTTAAAAAAGTTTAAGACGAACTAAAATTTTTATTAACTAGAGACCGCTCCAGTTATTTATATAAAATACTTATATTTAAATAAAATACAGCCTATATTATTAGTTGATAATATTAAAGTATAATATTTTTTGAGTTTATTCATTATTAGTTATTCGGCATGATATATATCCTATTTTAATTGCTAAACTATATTACTTTTGTAATAATTTTAAACAGGATATAATGAAAGTTCCTGTTTGGCTGTATGGGCATAGTCCTTTTGCCTAGATCTATTTCATAAAATAAAAACAAAGAATGACATTTACTGTCAGTTATATTTGACTTTCAAGCATTTGATTTTGACGTTGACGTTTACATTACAACTGCAGGTGACTGATTTCATTACTTATCGTACCTAACCTATTTGTTAAATATTTGAACTTAAAATACATGTTATCAGTTAAATTATACATTTATCTTAGTAGTGAATAAATAGCGATCATAATTGTCCGCGCCGCATCACGGGTAATGTGTTTTTTTTTGTATTTCCTTTGCTCCCAAACCGGATGATGAAACTTATTTTAAAATATTGCTAAGATTTAACACTATGAAGTGAATCGAGGCCTTTTTGTGACTCAATTGGTTATAATAAACCTAGCTAATTTTTATTGTAATATATCATAATATAGGGTATCATGGGCGAAACAGTATACTCTGTTATGTCCATGGTATTGCTCATGTCTATAGGCGACGGTTACCACTTTCCATCACGTGGGCCGTCAGCTTGTTTACCATTCTAAGTTGTATAAAAAAAAAGGTGTTCAAATCATCTTAATTTCTAGTAAAAAAATACTATTAGGTTAGGAATTAACTTATGACCTATTTATCTTACTAAAAATAAACAAAAATACATAAATATCATGATTTTATGAAACAATGTAGAACTTATATCTCCTACTACTATTATGCGTAAGTTTATGAAAGTAAAAGCATAGAAGGATATTTTTTGTTCTTTCACGCAAAACCCATTTTATGGCCTTGAATGAAATTTGTTACATACATAGGTAATATTGTAACTTAGAATATAAAATGTATAATGTACAGTTTGTCTGTAAGAGATTGCCTTATGGCCACCTTTTTTATATGCACATTCTGTATAAATACTCTGTGTATACATCTCTCGTATGCGCAATAATTTATTATTATTATTATGCACTGATTAATGCAGGTAAAGCTGCAGGATGCAGTTTATTTCAAAATTATGTACAAAGTTAGAATTGATATTTGTCAGCTTTAACTTTTGTTGTTAAAGATATAAATGATTTATAGTTGTGCAACTGTTTGGAACATATGTGTGCATTTATCAATGTTTTTATACATTACTAGATAACGATATGTATATATAAATGCTAAAGTTTATATTTATCTGTGGTCACAGTCTTTCCTTTATGAGGTAGATAGAGAAAACCAAGTACTAGATATATCCTATAAAAAAAAGTGCCGGTAAGCACTCATATAAAATGTCCCTATATATGTACAAGAATAGAATAAGAATAATATTTATTTAAGAAAGATACAGTTGCATAAGGTACAATTTACAATTTTTACAATTTATGTTCATTCTAACCTGTCTCACCATACATTTATTTGACAGTGGTAACTATTAAATAAGGGTTTAACATGTTCATAATGGGGGGAAAGGGATTGTTAGTAATGGGGTCAAGTAGCCCCATGACTAGCAATATACCTTGTCAGGCCGACCTCCTCGTGGTTTCCCCCTGGAAACCATCATGGCTAATTCTAGTTGACTTCATCAGGATGGACTAATTGACCTGCTCTCATCCTCATCAGTCATCTATCACTGGTGCCCCGCCAATGTATATAATAGCACACGCAGGGAAAACATTCCATTATCACCCAAAATAAAAAAAAACAAGTGCGTAGTGGGGGAAAAGGATTGTTAATATTGGGGTCTAACTATCCTTTTGCTAGCAATATACCCTATAAAAAAAGAAAATGATCATCATCTGATTTGATATGATTAGCCATTAACTGTCCACTGCTGAACATAGGCCTTATGGCCAGTTTTGCCAGTAGTTGCCACGCTTGGCAGGCAGATTGACTACTGCAGTTAAGCTTTGGTGATGTTTTAAGAGGGATACATAGAGAGATATACTTTATAGTTTCCTCCAAAAGTTTACAATAGTAAATTTATTATAGATACAAACAAATTATAAGAAATAATCATAATGAGGGAACACAATGGGTGATCTTATCACTTTTTAGATCTCTTCCAGGCAACCTTTGGATGGAGAGGAGTAATTATAAACAGATCCTGCTCTTTATCGCTTAACCTTTAAGGAATAAAAATAAGTTGGCCTTTTTTGTTTCAGTTCTTCCAGAATGGTAGTGTCATCGGAGACCCCAGCTCAGATGGAAGGCGACACGGCGTCCAGTAAGAAAGCGGCCAAGAAGGCTGCCAAAGCAGCTGAGAAACAACAGAAAAAGGCCGAACACAAGGTAAAAAGGAGTCATGAAATATAAAAATTTATAACTTTCAAATTATTCTCTTTTCGGTTCATCACACTTAGGGACTTCTTTTTTAATGGATGATAATGCAATGGTAGCCCCACCTGCGCTATCGATATACACTGGCGAGGCACAAATGAAGGATGATAGGTAAGGATGAAGTAGGTCAGTTAGCTCATCATGATGAATTCAACAAGAATTGTTCACGATGGTTTCCAGGGGGAACCAAGTGGAGGTTGACCTAATAAGGCATATTGCTAGCAATGGGGCTGTCAAACTCCATTGCTAACAATCCCTTTCCCTTCCACACTCAGGGACTGTAATGCTCCTGTATTCACTCAGGAAGGTGTGGTCACATGTTATGCTATTATTATTAAGAGTCAGCTGGCTGTTGGTTAAAATTCGACCATAAATGTACTGTAATAAATTATTTTATTATGGTTATGTTCCACATTCAGTAAGACTATAGACAAATAATATTAAAGACAAACAATATTAATCTATTCTCAAATTGACCGCAGACTTTAACTATAAACAAAAGAGTATATATACATATGTGTGTGTGTGTCAAATACATGGTAGTTACTTTGGGGGGAAAGAGATTGTTAGTAATGGAGACTAAAAATCCCATTGCTAGCAATATATCCAACCAGGTCGACCACCTCCTGGTTCCCTCTGGAAACTATCATGGTTAATTCCTGATGAATTCATCACGATGGGCTAACTGGCCTGTTTTCATTCTCATCGATCACCCTTCACTGGTGCCCCGCCAGCGTATCCCGTTAGCGCAGGCGGGGTTACCATTCCATTTTCATCCACCAAAAAAAAAATACATGGTAGTGTGTGTAATGTTTTTTTTATTGATTTAATGTATTTTTTAATGCATAATTCCATACCGCATCTGTATATAATAATAATAATAAAGATTTATTGCAATTGAAAATATACAGTCACAGGTTAGAGTAATTTAAAAGTTAAATATATGAGTCTAAAGTATGGTCACACACACCTTGAAGTAAAAGTTGGATGGGCGTCCTATGTTGCTGTAGACAATGTTTCCATCAACACAGAGTTTATGCTAAAATTCCAGGCAGCTTCAGCTCAGCCACAAAATGAATCAGAACCGGACTTCTCCGAAGGTCGATACGGTTTGCTGAAATTGATTCAGTCGTCCGGTGAACACAGGGACAGGATCTATACTGATGTCAAGGATTTGGGAGTGAAGATGGACGGGCAGGAGGTTTGGGTTAGAGGTATGTATTCTTATGTTTTTAATGTGAAAGATGAGTTTGTTTGTCACGTTATATATGTATATATATATATATATATATATTTCTTGTAATTACCAGAGAGAGACTTTGTACAAAAGTCGATTTCTTGGCTACCTCTCTCCCATTCGTGTTTCAACCGTGAAGCAGTTGTGTTTGCATGGCTGTGTTTCGGTTTGAAGGGTGGGATATGGCGTGAATTTACTGGGTACAGAGGAATAACACCCGTCAACAAGTCCTCAGGAATGGCAACGCATGGGGGGTATCATGGGCGAAACAGTATACTCTGTTATGTCCACGGTACTGCTCATGTCTATAATCGACGGTTACCACTTTACATCAGGTGGGCCGTCAGCTTGTTTGCCATTCTAAGTTGTATAAAAAAAAATTGTTTATATCTAAAATAAGTTTACTATTGTAATCTTTTGGAGGAAACAATAAAGAGTATCTATCTTGTAGCGCCTTAACGGCTTAACCAGTTACTATGAAATTTAGTATACACTATATTGGAAGAAAAAGGGTCTTGGCCGATGGATGGACGGACAACAAAGTGATCTTATAAGGGTTTCCTGTTCTCCTTTGGGGTACGGAACCCTAAATACAATGTTACGTGACGCATAGCATAGACTCATAGACCATATCGTCGTCTCTGTGTTTGCTCAGGATGGTGTAGTCACATGTCGTGTACAAAAAATATATATATATATATATACATATACATTTTACAGCACGACTTCAAACATCGCGGGCGAAAGGGAAGCAATGCTTCGCAGTGCTTCGACAGAGCTCGAGTACAGTGCAGCTTCTGGTCAGCGTGAACGAGGAGCGCGCTGTTAGCAAGCAGATGGTCAAGTTTGCTGGCAAGTGAGTAGTTTACAACTTAATGGTGCAGTATTTTTCCACGTGTGAGTCGAACTACAAGGAATTACATAGAAGGAATGATAAAAATTGTAAATCATATGGTTGGCTCCTTTCTTCTTATGTAAATATAAGTAGTAAAAAGAGGACGAAAGATACGCCATCAGTTGCTATTTTTCTCAATTCATAGCTGGCGGTTAGTGTATAGAAAATGTTTGATATGTCAATTATTTGTCAATGACAAATTTTACATTACTAGATTATATATTCGACACAGTTTTTGTAGAAAGTATGCAAGCAGGTTGTATCTGAATTTGTTAGGGTTATATTATTCGCCCATGATACCCACCATGCGTTGCCATTCCTGAGGACTCAGGCGTTATTTCTCTGTATCCTGTAAATTCACTGCTATATTCCACCCTTCAAACCGAAACACAGCCATGCAAACACAACTGCTTCACGGTTAAAACACGAATTGGACAGAGGTACCCAAGTTAACGACTTTTGTACAAAGTCTCCCTCTGGTGAGTGATTTGCCTTTATTCAGTTCCTAATTCAAATTATTTATACATTCCAGCATAACAAAAGAGTCCATAATTGACGTCCGTGCGACGGTGGTGAAGACAGCAGCCCCGGTTGAGTCATGCACGGTCCGGGACGTGGAACTCCTGGCGACCGAAGTGTGGACTGTGTCGGCCGCGCGCCCACAACTGCCTCTCCAGATAGAGGACGCCGCGAGACCGGAGAAAAACGACGTAAGTCATTTACATGAGTGATAATATTTATTTAACTCTGTGGTAATTAAAATACCACGTTTGTCACGCTGCCACCTAAAAATAGAGGGTGATACAAGATCGGAAAAAGGACGCAAGGCATACATGACTGGTAATATTCATACCACACTGTGATAATAATGGATAAGTGGTGTAGATAATTTTAAGTTAATTCGGAAAATTAGTTCAAAGTATGATAAATATATATACATAAATGAGGTAGAAGCTTCTAAAAAACTAAATTGAAAATAATCGAGTGTCGTCGCCCACCACTACCAAATCCTACCCTGGACATAGGATGCTGCGACACTGGACAAAAACGATGTGAATTATTTACACAAGTGGTAAAATTAATAACGCTCTGCTGTAATTAAATTAACACATTAATACAAATGTGTATTTTGTGTGATAATTAAATTGCCACAATGCATATGAAAATTACTACTAGTGTCATAATGGGTATTTTTTCGCATGTAGTGTAAATTTGTGTGTTGGTGAAATTTTGAAGAAATGAAATTGTTGGAAATTTTGTTAGAGAAATATAAAATGGCTGTGGAGAAACTTGAGTAATTTATAGTTTTGATATAAGTAGGTTGGTAGGACGAGCAATTTGCAAAGAAAAGCTTGTAATTTTTTTAATATTAGAGAGGTAAAGGAGCAGACGGTCCACCCGATGGAAAGCGGCTACCGTCACCCATGACGATCGAATATGAAACTGTACTTTTTATTTTGCTTAAGGACCCTGAAGCGCTGAGAATCCGTGTGAACCAAGACACGAGGCTGGACAATCGTGTACTTGACCTACGCACTCCGGCCAATCAAGCGATATTCAGGCTGGAAGCTGGCGTTTGTAGATTATTCCGTGATATACTTACTAGAAAAGGTAAGTGTCTAATATATATATATATATATATATATATATATATATATATATATATATATATATATAAATTATTATAAAAATGATGATTTTTATTATTATATCAACCATTAATTGACTGTTTACTGTTGAACATAGGCCTTCCCCATAAGGGGAGTTTTGCCAGTAGCTGCCACGCTTGGCAGGTGGGTTGGCAACCGCACTTGGTGATGTTTTAAAAGCTACCAAAAGCTAAACTGCGGTTGCTAACTCGTCTGCCAAGCGTGGCAAGTACTGGCTAAACCGCTCTTATGGGGAAAGCCTATGTCCAGCAGTGGACAGTTAATGACTGATACAAAATAATGAAAAAAAAAATGTTGAAAAACATTATGGACATTAAATTAGGCCATTTAATCAATTAGATGACGATTGTCCCCAGGTTTTGTTGAAATACACACACCAAAAATAATCTCTGCCGCGTCGGAAGGTGGCGCCAATGTGTTCACTGTGTCGTACTTCAAATCGTCGGCCTATTTGGCTCAGAGTCCGCAGTTGTACAAGCAGATGGCGATCGCGGCTGACTTTGACAAGGTGTGTGGTAAAAACTAAGTGTGGTAATTTAGATTTTTTATTCAGTTATTTATAGCGCCATCTAGTGGTATTTTATACTTATGAAGAATAATTTAGGAGGTGAATTTGATGCGTGGTAATGATGTACATATATGTTCTTTGGTGATGTTTTAAGAAGGACACTGTTGCTCCTCCTTCGACAAGTTCCCTTAGTCGCTTCTCACGACGCCCACTGGAAAGGAAGTGGTGGTATTTTATGGCGGGACCACACGGCGAAACTATTTATTATAAAATATTTCTAAGGTTGCCTGGAAGAGATCGCTGTTTAGCGATATCATTGCTGCCGCCCATTGTTGCCTTTTCTCTTGCTTGCTTTCTTGCTTCTTGTAATTTAGATTTCTTTTGTTAACTTATTTAATCTGTATTATACCAATATTTAGTAAATAAAACTCATTTATTTTTTAAGGGAAATTGAAAAAAAGAGGTAATTCATCCATTCTGCGTTTTTCACGCCAATAAATTAAATTACCACAATAATTGTCACAGGTGTTCACAGTGGGCGCCGTGTTCAGGGCGGAGGACTCCAACACCCACAGGCACCTTACGGAGTTCGTGGGCTTGGATCTGGAGATGTCGTTCAAGCATCACTACCACGAGGTACTGGACACCATAGGGGCCACCTTCACCGAAATATTCAAAGGACTGAGGGACGAGTGAGTGTTTTTTTTTGTATCCGTCATACTCGTGAACGGACGCTGTTTATATAACTAAACTGATGACCATGGTAGTGTACTGGATTAACATATAGCCTCTCCTTCTGATGGTCGTGCGTTCGATTTCTGCACAATACAAACATTTGTATATGTAAATATCATCATATGACCCTTTAACTGTCCACTGCTGAACATAGGCCTCCTTCTTGAGGGGTTTGCCAGTAGTTGCCACACTTGGCAAGTGGATTGGCAACCACAGTTTTTTTTTAATAGGTGATAATGAAATGGTAACCCCGCCTGCGCTAGCGATATATGCTGGCGGGGCACCAGTGAGGGATGATAGGTCAGAATGAAAAGGCAGGTCAGTTAGCCCATCGTGACAAGTTGGACTAGAATGAACCATGATGGTTTCCATGGAGAAACGCGTGGAGGTCGACCTAATAGGGTGTATTGCTAACAATGGTGCAGTTAGCCTTATTACTAACAATCCCTTTCCCTCTGACAACCGCAGTTAGGCTTTGATATTTTTATAAGAGGGACACTGCTGTCCATTCATCGACTGGCCACTAAGGTTACCTCTTATGAGACCCAAGGGAGAGGAGGGGGTGGCAAATCTATGCCAGGACCACACGGCGAATACATCTATTAGTATATACATAATATACTATGTATATATTTATTCTTTTTTGACCACATTACAAAAAAAATGTCTGGTACAAAAGGCGGACTTATTACTATATAGCATTCTCTCGCAGTCAACCTTTGGCTGTGTAACCGTTGGCTTTGGGGGGAAAGGGATTGTTAGTAATGGAGACTGAGCATCCTATTGCTAGCAATATACCCAACCAGGTCGACCTCCTCGCGGTTCCCCCTGGAAACTATCATGGTTAATTCCTGATGAATTCATCATGATGAGCTAACTGGCCTGTTTTCATTCTCACCTATCACCCTTCACTGGTGCTCCGCCAGCGTATCCCGTTTGCGCAGGCGGGGTTACCATACCATTTTCACCCATAAAAAAACCGTTGGCTTTGTGTGTGTGTGTGTCTGTGTGCCTATGTATGTAGCTGTACTATGTGTACAGATACGCGTCAGAGATAGCGACGGTGGCGCAGCAGTTCCGCGTGGAGCCGTTCAAGTACCTGGACCCGCCGCTGCGGCTCGAGTTCCCGGACGCGATAAAAATGCTCAAGGAGGCCGGTGAGTTTTATAACTAGCCGATATGAAAGCTTTATCTTAGACAGATACTGTCTTGTCGGTCTTCTCTCTCTTTTTTACAATATTTTTGTAATACAGTAGAATCTCGATTATCTTTTCAACTGTGTCATGCAAAATGGTGGAAAATCCACATCTGTGGCGTCCCGTGAGCGGACTTTACACAGACTAGATATTTTTAGCGTATAGGTTTAAAAAACCTGATTTTTTCCGAAACCTAATTGCAATTCTATAAAATTCAGATTAGATTTATATTGCTAGCAATGGGATTCTCAGTTTTCATTACTAACAATCCCTTTTCCCCCTCCCCTCCAGGACTAAGTTATTAGACCTCCGTACACTTTAATTTAAATTATCCCACTCTTTCAAGGTGTGACCCTGGGTGAAGAGGACGATCTGTCCACGCTCGACGAGAAGCTGCTCGGTAGACTGGTCCGGGCGAAGTATGACACAGACTTCTATATTTTGGACAAGTATCCCCTGGCTGTCAGACCGTTCTACACCATGCCCGACCCTAAAAACCCGGTAAGTAACAACTGTTGGCGTCATCGTCACCATATTGCTGTACATAGGTCTCCAACTTAGAGTGTTTTGCCATTAGTTGCCATGTTTGATAAAAGAATTGGCAACTGCAGTTAGGCACCAGAGGGAGACTTTGTACAAAAGTCGATTGCTTAAGTACCTCTGTCTCATTCGTGTTTCAACCAGTTAAAGCAGTTGTGTTTGCTGTGTTTCGGTTTGAAGGGTGCGATATGGCAGTGAATTTACAGGGTACAGAGGAATAACACCTGAGTCCTCAGGAATGGCAACGTATGGGGAGTATCATGGGCGAAAGAGTATACTCTGTTATGTCCATGGTACTGCTCATGTCTATAGGCGACGGTTACCACTTTCCATCAGGTGGGCCGTCAGCTTGTTTGCTATTCTAAGTTGTATAAAAAAAAATGGATTGCATGTATATTATGGGGAAAGACAATAAGTTCCTAGTACATGAAAATTTTTAAACTAAATTTCAAAAACGGTCATTTGACCGCGCTTGGTAGGTTTAGTGTTAATTAATTTTTGCGTTGTGTCCAACAGTGGACTGTTAGAGGCTGATATGTGATGATACCGATTCACACAGGCGCAGCCGCGAGATACAACTAGTTTGTTTGTTTACAGAAATCGTCCAATTCGTACGACATGTTCATGCGTGGTGAAGAAATACTGAGCGGGGCGCAGCGGATTCACGACCCGGAGTATTTGATAGAGAGGGCCAAGCACCATGGCATAGGTGAGGCGTTCAGAGATATCAGTCGTTAGGGTCTACCATGAAATGTTTTCCAAAATTTCGGATGCCAAAACGAAACACAAATTTGATGTTAAAATTACATAACGAGTAGGGATATATATTTTATATTCTCACCAGAGGGAGACTGTACAAAAGTCGATTGCTTGGGTACCTCTGTCCCATTCGTGTTTCAACCATGAAGCAGTTGTGTTTGCATGGCTGTGTTTCGGTTTGGAAGGTGGGATATGGTGTGAATTTACAGGGTACAGAGGAATAACACCTGAGTCCTCAGGAATGGCAACGCGTGGAGGGTATCATGGGCGAAATAGTATACTCTGTTATGTCCATGGTACTGCTCATGTCTATAGGCGACGGATACCACTTCCCATCAGGTGGGTCGTCAGCTTGTTTGCTATTCTAAGTTGTATAAAAAAAAACATTACATGTATCATATGTCTATATTAAGAAATAATGGAATTTTCATCGTGCCTCCGATCAAACTGTTTATAATTACTCCTCTCCATCCAAAGTTGTTGCCTGCAAGAGATCGCTCTTAGCGATAAGGTCGCCCATTGTTTTCTCATTGTGATTATTTCTTGTAATTGTTTATTATATAATTTAATCGTAGCATAAATCTAATATATAAAATTCTCGTGTCGCGGTGTTTGTTACCAAACTCCTCCGAAACGGCTTTACCGATTTTTATGAAATTTTGTGTGCATATTAGGTAGGTCTGAGAATCGGCCAACATCTATTTTTCATACCCCTCAATGATAAGGCTGACCCACTCCTAAATATTTTTTTTTTTATTTTTATGACAATATTTTTTTATTTTTGTTTTATTATGATTTAGCATTGACAAATACAACATCAAATTTGTAGTACGATACATTTTCATGTATAGTTCTCGAAATTATGTATATGGTAAAACAACGTTTGCAGAGTCAGCTAGTTGTATATATATATATATATATATTCCCAAAGAGGGTTGACGTCAGGCAGGCGGCCGGTCTTAAAACTATAAGTCAAATCTTTTAGTAATATGTATAAAAAAACATATTACGCCGACCACAAATAATAATTAGGATAAAGGTAGGGAGAGAATGATAAAAAAAAATAATATATTATATGAATTTAACCTCGTTTTCAGATATCAACAAAATCGCCGCTTACATCGAATCCTTTAGACTGGGATGCCCTCCGCACGCTGGTGAGTATTCAACGAGCATTTCTATCATTAAACGAAATTTCTAATGTATGTAGTATATTCATTTATTTTAACATTTATTATATATGTAGGTAGGTATTATATTTATTTATTTATTTTATTTTATTCTTTATTACACCAGTTATAAGAATATGACACAGGTAATCAAATGTAGCAAAGAACCACGAACAAAAAAATCAAGAAAATCCCGCTCAAATGTAACAATGTTGATTGTTTTTTTCGATAGATTGTTCGTCCCTCCAGGCCAGACAGTTGATGGAAAACATCGATGTGCTCAAGTGGAAGTGTGGCACGAGTTCATCAATGTCAGCGGATACAGACAAGTGTACAATCTTGTGACAATTTTTAAACAGACGAAAATTAAATTAATCACATTATATTTTATCAAAAACAAATACACATATACATAAATACATACCTACATCTATGTAGTATATATACATATACTTACACACATCACACACACACACACACATATATATATATATATATATATATATATATATATATATATATATATATATATATATATAAAGTATTTACATCCAACCAGAGACATACATACATTAGTCATACAAACCTCAAACATCTGATTATTACATCAATGTTGAACCCTTCGACGACATTTTTAAACGACAAAATTTTTTTTTTTATAACACAGGGGGCATATAATAAATACATGCTACATCTATGTAGTATATATACATATATATATATATATATATATATATATATATACTACCGCCGATAAATAAATATATGTTCCCACAATTACCTACGGCATTTTGCAGGTGTGCTTATGTAATATTTTATTATATAAGGAATATTTTTTTGAAGGTTATGTTGTCGTATCGGTTCGGAAATACTGCTGCTGGAAGTTGATTCTCAAAGTAGTGGTTGACTGGAAGAGATCTCTGTCAGAGAAAACGCTATGGGCTATGAGAATTGTCGATGATCCCAGACTTACAAGTGGTATCTAACCCCTAAGTCTTAGAAGAGATTTTGCCTCTGCGTGTTCTACCGCTTGTACAACGGATTTTATGGACGATAATGGAATGGTAACCCCGCCTGCGCTATCGGTATACACTAGCGGGGCACCAGTGAGGGATGATAGGTGAGGATGAAAAGGCAGGTCAGTTAATCCATTGTGATTAATACACCTGGAATAGGCTGGGGGAAAGGGATTATTAGTAATGGAGACTGAGAATCCCGTTGCAAGCAATATACCCAACCAGGTCGACCTCCTCGCGGTTTTCCCTGGAAACTGTCATGGTTAATTCCTGATGAATTCATCATGATGAGCTAACTGGCCTGTTTTCACTCTCATCTATCACCCTTCACTGGTGCTCCGCCAGCGTATCCCGTTAGCGTAGGTGGAGTAACCATACCATTTTCACCCATAAAAAAAAATACACCTGGAATTTAGCACGATGGTTTCCAGGAGGGAGCCACTAGACACGGGAGATCGACCTAACAGGGCATATTGGTAGAATTGGGACTGGTAGTCCACATTACTAACAATCCCTTCCCCCTCCCCTTTTTCGGATAGGACCTAAAATTAATATAGAAATATGTTTACACTTGTTATTATTATTGCAGGCGGTGGTATCGGTATGGAAAGAGTGGTTATGTTGTACCTAGGGCTGGACAACATACGCAAGACTTCCATGTTCCCGAGGGACCCGAAGCGTGTCACGCCATAAAGATTAACAGACAAGTGTACATTTTAATATGTATTTTATAAGTTATTTCTCTATCGTTTTTTTTTTTTTTTGTATAATATACAGTTAATAAAATTATATTATGTTTATTAATATTTTATTTTTTATTTTTAATAGCCTCTTAGTTTTTTAGTGATAATGGTATGGTAACCCTGCCTGCGCTATCGGTATACGCTGACGGGGCACCACTGAGGGATGATAGGTGAGGATTTTTTTTTTAATACAACTTAGAATGGCAAACAAGCTGACGGCCCACCTGATGGAAAGTGGTAACCGTCGCCTATAGACATGAGCAGTACCATGGACATAACAGAGTATACTGTTTCGCCCATGATACCCCCCATGCGTTGTCATTCCTGAGGACTCAGGTGTGAGGACTCACATCCATTAAAAAGACCACAATGATTTTCAGAGGGGACCGTGTGGTATTTTTTTAGTAGCTCATAACTACGTCGACTGTACTCGACCATACCTTCACGCGGTTCCCCCTGGAAACTATGGTGTTTTTTATTGAATTACTCACCTATCATCCCTCACTGGTGTCCAATATCGCACAATGAAACAACAAAATACATGTAACATAAATATATATTTTGTAAATCTTATACATTATTGTTAAATTTGATTATATCCGAGTCCTATTTGGACATAAGATTGAGTATTTTCAAGCGACTATTCAAAGGAAGGGTTTCTCGATTCGATCATACATTTACTAGCTTTTACCCGTGACTTCGGCCGTATAACCAGAATAAAAACTAGCCTATATCATTCTCAATTTCCCAATCCCGGCATAGGATAGGCGTGGCTTTCCCGTGGGTGTCGTAAGAGGCGACTAAAAGAGGGCGAGGGATAGGCAGTAGCGTCCCTCTTAAAACATCTCTAAAGCCTAACTGCGGTTGCCAATTCGTCTACCAAGCATGGCAACGTTTTTTTTTATACAACTTAGAATGGCAAACAAGCTGACGGCCCACCTGATGGAAAGTGGTAACCGTTGCCTATAGACATAAGCAGTACCGTGGACATAACAGAGTGTACTGTTTCGCCCATGATACCCCCCATGCGTTGCCATTCCTGAGGACTCGGGTGTTATTCCTCTGTACCCTGTAAATTCACGCCATATCCCACCCTTCAAACCGAAACACAGCCATGCAAACACAACTGCTTTACGGTAAAACCTCTTAAGAGGGAGCTTATGTTCAGCAATGGACAATTAAAGGCCCTACGAGTTTTAAAAATAATGTAACTCAAGGTATCAAAAATTTGCCTATTAAAGCTAATGTAAAATACCCATTTATCCGTACGAAGCCGGGGCGGATGGCTAGTCTTATATGTATATAATAAACGCCACATAATCACACCAAAAGCCCGAACTTCAAGTTACGGTACCCTGTTTTATAAAAATTCAAACGAATAGAACACCCTTCATTTGAAGGTCGCTCAAAACTATAGCTTTTTTTTATCTACCCTATAATTTACTTTTTAAAAATTTTAAGGTATTCCATAATATTATACATGTTTAAATTAATATTTTATTAATTGGAATGCAATTTTTTTCAAATTTCAATGTAGTGAAGTCATAATTCTAAAGGAGCTAATGATATTTTATAATTGAAGATTGTGTACCACAAAAAAAAACTTGAATTGTGACAAAACCAGTTATTTTGTTCTAAAAACTGAACTACTAAATCGATTTTGATAAAATTTCTACGACACCAATCTGTAAGTATATCCTCTTTCAGATAAAAAGGGAATTTTTCAAATTGGTTTCACAATACCGACAGAGTTATGAGGCGACAAACGTAAAAAAATACATGCGAATTAAGAATCTCTTTCTTTTTAAGTCGGTTGAAGAGAAAAAAAAACCTAACATTTATATACCTTTTTAATTTTATAATAAAATTTTTATTATTAAAATGTTTTGTCTCTTTATTTGAAGTTTTTATTTAAATTACTTTATTAATGTCTTTGATTTATAATCATTTAATATGGGGATATTTGGTGGGCATTCCGTTATCTTAAAAGTTTAGGAACCCCTGCATTACAGTACTTGCAGTTGCAGACTTATTTTATGCAACTTAGAATGGCAAACAAACTGACGGCTCACCTGATGGAAAGTGGCAACCGTCACCTATAGACATGAGCAGTGCCATAAACATAACAGAGTATACTGTTTCGCCCATGATACCTCCCCTGCGTTGCCATTCCTGAGGACTCAGGTGTTATTCCTCTGTACTCTGTAAATTCACTGCCATATCCCACCCTTCAAACCTAAACACAGCCATGCAAACACAACTGCTTCACGGTTGAAACACGAATGGGACAGAGGTGGCCAAGCAAACGACTTTTGTACAGTCTCCCTGAGAGGTGATGTGTGTTTGAGAGGGGGTGAGGCTAGATCGCAGCGGGCGGTGGGGATGGTCCATACCGTGCTTTAGTACTATAACTTATACTGTGGTTTTACTCTGTCCTTAATATTTGGGATACATTTTTAATAATTGCCAACACTAGTGAAGAAGTCAGTGAACCGGCTTCGCCTGACGCTTCTTCTTCTTCTTCCTTCTCACATCAGCGTACTCGTACTCCATCGTACTGCCACTCAGGTTCTGGTAACCGTCACTTTTATGGGTTTCATAGTTTGGAAAGTTGATACCCTCGGTCTGCTGATAGTTCTCTGTGAAGGACTCCGAGAATTTTGTGCTGAGGGTCTCCGAACCGAAGAATTTGTTATGCAAGTTCTCTGTCTTCTGCAGGTTGTGGTATTTCTCATTTTGCGGGTAGATCGTGTTGAGTATGTTTGTTGCTATGGCGACGGGCATGGCGGGATAAGCGCCCTGCTGTAGCGGTCAGAATTTCAGGTCCTGGAATAAATATCACTAGTTATATATTTTTTAATAGGGTGATAATGGAATGATATCTCCGCCTGCTCTATCAGGATACGCTGGCGGGGCACCAGTGACAGATGATAGGTGAGGATGAAATGGCAGGTCAGTTAGCCCATTTTCATTAGAATTAACACGATGGTTTCTGGATGGAGACCGCGTAATTATAAACAGTTTGATCGGAGGCACGATGAAAATTCCAATTTCTTAATATAGACATTGATACATGTAATGTTTTTTTTTATCAACTTAGAAAGCAAACTGACGACCCACCTGATGGGAAGGTGGTATCCGTGGCGCCTATAGACAGGCAAACAGTGACATAACAGATTGTTAGTATTTCGCATGAACTACCTCCATGTGGTCTTGCTGGAAATCATCGTGCTGAATTCAGGGTTATTCACGATCTGTGACCTGGTCTTTCATCCTCACCTTCCAAACCGAAACACAGCCATGCAAACACCCTCACTGGTGAAACACTGGGACAGCGTACCCAATATCGACTTTTGTAAAAGTGCAGGCGGAGGGTTAACCATTCCATTGCGACACTTTTATATATAAATATATAAAATTAGGATGACCCCCCCCCCCACTAATGACATTTGTAAAAAAAATATAATGTGTTTTTAGTCAGTGAATATAGGTAGTTTGGACCATTTTTTATGGCTTATAAATAATATTCCAGAATGTTAAATTTAAAAAAAAAATGCATATTTGCATTTTTGCAATTTTTCTTAATCATAATTTATACGGAACCATCAGTGCGCGAGTCCGACTTGCACTTGGCCGGTTCCTTTGACACACCTTGATGGCCTGTGGGAGATCAGGTAGTTTCATGTCACGCAGCTGCTGTGGGAGGTTCATGCTCTTGACGGCGGAGACTGCGCGGGCGGGCGCTGCTGAGATACCAGCCTGTGGATTGAATACAAACTATTTTATTTATTTATTCTTTATTGTACACAGAAAAAATTACAACATATTATATATATATATAAAATAAAGATGTACAACAGGCGAGCTTAACTCTGTAAGAGTTCTCTTCCAGCAAACCCTGAGTGGAAAGGAGCATTAATTACTAGCGGGCAGTGTGCGTACAATAATAGAAGGAAACGTTATAGAGGTTTCTATTAAAAAATAATAAATATGTTGACATATATAAGTAACTCATACAATTAAAATCAAAATACATACATATGTGTATATAATAATACATATATATATATACATAGACAAAATATCTCTTCACATACAAAATACGTACATATACATACATAGACATAATAAGTTTATATACAACTATATATAAGAAAACAAAAATCAGCATTAATAAATCATCATCGTCATCATACCAGCCTTTAACTGTCCACTGCTGAACATAAGCCTCCCCCTTGGGGGGTTTTGCGAGTAGTTACCACGCTTTGCAGGTGGATTGGCAACCGCAGTTAGACTTTGGAGATGTTTTAAGAGGGACGCTGCTGCCCATCCCTCGTCCTCCCTTAGTCACCCTACGACACCCACGGGAAAGGAAGAGGTGGCCTATTCTACGCCGGGACCACACGGCATTAGTAAACAATAATATTTATTTATTTATTCATCAGTACATATGTATATGTGTACATGGTGGACTTAATGCTAAAAGCATTCTCTCCCAGTCAACCGTAGGCAAGTGTCAGAATACTCGAATGCGGTACTAGTAATTATTGATATACATACATACTAAAATATACATATATAAACGAATAAATATATATAAATAAGAAATATATATAGATAGATACTCTTTATTGTTTCCTCCAAAGATTACAATAGTAAACTTATTATAAATACAAACAATTACAAGAAATAATCACAATAAGAAAACAATGGGCGACCTTATCGCTAAGAGCGATCTCTTGCAGGCAACCTTTGGATGGAGAGGAGTAATTATAAACAGTTTGAAAACCGGTTCCAACTGTGACACTTGGCCGGTCTTTTAACATGAAAAATTTGAATTTGCGAAAACGGGGTAACCAACGCACAACGGCCCAAATGAGAGGCTAAGTGCGGAAAACAGAGTCTTTCTTACAACGGGGTAACCATTCCATTTTCATTAAAACTATAATAAATTCAAGGAAGGATGGGGGGGGGGGGTGGAAGATCATATTACGAAGACATTAGAAAGAATGAATGGAGTAGTCACGAGCGATACCTCTGCCTTTTGCATCTTGTTCTGCTCCTGCAGGCGGCACAGTATATCGTTCATGTTGGTCTGAAGCACCATGCCGCCCATCACCAGCTCGTCCAGCACCTGGTGCGCCGCGTCCGCGTGGAATATCAGGTCCAGCTCGCACACGTTCTCGAAACATTTATCCAAGGTCTCCACGAATACCTTCGTAAATTATAATAAATTTGTTTAAAAACAATTTTTTTTATACAACTTAGAATGGCAAACAAGCTGACGGCCCACCTGATGGAAAGTGGTAACCGTCGCCTATACACATGAGCAGTAACATGGACATAACAGAGTATACTGTTTCACCTATGATACCCCCAATGCGTTGCCATTCCTGAGGACTCAGGTGTTATACCTCTGTACCCAGTAAATTCACTGCCATATCCCACCCTTCAAACCGAAACACAGCCATGCAAACACAACTGGGAAGCACATAAAACACGAATGGGATAGAGATACCCAAGCAAACGACTTGTGTACAGTCGCCCTCTGGTGAACAAATTTTTATAATGTACTTCGCCATATTGGACTGACGGCCATATTGAATTTGGTGTAACGTCGCTAACTTTATTTTTTTTAACCGACTTCGAAAAGGAGGGTCTCAATTCGGTTGATCATAATTTAGTAGCAACCGCAGTTAGGATTTGGGTGATGTATTAAGAAGGACGCTGCTGCCCATCCCTCGACGTTCCCTTAGTCGCCTCTTACGACACCCACGGGAAAGGAAAGGCCCATTCTATACCGGTTTTTACACGGGGCGATATATTTATATATTTAATACTAGCTGACTCGGCAAACGTTGTTTTTTTTTATACCACTGAGGTGGCAAACAAGCATACGGCCCACCTGATGGTAAGCGGTTACCGTAGCCTATGAACGCCTGCAATACCAGAGACATTACGCGCGCAATGCCGACCCTGAAGAAACCTCTTTACCCCCCTTTTGAAGAACCCCATGCTGTAGTCTCTTGGGAAAACCTCGGCAGGGAGCTCATTCCATAACCTGAGTGTTCGTAGGAGAAAACATCTCTGAAATGTTTTACTATATATGTTATTCAAAAACTGTACATGAAAATTTATCGTACTACAATTATTATATTCGATTGTCATCTTGCAACCCTATTGCTGTATATAAAAATCGCGATTAAAAAACAGGGATTAATCGTAAAAGCGTGAAAATTTGAATTTGTATGTATTTTGTCAATGCTAAATCATAATAAAATAAAAATAAAAAAAAATGTCAATAAAAAAAATATTTATGGGTACGAATGAATGTCACCCTTATCATTGAGGTGTATGAAAAATAGATGTCGGCCGCTTCTCAGACCTACCCAATATGCACACAAAATTTCGTAAAAAATCGGTAAAGCCGTTTCGGAGGAGTTTGGTAACAAACACCGCGACACGAGAATTTTATATAAGATAATCTAATGAACAAGATAACTGTATATTTGTTTATGTATTAATAGTTGTAGCACTTCAGCTGCCCGCTAACGAAATACTTTCTAACTGTACTGGGTTGACTGGAAGAGATCTCTGTCAGAGATAAGTCCACCCTTGCTCACAACATTTATAAATATATACACACACAATATATATACCAGAGGGAGACTTTGTACAAAAGTCGATTGCTTGGGTACCTCTGTCCCATTCGTGTTTCTACCGTGAAGCAGTTGTGTTTGCACGACTGTTCGTTTCGGTTTGAAGGGTGAGATATGGCGTGAATTTACTGGATACAGAGGAATAACACCTGAGTCCTCAGGGATGGCAACGCATGGGGGGTTATCATGGGCGAAACAGTATACTCTGTTATGTCCACGTTACTGCTCATGTCTATAGGCGACGGTTACCACTTTCCATCAGGTGGTCCGTCAGCTTGTTTGCCATTCTAAGTTGTATAAAAAAAAAATACATTATTTTAAATGTAACTTACAAATGCAATAAAGAATGTATAAGATAATCATACCTGAATGAGATCCAAGATGCCCAGTTCGCTTTCCGACGAGTCCACGCAAAACACGAAATACAGGGTCGCGTAATGCCTGTATATTAATTTATAATCTGAACCGCCGATCAGGCTGAAATATAAACATATAATAAAAAGAGATTAAAAAATCAAGAGGAGACGAAGACCTAAAAAGACATGGATGGATCGTGTGAGGGACGATATGGCCAGAATGGGAGTGAATGCGGAAACGACTGGGGATAGAGAAGAATGGAAGAGGAAAACATATTACGCCGACCCCAAATGATAGTTGGGATAAGGGTAGGAAGATGATGATGAATAATAGAGATTAAAAAAAAAAAACAGTTTCAGAGATTGCACGACTCTATTAACAAAGTCTGTAGGCGTCCGATTGTCCTTCTGAGATGTGGTGAGTGAGATATGGCACTCGAGGGTATTTTTTTTTTTTGATGGGTGAAAACGGTATGGTAACCCCGCCTGCGCTAACGGTATACGCTGGCGGAGCACCAGTGAAGGGTGATAGATGAGAATGAAAACAGGCCAGTTAGCCCATCATGATGGATTCATCAGGAATTAACCATGATAGTGTCCAGGGGGAACCGCGAGGAGGTCGACCTGGTTGGGTATATTGCTAGCAATGGGATTCTCAGTCTATATTGCTAACAATACCTTTCCCCCTGCACTTGAGGGTATATCATCTAGTTTTTTGTGAGTCCCCCCCCCCCGCCTTACGGGGGGATTCCCACAGTACCAATTCACCTCCCACAAGGTGTATGGGTCTGCATAAAAAAATTTCCAGACGTTAAAAAAAAAGGTGTCTAAATGTGATGTTTGCGGGTACATCACTAATGTGGGATATAATTGTAAATGTGTACCTACTTCTCAACCAGAATTGTTTAGAAAGGGATCATTAGTAATGGGGACGGTAGTCCCCATCGCTATCAATATACCTTATAAGGTCGACGTCCACGCGGTTCCCCTTGGAAACAATCGTGACTAATTTATTATTATTTAAATTATTAATTTATTCGTCACGATGGGCTAACGGACCTACTTTTTCATCCTCACCTATCATCCTTCACTGGTGCCCGGCCAGTGTATACCGATAGCGCAGGCGGGGTTACCATTCCATTATCATCCATAAAAAAAAAAAAAAACTAGGATTGTCAGTCTATTGCTGACATTAAATATACATATGTATATGTATATTTAAACAATATCTCTTAAACAGTATTTTATAGTAACAGCGATAAGGTCGCCCATAGTTTTCTCATTGTGATTATTTCTTGTAATTGTTTGTATCTATAATAAGTTTACTATTGTAATCTTTTGGAGGAAACAATAAAGAGTATCTATCTATCTATCTTATTTATCAATGTACTGATATATAAAACAATTGAGTCCCGGACAAAAAATCGACTTCAATTGTGACAAAACCAGTTATTTTTATCTAAAAACTAAAATACTGAACCGCATTTGATAAAATTTCCATCAATCTGTAAGTAAATTCTTTCATATAAAAAAAAAGATTTTTCCAAAATGGGGTTAGAACTGATGGAGCTATGAGGTAACAAACATAATAAAATATAAAAAAAAAATACAAATAGAAAACCTTCTTTTTTGAAGTCGGTTGAAAAAGACTGAAGCTTATATATGCCAATGAATGAAAAATTACTTTTTTAATTTTTTTTTATATGCAACTTAGAATGGCAAACAAGCTGACCCACCCACCTGATGGAAAATGGTAACAGTCACCTATAGACATGAGCAGTACCATGGACATAACAGAGTATACTGTTTCGCACACGATACCCCCTCATCACTGGTTATTTGCTTAGAATTATTTTGTTTAATTCCGCTACCATTAGTATGTGTGTGACTGGCAACACTCGAAGATTGCCCACCACTATTACCACCAGAAGTCCCACAACCATCTATATTAGCTATAGTATATTTTTTCACCAGAGGGAGACTTCGTACAAAAGTCGATTGCTTGGGTACCTCTGTCCCATTCGTGTTTCAACTGTGAAGCAGTTGTGTTTGCATAGCTGTGTTTCGGTTTGAAAGGTGAGATATGGTGTGAATTTATTGGGTACAGAGGAATAACATCTGAGTCCTCAGGAATGGCAACGCATGGGTGGTATCATGGGCGAAACAGTATACTCTGTTATGTCCATGGTACTGCCCATGTCTATAGGCGATGGTTACCACTTTCCATCAGGTGGTGTGTGTGGTCAGCTTGTTTGCCATTCTAATTTGTACAAAAAAATTCATGTCCTATAAATTGTATGAGCCAGTACCTGCCACCTTCTAGAAAGTTGCAGACATTGTCGTCTCTCTTGGATACCAGCTGGAAGGTCTCCTTAATAATCTGCTGCTGCATATCCTCATTCTGCAAAATTGAAGGCAATATGCACATTTGAAACTTAACATACTTGGCACATTATCATATGATTTTAGCATCATTACCTAATAAAAAAAAAATAGGGATGTGAAAATGCCAAAATGTATGAATACATCATATATTCATTCACACATTGCATGACCAGAGGGAAACTTTGTACAAAAGTCGATTGCTTGGGTACCTCTGTCCCATTCGTGTTTCAACCGTGAAGCAGTTGTGTTTGCATGGCTGTGCTTTGGTTTGAAGGGTGGGATATCTGAGTCCTCAAGAATGGTAACGCATGGGGGATATCATGGGCGAAACAATATACTGTTATGTCCATGGTACTGCTCATGTCTATAGGCGATGATTACCACTTTCCATCAGATGGTCAGCTTGTTTACCATTCTAAGTTGTATAAAAAAAAGACTTTTTCAAGAATAAAAATGATATGGCAACCCTGCCTGCACTATTCGGCATTATGAAAGATGATAGATTCAGCACTTAATATCTCGGAAATTTGTTGGTACAAAGAACTAAGTTTTTGTGACTTTTCATTTACCACTTTTTTCTGCAAGATGGGAAAAAATTACAATAAAAAAAAATATTATAATTATCATTTTGTAATTCGTATACCTAGAACTGCGGAAAGATATTTCGAAGGTAATAAGTAGTGAATTTAAACACCGGTCACAATGACTGGTCCGTGATTCGAGTGTTAAGCAGTAATTTCCTTGCCATATCTCATGCTTTGAATTAAAACAGCCATGCAGAGAGGGAAGGGATCGTTTGTAATGTGGACAGCTAATCCCATTGCTAGCAATAAACCCTGTTGGCCTCCCAGTGGTCCCCTCTGGAAATCATCATGCAGAATTCAAGGTGCATTCATCACGATGGACTAACTGACCTGCCGTTTAATTCTCACCTATCATACCTCACTGGTACTCTGCCAGCGTACACCGATAGGGAAGGCGGGGCTACAGTTCAATTGTCATCCATTGATAAAAATACCATGCAAGCACAACGGCATACACACTTAATGTCAAAAACAGGAGTGGGACATAGGTACCCAACTAGACTTTTGTAAAAAGTCTTAATATTAACACATCTAATTTATTAACTAAAAAAAAAAAAGAAATAAAACTTTTACTCACAAAATATTGATAGAATTTCGACAATCGTGGTTTTCCATGATTATTAAACACTAAAATAGCCTTAATCATTTTAACGCACTTAAGTTAAACAAATAATAATAGTATTAAATTAAATCATTTATTTCTTTTTCAGTTTGCAATAGACTAAAAAATAAAAATTGAATAAAATTTGATTCTTATAGATCGCACGTAGATATAAAGCAAAGCGAGACACGTCAAGATACTAGACCATGTAATTCCGAATAGAAAACTTTTTAGAAAATCTATGCAACTAGTTGATTGAATTTGAAGATTTTACGTTGGAAAATAGTTATATATTTTAGGACACCTAGATTGATAAAATTGTATAGCACTAGAATAAAATTTGTTAAAAATTTTGATCATTCATAAAAATCTATTTTAGCTAATGAATTGTTTCGTCTTTTCTTTTTTGTGCTAAGTTTCAAATTTGTAAAAAAATGACAAAATAGTATTAAAATAGGTTTGTTGAAGGTTTTAAACTGTATTTATAAAAGGTATAAGTGGTTACTAAAGTATTATCTATGGTCGTCCGTCTTATCACTCGTAAAAAAAGTGGATAAACGAGTGTCAACATAAATTATTATGTTTCGTAAACTATATAAAAATAAAATTTTCCTAAAGTTCTTCCGAAATACTCATGTGTATAACATTTGTCTTTTACATTTTACCTCTCATCATAAGTTTGGTAAGCCACTCTATTCTATCTATATTATAAATATTGGTATTATCGATAGAGGTATATCAAATTGATGTACGATAATATGAACACTCATTTTTTTTATTGTGTTTATGTACTTTGAGATACTAGATTAATCTATTTTCTAATTTTGGATAGTGTCGACTCCGTATCAAAATAATTGACATTGACAAAATGTCAAAGAATGTTATTGCCTGTCTGTCAAAGTAGGGTTAACATCTCTATATGTTTTTTATCCCTGTTTATTTATGGATGATAATGGAATAGTAACTTCGCTGCGCTATTGGTATGTGCTGGCGGGGCACCAGTGAGTAGTGAAAGGCGAGGATGAAGCAAATCAGTTATCCCATCGTGATGAATTCTACAAGAATTAACCACGAATGGTTCCAGGAGGAACCACACAGAGGTCGATCTAATAAAGTATTGCTGGCAGTTGGACTATGAGCCTCATTACCAGCAAAGTAACTATGTCGGGACCGGGTTAAAAATACTTTTGATTTAAGCTCTCCGTAAATTTAGGATAAAATCTCATAAGATGGAATCCCTATGTCAAAACTATTGATGCAGTTGCTATAAGAAAAAATTAGACTTTATAATTCGTACCTTCATTTTCACAACTTGAATAGTAATATTAATTTTTTTTTATTATCGTTTAAAATTAAATTTAAAAAGTTAACTTTAAATACGACATTTTACCGACACTGTCTATCTATTTATTATCATATTAGATTTTTCAATCACCAAAGCAATTAATATTTAAGAGAAAATGGTAACACTGCCAAACGTGTGAACGCGTTTCTCTTAGCGATGGGCCAACTCGTATAGTTTTGAATTCGAGTAAACCGAATTGAAATGGTGGCTGATTCGAATCGCAGCTCGAATCAGCTCGCATTCACTTCGTATAGTCAATACTGCAGTTGAATATGAACTCAGTAGGTCGGTTACTTAACTCGCTTTAGATTTAAATCGTCGATAGCGCGAACTCGCGGGTTTCAATTAATTCGAATAAAATATACTAGTGTAACGTAGTAAACACTCAGAATTCATATTATCAATCTATTTTAGTTATAGAACAGTTTTGTTCTTTACTTTCGAGCTATTAATTTGAAAGAAAAATACAAAATACTAATATTTAAAATATAGGTTTTTATTTTTAACCGACTTCCAAAAAAGGAGCTGGTTCTCAATTCGACTAATATTGTATGTTTTTTTATTTGTTTGTTACGCGATTACTCCGTCAATTGTAGACCAATTTTGAAAATTATTTTTTTGTCGGAAGGGGTATTATCTTGAGGTGGTCCCATTGTCACCATGTCAGGATCTGATGATGGGATCCCAGGGAAATCGAGAGCAACTCTATACTTTATAGACACCTACAATATTTTTCATGTACTTTCTAAAGCTATTCAGATATTTGCGTTTGGTAGTCATCATCTTATGTTGTTTAACTGATGATGGGTGGTACAACTCCTTAACGGTTAGGAGTTAAGAGGTAATTCCTGAAATATTAGGCACGTTTAGATCGTTAGTAGTTTTTTTCAAGTAATATTCAGATGAGCTGATGATGAAGTACAACTCCTTAACGGTTAGGTTTATATAGGAATTAAGGGATAATTCTATCGCAAAAAAGATTATGAAAATTCTTTTTTTGTCACCAAGTCAGAATCTGGATCCCATGAAAATTGAAGGAAATCCTAAAAATTTGTAATGTAAATATAAAAATATACTAAAAATGGAAAAATAAATAAATTTGAAATAAAATCAACAGACTTCAAAAAAAAAAAAAAACGTAAAAAATACAAAAGTAAAAAATAACAAAATACAAATTTAATCCCAATCAAATAAATTTCATTTCATTTTATAAAAAATTTAAATAGTTATGTAATCACCTAAAAAAATACATAAAAGTTTAATACTTATATTTTTACTATTTATTTTAACATTAATTAATTAACTAAATATTAAAAAACGGAACAGTAACATTTCTAAAAAAAAAAAGCTCGTCGTCAGCCAATCATGAACCAATCGCCTTCTCTTCCTTTAACTTGCGCCTCATGTGATGTTACTATCTCATTCTGCTTCGCAGCTTGTTCGGTTGGTGTAGTTATGTCGAGTATTATACACCACACGCTATGGCATGGTGCAGTGCAGGTAATAGGTACATACACATATAAGTAAATAATTATAATATATTAATAATTATATAATTCAAAATACTTGTACAACGCAAACAGTAAAGCATAGATAATTTACGAAAGTTCATTGTATGCGACAAATCTATGGATTGGTAACAGTAACTTGCTTTTCCAGTCATATAAAAATAATAAATATATTATTAGATTGACTTTGACTCCATAAATCTCACTCAACACTATTCTGTTAATTTATAATAAAAAGTGCCAAAATCTCAACTATCACCGCACCATGATATAGCGCGCGGAGTGTAACTGTAAAACACGCTGACAGAAATATCACGCACACGAGAGTCTTGCTCGTTGTATAATGTTTCTGTTGCGTCGCACGCACACAGCCACACAGCATTCACAGCAACTGAATCGAGTTGACGTTATGACGAACACAGTCGGCCGAGTTGCGTGCTACAGTGATCCGAGCGTAGATCGCATTCATATCACGGTTGTAACGTAGGTAGCGCCGTATTGGCTTTATACGAGTTGATTCGAATTGATAGAAAAGCTAGTTCGAATTGAGCCGGCGGCAATGCAGCTCGAGTAACTCGAGTTTTTTGATTCGAATCGCCCATCGCTAGTTTCTCTTAGTGCTGCATCCATGAATGTCACAAATATAATTCGTAAAAACTATACATTTATTGTGTGAAATAAAATGTATTTGTTATTATTATAAACATTTGTTATGTGTACTGTTGGGTGGAATCTCATTTTTTTAGCGCAGGCACCGTTAATTCATTAAACAGGTCAGTAAAAGAATCTTTATGTCATTTGTTGTCTTTATTTGGATGCCGGGGTATTCTCCAGCGGTGTCGTATGGCAGAACATATTAACACTTTTGATTCGTCTAATGTTTAAAAAGTATGCACGCCCTAAATACGCGGGAATTCGGGCAGCGATTGACACAGCGGAACATTGTACTTTATTGTTCATAATAGCATTTTATATACTAGTATTTTATGAAAGTGTACATACAAGCTATTTGTAATTTGTCTGTGTAGTATGTCGCAATTGAATGAAGACCAAGCTGAGACTGCTTTAAAGGTCAATGGGTCTAAATGGTTTGTTTAAAGGAGGAAATAAGATGCTTTTTATATCAATGTATTACAATAGACTGCGAAGTGTTTTTTATTTCCTTCAATTTGTTATGGTTTCCTAGTTTCTTTTTTTTATTAATACCATGTGTAATTAATTAAGTATTTAGCAGGTGGCTAAAAAGGTATGCATAGAAAAAGCTGTGTATTTGTGCAATTTCTTTCTCAACTCTGAACCGATTTAGATAATTATTCAGCCTTTACTGTCATGTTGTATTCCATATATATTAATTTACTCACAATTTAAGTAGTTTTCTTTTCTGAGTAAATTGTTAATTATTTAAATGTGAATAAATAAATTTTTTTTTTTTTATTGTATTTTGTTGTATAATATTTTTTTATTCAATTAAAACATTTTAACTATTTTAAGTTATTTAATATTTAAACAACTTTGGACCAATCTTGACTTTGTTGGCTGGTAACTCAGGCTACATGCAACAAAACATGTTTGTCTTACAAATTAGTTATGGAAAGTGAAGTGAAAGTTCTATCTAACATCTAGACTGTACACACACACTGTGACAATACTAACACAATTTTTATATTTATATTTGTCATATTTTTTATAGATCATAGATTTTTCTGTCATAGTTTTTTTTTTTTAAATTTTTGTGTTGGATAAAATCTGTATTTCCTCTTTTTTTTTTCTATAATAATATTGTAAATGTGAGTATGTTTGTTTGTAACTTAGTGCTTTAATTGATTAACTGGCCCTATTAGGTCAACCTCCATGTGGTTCCCCCTGGAAACTATCGTGAACAATTCTTATTGAATTCGTCACGATGGGCCAACTGACCTGCTTAATCCTCACCTATCATCCTTCACTGGTGCCCCGCCAGCGTATCTTGATAGCGTAGGCGGGGTTACAATTCCATTGTCACCCATTAAAAAAAAATTGATTAACTGATCACTATGAAATTTGGTATACACATTTATTTGGGATGCAAAAGTACATAGTTGTTCTGATCAGTGAACATATCCTGGTCACGCAGACAAAATTGCAGGTAAAAGCAAGTTTGAAATAAACATAACATGGATTAAATCAATATATATAATAAAATCATAACTAGTCGCTGTCTATACATGAAAGATATATAAGAAAAACTATTACAGGGCGGTTTTATGAACACAATAGAACCCAAAACAATGATTTTTAGAATTTTTGTCTGTTTGACTCTGTTTGTCTGTAGGTTTGTGCGTGCTAATCTCTGAAACGGCTTAACTAATTTAAATAT